GATTTTTTAAAAATTTTTAATTTCCAAAAAATCGATACTAATCGATAAAATCAATACTAATCGATATATTGATTTTTTAAAAATTTTTAATTTCCAAAAAATCGATACTAATCGATAAAATCAATACTAATCGATATATTGATTTTTTAAAAATTTGTGTGTGTGTTTGACCAGTAAATAATTTTTGATGCCTTTCTTGGGCCCATAATCTTTCTTTTGTTTTTGTGCGCTAAAGAATGCTGGGTGGGTTCTCCTCCACCTTCTAACCCCAGTATTTTTTTAAAAGAAAATTGTTTTATTTTATGAATATAAAAACGAGGCCAAAGAAAAAATAAAAACGCTTTTAGGTTGCCAATGTTTAAGTTCACCATACTTGAAAAAATTTTCTTTTTTTCTATTTTGAGGACTTGGGAATGTTTAAGTGTGTGGGTGTGTTGGTGTGGGTGGCACACTTATTAAAATCAAATTTTAATTCTACCATAATCTAATCCCTCAAATCGGATTTCTAACTATTATATGTCATATCTCTTTTAATCGAGAGCTCTTTATGTACTATTTTTTTTTACCAAAAGGAACTAAAATATTTTAGAAAATTATATTTATTAAAGATTTAGTCGGTTAAGTACTGAAAAATTACGATTTTCTGTCTTTATCTTTTCTCTAACTTTTTTGTTTGATTGTCTGATTAGATTGTTCCTCCTAAGAAAAAGAATAAGGACATTTAGAGCTTTCGATTGATATAAGAATTATTCAAAATGGGCGAAAAACTTAAAAATTATAGGCCAAAAAATAGACGTTCCAGTCGAGGTCATACTTTGGGCCATAACTTTCTCTGAATCTTAACTGATTTAAATAATTATTATGTCCATCGAAAGCTCTGGATGTAAGGATTATTTTATCTAGCAGGATATATTTGATCTGATCATCCTACAAAAAGTTACATCCGAATAATTTCAAAAATCATGATTGTGAATATTTATCCAAATGTAACTTTTTGTAGGATGATCAGATCAGACCAATTTTAGCTAAAATACTCCTCACATCAAACGCTTTCGAGCGATATATGAGTTATTCGATCTGGTCGAAAAACTTAAAAGTTATAGGCTTAAAAATGCCCCAAGACTTGTAACAATATTCATAAATTCAGTTAAATCCTTTATATTTATTTTATTTATATTTTTAGATGAAGCTTGATGACCACAACACGAACGCAAGAGAGGAAAATTCAAGAAAAACAATGTGAAATTGTTTTTAATTCTGTATTTTTAATAAAGCATGGTTTATATGAAAAATTTAAAACAACGCCAAATAATGGCATAATGTAATATTTAAAATAAATGACACTTTGTCCCCTAAATTAGAGAAATTATAGAAAAAAATAGTGAAGTTAGAGAAAAAAAGAAAATATGAGTTTGAGGTCAGCTGAGCGAGGCCTGTTGAGAGCGGACTGGCTAAATTAGAAAATCGATACTAATCGATATATTGATTTTTTAAAAATTTTTAATTTCCAAAAAATCGATACTAATCGATAAAATCAATACTAATCGATATATTGATTTTTTAAAAATTTTTAATTTCCAAAAAATCGATACTAATCGATAAAATCAATACTAATCGATATATTGATTTTTTAAAAATTTTTAATTTCCAAAAAATCGATACTAATCGATAAAATCAATACTAATCGATATATTGATTTTTTAAAAATTTTTAATTTCCAAAAAATCGATACTAATCGATAAAATCAATACTAATCGATATATTGATTTTTTAAAAATTTTTAATTTCCAAAAAATCGATACTAATCGATAAAATCAATACTAATCGATATATTGATTTTTTAAAATTATTATTTTTATTTTCAAAAAATTCAAAACGCTGGATTAATTTATCTTTTGTAAAAAAATTCGATTCAAAATCGGAACGATTAACTCGTATAATATAAAAGTGGTTCTGAAATATATAAAGTTGAGCATTATTAAAAACTGGGACAAGAAAATGTGTAAATACACAGAAAAAAATATCTAAAAATTGATTATTTAGCCCATTCAGGGATTGGCCCGTTTATCGGTGTTGGTGGTCGTCGACAACTAAACTTCTGTTGTTTACTTTCTTTATCCATAGCTAGCCATTTGCGCATTGCCATTTTAATATTTAAATTTGTTTGTAATTCACGTTGCTGTTTTTGTAATTCAAATTTTCGTTTATTTTCTGCTTCTGTTGCCAATTCTTCTTCGTCTTTCATACTAAAAAAATTTTTTTTAATTTTAAAAACTAAAAAAATTTACCCCATAATCCGATTTTGCAATTTCATACGTAACAATCTAAAGTCAAAAACATCATGTCCAACAACTGGACTTTCCATTGAGTTGCTTGATTTTACAAATTTTTTGGAGATTCGTTGCTGCCGTAGGTGATTTAATCCATTCAACTATAAATTTAAAAAATGAGAATATTTTAAAACAGTTTTTGAGGGGTATGGGAGATTTGAGAATCAATCTCGAGGCCATATTTTGGGCCATAACTTTTTTTGATTCTCAACCGATTTAAATAAATCATATATCAATCAAAAGCTTTGGATGTGAGGATTATTTTATCCAACAGGATTGATTTGATCAGATCATCCTACAAAAAGTTACAGCCCAATAAATATCGGAGAAAAAAAAATTTTTCGAATTTATCAGTTAATAACTTCTTAAGGATTGAACGGATTTTATCAGACCCATGGGGAAAAATACTCAGTAAACTGAGGGCTTTCGATTGATTTATAAATTATGAGAAAAGATTGAAATACAAAAAAACTATGGCCCAATAAGTATAGAAAATCACGATTTTCCTAACTTAACAGTTAATAATTTCTTAAAGAATGATTAGATCTTAACAGTCTCATTAGAAAAAATAATCAGTAAATCCATAGCTTTCGTTTAATATATAATTCATGAGAAAAGATTGAAGTTCAAGAAAGTTATGGCCTAATAAATATAAGAAAACACGATCTGTGCTTATTAGCTGATAACTTCTCAAGGACTGAAGTTTTTATCCCCACTGGGAAAATTCCGGACGACAAAAAGATATATAGATTAGAGATCGAGATTTTTGAAAAGCCTGGGTTCCGGGTTTGATCTATTGACCTGGGCCGGGTCCTGGGCCTGTAGTCCAGGAAAAACCCAGGAACGTCAAAAAATGCCTTGGCCTGGACTCTGGGTACAGGAAAAACCCAGGCCTTGGTCCAGGCCCAGCTCGATCTCTAATATAGATAGATCAGTTATATTTAAATCGGATTAATTTAAAAAATGAAGATTTACCCCTTTCTCAACACTTATTCCATCAGTCGGTGCCACAGTAGATTCTCTTCTTTTTCTAACCAAAATCATTTTCTTCTTTGTTCTAGGGGTTTGTGGCTTAATTAAATTTTCATCATTATTATTATCCAATTCCATTTTTTCTTCTTCTTTTTTATTTTTACAATGCCCATTTTGTTTATTTTCTTTTTTATTTTGATCAATTTCCATTTTTTCTTCAAATTTTATTTTTTCTTCTTCATTTTCTGTCGCTTTTACTTTACTAACTTTTCGTTTAACAAGTTTTTTGCGTTTTTCTGTTGTTGTGTGGGATCTTTCTCTTTCATATGGATTTAAATCATCCGCGACATACTAAAAATAATTAAAAATTATAGGCCAAAAAATAGACGTTCCAGTCGAGGTCATACTTTGGGCCATAACTTTCTCTGAATCTTAACTGATTTAAATAATTATTATGTCCATCGAAAGCTCTGGATGTAAGGATTATTTTATCTAGCAGGATATATTTGATCTGATCATCCTACAAAAAGTTACATCCGAATAATTTCAAAAATCATGATTGTGAATATTTATCCAAATGTAACTTTTTGTAGGATGATCAGATCAGACCAATTTTAGCTAAAATACTCCTCACATCAAACGCTTTCGAGCGATATATGAGTTATTCGATCTGGTCGAAAAACTTAAAAGTTATAGGCTTAAAAATGCCCCAAGACTTGTAACAATATTCATAAATTCAGTTAAATCCTTTATATTTATTTTATTTATATTTTTAGATGAAGCTTGATGACCACAACACGAACGCAAGAGAGGAAAATTCAAGAAAAACAATGTGAAATTGTTTTTAATTCTGTATTTTTAATAAAGCATGGTTTATATGAAAAATTTAAAACAACGCCAAATAATGGCATAATGTAATATTTAAAATAAATGACACTTTGTCCCCTAAATTAGAGAAATTATAGAAAAAAATAGTGAAGTTAGAGAAAAAAAGAAAATATGAGTTTGAGGTCAGCTGAGCGAGGCCTGTTGAGAGCGGACTGGCTAAATTAGAAAATCGATACTAATCGATATATTGATTTTTTAAAAATTTTTAATTTCCAAAAAATCGATACTAATCGATAAAATCAATACTAATCGATATATTGATTTTTTAAAAATTTTTAATTTCCAAAAAATCGATACTAATCGATAAAATCAATACTAATCGATATATTGATTTTTTAAAAATTTTTAATTTCCAAAAAATCGATACTAATCGATAAAATCAATACTAATCGATATATTGATTTTTTAAAAATTTTTAATTTCCAAAAAATCGATACTAATCGATAAAATCAATACTAATCGATATATTGATTTTTTAAAAATTTTTAATTTCCAAAAAATCGATACTAATCGATAAAATCAATACTAATCGATATATTGATTTTTTAAAAATTTTTAATTTCCAAAAAATCGATACTAATCGATAAAATCAATACTAATCGATATATTGATTTTTTAAAATTATTATTTTTATTTTCAAAAAATTCAAAACGCTGGATTAATTTATCTTTTGTAAAAAAATTCGATTCAAAATCGGAACGATTAACTCGTATAATATAAAAGTGGTTCTGAAATATATAAAGTTGAGCATTATTAAAAACTGGGACAAGAAAATGTGTAAATACACAGAAAAAAATATCTAAAAATTGATTATTTAGCCCATTCAGGGATTGGCCCGTTTATCGGTGTTGGTGGTCGTCGACAACTAAACTTCTGTTGTTTACTTTCTTTATCCATAGCTAGCCATTTGCGCATTGCCATTTTAATATTTAAATTTGTTTGTAATTCACGTTGCTGTTTTTGTAATTCAAATTTTCGTTTATTTTCTGCTTCTGTTGCCAATTCTTCTTCGTCTTTCATACTAAAAAATTTTTTTTATTTTAAAAACTAAAAAAATTTACCCCATAATCCGATTTTGCAATTTCATACGTAACAATCTAAAATCAAAAACATCATGTCCAACAACTGGACTTTCATCCATTGAGTTGCTTGATTTTACAAATTTTTTGGAGATTCGTTGCTGCCGTAGGTGATTTAATCCATTCAACTATAAAATTTAAAAAAATGAGAATTTTTTAAACAGTTTTTGAAGGGCTTCCAAATGGAACTATCAGTCTTTAGGACATATTTTGGGCCATAACTTTTTGATTCTCAACCGATTTAAATAAATCATATATCAATCGAAAGCTCTGGATGTGAGGATTATTTTATCTAACAGGATTGATTTGATCAGATCATCCTACAAAAAGTTACAGCCCAATAAGGATAGGAAATCACGATTTTTCGAATTTATCAGTTAATAACTTCTTAAAGAATGATCAGATCTATCAGACCCATTTGGGAAAAATACTCAGTAAACCGAGGGCCCTCGATTGATATATAAATCTTGAGAAAAGATTGAAATACAAAGAAATTATGGCCCAATAAGTATAGAAAACCACGATTTTCCGAATTTATCAGTTGATAACTTCTTAAAAAATGATCAGATCTTAACAGTCTCATTGGAAAAAATAATCAGTAAACCCATAGCTTTCGATTGATATATAAGTCTTGAGAAAAGATTAAAGTTCAAGAAGGTTATGACCTAATAAACATTGGAAGTTACGATCTTCTCGCCTATAGCTGATAACTTCTTAAGGGCTGAACGGTTTTATCAGACCCATTGGCAAAATTTCGGGCGATCAAAAAGATATATAGATTAGAGATCGAGATTTTTGAAAAGCCTGGGCCTTTTCCTGGGCCTGTAGTCCAGGAAAAACCCAGTCCAGGAAAAACCCAGGAACGTCGAAAAATGCCTGGGCCTGGACTCTGGGTACAGGAAAAACCCAGGCCTTGGTCCAGGCCCAGCTCGATCTCTAATATAAATAGATCAGTTATATTTAAATCGGATTAATTTTAAAAAAAATAATTTTACCCCTTTCTCAACACCTATTCCATCAGTCGGTGCCACAGTAGATTCTCTTCTTTTTCTAACCAAAATCATTTTCTTCTTTGTTCTAGGGGTTTGTGGCTTAATTAAATTTTCATTATTATTATCCAATTCCATTTTTTCTTCTTCTTTTTTATTTTTACAATGTCCATTTTGTTTATTTTCTTTTTTATTTTGATGATCAATTTCCATTTTTTCTTCAAATTTTATTTTTTCTTCTTCATTTTCTGTTGTTTTTACTTTACTAACTTTTCTTTTAACAAGTTTTTTCCGTTTTTCTGTTGTTGTATGGGATCTTTCTCTTTCATATGGATTTAAATCATCCGCGACATACTAAAAATAATTAAAAATTATATTTTTAAAACTGAGATTAATCTTTTAATGTTATCACAGGTCTGAGGCTACTAATGGTATTGTACCATAGCTAATTCGATTGGGCTCAAACCTATCTCTAGACAACGGGATAACAAAGTAAAAAATGAAGATCATGCGGGCCCTAGAATCTAAGATATGAATTTTTGAATAACTGTGGATCTTTTAAAGAACAAAGAATCTCAAGACAAATAGGGGAAGTTCAGAATCGCCCTCAGCCTCGAGGCCATATTTTGGGCCATAACTTTTTTAATTCGTAATTTATTTAAAAAATTATTATTCCAGTAAAAAGCTCTGGATGTGAGGATTAGTTTATCTCAGAGGATTAATTATATCAGATCATCCTATAGAAAGTTGCAGTCAGATAAAGAGCAAAAAACCACGATTGCGCGCACTTAACTACTTGTAACTTTTTGTAGGATAATCTGATCAACTCAATCCTGTTAGATAAAAGAATCCTTACATATAAAGCTTTCGATTGATAAAATAATTATTTAAACCGATTAGGAATGAAAAAAGTTATAGTCCAAAATGTGACCTCGAGACCGTGATTTTTCTCAGAAGAAAGTAAGACAAGAGAAATAGGCCCCCCAACCATCGACTAATATTTCCTTAGATATTTAAGACCCCCTCTCCCGCCCCCAATAATTTATTCTGATTCCAAATTACAAAAGAAAATAATCAACCACACCCAACCTTTCCTACCTCCTCCGCTCTCATCGCAACCTCTTCCCTCCAATTAATTGGAATCTTTCTATCAACTTTGGGTGATTTAACAATTAAATTATCTTCCTTCTTTAAAGGTATAGCTGCTACAGCAAATGTTAGTGGTTGTTGTTGTTCTTTATTTTTCCCTTCTTCTTCTTGTTTTTGTTGTTCCAATCTTTGTAACATTTTACTGACAAAAGAATTTTTAGGAGAAGCTTGTTGCTGTTGATGATTTTCCTCCTCTTGTTGTTGCTTAATTTTTGTAAGGGCATTTATTTGTTGTTTTGGGGTAACTTCTTCCAAATTTTGAGCTAACTTAATTACATTAATTCCAAAATTTTTTGTTGCTGGTTGGGGTGATTTATTTTTGGGTTGTTTTTGTTTTTCTTCTGTTTTTAATTTCTGATTTTTCTCTTCATTTAATCCAAATTTGAAAATTGATGATTTGCTTATTTTCTTTGGAAAAAATTTTTTTAATTTTAAATATTTCTTAAAAATAATTAGTGATCGGACCGTTCCGCAATATCGACGGCATTTTTCGGTATTTCGTATTGGTAATATGGTACGGAATAAGGTGCAGTAAAATTCTGAAGTTAATCGGTACTAATCAGAGGTGGGTCGAAATTCCGATTTCCGACGTTTTTTTCCTTCCGATTTCCGAAAAAAAATTTTGATTTCCGATTTCCGAGTTACGACTTTTGAGCCATTTCCGATTTCCGACAGTTCCGATTTCCGACAGTTCCGATTTCCGACACCTCTTACTGTTCCGACCCACTAATCGATATCGGGGTTTCTTCAGTATTATGGTACGAAATTCCAACCACTAAAATATTTTTTTCAGTACCTTAATATTCCCTCCTTCCCCCTCCTCTTCATTATCCTGTCGTTGTTTTTTAGTTGATGTATGTTCAGTACTTGATCTTGTTCTTTGCTGATCAACAGCACGTCTTGCTTCTGATTTACTCCTTTTCTTTGCCAAATCTTCTCCATTACGTTCCTTTTCTTTTCTAACTTTTCTACGAGTTGTTGAAGGAGTTTGTGGTTGTTGCTGTTGCTTTTCTTCCTTTTCTTTAACAATATTAATTTCCTCCTTTTGTTGTTGTCCATTTATTTCAGTTGCAGCTGCCGCTAGTCTTTCAGGCGTTTTTTCTGGTGTTGGTTCTACCCTCTTTTTAGTAAATGCTTTTAATAACATACTGCTTTCATCTTGACGTTCTGGACAACATTCAGCAACTGCTAACATATTCTACAAAAATAAAATTAGAATAAACCCCCCTCAATCCACAAACTAGAGACCGGCAAAATCGCGTTTGCGGGATCCCGCGGGATAAAATTTTTTAAAAAATCTTTGCGGGATGGGATGCCGCGGGATAAAATTTTTTTAAAAATCTTTGCGGGAAGGGATCCCGCGGGATAAAATTTTTTAAAAATCTTTGCGGGACGGGCTCCCTCGGGATAAAATTTTTTAAAAAATCTTTGCGGGACGGGATCCCGCGGGATAAAATTTTAAAAAAAATCTTTGCGGGACGGGATCCTGCGGGATAAAATTTTTAAAAAAATCTTTGCGGGACGGGATCCCGCGGGATAAAATTTTTAAAAAAATCTTTGCGGGACGGGATCCCACGGGATAAATCCCGCAAATCGAAAAAAGTGCGGGATTGCGGGAGCGGTACATAAAACACCACAAAAACAAACAAAATACCTTAACATAATCAATTCCATGACTACTCTTATTTTGCTGCAAAGTCCTCAACATTCTCATAACCGAATTAACAAATAGTACACCAAAAACTAGCCGCCTAAATTTTTTATTTTTCACATAGCTACGCAATTTTTCAACTGCCAAAGGTTTTTGTTGTTCATAAGGTAATAATGCTGGACTTATTGCACGACTAGCTGCTCCAGCTAATGCTGCTCTTTCTCTGTTTTTAAGTAACCAACAATGCCTGAGACATTCATCTGGAAGAATTCTTTTTCTGAAAAAAATTAAAAAAAATTTTTAAAATTTTTTTAGAAATAACTCAACTCTTTTTCAACAATTAAAAGACGAGAAATGAAATCTTTTGCATCATCAGATATCCCATTTTCTCTAAATTCTTCACAAAACATCCATCGTCCTTTTTCTACATTACAATAGGTATGTGCTAATGTTTCACCGAGGAACGGAGATTGACCCGAAAGGCTGAAAAAAAATTAAAAAAAAATTTTTTTGACAATAAATGCTCAAAATCCCGGCTCCAATTAAAGCCTATATTTAATACAAGCCCCTCCTCCTCCCACAAGTAGGCTGATCGAAAAAAAGTTAACTTCTATTACAAGTCCATTTTATAGAAGCCCTCTAAAATAATGCGTTGAAAAATACAAATCCAGGCTCTAATTAGAGAAATAATTTTTAAAATCCGAGGAAAGGAGATTGACCCGAAAGGCTGAAAAAAAATTTTTTTTTGACAATAAATGCTCTAAGGCCCGGCTCTATTAGAATCTAATAATAACATGATCTTAATGCGGGACTACCCAAGGAGGTCCATCGAAAAATAAAGGGCGGGGGATCATAGTGTACAGGCCGTTTGTGTACCTGGCCATATTTTGGGCCATAACTTTTTCAATTCTTAATTGAGTTAAATAAATAATATGTCAATTGAAAGCCCTGGATGTGAGGATTATTTTCGCCAACAGAATTGATTTGATCAGATCATCATACAAAAAGTTACAGACAGATAAAGATCAAAATCACGATTAAGCGCATTTATCGAGATATAACTTTTTATAACATGATCTGATCAAATCAATCCTGTTGGCGAAAATAATCCTCACATCCAGGGCTTTTGATTGATATAATAATAATTTAAGTCGGTTAAGAATCAAAAAAGTTATAGCCCAAAATATGGCCAGGTACACAAACGGTCGGTACACAAGTGGGACGTTCCGATAAATAAACGCCAATTATCTAATAGAAGCCCAGTGAAATTCCCCATTGAAAAATAGAAGTCCCGGCCTCTAATTAGATCAATAATTTTTTAAAATAATATAGGTTAATAATTTAAAAATCTAATAATTAAGAAAAATAGATAAACTCACAGTATGTAAGCAATAACGCCTAGAGACCTTAAAAATATAAAAAATATATATTTAATTTTAAGTAAAATTGATCAACTTAATTTTAAAATTTAAAAGTTAATTTTTCCCGGAAATTTATTTATAATTAAAAATAAAAGCATTACCACATATCCGTGTGAAAATCTAGAGGCTCATATTTAATCACTTCTGGAGCGGCAAACTAGGAATTAAAAAAAAAATTTTTTTTGATAAAAATAAAAAATTAATTATTCACCTCTGGAGTTCCAGCCATAAACATTAAATCTTTGCTACCATCATACCTTTAAAAAAATTTAAAAAAATTTTAAATAAAAAATTTTTTTTATTCACCATTGTGCAAGCCCAAAATCTATAAGTTTAATTTTGTTAGATGTTTGCGAGACACACATAATATTTTCTGGTTTAAGATCCAAGTGAATAATGTTTTGACTGTGAATGTAGCGAATTGCCTTTAATTGAAAAATTTTTTAAAAAATTTTTTTGAAATTTTTTTTTTGGTGAAAAATATTTTTAAAAATTTTTTTGGAAAATTTTTGAGAATTTTTTAGAAAATTTTTTTCGAAATTTTTCTTTGAAATTTTTTTTTTGAAATTTTTTTGAAATTTTTTTTGAATTTTTTGAAATTTTTTTCGAAATTTTTCTTTGAAAATTTTTTAGAAAATTTTTTTCGAAATTTTTCTTTGAAATTTTTTTTTTGAAATTTTTTTGAAATTTTTTTTGAATTTTTTGAAATTTTTTTCGAAATTTTTCTTTGAAAATTTTTTTGAAAATTTTTTTAATTTTTCTGGAAAAATTTTTTTCAAAAATTCACCTCACAAATTTGAAACATTATTAGAGCTACAGCCATTTCTGTTAAAATATAGCTATCATCAGCTACACGGTCAAACAGTTCACCACCTTGTACAATTTCCATTATAAGAATTACATCATTTGAATCAGTTGCGAATGCATCATATATTTGGGCTATACATTTGTGCCTCATCTAAATTAAACAAAAAATAAAATTTTTCCCAAATATTTTTTTTACTTGTGTCATTATATTAACTTCCTTCTCGACCTTCTCAAAATCGGTATCTTTTCGAATTTTGATACATTTAGCAGCCAAAGTTAGTCCAGTTGCTTTTTCAATGCATCTATAAACTTTTCCAAATTTTCCTTCGCCAATCTCCTCGTAGAGTGTCTAAAAATAAAAAGGGATAATGAGAATATTCTTTTTAATGGCAAGCGGACATATTGGAATATTTCAGCTTATGAACAGTTACCCTACTGATTTCGGGACCTACGCCCACTGGGTCTTCGAACCAGGAATCAAGTCCCGAAATCTCTTCGTAGAGTGTCTGAAAAAATAAAAGGGGATGATTAAGAATATCCTTTAATGAAATGCGGACATATTGGGATATTTCAATTTATGAACAGTTACCAAGCTGATTTCAGGACCTACGGCCACTGGGTCTTAGAATCAAAAAACTGGTCCCGAAATAAAGCAACTGGCCCTATTGAAGAAAAGTTTTCATGTTTTAGAGCTAAACACGCAAGATGTTATTTTTCCCACATCAATCCCTATAGTCCTTCTTGATATGCCCGTCCACACATTAAATGATCAAACATTTTTCTTACATAGTAATCAGAGAACTTTTCCCCCTTCCGAATTTTAACTCCATCTTTCAAGGGAAATGGTCTAATCCAATCTTCATCATAATGATCTAATTCATCCACACGAATTGGTTGTGAAGTGCTAGGCTCATCAGAAGCTGCACTCAATGCCAAAGATTCTGATAACGCGCTACCATTGCGTAGAACCATAATAAATGTTCTAAAAATTTTTTTAAAAATTAATTTTTACTGCGAAAATGCAAGAAAATGTGGTTTTATTAAAGTGTAAAAATCTACCATAAATGCTCTAATTAAAGCCGGATATATTAAAAGCCCATATATAATAAAAGCTCACCCCAGGAGGCCCATCTAAAAATAAACATCAACTCTCTAATAAAAGCCCACTGAAAAACAAAAAACAATGAAAATCCCATTGAAAAAATCCCATGAATACCCCTTTGAAAAATAGAAGACTAAGGCTTTAATTAGAGCATTTACGGTATATTAGGTAGGTGTTTTGGCTGGGTATATTTTAATATTTTGAACTTTGTATTAAAATTAAAAATCCCAAAACATTAGGGTAAAAAAAAAAATAAAAAAATATCCTTAAAAAATTTTAAAAAATGCACTAATTATTAGCCATGACATTAATCAATAATCTCGTCATTTCGTTCAATTTTTATAATAAAGCAAAAACTGAAAAAAATTTTTGTTTGCCCCAAAAATCAAGGCAGAAGCTGCCGTCTTTTCTTATAAATAAACTTGTGATCGACTAGAAAATGAATGAAAAGAATAACAGAAAAAGAAAGGCTGTGCTTGCTGATTTCCTCCCCTCACTTTCTCCCTCGTTTTTCGGATATATTAGATTTATATATTATTTTTATATATTAATCTCCCTTTGTTTTTTTCATTTTTAATATTAAAAAGTATAAGAAAATTGTTAGGAGTTGAAAAATAAATTTAGAAAATTAAAAATGTTAGAATTTTGGAAAAATATGTAAAGGAACCAAATAAATACATAAAAATATACATAAAAATGAAAATCAACTTATCGTAGCATAGGTAGTAGGGATTCATTGGTTGAGAAAAAAGACGAGTCAGAGTTCGGGCCGGGTTTTTAAAATTTTCTTCGGATCGGGTCGAAAAAAGTTCGGGGTTCGAATCGGAGTTTCGGATCGGGTCAGTTAGAAAGAGGGAATCGGATCAAGTTTCGGATCGGGGGTTGGAAAATTCCTCAGATCGGGGTTCGGGTAAGGCATATCCTTTAACTTGAATAATCTTACAGTTAAAAATATTATTTATGGAACGAAAATATTTGATCATTAATAATTTCAGTTCTAGGTGTTTTTGAACAATTTTTGTCAACCTTTTGAACAACTGGACATTTATAAAAGAAAATTCGATTTTTGATGGGACAAATGAAAAAATTGGAAATAAAAAAATATTAGTTAAGTAAAAGCATGGAAAGCGACAGATTACTTATATAATCCATATGCTTGGAGTGTCAAGAAAAATAATAAAGGTAAAAAAAGAGCTCTTTAAATTTTGAAAAAAGGAAGATTTTTTGGTGGAATGAAGGGTTAAATAGAAAATAGAAGAAAAGAGTTGGCGTGGAAGAATGGATATAGATAGAGCTAATATTTGTTTTTTTTGAGGTAGCTAATAAAAGAAAGTAAAAAAAAGAAGAAAAGAAAAAATATTTTAAAGAAAGAGAAAAGTGTTTTTCTTTGAAATGATCTATTCCCAGAGGAGAATTGATCAATCTCTGATCAGCCTCAGTCATGTCAAAAATGATAATTCAAAAAATTCACGATACTACTAAATCTAAATCCCATACTATTATTTAAATTAATTTTATACAAAAAGAAGCAAAAATTGCCAAGAAAGACCTTTGAGAATATTCAAAACCAACAGATTTATTGACTTAAAATCCCAGAGATTCAACTCAAGTTGATATAGATATTAGCAGATTAAAGTTGTTTGTGCAAGTTAAGCTTTATTTTACTTATCCAGTCTATTAGCTCACTTATCCCTCCCTATCTTCTCTTTTAATTTCTCTCTCACTAATAATACGTCATCTCAAAGTAGAGAGAGAAATAAGACGTTCCTTCAAAAACGGTTGCCACAAACTTAGAAAATGAGGTAAAAATAATTGAAAAATCTCGAGATCAAACAAAAAGAAAATGGAAAAAATGATTTTTTCTCCTGAAAAAAATTCTAAGATATCACCTAGTTAGCAAGCTTGAGATATTAAAATAGAACAAGAAAACTTTCAATTTTTGACCCTATTTTCCTTATCATTTTTAGCTTATCAAAAATAACTTTTTTTTCCTAAAAATGAGACTTTCTACTCCAATCAATTTATATACAAACATTTCTTTGCAAAATGTCCTCCTCCTCCTCTTCTTCAAAATTAACTACTATAAATACTTCAATCAACGAATTTCAATCTCCTACAAATTCTTTTCGAGATAACGAGCTAAAATGGAATGGATGGGGATATATTCACTCAAACTTTGAGCTTTCGCCAGAGAATGGGCATTTTTATATGAGAAGCAAAAAGTATTTTTTTGGAGAACTTGAGATACCGTAAATATTCTAATAAAAGCCCTGAGCGTTTATTCTTTAAAGGGTCTCATTGGGTGGGCTTCTAATGGGCTTCTATAAGAGATGGGCTTGTATTAGAATATTTACAATACACTAAAAACTTAAAAATCTTCCCTTAAGATATGCCGATTTGGACGGAAAACCACTCCCTGGACTTAGGCCTTGGGTAGAGAAAAATCTTGGAATTGATGTAGGACTTAGAACGCCGAGTATATCTATTCAATCACTTCAAATTCCATCTCCACTAATTTCAAATCCGCAATTTTTGGAATTTCTTCGACTTGAGGATATTTATTATTCGGATGCGCCATTGACTAGACTTGCACGTTCACATGGACAAACATTGGCAGAAATAATTTCTATTAGAACAGGAAAAATTGGACGAATTCCTGATTTGGTTATTTGGCCAAGAAATGAGAAACAAATTTTAAAAGTAAATTTTAAAGCAGAGAAATTAATGAGAAAAACATAATTATATCACAGATAATTGAAGGAGCTAAACAATTTGAAGCTTTATTAATTCCAATAGGAGGCGGAACTTGTGTTTCACAAGCATTATTATGCCCAGAAAATTCTCAAAAATTGATCTGTTCAATAGATATGGGAATGATGTCTTCAATATTAAATTTGGACGTAAAAAATATGACAGCAAAAGTACAAGCAGTAAGTGGAAAAATAAAAAGAAAAAATACAAAAAAATCCAGAGAAAAATTGAATTTTTAGGGAATTCTTGGACAGGATTTAGAGAAACAAGTAGGCGTCTAAAAAATTTTTTTGAAAATTTTTTGAAATTTTAAAGTTGAATGATAGAGGATTTACGTGTGGACATGAGCCCGATTCACTTGAATTTAGGTCAGAATTGTGTTAAAATGTTTAGAAAAATTTTTAATTAATATTTAGTACATTGGGCGGGTGGATTTCTGTAAGTTTCGAAAAAAAATTAGAGAAAATTTTTTAAAAATACAGACTCGCGCCTCAGGAATGAAAAAGAATAAATACGGCAATATTGAGGTAACTTAAAATGAGAAAAATTCAAAAAATAATTTTTAAAGGATTTAATACTTTCTGTGCGTATTTGCACCAGTCGCGGTATTTTACAACCTAGAAGGCTAGGACAAGTACCACGACTATCTTCGGGGCCCGATTTATTACAAATACTGCTTGGGTCTGAAGGACAAATGGGGGTGATAAGTGAGGCTACGATAAAAATATTTCCGATGCCAGAACAGCGCTGCTTTGGTGCTATAATATTTCCTGGTAAATTAATTTTACAAACGAGGATTATAAGAAATGAAAAAAATAAATTTTAAGATTTTGAGAGCGGTGTAAAATTTTTTAGAGCTGTTGCACTTAAAGTAACTTAACTACTTTTTCAAAAATAAAAAAAATATTTTCTAAAAGAGGTGGCAGCCTGCCTCCCTTAGACTAGTTGACAACGCACAATTTCAAATGGGACAAGCTATGCGCGTACAGGAAGGGTATATTACTAGTGCGATATGGCAATCATTGGCTAGAGTTTATATAACGAGATGGAAAGGGTTTAAAGTGAGGATTTTATGAATGAAAACATCGTGAATGCACTAATATAAGTCATGCCCTATAAGGCCAGTCTAATATGATCCGAGGCAAAGATACTAAAAATAGAAGCCCATGTCTCGTATTTGAGAATTAACGGTAAATTAGAATCCCAGAACGAGGACCCCCAAAAAATTTTAGATTTAAAATTTTTTAAATAAACCAGCCTGACCAAATGGTAGCCACAACATGCGTCTTTGAAGGTACCGCAGAAGAAGTCCAAACAGAAAGGCAGCGTCTTTTCACACTCGCTACTACATTTGGAGGTATTCGAGCACCAGATGAGAATGGGCAGTTCGGCTATCGGCTAACATTTGCAATAGCCTATCTTCGAGATTTGGCTTTAGATCTGAATGTTATTGGTAATTTAATTAAAAAATTCAAAAATAAACTTGTTTTCAACTGCAGGAGAGTCTTTTGAAACATCCGTCCCCTGGTCTAAGGTATTAAATTTGTGTAAAAACGTAAAGACGTTGCTAGTACATGAAGCACGTAAAAGAGGAATTGAACAACATATTCTTGCTACTTGCAGGTAAATTTTGAAATAAAATTCTCTAAAAAACCTGAAAAAATTTTTTCAATAAATTTTTAAGGCTCTTGTCCAGTTTATGCGTCCCATGAAAGTATATGCGTCCCATCAACAAAAAATTGGATCTTTCTTGTTGTTGCAAAGTAGGGGTATGGTTCCAAAGCATTTCTTCATGTTCGGGATCTACGTCCACTGGGTCTGGGACCGTTCCTTACCCTATCCTTCGAAATTTCTGAAGGTTATAGCCAATTTTTAAAAATTTCAGAAAAACGATTTTAACTTTCAGAAATTTCGAAGGATAGGGTAAGGAACGGTCCCAGACCCAGTGGACGTAGATCCCGAACATGAAGAAATGCTTTGGAACCATACCCCTACTTTGCAACACCAAGAAATATCCAATTTTTTGTTGATGGGACGCATATACTTTCATGGGACGCATAAACTGGACAAGAGCCATTTTTAAAAATTCCAAGGGTAACCCAAGTATATGACTCCGGTGTTTGCGTTTATTTTTATTACGCGTTTAATTATCGTGGAATGGATGTACTTAAAGCATTGGAGATATATGAACACATTGAGGTAATTTTCTAACAAAAAATAAAAAAATTATTTTAAAAAAAGTCCGCAGCCCGAGACGAAATTCTAGCATGTGGAGGAAGCATTTCCCACCACCACGGAATTGGAAAAATTCGAAAACGTTGGTTACCTACAACTATTGGGCCTTTGGGTGTTTCATTGATGGAATCTTTGCGTTCCCAACTTGATCCAGAAAATTTATTTAATAGTGGAAATCTTATTGAAAATTCCTCCTCTCAAACTCTTCAAATATTAAAAAATAAAATTGAAGAGAAGGAAAAAAGTAAATTGTAAAACCAAAAAATTGTTAACTTAAAAAGTAAAAGTATTGTTTTGAAATATATATCAAACAAATCAGTTATAAAAATGTTTAAAAAATTAATAGTAAAATATTTATAAAATTGTAGCGAGATTTTTTTTTGAAATTCGCAAAAATTTGATTTTTGATCAGATCAATTTTTATCAGACTAGGACACGGATACTGATTTTGGTATCCGTATCCGGATATTTACGGCGGATACAGACGGATATCCGCAGGCATTTTTATAATATATGTATCCATATCCGTATCTATGTCCTAGTCTGATTTTCATGGGTATTAAAAAATACCGGGGAAAACTTTTGACTTACTCGCAACTCTTGTCTTTTATTTTGATAAAATCCGGTCTTTCAGAATTTAACCACCTGAAACTCCGGCCCGGGTCAGGTTGAAAAAATACACATAGAGGCTCTGGCAATTCGAAGATGTCCTCTAATTTTGATTCAAGATTTCACCTTTTAGGAAAAATTTGGAAATAAAACAGAAAGAAGCGACTCAAATCAAAAGTTGTTCAAAATAAATATTAAAAATTTTAAAAAATAAATTAAATAAAAAAAAGTCCATAAGGCCGCATACTTTTGTCATCAAGTAAAAAGTTCATCAATTAAAAAGATCATTTGAAGCAATTTGATTGTAAGCTTTGATATGTGAAACGCCATTTTCATCTTTAGAAAGTCCATAAATATATTCCGGACGGCAAGCCATATATAAATGTTCGACCTAAAAAATTTTTGAAAAAATTTTTGAAAATTCAAAAAATTAAAAAAAGAAAACCAATCGTCGATCGTGTGTAATAACAATTAATTGAAGAGATTTTGAGTAAGCTGAAGCTGCTTGAGTACTTGTAGTAGCATTAGTACCATCCAATTGTCTTTTCACAGAACCAGAAATTGTTGATTCAGGCATTGTAATATCTTCTTCTGGTACTGCTCCAGCACCTCGTCCTGTTGGCTCTTCAAAATCAGCATCATCACTATCATATATTCCTCGTACACCAATTGCGCTATCTGTTGGTGGTTTTTGAACTTCTATTAAATTCTTTAACATTGTTCCAATATTTTCCACCTTAATAATTTTTCAGTTCGAATTATTCGAAAAACTTGAAAAAAACCTTATCAGCATCTAAATTAGTTGTTGGCTCATCTACAAATGAAAATTGAAAATCAAAACGAAAAATAAAATTTAAAAGAAACCAAGAGCCAAAATTCTACAATTTCCAGCAAATACATCAGCCAAAGCAATTCGAATTAAAATTGAAGCCAAAACTTTTTGTCCAGCACTGCATCTATCACGCATGTCAACATCAGTTTGATCAACAGTCATAACAACACTAATTAAAAAAATTTTTAAATAAAAATCAAAACTAAAACAAACCTATAATCATAAGACTTTTTCTTTTCAGCAGAGCCAACAGTTTGTGATTTTATTTTAATCGTTTCAATATCATTCCCTTGATATACACGTGCCCAAAGTTCAGACAAAATTGAATTAATTTGTTCCATTTTGTGTTGATGAAATTCAATAATTGAATCGTCAACAGTTTTGTAATATCGATCAAGATCCTTAAAAAAAATTTTCGATTGACATAATGAAATCCGAAGCGCGCCGCTCTACCAAACGCCGAAATACCAAACCCATAAAAACTGCCAAAATACCAAGCCATGGAAAAGATAGGTCGACAAAGGTAAATCAACGTGTAAAATTGTTAAAAATCCACATTTTAGTATTTCGGCATGTTTTAGAGAGTTTGTTAAATAAAAACTGCCAAAATGCCAAAAACTGCCAAAATACCAAACCATGGAAAAATATAAACATATATAGAGGTTTTTCCAATTACATAGAAAAGGTTGTTCAACAAAAAAATGTTGCTCATGTCAGCCAAAGCGGAAGATCGTTAACAATCCCCATTATACTATTTCAACATGTCTTAGGGAGTTTGGTATTTCGATCTCTTTGGTAGCCCCATATCATTGAGATTATATTAGAAAAAACCCCCATACTTCAATAGCCTCTAAAGTAACTTGTCGTTCAACCATTTTACCAATATAAAGTTTTTTTGCATCCACATAACGAGTTTCAGATAATTGTCTCTTCAAATCTTCAATTTTCTTTCTCAATTGTAATTGTTCTCCATTCTTTTCATGAATTTTATTGTTAATCTCAACAGCACGTTGACTAAGTCTGTTCTCCTTAAAAATTTTTTTAAAAATTTTATTCAAATATAAAAAAACCTTCGTTCTAGTTTCAGTTAAACTTTCAATTCCTTCGATCATTGCACTTTCTTTTGCTTCTCTTAATTCTCTTTGCAACATGTCAATCTATAAGAGAGGAAAAATTTTTATCATACTAAGGCTATGAAAAACAGGCAAATCTGGTATTTTGAGTCCCTTGCATTTTCCATTCCAGCATAAACATAAAAACATAAACAAGAATGAGTAAATAAAGGCCCGAGGAAACAATATAAAAAGGGATCCAACTACCAATTTTGTTTGCTTTTCCTAGCCTCAAACATTACAAAAAAATAAATAAACCTCTTTCTGAATATCCATTCTCGACAATTGCTCCTGTAAACGTTTTAATTCATACTTTCTATTTTCAACACCGCTCAATTGAGTTTCTAATTTACGTCGTTGATCTAATAATCCATCAATTTCACGCCTCTTTTCTTCCATCTAAAATTTAAATTTAAAAAATAAATATTAAGCAAGGGCTTAGCCAGGGGATCAATTTCAAGGTCCTGAGGAACCCTGACTACGCCCTTGATATTAAGAAAAAAAATACTTTTTCTCTATAATCATCTGTTGAATCAGTTGAATCACGATCTCTTTCATTCAAATTTTTCATATCATTTATTTTTGAAATTGCAAGATCAATAGAATCAACAACCATTTGAGCATCTCGTTCCTTAGTACAAATTTCTTTTAAAATTTTGGTCCTTTCCCCTTCAAGTTTTGAAATTTCTTTTTCTAAACCAGGCAAATGTTGATTTGCAGAAGCAAGTAGTGATTCAACTTCTTTAAGTTTTTCTTTATTTTGATCCAACTTTTGTTTCATAGATTCAACTTGAACAACTTTTTCTCCAGCCAAAGCTTTTCTATCTTTAAATTCCATTAACTGAAAAAAATATTTATTTTAGTCAGAAAAATCTCGACCTAAAAACTTTGTGAATCCCCCCTCCCCCACGACTTGTTTAAGTCCCAATTTTACTTTTATTTTTTCGTTCTTTCCCTCATTTATTTTCCTCAAATACGCGAGATTTTTTTCTTTATCTTTCTCAAAAACTGACCGTTATGTACATCTTAAAAAACCAGGAGATTAAAGAGGGGGGCTATCCATAAAGTACCACACCCTATGTATTATCAAACATATTTCTACCAGGGAAGCTATTCAGAAAGTAGCCGACTTGTGTATTACAAAACATTAATTACCTGATTTGTAATTTGCACTCGTTTTTTCAAAACAGTAATATGGCTAGAGACAGTTTCCAATTTACCATTCATTCGCTCCAAAACAGCTGTTGACATTTCTCTAGCATCATCAATAGAAGTACCAGCACCTAATTCCATCAAATCCATTCGAAGAACATTCAAAGCACTCTGCATCTCTTGAAGATTATCCCAAATATCATCTAGCAATTTGAAATCACCAAGTGATTGTAATTGAGTCTCCCATTTGACAATTTCTTGAGAAAGTTTGACAACTCTAAAAGCAATTTTTTCAAATTTTGTTTTAAAGGCTCAAAAATTTACGCATTTGAAGCATTTTCTGCATTCTTAAATTCTCTTTCAGCGATACAAATTTGCTGAGAAAGTTTGTAAAATTCTTGTCGTTTTGACTGGCTTTCGCTTTTGTATTCAGCCAATTGAATACGCAAGTTTTCAATATTATCAGATAATTCATCTGCACGTGCAGATTCAAGTTTCTAAAATTTAAAAATTAATTTTTGAAGGGTTTTACTAATGTAAGGTTAGACGACCCTGACCCATCGAAGTCGAAAAGTTCCGAGTCGTGGTTGGGGTCGAGTCCGACAAAATCAATCGGGTATCACGATCAGACGTGGCCAGGGTCCAACCCTAGTTTTTAAAACTCACAATCGATTCAGCCGATTTCGCCATTGTAGCATCAGCCTGAGCTTTAAGTTTGTCAATAAAGGTTGGTCCTACTAAAAAATTATTTTAAATATTAAAAAAGAAAAAAAAATTTACATGGAATCTGGTATTTTTCAGAAAGTTGATTCAAAAAAGTCAAATATTCATCCTCCCGATTTTTCATGACCTTAAATCAATAAAATTATTTTTTAAAAATAATTAAAAACCATTTGTTTAGAATCATATTCAATCATTCTTTCACGGTAATATTCTTCTTCTTTTTTCAAATCAGCAATTTTCTTCGCAAAGGTTGAGATATTACGAACAATACTCATTCTATTAGCTTCAGCTTCAAGTATTTCACTAGAATGGCTTAGCTAAAAAAATTTTTTTTTAATTTTTCTCTCAATTTTCAAATAAAACAAACATCATTAATAGCAATTAACAATTGTTCACGTGTTCCAGGATAATTACTTTCAGTAAGAAATTCTTCCATATAACGTTGATGTGTATTTATCTTTCCTTTAATCACCTCTAAAAATTTTTTCCCTTTATAATTTTTTAAAAATAAATTAATAACCAAATTTATGTGATGCCTCAACAGCTTTTTCCAATTTTTCTCGAGTTACAACTAATTCTGCTTCAACAACTTTCTTTTCTTCCAACAAATTGTCAATTATTACTCGATTTTGTTTTAATGTTGTACGGCTCGTGTCATAATTCATAGTTAACTTGAAAAATAGAAAAAATAAATTTTTTAATCTAATTTAGCTCATACCTCAGCTCTAGAACGCAAATTACTTTCCAAATGAGGAAGTTCTTTGTCAATTAACTGAATTTGCAGGTTCTAAAAAATATTAGAAACTGAACAATATCCAAGAAAAATTCAAAAAATACCAATTCTTTAATATTCCTTTTGATTGCATCCAAAGCCTTTACATATTTTGTAACTTCGAAAATTGCATCAAAACGTTGTTTTAATTCTTTTGGTTCAGAAAGAGGCCTAAACAAAAAAAATATTCAATTTTTATTTAGCAGGCCTGATAAATAGAGAGGGATTTATATTTAAATAGATCAATGAGTGTCTCAGACTGACCATTGCCTTTCCTTTTTTATCGGCCCTATCACATCATTTCTGCCTCCTATATCTGCCTCCTATGTCACTCAGACAAGGCCGGTTCCTGGCCACGGTCGTTTCTGAGCCTTATTTCAAAATATGTAAACCGCCCGCTATAAATAAAACTTACCAATTTGATTCTTCTTGATGACAGAATAGAACAAATTCAAGAATTGCTTTAGGCACTCCAATTAAATTAAGCATCTTAAAAATAAATCAAATAATTTTAATTCTTAAAAAAGTCAACCTCTTTATTGAAATCACCAATTTTTGAAGAAAGTGACTTTGGATTACCAAACTTGTCAACAATTTTAAGATTAAATTCATCAGATTTCGTAGTCAATTTACCCTATAAAATGAAAAGTCAAGGAAAAATATTTTTAAATGTTAAGCTTACTCCACGTACAACGCTCGCATTCAATCGCTTGGTTGCCGTACAAGTATTGCCTTTAATGTCCTTGAAGATAAGTTGAACCAAAGCATCAACTCTTGGTTTGTTTGCGATCTAATTAAGAGTGGAATGAATTTGAAACTTCAACCAAACCTGATTATTGTGAATAAATGTTGGCATTTTCCCTGCTGGCAAGGCACCTGTCGTAATGTAATTTAAGGCTTCAATGACCGTCTAAACAAAAACATAGAAATTAAATTAATTTTTTAAATAAATCAAACCGTCTTTCCCGTCCCATTAGGCCCTTGAATTATAGTTAACGGAGTCAAGAAATTAATGCACTGCGGCGAATCACCAATACTTCGAATTCCTTGAATTTTAAGTCCAATAAACTTTACCATTATCTCCTCAAAGTAGAAATATTTTAATAAAAAATGTGAAAAGGTATTATTAAGCCTATCGACTTTTTTAAAAAAATTTAAAACATTTGCAATCAAAAATAATTTTATAGCAAAATGAAGAAAAAACGAATAAAATACAACAAGTCATAAATTTTCAAACTGGAAAAATATATTTATAAAACTTATAGTATTTTTTTATAACTTTCAATGCACACTCACATCAGACTCTGAGATCCGAAACAATTCTAAAAAAACATGCAAAAAAATATTCAAGCCTGGCAAAATTTTTGAGGAGAAAAAAATGATGGATATATAGAGAAAAAGGAAGATAAACAAAAAAATGAAAATAAATCATAATTGGAAAGGTCACAATGACGCCGACCAACGAGAACCTCTCAAAATCCTCTTGCAAATCAAATGACCTTTCCAATTAATTACAACAAGGGATATGAAGTTTTTCTTTGTAAAAATGGAAAAATATAGAATATACATTTTTATATGTTTGTTTGTTGAGTAAAGCAAAAAAAAGAATCTCTGGATGCAAAAAATGAATTTTATGATATACCTTCTTTTAGAGACACAAAAACATCTACCAATCCATATCTCTCAACCACGACTACCAACACTGTTATTGTTTAGATTGTCATGTACTCGAACAGCCTTAAAGTATTTATTGTAGCATTATAGGTAGGTATTTACACCTAAAATAGTAATACATATGTTAAAATTAAAATTCTTTTGGCTTGTCTAAATTAGAGGTTGGTAAAATCGGATTACAGGGATCCCGTAACGGAATTGAGTTCAAAAAGGTCAAAAAGAAGGGATCTTATAAAATAGTCTAGTACAACCCAGAATCCCTTTGTCGCTTAAATTCCGGGGTTCTGGTACAGAAACCCGTACAATTCAATTCGAATCCATCCCGTGCCGACCTCTAGCTTAAATCACCCAAAAATAAGCTCCTAACTTACATAAAAGATCTCGTTTGAATTAAGAAATAAAGGACAAACCTCCGTAAATTTAAGCGGTCTAGTACTCCTTGACATTTCATTTTCAGTAAGTAAAGACGTTGTTGTTGTATTAGTATAAATTGTAGAATTTCCTCTACTACATTCAGAAATACTTGTCATTACTCCATTTGGTGATGCTTCATTTTTAATTGATAACATTCCATGAAAAGAATTCCTTTTTGTTGGACTGCTGTTGTTCCTTCTATTGCTTCTGACATTCTTTAAATCCGCTTTGCAAAGACCTTTGATATTTCCACCGCCAAGTAATGATTGCGTAGCTGAATTTTCTGAACTTGAAAGGCGAACATGTGGAACATCCTTGTAAGCTTCATGAAGACTACGTTCATAGGCCGAGAGAGGTAACTGAAAATCAATATCAGTCAAAAGCGTTTTCAAGGTCTAAAAGCCTCAAGTTTGGCACAGATCCCACCTTATGCTAGCACCCATGAAATCTGACCCTGATCCTTGGGGGTACAACCCGATGTACCGCGAGCCCAATGTACAGCCAAGCTATAACTTTCTTCAAAATTGTCGAATCCGTGGCGCCCTGGTATTGTTCGATTCAGCTGGACGAGCCGCCTCGAAACATACTAGGGCGTCCCAGATTCGACAATTCTGAAAAGTTATAGCTCGGAGGTACATTGAACTCGCGGACAATGGCCTGCTCACATCCTTGATATATAAAACCCCAAAAAATTTCAAAACAAACTTCACAATCAACATTAGCCGAATTATTGTTGACTTTCACTTCCAACTTCTTTTGATTTTCTTCTTCCTCTTCATCCGCATTGAATAAATTGCACCTAGAATCGTCTTCTCTTGAGTCAGCAATCATTCTTACACGATTTAAAGAATTTGCCGATTTAAATCCAACCCCTGAGACTGCTGTACCAATAGAGACCGCGCTGTCTTCACCAACACCTCTCTTCAACTAAATTATTTTAAAATTATTTTTCTAAAAATAAGCCTGACTTACCCTGATTTGACCATCCTTTTGATTGTCGCATTCCGGCACATACACAATAACTGCTTCTCTAGGTACCCTTTGATTTTTCTTGTTAGGTCTTTCATAACTGCTAATTGAAGAAAAATCTATTTGAATATTAAATTAAAAAATACGTTGGAAATTGACTGGAGCATAAAGAATGACACAAATTTCCACAACATCCGACTGTGAACGGATTCAGTCCAGCACGGAATTTATTCGTTACCTTAAAGGAAAACTGAGTTGAAAAACAATAAACTAAAAAAACCTGTTCATTTGTTGTCCTCGCTCTCAAAACCAGAACGATGTGAAAGCAAGTCAACCCAATAACAGGGACAGCAAGTAAAGTACAAATTGACATCAATACAATTGAGCAAAGATTTGGTCTTGTGAGAATATCCCGACGACTTAAAAGTGTGTAGCTTAATGAGAGGCTAAACACACAAATCATATGCCAGCTGAGGAAGAAAAGGAACAAGAAAAAGTTGCGATAATTTCGTCGACCAATACAATTGTGGACCCAAGGGCAGTGGTGATCGAAGCAATCGATGCATCTGAAAAGAAAAAATCGGTAGTTTTTGAGATTTGCGGACAAATCTTGCGGACTTTCCCAAACTAAAGAATCATTACCTGTTACAAACTGAACAATGTGAAGAACGCGGAGGCCTGTAGAATTTACAAGTAACGCACCATTTCATTCTAACTGTTATTCCGTTTATCTCAACACTCTTATAAAGAGGCGAACGGAAATCGTCCAAATTGGCTACTTCAGAAGAGGTTGCTACAAATTATTTTAGATAAAATTGAACGACAATGCTTATGTTAATTTCGCACGCCATCCCCTTTTTCTTCCATAAAATACTAAAAACAAGTATTTAAAAAATTCAGACTCTGGACCGGGCTCGAACCCATGACCTACAGAAATTCTGACCATTTTGGGTACCTAGAAAAAAAAGAGAAGAGGTACTAAAGTGGGAGGGGTATGAATATTTTTAGTTGTTTTGACCATTTTAGTACTTTTGAGGAAGTAAAAAAGGAGGGGATACGAAATTGAATATAAAAAATGAACTGAGAAAAGTAAACGAACCGATTGGATGAGTACCTTAAAATTTAAAGTATAAAGACTAAAACTGATATAATCAAACAAACCAGGATCCATTGTCGTCGCCATAAACAAATTTGAAATACAAAAAGCAAAGAGAACAAAATCTATCGCACAAAAAAGATAACCAAACGTTCCAAGCTTGATGATTAACGCCGGAACGAGAATATAGAAAAACGCCGCTGAGCAGCCAACAATTAAAGACCAAGTTAAAATGGCCGGTAAGGCGTGTGATAAACTCCTAGAAAAAGAAAATTTTAAAGTAGAATAAAAAAGGGGACGAATACCTGCAGAAATTTTTCATTCGTAGCAATCAATAGGCTTTACTTTAATCAACAAAGAAGAAATCAGTAGAAAATTGTATTAAGTATAAAATTGGATTAATGTAACTAGACAAAAAAATTGAAAAAAATTACGCCCCTTTAAACAGAAAAAACCCGAACCCTAACAAAAAATTTCAGACAAAAATCCGAAAAAAATTTCCAAGGTCAAATACTTTTTGTAGCCAACTTTTTCATCGCCTTGACTTTATTATCGGCCATTTCACCGCCACTGTTTTATCGCCGCTGTCAACTTTATACTAAAAACGATTTTGCGTGATTTTACGTTTCTCGCCTCGCTCAAAGGTATAAATTTATGCAAATCTTTTTTCAGTAAATTTTTTTAAAAATGAGTAATTGCTGCAATAAAATCATTTTTTTCTTTCTATACATTTTATTGTTTTTTGTAAAATTAAACAACAATGGAGTCAACTTATGCCCATTCTACCACTACGATTACTGCTACACGTTTAGGTGCCAATTTGCGAAATATGTTCATCAATGTTATTAATCATCGCGAGGTAGAGTTTAAAAGCATTGTATAAGGGTTAGTAAAAGCTTAGGACATGATAGGGATAGAAACTGTGGGGTCAGCCCTGAATGCCTTTCCGAAAGTCCCTGGACCATGGGTCTAAAACAGAGATCGGCCTGGGTTTTTCCTGTACCCAGAGTCCAGGCAAGACATTTTTTCACCTTCCTGGGTTTTTACTGGATAAATAAATCAAACCCAGGAACAGGCCCAGGCTTTTCAAAAACACCGATCTCTAAAACAGGGATGGGTCGGTTTATTTGATATCCTACCTGACTTCTTTCTCAACCAGGTCCATCCCTGATCTAAAATGCAGAACCGGGTACTTATAAAGAGATTGTAGGCCTTCAAGATCAATAGGTATTGAGGTTGTAGGATTTCAGGAGTGGACTCGAAACTGGAATCGCCCTCTGGCAGTGACTGTGTCCCTTTTTGAAAATTAGGTCTAAAAACCTTTTTAAAGACCAACTTTATAATCACTTCATTTATCATTTTTGCGGCTCTATATGCTTCCTTGACAGCAATATTTGAGAGATCTTTACTTCATCCTTTAACAATTACTCGACAAAAACAACAAATAGTTTACCACCCTCAATTGGCATTAACTCCTCAAGTAAGCAACCACACTTTGGAAGAGAAAACTCATTTTGAAACCTTTCCATTTTCTTCGCCTTTTAGGCAATGTCGTCGACCTAACTCGTATTTTTCTTTTTAATTTTTTTGCTACTTTTCCGTTATACCTATGCCCACAAATTTTTTTCAGCGAGGATTCAGTTGATCGTAATTATGCCCAGAATCATTGAATCACATTAGTTTTAGTGTCGTTCGCCTCAGATCCACTAGCCCTTCCCAATGAGCTGTTATTTGTAACATAACTAATTTTTGACCCCAAAAATCGGCTTTCTCCTCCCTATGGTTTTTCGACCTCTATCTCGGTCCGCAGAAATTTTCGATTATATAGTGATACCTTCCGACTTACGCAGACGAGACGAATCTGCGGGCCGAGCTAGGGATACCTAAATCAAAAAACTTTGGAACCTGCCACTGGCTAAAGTACTGTCAAAGAATTAGCGGCCGTATAGGTAACGGAAAAGTACCTTCCCTTAAATTTCTTATTTTTAAAAATTAAATAATTTTTCTTCCCCATTTTTGGAACCAAAATTTGCCTGCTTCAACATTTACAACCACTTCATATTTAATTTTATCAATATTCCTTTTATTGGCACTTTCATTGTGTATCGGCAGAATTTTAAATAAAATATGCCTCCCCTCCCTTGCTGGCCCTTTAATTGTTGGGTGTTTAATTGCCAATTTTGGACAAATTAGGGAAGTGTTGACTCTACCAAATTCGAATAATGGAGGGACTTTAATTGTTGAAATTGCTTTTCTTGTTGTAATTATTCGAGCAATGTTGGGAATTAATTCGTCTTCTCTTTTGCATAATTTGGTGGGTATTTTAAAAAATTTTTTAAAATTCTTAAAAAGGTTCAGGTTTATTTTTTTTTAATTTTCAAAAAAATTTTTTTTAATTTAGAAAAAATTTCTGGAAGATTTTTCAAAAGAAAAATTCAAAAAAAAATTAAAAAATTTTTCAAAAAAAATCTGAAAAATTTACAAAAAAATTTGTAAAATTTTTAAGCTGAAGAAATTTAAATTTTCAAAAAATTTTTTCCGTATTTTTTAAAATTTTTTTTTGAAAAATTATCAAAATTTTTTTCCGGTTTTTTTAGAACCTTCAAAAATTTTTTCAAAAAATCCAAAAAAAATTCAAAAAATTTTTTTTGGATTTTTAAAAAATTTGGAGAATTAAAAAACAATTTTTTTAATTGTGAAAAATTTTCAAAAAAAATTTTTTTTAATTCCAAAAAATTTTTAAAAAAATTCTCAAAAACCCCTAAACTTAAAAATTTTATTTTTCAGTCACTCATTTGCTTGTTAGGCATTCTCTGCCCTCTAATTGAATGTTTAATTGTTTTACTGGCCGCTACACTTTTATTTAAAATTAATTTATCAATTGCTATACTTTTTGGGTTTTTTTAAATTTAAAAATTTCAAAAAAAAAAATTTAAAGTTTTGCAATTTCTGCCTCTTCTCCTCCAGTTATTGTACCAACAATTAAACGTTTGGAAGAAAAACAATTTACAAATAATGACGATTCTGGAATTCCAACAATTATTTTATTCAGGTTTTTTTGAGTTAAGGGGATCGAGACAGGGATAAGGGGATCAAAGATTTTTAAGTTTTACTAAATTCTTAGTGCCTGACGTCTCGAATTCTAGATCCCCTTTAATCCCTCTTGCCTTCTATTGGTCTCTCTTGATCCCTGATCAGTCTCAGCTTACTTGATCCTCTATTCTCTCGATATCTCATATCCTCTCGATATTAAAGAAAAATTTTTTATCAGTCTCGACTCTCCTTGATCCCCTTAATCCTCTCTCGATCCCTCTTAATCCCTATTGACCCTCAAGCTAAATTTTTTAAAAAAATTTTTATAGCACTATTTTGGATAATATTTTTGCGCTAGCTGGTTTTGGTATTGCTTTTGAAGCGATGACAACAAAATATGGTATAATTAAAAATATTAATGGGAAAGTGTGAGGAAATGTGATGGGGAATAGGATGAAGTTTTCCCGCTTTTTCTTGGAAGAGAAAACGGAAGAAAAATTCTTCTGGGACTGACAATGGGAAGAATTTGTTCATTTCCTCTCTCTAAAAAATTTTTTTGTAGCTCATCAAAAGGGTGAGAAAGGGAAGGAATCATCCACCTAGATATAACCTTTGTGAATGAAAATAAAAAATAATGGGAGTGGGAGGATAGGAGAAAGATTGTGATTGAAGCGAGAATAGGAAATAAAATAAAGGGGTCATCAATTTTTATAATAAAATGCGATAATAAAAGGGTGAAAAAATGTCTAGGGGTTGGAAAAAATTTTAAAAAATTTTTTAAGCACAATCAGCCCCCCTCCATATTTCAGGATTAAAAAAATTTTTTCAGAGCCCTAGCTTCCTCTCTCCCCATTTTAAAAACAATTTTTTTTCAAATTTTTCAGAACAACTTTCCTACACTCTAAGTCGAATTCCAGGAGAGTTACTAATTGGTGCGATTATTGGAATTTCTGCCGGTTTTCTTCTTCGCTTTTTTCCTCGACCTGATGTCCATTTAGTTCATTTTACAAGAGTTTTGATTTTATTAAGTGTTGGTTCCGCCTTCCATTTTGGCGCTAGAGAGATTGGATGTGTAATTGCTGGGCCTACAGCTGTCTTGATTATGACTTTAGTTGCTGCTATAAATTGGCAGATTGATAACAGGAGAGGGGTATGGAATTTTCTACAGGTTTTTTAACTTAATTTTTTTAAATTTTAAAGACGAGGACTGAAGAAAACGGATTGAGACTTTTTTGGGAATTGATAGCTTCTCCTCTTCTTTTTCTTCTATTTGGATCTCTTCTTGATTTTACTTCAATTGTAAGTCTGGTACTTATGTCGTTTCCCTCCCCCAGTCAATTTTCTTTAAAATGTACATAATGGTCAGACTTTATTTTCCTTATAGCAAGACTGACTGAATAACGCTACAAGGGTAAATAAAGTGAATCCACGGAAGAAAAAAAAGTCTGACCATTTTGTACATTTTTGAAAAAAAGTTGGGTGGGGGAGGGAAACAACATAAGTACCTGTAAGTCTGAGGACGATAAAAATTTTTTCTTTTCAAGTTTTCCTCAGCAAAACTTCTCGATGCCTTCCTATTTTTACTTCTTTCCTTGTTAGTCCGCCTAGCTACAGGACTAGCCTGTACATTTTGTTGTTCAACAGGACAGAGAAGAACCCCTTCAGAACGCCTATTTATTTCATTAGCGATTTTACCTAAAGGAAGCTTACAATTAATTATTGCCCCAGCAATTTTATGTTTTCATATGAGGGGGACTGGAAGAGAAAGTGTTGAAAGTGGTGGGATTTTGCTTTCTCTAGAAACAATTTTATTGGCTCTCCTTTTTTGCTCTCCCATTGGAGAAATGTTACTTCGGTTTGTTTTATTTTTCTTTTAAATTTTATTTGGGATCAGCCCAGAAGGTCAACTCCATAGAGGTCAACGTCTAAGTGGTCAAACGGACATTGAGATAGATTTCCCTGCTCGGAGTTGTCCTCCAGGATCAGTTGACCTCTAGTGGGAGCGACTTCTAAGAACATTTGACCTTTAGGACGGTGACCTCGGGGGAGTTGACCTTCTGGGGTGACCCTTTTATTTTTAGTCTTCTCGGACCTCTACTTCTCCGTCGGAGGCTAATTCCAAATGCTTGTGTTGTGCCGTTGGGTGAACCATACAAAAAAGGAGGATTGATGGTTGCACATTCAGATCCATGGGATAATCGACTGAGGGTATTTTTTTAATTTTTTTGACATTTTTTGCTAAAATATTTTTTGAAAGCTCGAACTCGGACCTATCGACCCAGCAGATCCTCAAATTCACAAACACACTGCCTATCCATTGGAAGGGACAAATAAACTTGATAATGATTCAAAGCCTTAATTTTTGAGAATTTTAAACATTTTTAGAGATTTAAAATAAATGATTAAAAAGAGAATAAATTGATTGTTTCTCTTCCTATAATAGAATGAATTAATGAATCAAAAAATGGCTGACAAGGGAACATTTTGAACTGTAGCCAAAAATTTCACAATTTTTTTGCACCAACGTGTAGAGCAGGGTCGATAACCTATTGCCAATTTTTGGGTTTTTTGGCCCCGATCCCCAAATCGAAAAGTTATAGGACTTCAAAGTTAGTCCTCTTAAGTATACATATACTACACCAAATATTCTTGCGAGAAAACAGACAAGGGTTGACTTGGTGTAAAATCCATTCGAGAGTCATTTACAAGATTCGTTCCCTACAACGGTGACAATAGAAAGTGGTCTATATTTTGAGGCCTTTATTCCTGGTTGACAATACATGAGAGGGTGGGTGTACCTCCCCTCGTAGAATTATTTTAGTGAATCGCTCCTAAGACATTTTCTCGTCTTATTGTTAGGATAGTGGGCAGTTCCATCAAAATTTTTATTCTTTATTCATATATTTTAGAAAAACCCGCAAGAAAATATTAAAAAAATCTGTATACCTATTCTCCTTTATCCTTAAATTCTTCCAAATTAATTATACAATTATTCTCATTTTCTGGTTCAACTACCAACAATAATTCATTTCCAGCTTCCAACAATTTATCAATAAAAGCGTTAAAGTTTCCATTTATTTTTGTTGGAGCATCAAGTTTTGAGTCTAAATTGTAGTAAATGTTGTTTATTGATAAAACGGCAAACTAGGGAAGAGGAAAAAATTTTTTGTAAAAAATTAAAAAAAAAATACCCAATGTCTGCCTTTAAAAAATGGCAAGAGAGTGAACGGCGGTGAAGGTATGTTGAAAATATAGGCATAAATTAATTCGTGTTTAATGCGAGAAGCTGGTCTTAAATTGAAAAAAATTAGGTAATACCGAGCTTGCCTCCCTTTTTCCCTTCTAGTTGTAGAATGGTCAGAATTCCTCACTCTATTCCCTAAAAGATTTTACAGGAATAAGGCGGTCTTATATCAAATAGGAGTGGTGGTACACCCATCCAACGTTGGCATAGGTTGCTGAAGCTTGTGATTGCTAAAGTTGGTGACTCACGACATAGACTGCCCATTCAACGAAGAAAATTGTCTGACCATTCTGTACATATTAAAAAATAGATTGTGGACGGACTGGGGCCACATAAGTACCGAACATGCCACTGAAATAGTGGACTTGAGTAAGTCTGACCATTACACAACTAGCAGAGGACGGAAAAAAGGGAGTGGGGGCAAACCTCGTTATTACCAAAAATATAAAAAAATAAACTTTAAAAATTTACAATCTTTTGTCAAAATATCGTCCTGTAAAATCTCTAGATTGTAAGGCAATTAATAAAATATTTGCATCATAATTCCCCAAACCAATCCATGAACGGTGGGGATTGAAACATCTGCGGTCGTCAAGTCTAAAAAATTTTTGGATTAAATTTAAGAAGTCAAAAAAACCTTTCACAAATTTCGTCAAGCTCTTGTTGACTAAATTCTCTTCGTTGAAATAAATTATTCAAGGTGTGAAGCAGGCAAAGTTGTTTTCTTTGTTTTTCGTGATAAATTTGTTGTTTTTCTGAAGAAGAACAAGAAGGGTCGTGTCGCTTCATTTGTGAAGAAAATAGGCTAAATCTACTAAAAAAATCCTTTAAAAATTAACAACAAGGGGCCCAAATTGCAAAGATTTTAAACGACAAGGAGGCCTCGAGACTCAACTAACAATTTTGGTATTCACTATTAGTTGATATTTTGAAATATTTTGCCCTAGTTACCACTTTTCAAAATTCTTACTATTTCTCTTTTTCTCTAGATTCTCTCTTTTTTCTATTATCTTTTTTAGTCAATGTTTTATGAAAGTCGAGTCTAGCCATTTGTTTTAGCCAAACTTTTTTTTGGGCATTTTTCTTGGGTTTTGTTTGGGGTTTTCTTTGTTTTTCTTGTTTTATTTTTCATGTTTTTTTAATTTCAACTCTTTTTTAAGCTTAAAAAGTAAAACAAAGATGCCTCGTATAAAGCATGTATTTTCTAAAGTTTATGACGTGCCTCGTCGTCCATTCGAGAAGGAGCGTTTAGATCAGGTTTTTAATTACTTTTTCCCACCTCTAACTCATCTATTTAGGAATTAAAATTAATTGGCGAATTCGGTCTACGAAATAAACGTGAAGTTTGGCGTGTCAAATTAACTTTGGCAAAGATTCGTAAAGCTGCTCGGGAACTTTTAACATTGGAAGACAAGGATCCCCGACGCTTATTCGAAGGAAATGCTCTTCTTCGTCGTTTGGTTCGTATTGGAGTTCTTTTGGAAGATAAGATGAAATTGGATTACGTTCTTGGTTTGCGTGTTGAAGACTTTTTGGAACGTCGTTTGCAGACGCAAGTTTTCAAATTGGGATTGGCTAAGTCAATTCACCATGCTCGCGTTCTTATTCGCCAAAAGCATATTCGGTTTATTTTTATCTTATTAATTGGGAGGGTTTTGGGTTCTCTTTGTGTTTACGGGAGGAGGTCGTTACTAGAAAAAAGTAGTGATCATGATTATGGGAGTAAGGGGGAGGATCTGAGAAAAAAAGCAACAACTGCTTCTAACTATCGACCTTCTCCTGTTTGTTAGTAGTTGCTCGGTAACTACAGGTTTCATCTTTCTGACTTGGTCTTGAGGTCTCCTTAAAAATCATCTTTACTGTTCTTTGTGTGGGTTTTGGAAGGAAGGGACTACGATTGAAATACATCTTAATTCGAGGCTTCAACCGTTGATTCGAAGCGTTTCAAGCCAATTTCCGAATTAAGGGATTCTTTTTGAATTCATATTTTGAGTTCTATCATTCTTAATAACAATTTCCTGTCTAATTCAGAATTCGTCGACAAGTAGTCAATATTCCATCGTTCATTGTTCGTCTCGACTCTCAAAAGCATATTGACTTCTCCACAAAATCTTATCTTGCTGGTGGACCTCCTGGACGTGTCAAGAGAAAGAATTTGAAGAAAGCTGCTTCGGGAGGTGGAGGAGGAGGCGGTGACGATGAAGAGGATTGAATAATATCTAAAGGTTTATAAAAAGTTGAAAGTTAATTCTGTTAAGTTGTTAAAAGATTTTGGATTTGAAAAAATGTTTTTGTTGACTTTTAATGATTTTATGCTTGAAAAGTAAGGACTTGAGACTTTAAGACACTTACTTTTGAGATTGGGTAATCCTTTACTAGGGAAGGTTACGAGGTGTCCGAGCTAAAAACGGTAAAGACGGGCTCATTCGATAGAGAATGTGCCCTTTCTAGCAAGGAATTTGAGCCGTTTTTGCCCGTTTTTGATTTGGCCAAGATACGGCTGATCCCTGGGAAAAATTTTGATCCTGAATTTGATTGTCAATTCGTGTTTGGAGTTCGAACTTAACGAATTCTAATCTCATATTTGGTCTCCGCATACATAATTAATTTCTGGCAACCTTAAGGTTGGAGGCCAGTAAAATGCAGATTACCGAGATGGTTGTGGATTTCCTAGCATAATTGACTTTATGCTCATGTCTTTTAAATTCCCTATTTCATACTTTGAGGGCAAGAAAGCTTTTTTAAATATATTTAATTCTCGAAACTCATCTCTAGCTGAAAGGTTTCTTTAATTTGTTAGGAATTCTTTTGCAAATTTATGAGTGAGAATGAATTTTATTCCTCATTTTCACCATTTCTTCATTCCGCATTTAATTTATTGTTCATATCCGGTATTTTCGGTCTTCTGGGATGAACCCAATAATTTTATTTATGTGTTTTTGCAGCTGCTTCAAAAAAGCCTTGAATTCCTTTTAAGTACTTGAGCCAATAACCGCTTTTATCTTTTCAATTTTTTTTGAAAATAAAATTGAAAAGCTTGGAGAAGCGAATATATTTTTTTATAAAATAATAATTCACATGATGGGGAGGGAGGAGAGGAGGGGAAAGGCAGGGGGGGGGGTTGAGGGGTGAGAGGAGAAGAGGGGGTTGGGGGGAAAGAGGGGAGGGGGGGATATTTTTTCAACAAAATTTTATTTCTTAATTTATTTTTTTTTCAATTTTCTTATCCAAAAAATATTTTTTTTTCCTTCTCTCTAGCTAGTAAAATATACTGGAGTTTTTTTATAAAGTTTGATTGGCCTCGTTAGCTAAGGCATTCTTTCTTTAAAAAGAAATAAGTTATAAACAAATGCTTAAAGGGGAATACAAAATAAATAAGTAAATTCTTTTTTTTATTCTCACGAATCTCACAAGAGAATTTTTTTTAAATTAAGGGGCTATATTTTACGTTGTTATGGTTATTCTAGAAAAATTTTTTTGGATTTTTTTAGAATTATTTTTTTTTAATTTTTGGGATATTTGGGATTTTTTAGGTAATTAATAGGCGTGGAATAATTCTTTAAAAAATAGGTAGTTTGGAATTTTCTTGTGTCCATTTTTTAAAAAGTAGCTATTTTTATGTTATGGTTATCATTAGAAATTTTAGGATTTTTTTTCTAATTAAAAAAAATTTTTAAATTTTGTTTTTAATTTTTGGAGGTTTTTGAGTAACTAGTAGGCGTGGAATGTTTTTTAAAAACAATGAAGATTTTAGTTCAATTTTTGAATTTTTTTTCCTTTTTTAAAAAGTAGCTATTTTTCTCTTTTAAGGGGTTTTTTTAAAAAAGCCCTCACTTAAGGCAATATTTATAAAATATGTAAAATCGACTGGCAATTAGCGCTATTTGTGTGCGCTTTCAAATTGTTTTTTGATGGCTAATTATTAGAGAAAGAAAAATTTTTTGGCGCACTCCCGAGTTTTTTAAAAGGGAATAATCTATCAATGCTTTACTAAGTAAAGCAAATAAATATAATGGCTTAACTAAGTAGAAGCTTTTTTCTATAAATATCCTCTCATTATTTTAAAGGCTATAATTTTAAAATTAAAAAATACAATTTTTAAGACAAAAAAAATTTAAACAAAATTTTTGAAATTTTTCTGAAGAAAATTTTTTCGAAAAAAATTTTTTGAAGAAATTTTTGAAATTTTTTTTTGAAAATTTTTGCGAAGAAATTTTCAAAAAAATGCCTTGCGGAATGCCCTATTTTTGCGAAGAAATTTTCAAAAAAATTTTTGGCTGTACTTTAGCCGGTGGCCCACTCAGAAACGGGACAAATTATATACCATTCGATTCGTCTCGGCGAGCTGAATCGAATGGTACCATTCTTTTTTTGCGGAAATGCCTACGAGCCGAGATATAGTTCCTTGAAAACCGAAAAACCATAGGGGGGAGTAAGCACAATTTTGGGGTGAAAAATTCAAATATGCAAATGATAGCTCATTCGAAAGAGCTCCTCGAGCTGAGTCGAATGACACCAAAATCAGCGGAATACGACTTGATTTAACAAAGTTATGAGCATTAGTTTCAGCTCCTTACCTTTGGTCTACGTGGAGGTTTTTGTTGCTGGGGAAGAAGCCAGACATGCCGACCACAGCTAAAATAGGCATAGGTTTTTGTTACGAGCCCAGACCCAGAGCCCGTAGACTCCCCGCGAGGCGCGTGCCGCAAAACCCCGCGCGAAGCGCGGGGTTTTGCACAAGCGCCTCGCCGACACCCCATAGGTTTATGTTGATTGTTTTTTGTGTTGTAACTTCGTCTAAACTTACTCAATCACGGTGATTTTGGTGGCATTCGACTCAGCTCTTCGAGCTCTTTCGAATGAGCTATTATCTGTATAAAAAATTTTTAATTCCAAAAATCGTCCATTTTGATCTTCGGTTTTTAGGGGCCTATATCTCGGTCAAATCAAGTCGGATTTCGCTGATTTTGGTGTCATTCGACTCAGCTCGAGGAGCTCTTTCGAATGAGCTATCATTTAAAAAATCAAATTTTTCACCCCAAAATTGTGCTTACTCCCCCCTATGGTTTTTCGGTTTTCAAGGACCTATATCTCGGCTCGTAGGCATTTTCGCAAAAAAAGAATGGTACCATTCGATCAGCTCGCCGAGACGAATCGAATGGTATATAATTTGTCCCGTTTCTGAGTGGGCCACCGGCTAAAGTATATCCAAATTTTTTTGAAATTTTTTAAGAATTTTTCTGAAGAAAATTTTTCGAAAAAATTTTTTGAAAATTTTTGAAATTTTTCTGAAGAGAATTTTTCTTGAAAAAAATTTTTTTTTGAAATTCTAAACACAGAAACTGAATTAAAAAAATTTTAATGCGTTTGCCTGTAACGCCACGTGAAAGAAAAAATTCTTTGTTTTGTGACGTCGACTGTGGCTTCACTGTAATTTTATTTTAAATTTTTTCCTTAATTTAAAATTTTATTTTTAAGGTAATGTTGCTTGGAGATAGTTGTACGGGCAAAACTTGTATTTTAATTCGTTTCAAGGACAACACTTTTATGAACAAGTTTGTTTTTATTAAAAAATTTTTTCATTTTATTTTTTAAAGTAATTTTATCTCGACTGTGGGCATTGATTATAGAGTAGGTTTATTTTTTAATATTATACTTTAAAGACTAATATAAGCCCGGCTCTATTAGAAGCCCATATTTAATAAAAGCTTACACAAGGGGACCCATTGAAAATCACAATCTTACTTTCTAGTAGAAGATCACTCTCTAATGGGGGTCTTCTTCAGTCGTCAAAGAGACATTAAAAACACTAATATGTAGAAGCCCACTCTCTAATAAAGGCCTAGTCCACTCAAAGTAGCCTGTTTAAAAATCGCTCTCTAATAGAAGCCCAGTCAAAGTGACCAATCGAGAAATAGAAGCCCAGGGCTTGTATTAGTGCATTTACTTTAATTTTATTTTTTTAAATTTTATAGAACAAGGTGCTTGAATTGGGCAGGAGACGAGTTAAATTACAGGTAAACCCATTGAAAAATAAAATTCATATTTTTACAGGTTTGGGACACTGCAGGTCAAGAACGTTTCCGCAGCCTAACAGCTTCTTACTACAGAGATGCCGATGCCCTTTTGCTCATTTATGATGTAACTAATCGTGCAAGTTTTGAACATATAAGGGATTGGCTTGCCCAAGTTAAAGAATATGCAAAGGATGAAGTTGCTTTAACTCTGGTTGGGAATAAAGTGGATTTGGGACATCAAAGGAAAGTTAGGGCAGATGAAGGACGACAACTTGCAAAGGTTATTTGGACGGTTTTTGTGGGGAAGAGGGGAGGGAGGATTTTTGGGAGGGGCTTGTATTTTGGGGGATAGGGGGGTTTTTGAGAGGGACTTGCAAAGGTTGTTGGGAGGTTTTTGGGAGAGGGATTTTTATGAGGGACTTGAAAAGGTCATTAGGGAGGTTTTTCTGGAGGATAGGTGGATTTTTGGGAGGGACTTGCAAGGGTTGTTGGGAGGTTATTGGGGAGTTCTTTTGGGATAGGGTGATTTTTGGGAGGGATTATGATTCTTAATAACCATTTTTCCCGATTAAAAATGTTTATCCTCTCTATACATAAATAGAATAATTTTTAAAAATTTTCCCCTCAATTAGGATTATGACATTCCTTTCATCGAGACAAGTGCAAAATCTGGCCAAAATGTGAGCGAAATGTTTTTTGACCTTACAACAAGGCTTTTAAACGCTGTTGAGGCAAATAAAGAAGGAGAAAATGATGAAAAAGAAAGAAAGGCATCTGTTTTGGAATTGAGTGCAGAAATTAATGGAAGGCATGGAGACGGTAATTATTGGCGATTTACGAGTTGTTGTGGAGGGGGAAAGGCTTAAAAAGTGTTTTTTTAAATTTTTTTGAATTTAAAATTGATTAATAAATTTGGGATGTGATCAATTTAAAAAATTTTTGAAGGTCAAATTTTGGGTACACCCCAAGGCACTGCAAGCCCTCGGTACCGCAGAGAGAGAAAGAGAGTTGGACCCTGCTCGTCGAGCCGCAGCGGACCATACCAGGGCGTCCCGGATTCGACCAATTTGAACGAAGTTATAGCTCTGCGGTACCTTGGCTTGCCCCCTCAAATTTTGATTAAAAAAATGACTTAAAAATTGACCCATCCACTGTATATATTTAAATTTTATTTTTTTTACCCAATAAAATATTTTGATTTAATTTTTTTAAATAAATTGATAAATTTATTTATGTCGATTTTTTATATAAATTTATAAATTTTTATATTCAATATCTTTTTTTTTGTTCATCTTTATTTAATTTTCAGGCAAAATTCCATTAAAATCCCCCCAAAGTGTAGTTTTTGTTTGAGTCGGACTCTTTAGTGTAGTTGGAAAATTTTACTTTCCTATGATAAGTGGTTGTGGGTTCGAACCCTTTTAGTGAAAATTTTTTTTATTTTTTGCAAAAACGCCTTTCTATTACTAAAATTGATTTTTAGACTAAAGAATAGTGTCACATGAAAATTTTACTTTTCAGCAAAAATTTCCTTTCATCTTGCATTTACTAAAAAAAAAGTTTTGAAATCGTTTTTGTTTGTGTGTTCAGCCGAATGGAACATGAAAAAAACTAACTACTCTACACATTTAAAGGTTTGTTTCTTTTCTTATCTTTTTTTATTAATATTTTCTATCACTTATGGCCAGGCAATCCTGTTTTGGTTCGCAAAACACGTAAAAGAGAAGGGGAGAGGATGGGACGGCCGCCTTTGCTTACAGCGCAAATTGGGCTCATTCATTTCACCATACCTTCACTTATTTGAATTTGTGTTTTTTCTTGTTTTGCCTACGTTCGAATATTATTGCTTGACAGCTTATTTGTCATCTTTTCTGTGCGCCAAAAGCTTTGGTTAGTTCAGGTTTTTATTTTTTAAATTTTCTGTTTAGTGTTGTTTCCCTCCCCTATCCCTCCCTCCACCCAATTTTTTCCTTGATGTACAAACTGGTCTGACACTGCTTCATTGGATGATCTGTGGCATCATTATGTGAGGCATTATCACCTGTGAGCATGTTGTACATCCAGGAAAAAATCGGGCATGGGAGGGAAACTACATAAGCACGTTTAGGTTTGCCGCTTAACTCGGCGCTTGTGTCGTTTCCCTCCCCTCATTTATCCAAGGCTTTTAGGTCCTGTTTTTTCTTGTTTTGCCTACGTTCCTTTGTTTTGCTAAACTTTTTCCTTCCAATTCTTCTCTGTTTATTAAAAATGGAGACAACGCAAAACCCCTTTGCGCACTCCCCTTTTCTCCTCAATGCCGTCTTTTATTTTTTAGGTGGCATGCATTTTATATAGCTACGTGTAAGTCTCACCCATTTATTTTTCTTTCCACTTACCACCAATAAGGACATGTCTAGTAAAAAAAGAAAAAAAATTTTTCCTCATCTATCAAGGGCACTCGTTTCATTTTACTCTTTTTTTTGTCACCCACAAATATTTCCCGCAATAAATCCCTAAAGAGAAAAAATAAAAATGAAACGGAAATGAAAGAGGACATTTGACACAAACAATAACAGAATACATAGTAGTAAAATTGTAAAAAAAAATTTTTTTTTTTTTTAGATTTTTTAGATTTTTGAACAAGTTTAGCAAAACAAGGGTAAAATTGTCGTTTATGGGCCCCTTTTTTTCCTCCCATTGTTTTCCTTTAATTTTTTCCTGTGAAGAATCAGACTTACCTATTTCCATTCTTTCTAATTCTCCTTTTGTATTTTGAAAACAATCAAAAAGGAATTAATTAATTTTGACAAGTATGTATGTATAAGGACAAGACACTTTTCCTTCCTTTTTTCTTCAAGGTGTCATAAGTCTGGGGAGAAAAAATTCTTTGGGAGGAAAAAGGGGGTCCTTCAACGCCAATTTTCCCAAAACAAGTGTACATTTCACGGGTCTAGCCGACCCGATTTTCGAAAATCGGGAATTAAAAAAATAGGGAATTCCCTATCCCCGAAATTGGGAATTTAATTTTTTATGTCGGCTAGATCCCTGGTACATTCGGGTGAAAAAATTAGGGAGGAAAAAAGTAGGTCCCTCAACGACAATTTCCCCCAAAACAAGTTTTTGATTTATAAAACAATTTTTGTAAAAAATTTTTCTTAACAAGTTTAATCAAAAAAAATTTTTCTTCCCTTACACCCATAATTTACTTCATATATTCCTCTCAATTTTTTTGACATGAGTCAATTCTTTCTCAAGTACTCCCTTCTTTTTTCTTTTGGAAAATGTCCAAATTTAATTTTCAATTTATTCTTTGCACTTTTCTTCCTCCTTTTCCTTCAAATAATTCAATCTCGAGATAAAAACTAAAAATTAGAGTTAAATAAAAGAGAAGCCAAATAAGTAAAAATAAATACATTTTTAAGCATTTACATTGCTATCTTAAGAAAGTGCATGTTTTTAACTTTACTTTTTTTGTGTTTTTTTAACTTGCTATTAAAAATGCAGCAAATCTTCTTGGTGTATTTACGTTGGGTCTAAAAACAAAAATTCTTTTTCTTCAATAGAAAATTGTACTATTCAAAAATCCAGTGGCCGTAGGTCCTTAAACCAGTCGAGTAGCTGTTCGTACATTGGAAATATCCCAAATATTTTTCCCCAATATTTTTTCCCGAATATTTTTCTCTTATAAGGGAACATCGAATAGTGTACAGAAACTTAGCGGTCTAACTTTGAACGGCCTTAACTCGGCCCAAAGTGATTTTGCAAGAAAACCGGCATCACTTCGCAATAGGAAGTCGATGGTCCTCTATCGATTGCTACCAAAAAAATTTCAAATTTTTGTATAGAGTATCCGATGTTCCCTTTAAAATTTCAGTAAATTCACCTCTTTTTAAATAATTTTTAATTATTTTTAAAAATTTTTTTTTTCAGACTAATCCACTCAAACTCCATTTTTTCTTCATATTCCACCTTTTATCAATTCACCAAAAAATGGTAACAACTCAACACGGCCCTCAATGTATTTGTGAAATTTGTACTTGCGGGTTTTTTTTAATTTTAAAATTTCAAAAAAAAATTTAAATTTAAAGACGGCATCAATGCCCATTAAATCGTTCATCTGCCACTGGTTTTTCCCCTTTTGGTGAAAAGAGCAATAATGGGAATAGAAACAGCAGCCATTTTTACCGAAAAGAATTTGCTACAACTGCCAATGTTAGTGAAAGGGCAAAGCCGGCACGTCCTAATCCGGAGCTGACACTTGACAGGACAATTGTGAATAAATTTTAAATTTTAGAAAAATATTTTAAGAAATATTTTTGGCATTTTTGGGAAATTCCATATTTACTCAAATATTACCTCTCTCTATTAATTGCCCCCCCCCCCCCTTCTAGCCACAGGTTGAAAAATTGCCCTCTTAAAAATAGTTATGTATTGTAATTAGCCTTTCTAAAATAACCTCAATTATCTCGCCTCTACTAATTATTTAATACCTCCACGAGAGATTTAAACATTAATTCCCCCGAGGTAATTATTTGAGTAAATACGATAAGTAAGTAAATTTTGGGGTGAATTTTTAATTTATTTAAAAAATTTTTTCTTTTGTTTGCACACCTTCATTTTCTAAAAATTTTCTAAATTTCTCTATTGATTTTTTGTTAATTTTATTCTTTTTAATTTTTATTTTTGAAATTTTGAGTTTTTTTGAGTTTTAGAGGGAAATACCAGTCAATTTTAGTTAAGCTCAAGATTTTTAGCTTTTCGCACATCCTTTTTTATATTTTTATTGGATAAGTAAGGAAATTTTTTTGTCGTCTCTCTCTGTTGCTAAGTGAGTGAGAAAATGAATTTACCCATAATCTTTTTATTATAAAAGAATTTTTTTTTCATTTGGCACTTGTTGGCACAAAAAAAATATAATTTTTATTGCGCACAAAAAATGTTGGCTCTTATCCAGATTACGCGTCCAATCGCATCCTTACGCGGCTAATCAACCTTTATGATTAGACGCATACTGGATGAGTAGACCTTAAAATTCCCATAGATTTTATGGTACTATAATATAGAATTGGGTACGTATCGCCATAGATTGGACTTTTAATGGACGCGTAAAGGTGCGATTTTGACGCGTAATCTTGGCAAGAGCCAAAAAATTTCCCTTAAATTCTAATTTTTCCTCAAAATTTTCATTTTTCCCCTTCCTCTAGCCATTTCACTCAAACGAAAAATCAGTAGATTTTTCTGAACAGCAAAAAGCACTAACAGAAGCACGTAATCAACGTTTTGTTACTTCTGCCGCATTTAGAAAACGTGGACAAAATTCTCAAATTCAGTTAACTGACGGACAAAATAATCAACAACAACAAATGCTTCGAAGTACTTACAGAGAAGAAAGTGAACGTGCTTTGCAAAATGGAGGTTAGATTTTCTTAATTGAAAGACTCCATCCCAAAGACCGATACTCTGACTGGACATAACTCGATCTAAAATCATTTTACTAGAAAACGAATAACACCTCGCAATAGGAACTCGTGAGAAGAGGGGTGGCGGTCTTCATTCGAATGGTACCAAAAAATTACCAATTTTTTGTACACAGTAGACGATGGTCCCTTGAAAAATTCTCCTTTTTTCCAGTTCAACAACGTGTACGTCCAACTCGCCCAACCGCTACAACACCCATCTTTGGAGGTTCTGACTCTAATAACATTCATCAAACAGTGAATCAAAGCGAATATGCTCCAAAACGTTCAGAAAGAGCTGAGGCTGTTAGGTCAAAAACTTCAGACCTTTGGAAGAATGTAAACGGTACATCGCTTGAAAAAAGTGGAGTTAATGCAGAATATGGGAAAGGAGGAGGGAGAGGTGAAAGGCCAGTAGCTGCACGCCCTCGTGAATCAAACATCCTTCGTGGGGAAGGTCCATTTCATGTGGAAACAAATCAGCGTTCTGAATATGGACCTAAACGAGGGGAGAGATTTGAGGCTAAACGACCTGTTGAATCCGAGATTTGGAAGGTTTGTGAAAATTCTTGGAAGAGGGGGTGGGGGAGGGTTGGGCTTAAAAATTTCTTTTCTTTTTTTAAGAATGAAGGCCCAAATGAACATACAACAGTGAATAGAAGTGAGTATAAGGGAGGCCGTGGAGATCGCTTTGAGGCTAAACGACCAGTTGAAAATGAGATTTGGAAGGTTTGTGAGTTTAAAAAATATTTTTTGGAGGGGAAGCTTGAACTTATTTTTCTTTTAAAGAATGAAGGCCCAAATGAACATACAACTGTAAATCGAAGTGAATATAAGGGAGGCCGTGGGGAAAGATTTGAAATGCGAAAACCTCCAGATTCTGATATTCTACGTGTTCAAGGACCCTTCGAATCCCTAAGTGTTGCACACAGTGAATATGCTCAAAGAGGCCCAGGGGAACGCTTTGAAAGCCGAAAACAAGGAGAAAATGAAGAAATTTGGCGTAATGAAGGAAGAATGGCTGCTGAAGGTTCTGTCAGCAAAAATGATTATCAACATGAAAAAGGAAAGAGGGGTGATCGACATCCAATGCATCGTCCAAAGGATACGGAACTTTTTGATGTTTTTGAATTTTATTTTTACCTAAAAATAAAACTTTTCTAGCGTAGCGGCAAAATTGGAGAAGAAAGAACAGTTAATGCTACCGAATATTCGCATACCCGTGGAGAGCGTGCTGAACGAAAAGTGCCACAACCTTCAGGAATATTTCAACCACCTCCAGGATCAGAATTTGCTCCAGAAAGTACTGTCACTCGAGAGCATTATGGTCACAAAGAATTGGTAGAGAGAGCCCATCCAGTGCCCCGACGGTCAGAGTTTGTGTTGGCAGGGCCGGAAGGTAAAAATTAATGGGGATTTTAGGGGAATTTGAGGGGGGTTTTTGATTAATCTTTTTCTCTTTCCTTAACAGAATCCTTCAATAAATCCACCAATTACAACGACAATTTCCAACAAATTCCTTCGGATACTTATGCTTCCCGCCCTGCGGCAGTACGCCCATCTACAGCATTAAAATTGCAGGGTGATAGAGAATTTAAGAGTGGATATGGGTCAGAATTTACAAATAAATTAGCTGGGCCGTGTCCAGCTGGGGAATTGGTGGAAACTTTGAAAGGCCATGCATGCAAATCTGAGGACAAAAATGGAAGTCATACGGATACAAACAACTTCCACTTCCATTCAGTAAATAAAGGCCATCATATGTATAGATCAAAGGAAAATTTGGCTGAGGCTTGAGAAAAAAGTGTTAGAGAAGAGATTAAAAATAGAGAAAAGAAAAAGAGAAAACGAGACATTGTATATGCATTTTGTTATTTTATGATTATTTTCTTTCAAAACACCAAAAATGGGGAAAGTTTACTAGAAACGACAAAATGGTTTTTTGACATTTTGCCACACTATTTCTACGCATTTTACCTTAGGGTTTTTTACAATTTTTTGGTTTTTTATTTTAAATTTCTTAAATTTTTCGTAATTTTCTTTTAATAATCTAGTCTTTTTTATACCTAATCATTTTTTAATAAATAAAATTTTCTACTCCAATTTTTGATATAGGGTTATTTTACTATTTTTATTTTACGGACTTTTTTTCTATAACTTTTTTTAGAAGATGCATAATTATTTTCGCAATTTACTTCAAAATCGTGTATTTTCTGTGGCACTTGGATCAGTTCGAAATAAATATAGTTTGTTTTTTTAAATATTTATTACTTAATAGGGATAGGCATGGATGTGAATCCGGTCCTTATTTTTTCCTTGCATATTGTTTGATTTTATCTGGTCCTTGGTTCCTCGTTTATATTTGGTCCTTGACTTGTTCTTTGATTATATCCTGTCTTGATTTTTCCTTACACGTTCATTGATTCCTTTTTGATCTTGATTTTTTGGCATTATTGACTCAAGATCAAGAATCTGTTCAAGGTCCTCTACCGAAATCAAGGTCATGGTTTTCTTATATTTTTTGGCCTTTAATTTTTAATATTTTTAGAATATGTTGGAATGATTGAAGAATCCGATGGAACGCTTAAAGGTGACATTAAAGCAGGGATGGAGCGAGTTATGCTTAAGGAATTGATTCAAGGTTCATAATTAGCTTATATCAGTTTTTACTTTTAAATATTTTTTAAAGGTTTTGCCCACGTTTTTGGACACATGTTTATGGAGCCGGCAACAATCAACTACCCTTTTGAGAAGGGTCCGCTTAGCACCCGTTTCCGAGGAGAACATGCACTTCGTCGCTATCCTTCAGGCGAAGAACGTTGTATTGCTTGTAAATTGTGTGAGGCTATATGCCCTGCCCAGGTTTTTTCTAATTTTATTTTTCTTAAATTTAATTTTAAAGGCAATAACAATCGAGACTGAAACACGTCCAGACGGTAGTCGACGAACAACACGTTATGATATTGATATGACAAAATGTATTTATTGTGGATTGTGTCAAGAAGCTTGCCCTGTTGATGCTATTGTTGAGGTAAATTTTTTGGGTTTTTAAAATTTTTTTGATCATTTTTCGGGTAGGTTTGGATATCCAACCTCGAACCTCTTTCTTTTTGTCTTGAAGGCACCTACCCGAAAAGTCTTATCTAGAATTTTTCCGAAAGGACAAGACATCAAAAATCGAAGGTTCGAAACTATAGGTTTGTCAACCCTGAAGATTCCCGAGAAGAAACTTTCAACCTTGACCCCGGAACTTGGCATTTGTTACCTCGACTCGATCCGACCCCTTACCTTTTAACACTGACAGGCCTGAGGTGCTCAAATCTAATTTTAAGTTAATAAACCGTTTAAATTTTTAATAAAAAATATTTTTAACATAAAAAATTTTTTTTCTCTTTTAGGGTCCAAACTTTGAATATTCAACAGAAACACACGAAGAATTACTTTACAATAAAGAAAAGCTTTTATCAAATGGTGATCGTTGGGAGCCAGAATTGGCAGCAAATTTGCAAGCAGAATTTTTGTATAGATAAATTTGGGATGAAAATAATATTTTGAAAAATTAGAAAAATTTTATTTGTTTGTTTGAAAAATATTTTAGGTTTTTTTGATAAAATTTTTGTTTCTTTCTTAATTTTTTATATTTTAATTGGTTTTTTAAATCCAAAATTTTTTTTAATATTTTGAGGTTTTTAAAATTTTAAACTTATTTTTCTTTTTAGTTCTCTTTTTCATATGCTTTATTTTTCTATTTTTGGAATGGCTTATTTTGACGCTCGCAATTTTTAAAGTGTTTTTAATGGCTATTAATTTTGTTGATGCCTAGCTTGTGGTTTAACTATGTCTAGGTTCTAATCTGCCAGCGTTTGTTTTTTTCTTAATTTTTTTTTGAAAAAATTTTTCAAATTTTTGGATCGGTTGTTTTTTTAATTTGTGGATTTTTAGAATTTTTTTAAAAATTTTAGAAATTTTTATTTTTTTTTGGAGAAAATTTGAAGTTATTTTTTGGGAAATTTTTTTGAAAAATTTTTTTTGAGGATTTTTTAAATTAAAGAAATTCATTTAAATTCATTTTTGAAAAGAAAAACAAATTCTAAAAATATATTCTATTTATTTTTATAAGTGGGTAATAAAAAAAAAAAAAAAAAAAAAAAAAAAAAAAAAAAAAAAAAAAAAAAGGGGGTTAGTGCAGCTGCATTCCTTTCGCGTAACATTTTTATTTATCGTCCAAAAAAATCTATCTCTTTTTCTGCTTATTTATTAAATTACACTTTTCCGGAATTTTTTTCTAAAAGTAAATTTTTAATTTTTAGTAGATATCTATCAGATTTTTTTTCAAACAACAAAAAAATTTTTTTTGAAATTTTTTCTAGGGATATGTGGGATTTTTTTGAATAGATTTTTCGGTGGTGGGAGCGGGATATGAACAGCGTACCGATTTTCTGAATTAAATTTTTTAAGAAATTTTATTCAAGCAATTTAGATCCAAAAATTAATTTGTAAAAATTTTAAAAATAACAGGAAATTTTAGTCTTCTCTAATTTTTAATTGATTTTTAGATTTTCTAAAATCAATAATGAAATTAATTAAGTAGGGCAATATTGTTTTAAAATAAAAATCGACATTTTTAAATGAAATTATTTTTAAAAATTTCCAATTTAATTCGTTAAATTTTCCAAATTTTGGCTATTTTTTGGAATGTGAATTTTGAAAAAAAATTTTTTTTACTTTAGGCCCTTCATAAAATTTTAATTTACTTCTTCCTTTATTTTTTAGACCCAAAATTTTTTCTAATTTTTTTTTATTTTTATTCAACCTCCGAAGAAAATTTTTTTTAATTTTTCTAGGTATTTCTCTCCCTCTTATGTTTTTCTTAATCTTTTTCCTTCCAACCCTCCTCTCCCTTTCGCATTAAAAATTTTTTCGACTTTGTTTTTTTTTTAATTTTTTCTTTAGTTATTTTATTTTTAGGAACCAAATTTTTTATTTTACGTTTAAAAAATAATTTTCATATTTTTAATTTATTTATTTGTTCAATGTTCTTTTATATTTTTAATTTTATTTTTTTTTTTTTGCTTTTTCCCTAGTAAGATAAAATACAACAAACATTTTTCTATTTTATTAGACAAGAGAATTGGAGGGGGGAGGGTGGTGATGAGCGGGAAAGCGACGAATTGTTTTACTCCTAGAGATCAACAATTCTTTTATTGAAAAATTAAAACAGGTTTTTTAAAGGTTTAAAAAAAATGGGAAATTTTTTTAAAAATTTTTTGAAAGATTTTTGAATGTTTAATTTTTTATTGATTTTTTAAATTTGAAATTTTAATTGAAATTTTTTTTAAAAATTGGGAAAATTTTAATTTTCGGAAGCTTTTTGGATTTATAAAATATTTTTTGAGAATAATTTAAGCTTGTTTTTTTTCTAATTTATTATCTTAACCTTTTGACCATTTTGAGCCCCTGAGTTTTTTTTACATTTTTGAAACCCTTTAATTCGGCGCATAATTTCTCATGGACTAATTCGTGTGTCCCAATTCTTGTACACAAAGTAGACCAAGTTATTAGACAAGAGAAGTAGAGGGTGGTCTTTTTTTGAGGTTTTTTTCTATTTTTCTTTTTTTCAAAAAAATTTTTTTCGAACATTTTTTCTGAAACATTTATTTTCAACAAAAAATCCGTGTGAATATTTTCTTAAAAATTTTTTTTCAATAAATTGTTGATCTTTAGGGTATTTTCTAAAAAGATATCTTTCTATTTTTCTTTTTTTGAGGGTCTATGGTAGAGAAGAAATGTTTATAGAGTTGTGCTTGGTAGTACATTTTTAATAGAGTAAAAAAAAATTTTTTTTTATTTGGAAGGGAAGGGAGAGGAAAAAATAAAATAAAAATTCTTTTTTTCTTCTTTTGCTCTATTGACATTTTTTCGCATTTTTCTCAACAAAATTTTTTTCTTCTTTCATTTATTTTTAGTTTATTTTATTAAATAGCTACATCAATAAAATTAAATAAAATTAAGAATTTTTATTTTCTGAGATTTTTTTTGAATTTTTTGAAAAATTTTTCGAAAAAATTTTCCCCGTATTTTTAAAATTTTTACAAGGAGAAAATTTTTTTAAAATTTTTCGATCTTCTAAGATTTTCCCTTTTGCTATTTCTGTTCTGTCTCCAAACAGACTCAACGCGTTCCCCTAGGAAGTGATGCCTCGATAGCTGTTCAGTCACCTACCTCAGACCCTCCAGAAATAATTTTTTCCCTAATTTTTTTCCTAATTTTTAGAATATTTTTAAGAATTATTTTTAGGGGAATTTTTCAATTTATTTAGGGAAGCCTTTAATAACCTTGAATTTTTTTTTCTCGCTTTTTTTTAAATTTAATAATTCATCAAAATTCGCGTTCCTTTTTTTCCAAATTTTTTATTTTATTAATCATTCGTGTTTTACTCTGAAAAATTTTTTTTCAATATTTTTAATATTTTGGATAATTTGTCTTTTTCCATCACATATTGATTTTTAAGAAATACTTAATTTTAGACAATCAATATTATTTTATTTGTCTTTACCTTAAATGTTCTAATATAAGCCCTAGGCTTCTATTTTTCAATGTATCTTTTCCTGGAGCTAGGCTTCTACTAGAGGAGGTGGGCTTCTATAAGAGAGGGATGGGCTTCTATTAGAGATGGGTCTCTATTGGAGTCGGGCTTTTATTAGAGATGGGCTTCTATTAGAGATGGGCTACTATTAGAGAGGGATAGGATTCTATTTTTCGATGGTCGCCCCGAGTGGGCTTCAAATAGAGAGTGGGCTTATATTAATTCATTTATGGTAGCATTTTTAATCTTTAATTTTATTTCTAATTTTTTTAAAATAATTTTTAGATAAAAATTTACAAAAATATTTATTTGTCTAAAAAAAAGAAAAATTATTAAATAATTCTTTCTTCTTCTTATTATTATTTTTTCTGTTGTCAACACTCACATCAGAGAGAGCAAGCAGCATTATTTATTTTACTACTATTTGCACATAAAAATTGGTGGTTTAAATTTTTATTGATTTTGTATGTGTGCTGATACGGAAATTTTTTTGTACAAGGTTTTTTTTTTTTTTTTGAATTTTATTTAAATTTTTGTTTATTTATCTGTCACCTTATTTTAACGTCGTTACTCCATTTTTCGAATTTTTAGAATTTTTTTTGAATTTTTCAAAAAGTTTATGTTAGTAGGCCATTGGGGGATTTTTTCAATAAGTTCCGTGGGAATAAAAATTTTTTTTAATTTTTAAAAATACAGTCAGACCCTCAGAATTAGATCCTTAAAATACTTATGTTAGACCCCAATTTAAGACACATTCTTTTTAAAGGGTATTGGCCAATTAGAGTTAATTTCTTAATGATATTGCCCCCCTCCCCCTTTCGCGTTTTAAGGGGGAAAGGGTCCCTTTTTTTACCCCTCATAAAATACCGCATTTTTGACTTTGTTATTATTCTAAAATTAAGATTAAGCCCTAAAAAATTTATTTTTAAATCTTAAAAATAAAAGTCCATCTTTTAACAAAAAAATTTTTTTTGAATTTTCAATTGACCAATAAAAATAAAAATACACAGAAAAATTTAAAAAAAAAGAAAGAAAACGTGCTTTTTTTGCAAATGAATTAGAAAAAAAAATTTTTTTTGTTAAAATAAAAGAATATATTTTTATTTATTTTCTTTTACATTTTTGCTGTTGTTCACCTAAATTTATTTTTCTTTTGCTTCTCTTTTGCTTCCCCCCTCAATTTTTCCTTTTCTTTTTTTTTCTCATTTTCCCGATTTTTACCCTTTCTTTTTTTTTCTCAATTTTATTTTTCTCATTTTTATTTTATCGTCCTTCAATTTATTTTTTTAATTTTTAAGATTTTTAATTTTTTAAATTTGTGTTTTTATTTTTTGCGTATTTTAGTTTTTTTAGTGATTTTTAATTTAATTTTTGATTAATTAATTAGAAGAAATAAGTTAATTAAAGATTTTCAGCATGAAGCAGTTTGGTGTATTGGTTAGCGTGTTGGGTTGCTAATGGAGGGGTGTGGGGGTTCGATACCAGTGGGGGGCGCAATTTTTATTTTAAGTGTATGCTTGACTAGTGTGCTTTTAAAATATTTTTTTTGCTTCTAGAAAATATTTTTAGACATTAAAAATAAAGAAAAAAATTTTAAAAAATTTTTTAGAAATTTAACTAATTAAGTGGGTTAATTTTTAAAATATTTTTTTAATTCTTTATTTTATTTTAAAACAGTATTGCCCTGCTTAATTTGCCAAATTTATTTCTTTATTAATTTAAAAAAATCAAAAATCGATTGAAAATAGACAGAGAGACTAATATGTATTTTATTAAAGTTAGTGAATTTTCTTAAAATTAATTTTAATTTTTTTTGTTAATTTTTTAAATGAAATTTAGGTAAAAATGGGTCTATTTTTAATAATTTTAAAGGAAAAAATTAAAAATATTTTTATTTTTTATTTATTTTAAAATTGATTTTCAGCTCATCCCCTTTTTCAATTTTTATTTTTTAAATTTTTTAATATTTGTCTCGTGTATATTTATCTAATATTTTGTTGTGCTGTGTGACGGCTGGCCACTAAAAATATATTTTTCCCTCCTTCCCTTCCCTTCAATTCTTCTTTTTACCGCTCTTTTATTTGCTACTCTTCTACTTTTCTATATTTTACTTTACACACACAAATTTACTAATTCTTTTTCCTTCCCTTTTTATTTTATTTTTTTTGAAAAAATTTTATTTTATTTTTATTTATTGATTTTCTTTGCTTAATATATAAAAATATATTTTTGGGGAATTTTTTAAATTTTATTTTTTTTCTATTTTTGTTTACTTTTATTTTTGTTCTTTTTAAATTATTTTTTAATTTTTTGACTTTCTATTTTTAAAAATTTTAAAGAATAAGTATTGGTGTATTGGTTAGGGTGTTGAGTTCATAGTTATGTAGTGTTGTGGGTTCGGACCTCCTTGTGAGTTCTAATTTTTATTTTAAATGTGAATGGTCGTCTATTGTTTTAAAAATATTTTTTAGCTTCTGAAAATCACTTATCTTTTTTGGATTAGTAAAATTTTTATTTTGGATACATTTTTAGATCTAAATTTTATTCTTTTCTTTTAAAAAATATTTTTTAATCAATCCAAGCGTTAGTGATCTTTTTGTTATGAGAGGCGTTTATTAGAATAATTAAATATCCCCAAAAATTTTTTTAAGACTCTCTAGACTAAAAAAATATTTTTTTCGAAATTTTTTGAGATGTTTATATATATTTTTAGATTTTTAAAAAAAGTGCAATAGACTGTAGGTAAAAGTTTACATGTACTTTTTAAGTACTTTTATGAAATTAGTTAAAAAAAATGTTGTTTATTTAAAAATAATTTTTTTGTGTGTGTGGCGGCTATCTTTATATTTTTCATTTCTTTAAAAATAAAAAAAGAAGGTTAACTATTAGTCTCGAAAAATACTTCCTTATTAAAAAAATTATTTTTTTTAACCTTTTGAGACAGGTTCCTTGACTTAACTGAGAAATTCATCTTTTGTTCTTTAGATTTGAGTTGGATATGTTCAAATTGTCGGGCCCGGTATCCGGATTTTTTTCTTACATGTTGACCTGGGCCGGGTGGTTTACGGGCTAAACTTATGGAAACTCCCGAAAACCCGAATTTTATCAGAATACCCTGTTTTCGGGCTACCGAGCGCCCGTTCTAGTTTCGACCTCTAACTAAGATTAAAAATTTTTTCGAGGGTTTTGAATCTCCTTTTACTTCACTCATTTCATTTTTCTTTTAAAAATTAAAAACTAAATTTAATTTTAATTAAAGAACCTTCCTTTTTTTTACATTGCCAAAAGGTGCAAAAGCGCTATAATTCTACTCCCCTTCCACGACTATTTTTATTAGCTGATTGTATATTCTTTATTTTTTTCATTCACATTTCTCTTTTCTTATCTTAAATTACTCCATGAAAATCATCTAAATTTTCTTTTTTTTACGCCATTGCAGTTGAATATCTCTTTGTTACGATTCCCCGTCTTTTTTCGGTCCGGTGATTTAGCTTGATTTGACTCTGCTTCCCTCCCAGGGATTTTTACCTGAGAACCGAATTATGGTTTTTTTCTATTCGAAATTTGGAGCCTGATCCGACCCGACTTTTTTTTCTCAACCCGGCCCATGTCTTCTTCCCACGTCTCTTTCCCTCTCACACCAGCAAATATCGGCCCGAATGGAGTCAATCGGCACGAGGGGACTGTTCCTTACATTTTGTTATAGCAATTTTCTGTTAAAATTTTTTCCAATTTGGCCCCAAAAATCATAGTCCTTTCAAGTTAAAATATCAATTATTGTCTAACCCTAACCATTAGAGTCTTAATTATTTTCTTATTTTTTTTAAATCTTTTATTTTTCAATGTGATCTTCTGTCTGGAACACAAATAAATATTCTTTTATATTTTTCCTAAAGCAGCTGGTTCTTTAAGGGCGGCAGCAAGGACATTTTTCGGAGGTTTATAGAAAAATGGTAGTAGTCATACATAGACGCTCTTATACTCTATTGATTCGTTCGTGGGGAAGATTGTCAAAGCTATAGGAGAAATAGTGTGTTGAATTGCTTCATTTGATGTCCGTGTGCTCATTTTTGCAAATACCACATTTCGCCAAGAAGGCTAAAATCCCGCATTTTGTCAACAAACTTGTTGGCAAAATGAGGTGTTTTCCCTTTGTTGGCAAAATGTGTAATTGGCAAAATGTGGTTAGCCTTTAAGTCGGAGAAAACGAAAAGAGATAAGGGTTAGAGAAGTCTTGTTGGGTAGTTTTAGTGTTATATTAATGTTAGGTTAGAGAAAAATAATTTAAAAGATAAGAGAAAAGAGATATTTTTGTATAGCACAGATCGCAGTATTAAAAGAGAAAAAGAAAAAAATTGAAAAAATAAAAAAAAATTTTTTTTTCTCCCTTCATTTTCTCTTTAAAAACATTTTTCAACGGTATTAATGATTTGTTTGTCTTGTAATTTATTTTAGTAGAGTAAATTTTATTTTATATATGTATTTTTATGCAATTTTAAACAATGACAAAAAATTTTTTTGTATATTTATTTTTTAAAAATTTAAGCAAAAAAATCCCCCCGTTACATTTTTTGCATTTTTTAAAATAAATAAAATTCGTGTGATGCTTTTTCCCTTTTCTATATTTGGAATATTTTTTTATAGGTTTTTTTGGTTTTTGAGACTTATTGTTAGTTAGCTTAAATAAATAAAAATATTATATTCGTGGTATTTTTTCCAATTTTCAACGTTTTTTTTAAATTTGACCCATTTGAGTCATTAACTCTTTTTTTTCTTGGTTTTAACTCTTTTCCATATGGACCCAGAATCTGACCTAACTACCTGGGCCTAAAGTCAGGATCTTGACTCAGACTCCAGAGGTTTAGAAATAAAGTAGGGCTGGTGTCTGACTCGAAATTTGGGCTCCAGGGGTCTGAGCAGACTAGGCTCATGTGTGGGACCAAATGTCTCAGGATCCGACACGGACTTAAGATCCGACCTAGCTACCTGGCTGGTACGACTTTGGACTTAAGATCCGACCTAGCTACCTGGGCTGGTACGATCCAGGCTTCGACCCAGGCTTCGGGCCCAGGATCTGACTCATTGCTGGGTTCTGACTCAAACGCCATTTTAAAATCTTGTTTTTATTGAATTTTCTAAAAAATATTTTTCTAAATTTTTTTTATTTCTAGCTATTTTGATATACATATAAAGCTACTACTATTATTTTTTTCATCTTTATTCTTTCATCTATATAAATGAAAGAGGAAGAAGATAAACAACAACAACAAAATAATTCTTCTTCTTCTCCAGCTTCTTTTGTATTATTCGACACAAATATTGCTTCAACATCAAAAATTATAAATACAAAAATTGATGTGGGACCAAATGTCTCATCCAATTTTGGTGAAAATAAAAATTCTTTTGACAACGAAAATGAACAAAATTTGAAAGAATGTGGACATAAACCAATTCAAAATGGCGTTTTAAATGAAATTGTGCAATTTGCTGAAGAAAATGAAAAAATTTTACTAGAGGAAAATAAAGTGGACGACAAGGAAGAGGCGAGTGATGGGACAAAAATTGAAGATGCAACAATTAATGGTGATCAAAATTGTTTTAAAACTCCAGCACTTCCTTGCAATAAGTTTGTTTTTTTTATTTTATAAATTTTTAAAAATGATTTTTGACAAGGGGAGGGGGTGGCCAAGAACTGGAAAGTTCACAAACAGCTCTCAACTTAAAGAGTTGTTTTCTATTGAGGGCATTCCTCGGGGAATACGAAAAATTCTTTTTAAAATAGGGTTATCGATTTCACCGGAACCCCACAAGATTTCAGTTCGGGTTCCCGGGTCGCGATTTTGTTTGACCGAAAGTTTCGGGACGGTTTCGAATGACTGAAGGTATTTGGCCGACTAATGGTTCGATTTTTTACGGTTAACCGAGCAAATTTTGAAATCGGCAACCCTACTCACAACCAGTGCTTCGAAATTTCAAATTTGCTCGTACTCGTACTTCGTACCAGGTACGAGTACGAATTTTGGTACGAGCTTCGAAGCACTGCTCACAACTAACCCTTTCATACTACTGTTCCGAGTCAAAAAAATTTTTCCAAAATAACAATTTAAATTATTTGATAATCAAAATTTTGACGTTTTGAGCGTTTTTTAAATTAAATTTTTATTTTTAAAGGAAGCCACGTCCATTAATTAACAATAATATCAACAACAAAAAACGTTGCAAATTGGATGTATTAAACAAAAATCAGCAACTTAAAATACTTCAAAATAAAGAAATTTCATCAATTAAATATACAAATGAAGAATTAATTAGAGAATATGTCAGCATTGGCAAACACAGGTTTTTTTTGTTATTTTTAATGGGAGAATGAGGGAAGAATATGTAATGTGTGGGTGGTGGGGAGTGAAAATAAGAGGGTAGATTTTTGTGACGTTTATTTTTATTTTATTATTTATTAAATATCAGTAGATATTAAGAAAATATTTTTGATGTTTTTTTTGAATAGGAGTGGGGTTTTGAAAAATAATAGTAAATTTAATAGGATAGGATTCGAATAGGAATAAGATCGACCAATAGAGAATTCGAATTCCAAAAAGTCTACTATGTAGGAAATCGAGGGCAGGAATGTGTACTTTCTCCCGTCTTGAGCCTTTTTGTTTCTCCCGCCTTTCTTCCCGGCATTCCCGCTTTTTAAAATTACAAATAGGAGGCCCCATGGTTTTTAAAATATTTTTTTTGTTCCTTCTTACTACCTATTAGAAATGGTTTAATTCAACATTAATTTAATATTTTTAAAGTTTTGTCTGTCCACGTTCTCAACAAGCTTTGGCTAAAAAATACCCAGGTTTAAATTTGCGTAAAAAATGTGTTAATTACTGTGACATTTCTTCTTCGTCTTGTGCAAAAATAAATAATAAACAAAATGCAATAGATATGGGTGAAATTGAAGAAGAAGAAGAAGATTTTGAAGAAGAAGGGGAAAAAGAAGAAAAAACAAAAAATGAACAACAACAAGACGAAATTAAGAAGGGAGAAGAAGAAGAGGACTTGATTAAAGAAATTGTGATTGATGAATTTTCTCTTTTGCTCTTTCATTCAATGGATGATTTTTTGGTAAGTTTAAGGGAGTGAGAGAAGTTTTAATTTAATTTTTGTTAAAAAATATTTTTAATTCTTGAAAATGGGGAAGTTATTTTTATTTTTTTTTAAATATACAGCAAAGTTTGTGTTAAGCAAGGGTTGTTTTGGCTACCTGTTTTGATATAGGAAATTAATTTTTAATTGAGTCTCTTCGTTTTTAATTGATTTTCAAGGGCGTAGCCAGGGGGGCTTCTGGGGTTAAAGCCCCCCCCCCTCGAAATGGGGAAAAGTGGGAAAAATTTAGGAGAAGGAATCGACCCCCTAGCTACGCCCTTGGTGATTTTTATACTTCTCCTCTCAAAAATAGGAGCCGTTATTTGGCTTAAAAATTCAAAATCAAAGACCTGATTTTTTTAATTTTTGGATTTAACGAAAACCTCGGGTACCTGTTTCGACTTCCAATCCAATGAATTTCTTAAAAACACTAACACATTTTTGGGGGTTATTTTCCAGAAAATTTTAATTTAAGGAAAGTTGTTATTTTTTTATTTTCTAGTTGTTGAAAAAACACGAAGATTGTTTGAAGCAAATGGAAGAGGATAAAAAGAGAAAGAGGCGTTATGAAGAAGCTGTTCGTGCTGGAAAAATTAAAAAGATGGGAAGAAAGCGAAAGGTTTTTTTTGTTTATATATTTTTGCAAAAATTAAAAAAAAATTTCTAAAAATTTTTTTGTGAAATTTTTTAAAAATTTTTGAAAAATTTTTGAAAATTTCCAAAAAAATTTTTCAAAAATTTTTTTTGAAAATTTTTCAAGTTTTTCAAAAATTTCAAAAAAAAAATTTCTTAAAGGCTGAAAATGATTTGAAACGAGAAAAGAAGGATAATTCTGAACAACGTCAACTTGCTCGATTAGAACGAAAGGAAAGAAGGAAGCGTGAAAAGGAAGAAAATCGCCTTCGGAAAAATAATAAATCAATTATTTCAACAACAGCAACAAATGAAAATTTGCCAAATAATTTGTCGTCAATTTCTACAAATGCTGCTTCAACACCTACGCCTTTTGCTAATAATATTTGTATGGATGATGATAATGATGAGGAAGAAAATAATGGAGTAAATAAAACGGTTTTTGTTTAAAATTTTAATTTTTTTTAAATTGGAATGTTTGATAGAAAGGGATTCTGATTTGGGGAAGGGAGCCCTCCCTCGTTCCCTTTGAATTCCTTCCCAAAGGGCAGAGATCGAACTCTAGTTTAACCGAATAGAGAATTGATAGTGTTTCTTTGAAAGTCTCTCTTACCCTTCCAAAGAGACCTCCCTCGTTCTTTAGGAGGAATTTCCTTCTCATGTCAGTCAGGGGAACGTGTGTCGAACTCTAGTTTGAACTGGGATGGGTACTAGCTCTAAATCCTCCCCGTTCCCCAGGGAATTCCTTTCCCAGTGGTTTGGCTTGAGAGCCTTTGGGAGGGGACAAACCGATAAATATCAACAAAAAAAAATTTTTTTTAATTTTTAAAGATTCCATTAACTGTTGTGAACAACAATAATAATAAAAAAGAAATATCGTCATCATCATTATTAAATAATAATAAAATAACTTCAAGACGTGAACAACAACGAATTGAAAGGGAAGCTAAAAAGATTGAAAAAGAGCGTTGTCGTGAAGAAAAGAAACGTTTAAAAATGGAGAAAAAAGCTGCTTTAGCTGCTGAAAAAATTGCTGCACGTCAACAAAAGAAGGTGGGGGAAATTATAAATTGAAAAATAAATTTAAATTAAATTAAATTTTTTGTGTTTTGATGGTGGTATTTTTTTAATTAATTAAAGTGTAATAAATTTATTTTATTTAAAAAAATAAATTATTCTAGTTAGTCTTTATTCCCTTTTAATTAGCCACAACCCCTCCCTTTCTTTTTTTTTAATTTTTTAAAAAAATTTTTCTTCCTTTTTTCTTTAGAAAATATTTTTAGGATTAAAAAAAAATATTTTAAAAAATATTTTTAGAAAAATATTTGTATTTTGTATCATGTCTCCCACCATTTTAAAATGAACCCTCTCTCCTCCTTACATTTTTCTTAAAAAATTTCTTTTCTTAAATTTTTTCTTTCTAGTATCCCTTTTCTCCCCTTTGAAAAATTTTTTTCAAGTTCCCGCTCTCTATTATTAAAAATTTTTCTAAATTTTTAATTCCCCCCTTTTTAAAAAATTTATTTTAGCCTCCTCCCTCCGTTCTTTAAAATTTTTTTGTTTTTCCTTGGTTAAGGACAAAACCTTGCATACTTTTTTAAAATTTTCTCTAGTCTCTTGCGCGCACCCTCTTCGCTACACATTTACTTAATGAATTTTTTTCTTCTAGTCTCTAAAAATTTGTTTATTTTTTCTTCTCTTATTTTTTTTGGATTTTATTATTTAATTTTCTTTTTTTTTTTTAAATTTTTTCCCTTTTTTTTTATATCCCCCTTCTCTCCTACTTAACACAAATATATACAAGTATTTGTGTGTAAAAATAAAAATGTATGTGTACTTTTATGCACTCATGTGCCAAAAAAGGAGACTAGAAAAAAACAGGGAGAAAATTTATGTGTGTAGCTTTTAAAAAGCCGTCAGCCTTCCTTCTTTTTTTCACTTAAAAAATATAAAACAACATTGTTACAAAAAAGGGAAAATAAAAGGAAGGAGGCTTTTTCGAAGGCTTTTTCTTTTTTTCTATCCAAAAGAGAAGGAAAGAAAAAGCCTTTTTTTACGACGATTGACTGGCACACAGGCTGAAAGCATCAACTCGGGGCTTACATTTATTTTTCTTTCCTTTTTTCTTTTTTTTTCTGCTTAACGGGGAGGGGTGCTGTCATTTTTGGAATTGCCATAAAAAAGTGTGCCATATAAAAAAGTGTGCCATAAAATGTGTACTTGTGCTTCCTCTCTTTATATAATATTCTTTTGGTATTAAAAAATTCTTTTTGTATTAAAAATAGTAAAATAAAAGAGCGAAAAAAAGGGGGGGTGACAGGAGGACTTGTTAAAAATGACAGGAAAGGACACAGTCAGTGAGTGTCTGTTAATGGCGCGTTTTTAATATAAAAAATTTATTTTTAGATTAAAGAGAGAGTCTATTTATTTTTATTTTTATCCACTTCCGTGTACTTTTAATTTTTTGTTGTTGAATTTATTTTTAAAAATACTAGAGATAATTTAAATTTTTTTTTGAAAGAATTAGGGGATGATTAAGCAAATGTTTTTGTGTCTTAAATAATTTTTTTAAAAATAATTTATTTTTGTCTCCACTCTTTTAAAAAAATAATTTTTCTAGAATCTCTCGTATTTTAAAAAAAACTTTATTTTTCTTAAATAGTTACGTAATTCTTTAGAATAATTTTTTTAATTATCCGCATGTGTTTAATATTTAATTAAGTCCTGTCTGCACTTAAAAAATTTTTTTTGCTAGGATCTCATATTTTTAATTTTTTTCTCTTAAAATATTCACATTATCAGTGATGAGATTGTTCATGTATTTTGTAATTATGAGCTATTTTATGTGATTGTCCATATCCCTCTAATTCTTTCCAAGAAAATTTTTTATTACCTCATATTCTTAAATTTTATTTTTAAAATTTTTTTAAAAAATATTCTCATAATTTTTTAAAAAAATATATTTTTTTCTTTTTGCACTTTATATTTTTAAAAAGAATTTTTTTTTACTTCTTTAGAAAAATGTTTACATTATTCCAAATATTTGTTTAAATATAAAACTTTTTTTTTTTATTTGACTTTACCCTCATTTTTATTTTTTTATTTTTCTCACTTCTCTTTTTCAATTTTTTACATTTTTTTCGTGTTGCCAAAAGTTTTAAAAATATTTTTTTTATTTTTTTATTCATAATAAAAAATATTATTTTTAAAAAATGTACTTGTGTGAGGTGAAATGGAAGGGGGAATGGGAGGAATGTCTACTACTCTACTTTTACCTAGTTGGCATAATAATTTGTACTTTTTGTTTGTCTGTGTTTGGAATTTATTTTTAATGTTTTATTTTATGTATTTTTTAATTTTTGGATAAATTGCCAAGTTGACAAAATGGCTTAATTAAATTTTTTTTGGATTTTTGGATAATTTTTTTGGTCCAAATTTTTTTTCCAATTTTCCCCCAATTATTCCTTTTCCGAATTTTTGTGTCCAAAAAAAATTAATTGCCTCAAAAAAATTTTTTTAAGATGACTGAGACATTCAAACGTCTTTAAAAAAATTTTTTATAGACTTGTGGATGTCTCCTAGCTTTTTTAGACTTGAATTTCCTTGCAAAAAATTTTATTTTGCTGACATGAGACGTTTTGTCAACTTGGCTGACTTTAGAGATTTAATCAGAAAAAAAAGATTTTTTTTCTAGTGAAGCAATAAGGAAATAGAAATTTTTTTAGTAATTTGATCAAATTCCTTTCCTCCTTTTTTTTATTTTGTCACAAAAAGAATTTTTTTCTAGTTCCCCCTTTTTTCTTTTGTTTATTTAAAATAATATTTTATTCTTTTTTGTGTCCATATTGGCAATTTGTCGTCCCCACACGTCGCTTTTACAATTTTGCACTTTCTGCTTTTTTTAATGTTTATTCTCGAATTGGCTAAAAAAATAAAAAAGAAAATTGGCTCTCAATCTTGCTGTCCCGTCCCTATTTTTTTAGTTTTTTTTTTGTTTTGTTGTTGGCAGTTAGTCTGGCACCTTCTACCCACACATGCACACATTTACCTCTCTACTATTTATATATTTTATTTTTGTTCCGTCTCTTTAAACGCTGGCGGGGGGTTAAGTCGGCCTTCGACCTCGCTAGAAAAAAAACAAATAGCAATTAAAAAAAATTTAAAATTCACCTTAACTCAATTTTATAAAGATGGACCTAAGTACAGGACGCTTAAGAAAGCGTTTGTAATAATAATTAGAACATAATCATAACTTATTAGTCTGTCACTTCACATTAGAGACTGGACCAAGACGAGATCTTGAAATGAACTTTTTCGAGATCTTGGTCTAGGTTCTCGTCTTCCAGTTAATCTGTTCCTCGCTTACATACACGTATTTACCTCAAAACGTTACCTTGATAAGATAGGACCAGGATAGGATTTTATTTGCCATTTTATTCTGTCACTTTCATTCAGATTAGAGACTGGACTGAGGCGAGATTTTCGAAATAAATTTTTTCATGGCTCTCGATTCTCGTCTCCCTAGTTAGTCTGTCACCTCACACATAATAAACGAGTATTTTACCTCTTTACTATTTTTATATATTTTTATATTTTTGTTCCTTCTATCTTTTTTTTTTGTTAAACATTCAAGTACACACACAAACATTTGTGTGTGTGTGTTTCCCCTGAACCCCAGGCCACAACCACTTTTTTTTACATTTTTTTGTTATATATCCCTTTTCACATTTTTTTATTCCTTTTTATTCTCCCCGACATAAAAAGAAATGTAAAAATCAATTTTTATGAAAGTACATTCATAGAATACCTTCAAATTGAAATTTTTTTTATATTTTTGCGTGAAAAAAAAATTAAAAAAAATTTTTTTTTGTGTGAAAAATAGAAAAAAATTTGAGAGATTATTTATGTTGATGTTTCAAATATTTAAAATGTTGGGGTATTTAAAAATTGGGGAAAAATAATTTTTTTTTGAAAATAAAAAAAGATTTTAATTGCTCTAAATTATCAAAATAAAAAAAAATTTTTCCATTCACTTTCAGTCTTTCCTTCCCTTTCTCTTTTTAAAAAAAAATATTTTGGAAATCAACTTTTAAAGAAATCAGACCTCTCTCAATTTTTTTGTCTATTTTTGTTAATTAATTTTAAAATTTATTATTTTAACTTCTTTCTTTTTTTTTACATTTTTTTTGTTATATATCCCTTTTCACATTTTTTTACTCCTTTTATTCTCCCCGACATAAAAATAAATGTAAAAATCAATTTTATGAAAGTACATTCATAGAATACTTTCAAATTGAAAATTTTTTTTATATTTTTGCGTGAAAAAAAAATTATTTTTTTTTGTGTGAAAAAAAAGTGGGAGATTATTTATGTTGATGTTTCAAATATTTAAAATGTTGGGGTGTTTAAAAATTGGAGAAAAATATTTTTTTTGAAAAATAAGTTTTTTATTTGCTCTAAATTATAAAAAGAAAATTTTTTTTTAAATCGACTTTCAGTCTTTCCTTCTCTTTAAAAAAATATTTTTTTTAGAAATCAACTTTTAAAGAAATCAGACCTCTCTCCCTCCCTCTTTTTGTCTATTTTTGTTAATTAATTTTAAATTTTATTATTTTAACTTCTTCCTTTTTTTTTAATTTTTTTTCTGGTCTTGTTTACTATTTTTTTTATTTATTTTTTTTTAATTCGAGACAAACAAACAAACATAATTCATTAAATTCCACATTTATATTTTTCTATTTTTAGTTATCTAAAAATTTTTAAAAAAAAAGGGTGGTTGATTAAACAAATAAAAATGAAAATAAAATTAAAAATTATAAAATCATTGCCAAACAGTGTCTGTTGGTTAATCAAACTACAAAAAAAATTTTTCCCACACTGAAATAAATAAATTTTTTAATAATTTAATTAAAAAATATAAATACAGACTGTTTGACAATGATGTTTAATTTAAAAATATGAAAAAAAATTTTTAATAAAAAAAATTTTTAATAGACATATAAATAGACGCAAAAATTAAAAAAAATTTTGCAGAATTTTCAAAATTTTGGAAATTTTTTTAGTAGTTTGATTAAAAATAAAAATAGACTGACTATTTGGCAATGATTATTAATTTGAAAAAAAAATTTTTTTATTAAAAAAATTTTTAAAAATAAATACATAAATAGACGCAAAATTTAAAAAAACTTTAAAAATTTTCAAAAAATTAAAAAAAATTTTTTCAGTTAAATTTTCTTCCTTCATATAACGGCAAATTTATTGATGGTTCAACAACAACATCACTTTTATTATCACCAAATTCTGATTTAATTAAAAATAACAACAATTTAATTGATGTTCCTTGTACAAGTACAGGCTCCTCGTCTTCCTCAAATTCACTTTTAGACAAAATAAAAATTGAAAAATTTGTTGTAGAAAATGAAAACAACAACAACAATTTTAATTTGTTTAATAATGAAAATGATTTTTTGAGGGAACAATCAAAATTAGGTAGTTTAAAAATCCCCCTCGCTCCCCCCCGCTATTTGAGTTTCGGTTTAATTTTTTTCTTGTATTCTCTATCATTTACTCATGCATTTTAAGTAGAAATCGGACCGTGCCGTACACTACGGCCGTATTTTTCGGTATTTATCGGTATTCCGTTTCGGTAGTACGGTACGGAATACCGTACGGAACAAAATTACGATTTCTAATTTTATGTAAAAGTTATAGGTATGTCCAAGACCAAAAGGATTTTAAATCCAAAAAACCCTTAAAAAACCCTCAAAAACCCCCAAAAACCCCTCAAAAACCCTCAAAAAACCCCCTTAAAAACCCTCAAAAAACCCCTCCAAAAAATTCAAGACCAAGGTTCTTGGATTTTCTAGTAAGTTAAGCGAACAAAAATGTGGAAGGGGTTTTTAATACGCATTTTTTTGAAATTTTTTTTTGTTCAGAAATGAAACGTCCTTCAGCTACTATTGGTATTGCTACTGTTCATAGAAACGGTTTAATTCAATCACCAATGGGTTTGAATAATAATAATTCGTCATTGTTGATTAGACAACCTCCTAATAAAATGGCAAAATTGGAATCGGATGATGGAAATAAGTAAGGGAAATTTTTTTTACTAATAATTTTTAAGAATTTTTTTTTGAATTTTTTTTGGGAAAATCTTTTTAGTTTTAAGAATAGGAAATATCTCCCAAATTTTATTTTTAAAAATTTGTAAAAAGAATTTAAAAATTTTTGTTGAATTCTTATATTTTTCCACTTCTTAGTTAATTTTAGTGCCTTTAAAAAATAAAAAAATTATATGAAAAATTTTTTGGAAAATTTTTTTTCATTTTTTGAAACGAATTTTTAATTGAAAATTGTTTTCTTTTTTGATTTCTAAATATATTTTTATTTAGTTTGAAAATTATTTTTTTTTCATTTATTTTCCCCATAATTTTTTATTCTTTAATTTAATAACGAAAAAATATTTTTTCTTTTCAAAATTAAATTAATTTTATAAAAATAATTTTTTTTTACTTTTTTTTTTCCTTCTAAAATCTTAAAAGTACACACACACACTTTAACCTCTTTTTTTTTTTTTAAATTTAATTTTCTTTTTTTTTATTTTTTTAGAAGTGGTATTTTGATTGGAATTGCTGTTACATCGTCGTCGACATCAACAACAACTTCCTCTACTTCTACTACTTATCAACAACAACAAACTCCTTCACTTTCAGTTATTTCAAGTATTGAACGTTCAAATAATAATAATATTGATAATAAATCGACAACAATTTTACAGCAAAATAATAATTTGTTATTTAATAATATTAAAAAGAATAATGATTGTGCAGGTGGGGGAGGTGGAGGAGGAATGATTGGTGAGAAAGAAAAAAAATAATTATTTTTTTGAAATTGGAAAAATTTTTAATTTCGGAAAAGATGATTTATTCATAAATGTATAAAAAAATTTTTTTTGAAAATTTTTGGAATTTTTGAAAATCTTGAAAAAAATTTTTCAAACTTTCTGAAAAAAATTTTGGGGATGTGAAGAAAATCTTCTGAACAATTTTAGAAATTTTGAAGAAAATTTTTTTTTGATTTTTGAGAATTTTTTGGGAATGTGAATATTCCAAAAAAATTTTTTGAACAGTTTTGGAAATTTTGGAAATTTTTCGGAAATCTTGAATTTTTTTAATTTTAAATTTTAAAATTAAAAAAATTTAACGTTCAAGTAGATGGTCTTTCATCCATTTCAAATGGTGGTTCATCAATTAATTTACAACAAAAATTGTTATCTTCCTCACAAGAATCATTACAACAAGCATTACAAAAAAATCCAGAATTGGCATTTAATGTATGGGGAAAATTTTTAATTAAATTAATTTTTTAAATTTTTAAAGTTGCAATCCTTTGCTTCTCTATATTCCATCGACCCAGTTTTAATGGCTCAAGCAGCGTCAAATCTTTCAGCAGGGTTTCCTTCTCTTCAAAAGGTGAATTGAAAATTTTTTTTTGGAAATTTCAAAAAAATTTTTTGAAAAAGTTCGAAAATTTTTTTTAAGTTTTTTAAATTATTTTTGGGTTAAAAAATTTAAAAAAAAATTTTTTTTAAGCTAGCCCCAACAGATCTCCAAAGACTTGTCAATAATCAATCTTCTTCAACCTTTCCTCAAGGCTTGCCATTAGCATCACAATTGGCTGCTTCTTTGGCTGCCTCCCAAACATTAACAACCACAACAACAACTTCAAAATCTCATCAAAATAATTTGCCTCAACAACAACAACAACAAAACATTCCATTTAAAGTAAATTTTTGTTTGATTTTGAAAAAAAATTTTTTGCGAAATTTTGAAAATTTTAGATATTTTTTGAAATTTTTTGAAATTTTTTTTTGTAAAATTGCGAAAATTTTTTGAAAAAATTTCTGAATTTTTTTTTTGAAAATTCTAGGTTTTAAAATTTTTTTGAAATTTTTTTTGGAAAAATTTTTTGCAGAAAATTTTCGAAAAAATTTTTTTGAAATATTTTTTCTAAAATAAAAAAATTTTTAGAATCGTCGTTGGTGTAATATGCATGCTGTAATAGCCCATGAAATTGCTAAACACCAAGCAAGTACAACAACAAAAAAATCATCCACCTCTTCTTGTGTTGGGCGTGCTCCTTCCACAAATTCCACCTTAACAACAACCCCAACAATCGGAATTGCTGGTAGACATGCTACTTTTTGTAGTGGTAGTGGAAGTAGTGGAGGTAGTGGTGGAGGTGGAGGAAAAATGGAAAGAAAATCTGGATTAGCGGCATTACATAATACATTACAACAGAGAGGGAAAAGTATGCGGAAAGGAATTTTTTTAATACTAAAATTTTAAAAATTTTAAAATTTATTTTTTGAGACTCTAATAGATAGGGGAGGGTGGTTATAGGAGAAAAATAGTCGTTAGAAAACTTTTGCTAGCCGTGGTGTGGTGGTTAACACGTTCAACTTGTACTTTTCGGACGACCCAGGTTCGATGCCTGTCGTGGAAAAAAATTATTTTTTGTAAATCAGAATTTTTAAAATCAGAATTTTTTCTAAACCAGAATTTTTTCCAAATCAGAATTTTTCAAAATCAGAATTTATAAAAATAATTATTATTAATAGTTAACAACAATCAAATGAAAAATAACAGCTATATACAACATCCTCAAAATCCATCAAATGTTTCAATAACGTCAACTCCCCAACAGCAGCAACAACAATTTATTCAATTACAAGAACAACAACAAAAACAGCAACAATTACAACGTTCAGGCGGAAAAACAGTAATTAATAGTGGAAATATTGTTGCGTCTCAACAACAACAACAACAGCAAAATTTGTCTTCTGCTGCTGCTCCTTCTCTATTAAATTTACAACAACAATTAAATTTACTTTTTACGCAACAACAGCAGCAACAATCAAATCAACAGCAACAGCAAATGGCTTTAAATGAGTAAGAGAAAAAATTTCAGAATTAATAAATAAAATATAGATTAATGTTCTGATTTTAAATAGGAATCAGAATTTATTTAAAATTATGAGATACAGAAAAATCAGAATTTTTAAATGGTAAAGGGAAATTACAAAAATCAGAATTTTTAATTATTAAGTGAAAAATACAAAAATCAGAATTTCTTTGAAATCAGAATTTTCAATTAGTAATAGGAAAACAAAAATTTAAAAATCAGAATTTATCTAAAAATCAGAATTTTTAATAACAATTAATTGTTTTTTTTTATAGATCTCTTCTGACTTCCACAATTTTGTCTCGCCTACAAAATATTAATAAACCATCTTCTGATGCAAATAATAGTTTGCTTTCTGCTGCTGCATTAACTGGACTATTTCCTCAACAACAACAACCTTTTGGGGCTCCAAATTTAAACAATAATTCTCTTTTGGCTGGATTAAATTCTGGAGGAGTCATAGGGGGAGGACAACAACACCACCAACAACATCAACAACAATTATTTGGTGGTTTTCCAATACAACCATTAGGTCCAGGAACAGGGTCATTAACAAGTGGTAATAGTGATGCTGCAGCTGCTGCACAATTACAACAACAAGCAAATTTATTAAATGCTTTACAGCAACAACATAATGCGTTGAATTCGGTAGGGAATAAATAAATTATTGTGTTGTTGGGTCAGAACCGAATCGATGATTTTTTGATTTAGTTCTTCGTTCCGTTTCGGTTAGCCGAAAATTTCGGTTTGGTTTTTTGGTTATTTTTTCGGATATTTGAAAATTCTCCACGAACCGACAACCCCTATTTTTTACATATTTTTTCGACCATTTTACAATATTTTTTTCTCTAGAATTCTTTGGCAGCTTCTTTACTTGCTCAATTTAGTGGAGGTGGAGGAGGAGGATATTCCAATATAAATAACAATTCATTCAATAATTCAAATAATTCTGGACTTTCAACATTAGCTGCTGCAGCAGCTATAGCAGCACCAGTTTTAGCACCTCCTTCTATTCCTCAACAACAACCACCACCTCCAGCTCTTCCAAATAATTCATTAAATTCGTTGATGTTAAACAACAATAGCAATTCGGCAAATTTATTATCCTCATTAATGATGTATGAAAATGGATTAAAAAATGCTTCAAACAATAATTGCTCACAACAGCAACAACAACAATTGAGAGCACTTGCATTGCTTCAACAACAACAACAACAACAACAGCAAGGACAGCAAGGACAAGGACAGCTAGGAAATCAGGGACAAGGACTTCAGCAAGTACAAGGACAAGGACTTCAACAAGGACAGGGACAAGGACTTCAGCAAGTACAAGGAGGACAACAAGGACATCAGCAACAACCCAACAATAACTCTTCCTCTTCATTTTCTTCTTCCGCAACATCAATACCTTCATCCTCTTCCTCAACGTTTGCTTCATCATCCTCCTCTTCCTTGTCAACATCTTCAAATTTGATTTTAAATCCTCAACAACAATCAAACTTTAATTCTTCTTTAGACTCTTCCTTGTTAAATTCTTCCTCCTCAATTTTACTTGGAAATAATAATCTTCAATCTTCCAACAATAATTTGACAAATTTATTATCACCACCAACAAATAATAATAATTTTGCTAATGATTTATTATTAGCTGGAAGTGGTGGTGGTGGTGGAACAGAAGGTATTTTGGCTGCTTTTTTGAGTGGACAATCGGTTAGAAATTTTTGAGAAAAAAAATTTTTTTTAATTTAAAAAAATTACAGTTGGAACCAAAAATTGCTTTTCCTCCATCTCAAAATCAAAATCAAACAGCTTCATTGACAGCAGATCAACAACGTTTGCTTATGAGAGGTACTAGAGGAGGGGGAGTGACAGGAGGAGGAGGAGATTTGGTTGGAAATTTTTTTTTAATTTAATATTTGAATAGTCTGATAATTCACAAGAATAATACCTCCCAAAAATTGGGTACTCTTATTAAATTTAAGATACATTTTTAAAAAAATTGATAGACAACTAGGAGATGAGGTGGTTGTCTAAATGACACCCCTGCTGTGCACTACCTTAAAATAAGATCTTTTCCGCCTGTGTTCTTTTAGAGAAGTTACTTGAGTTTTTGGCATCATTTGTACTCTCGATACCAGAAAAAATTATTTCGGTACTTTACGATCGTCCCAGGTGTAGGGGTGTCGGTTTCACCATATTCTTCGGTTAATCGAAACCGACCCGAAAATTTTCGGCATTTCGATTCGTTTTGAAACCGACAACACTACTCTCAGGTATTGGAACCAAACACTACGTTATCTGCTTTAAATTAAAAAAAAATTTTTTATCTTTTTTTTAAAGAATTTGACAAAAATTGGAGGAATAACTCCAACATCAACAACAACCCAAACAAATAACAATAATTCATCATCTTTATTATTACCTCCCCCACCATCTTCACTTATTTCAAATTCCTTAACAAATGCAACAACAAATTTACAAATGAATCCAGTTGAACAAGAATTTTTAATGAGACAAATTAGATTAGCACAACAACAATTAAATAGTGGAAATGCTTCAAATTTAAAATTGTTGGAAAATAATAGTGTTGTTAGTAGTAGTTGTGGTGGTGGTGAAAATGTTGCTAATAAATCTAGGCAAATTCAATGATTATGAACTGAAGATTTGTCGAAGGAAGGGAAAAAAGGTTAAAAAAATTTTTCTAAAATTTTGGGAAGCGTAAAAAACATTTTTTATCTTTTTTTTTGGGAGCGCACCTTAAGACCAATAGTCTCCAAAAATAACAAGCACTTGTTTTCTTCTTTAAGTGGTAACCATTCTATGGATGTTTTTTTTGGGAACGCACCTTAATATTAAACACCGAAGTACCCAGCCACCATAACCCCTCAAAATACCAAAAACTCTGGAAAAGACGCTGAAAGCCGTCCAACATTTTGGTATTACGGCTTTATAACATTTTTTTGTTTAAAGAAAAATAACCATAAAAAATCTACTTAATATATAAAAAATATTTCTTTTTTTGCTTCTCAAAATTTTACTTCCCAAAATTTTTTTTGAAAAAAAAAATAATTTTTTTTTGCGGGTTTATGTATTTAAACACACACACTCGTTTTTCATTTAAAATGGACAACATTTTTAATTTGTATTTAAAAAATATATTTTATTAATATATTTATATATCTATCTCTTTTGATCACAGATCGTCGAAAATAAATTTTTTCCTCCCTCAAATATACTTAAAAAATTTTCTTTCCTTGATCCCTCTAATTGGGGAAAGCTTCGTTAATTTTTTTGGTTTCCCAACTTGATGATTTTTAAAAATTTTAATTTTACTGCCCAGTCCTGCTCTAAAATTGTATTTAAAATTATAAATACTTTTTATTTTTGTGGGGATCTTTGAGAGAGACTAAAATGGAGGAGAGATCGAGATGCCGTTCTCTTTTTATTTATTTGCCTTTTTATGTATTTAAATATATTATGTATTTCAATTTTATTTTTTATTTAAAAAATTTTTGTTTGTTTTGTCAGGCTGCTTCATGAAATCATAAAAAATTGTTTTTAAATTTTTTTTCCGTTTTTTTTGTTTTTTATAAATTTGTTTGTTTTTTTATTATTTGATCAATATATAAAAATGAATAAAAAGATTATTTGCATTTTTTATTAAATATTTTTTTGAGATAAATTTTATATTTTATATAATTTTATTTTTTATATTTTACAAAAGTAATAAAATAAATTTTTAATTTTTAAAGGGGATTCTGGAAAAATTTTGTGTTTTTGAGGGGACCCGATTGCCTCCCCCACTCGGGGAGTGCCACCTGTTTAAGTGCTATACAGAGACTAGACTAAAGCGGCCATCAACTGCCGCCAGGCATCGAACCTGAGTCTCCCATTAAGTGCAAGTCAGGGGTGTTAACCACTACACCACGGCAGTGGTTTTTTGAAAACCTCTGGGTTTTCGAGGACTTGTATCTTAGCCCATATATGAGATAGCGTTCTATTTTTGGTGTTATTCTGACTCAGAGTTATGGGTTCTTTCAAATGGGATATGTTGACCATATTGGAACCTCCCATCCTCCCCCACACCTCAACCCCCCTTCCCCCAAATTTTTTTTTCAAATAAAAAAATTTTTTTGTACTTTTAGATGCGATTTCTGTCCAGTCCTCAATCTTTTCAATCAATTTTTATTTTTATAGTGTTCTAGTAAAATATATAAAAATAATTTATGAAGATGAATAAAAAGAAGAAGAAGAGAGGAAGATGAATAACTAGTTTTTAATGCGCATTCTTCTACTTAATATAAGATGATCTCTCTCCTGCTGTGGCTTTATTGTAAAATTATTTTTTTGGTAATATGATGATGATATATGAACGATTTTTTGGACTAAATCGTTGGAAAATGTTTGAGGTGTGTTTTTTATTTTTAATTTTTAAAATCTCCTCGATTTTTTTCTCGGAAATTCTAGCAATGTTTTTTGCTGTTATTGAAAATCATCTTGCCAAGGCTTTCTTAAAAATAAAGTTTTATAGTAGGTAAGTAAGGGGTTGGACTTGTTTGGGGACAACAATGATACCTGTATAACAGGGGAGTGTGCCAGTTTCGCTTCTCACGGATTCCGTGGACTCACCCAGGTTTGGACCTGGTAGGTATCCAAAAATAATACTTTAATGGATAAATTTTTATTTAAAAAATAGGAAAAAAGGAAAAATAGGATATTTAATAATTGAAGGGGATTTAGAGGAATTATTTTTTTATAACGACAACAATAATATTTGACGGTCATTTTTTAATGTTTTATGGAGTAGTAGCCTTTTGAAAAAAATAATAAAAACTTTTTTTACAATTTTCCGGAATTTTTTTTTCTAAATTTATTTGCAACTTTACTGAAAATGCAAAAAAAATAAAAATATTGCCAGAATTTTCGAAATTTCTGAGAGAAAATTTTTTTTTCAGAAATTTTTGAAAATTTTCAAAAAAATTTTTTTTGAAAATTTTTTCTTGAAATTTTTTGAGATTTTTTTTAAAAATTTTTTAATATTTTCTCCCTTACTTTATTTCTAGAAATTGTTTAATCATTAAAAATAATTTATGGATAAAACTACAACAACGACTACAACAACAACAAAATTAACTCTTGTTAACTTAACTAAAGAAGACAAATTAAAATTAAGTAGAAGACGAAGAAGTAATCATTCAAACTTAATTACTACAAAAAAACAAGAGGACAACAACAACAACGTTATTAATGAAAAAATTGATGAGAAGAAGAATAACCGGTTTTGGCCAATAAAGAAAAAGTTTTCTTCTTCTACAAATATTTTGTTTATTAAAAATGAAGAGAATTTAGAAAAAATTGAATGGGGGAGGTAGAGGAGGAAGAGGAGGGGGAAATGAGGAGAGTGGAAGAGAAAGAGGATGAGAAGGAGGAGCATAGGGAGGGTGAAAAAGATGAAGAGGGGGATGAAGATGGAGGGGAGTATGAGGAAGAGGAGGATGAAGAGGAAGAAGATGAAGATGAGAAGGAAGATAATGAAGAGGAAGAGGACGAGGATGAAAAGGAAGGGATTGGTGAGGACGAGGAAGAAGAGGATAAAGAAGATGAGGATGAGGAGGAAGATGAAGGGAATGAAGATGAGATGAGTGAAGAGGAGGGAGATGAGGAAGAGGAGGAGGAAGAGGAAGAAGATGAGGAAGATAAAGAAGATGAAAAGGCTGAAGAGGATGAGGAAGATGAAGAAGAAGATGAAGTAACCAACATCGTCACTAAAAACGGTAAGGAAGCCACCCATTTACAAATAAAAGAAGTTGAAGGAGAAGAAGAAAAAAGTTTTGGTTTGGCCATTATATTAACGGTTTTCCTCTTCTTTTTAATACGAAAAAAATTTTTTTTTGTGTGTGGGTGGTTGTCCCGCCCATTAATTTTTATTTAATCCCCCCTATTTTTTCAGCTCTGTTATTCTCCTTCTTTTTCTTCTCTTTGCCTTGTTTTAATTTATTTTTTCGGCCGTTTTCTTCATCAAATAAGGCCCGAACGACGACAACTATTAATATTGCTGTTGCTATAGGACGGTCCGTTTTTATTTTTTTTTATTTTAAATTAATTTTAAATTGCAACTTTAAATGAATAGGGAAAAGAAATCAGAAATTTTTAAAAATTAATATTTCTGATTTTTTAAAAATTCTGGTTTTGAATTTATAAAATTCTGATTCTTTAATTCTGATTTCTGATTTTTTTTTTTAAATTCTGGTTTTTATAATTCTGATTTTCTTTCAATTTCTGATTTTTAAAATTCTGATTTCTTAACATTCTGATTTTAAAATTCTGATTCTTTAAAAGTTCTGATATTTTTTAAATTCTGATTTTTTAATTTCTGATTTTCTTTATTTCTGATTCTTTAAAATTCTGTTTTTCTTTAAATTCTGGTTTTTTAGTTCTGTTTTTTTTTTAAATTCTGGTTTTAAATTTAGAAAATTTCTGATTTTTGTATTTTTAAAAATTCTGATTTCCATATAAAATTAAAATAAAAATAAATAAAAACAAAAGAAATGTGCTGCAATATCTACAGTCTTTTTGACACTGCAAATGCTTTTCTTGGCGATTTTATTGCTCGTCATCCAATTAGGCATATTTTTGCAAGTGTTTGCTTTTTAATTGTGCTCTCCTTGCAATTAATTAATATGGATATTGGTTTAGAAATTTGAATTTTTTTTTATTTAAAAATAATTCTGATTTTTGAAAGAATAATTTTGAAAATTCTGATTTTGCCGACAATTTTCTGATTTTGAAAAAAATTCTGATTTTAGAAAGAATTCTGATTTTAAAAAGAATTCTGATTTTAAAAAGAATTCTGATTTAAAAATTTCTGATCTTAAAATGTTCTGATTTTAAAAAATAAAATTCTGATTTTTTTCTGAAAAATACGGAGTAAGGAGGATTCTTTATAAATAAGAATTTTATTTTTAAAAATCCGAATTAATAAAAATAAATTATTTTATTTTATAGAATATGATATTCGAGCGTCTTTTAGCCCTTTAAATTCAAAATCTATGAGGTAAAAAAAATTTTTTTCCTTTTAAGAAGAATTTTTTTCTGATTTTCTTCAGGGAAGCTTCTATCTACAAAGAATTTTTCAATCTTTCAACTTCACCCCAACGGGCTTTTATGCTTTTCAAAGCGAAAGATGGGGGCACTATGCTTCGTGAAACACATTTAAGAGAAGTTTTGCAACTTGATTCTGAATTGGATTCTACATTGTCTTTAAGGGATGGAAAAACTGGGTAAGTATTAGAATTTTTAAGATCAGAATATTTTTAATTTTTTGATTCTTAAAAGGTCAGAATTTAAAAATATCAGAATTTTTTAAAATCAGAATTATTTTTAAAATCAGAATTTAAGATCAGAATTTTATTACAAATCAGAATTTTCGAAAAAATCAGAATTTTTTATTTAAAAAATCAGAACTTATTTAAATCAGAATTTTCGAAAAAATCAGAATCTTTTAAACCAGAATTTTCAAAATAAAAACCAGAATTTTTTATATTTTGAAAATCAGAATTTTCTTGATTTTTAAAAATTTCTGATAATTAAATAATTCATTTTTATTTATTTTCAGAATGCGTGGGTGTGATCCTCTTTGTAATTTGAATAGACCTTTCCATTTAATTGCTGTTGGTTTTATTTATTAAAATTTAAAAAATTAATTTTTTTAAGCAAAATTTAATTAACAATTCTTCTGCTTCTTCACTTTTAAAATTGGATCACCCATTTTCTTATTATTTTGGTTCTCCTCTTTTTGTTGGGTCTAATTTGTTTGGAGTTGTTACTGGTTTGTTAATATTTAATTTAAAATTTTTTTTATTTCTAAAAATTTTTTTCAAAGGACTGCAAATTTTTTTGAAAATTTTTCTGAATTTAAAAGGAATTTTTTGAATTTTTTTTAGAAAATTTTTTTGATTTTTTTTTTAAATTTTCTAATTTTTTTGAAAAAATTTGAAAAATTTTTTCGAATGTTTTTTGAAATTTTTTGGGAAATTCTCTGATTTTTTTGAATTTTGTGGAAATTTTTTGAAATTTCTTAAAAATTTTGGCATGTTTTTGATTTTTTGAAAATTTATTTTGAACGAAAAATTAAATTTATAATAAAATTAAAAATTTTTTCTTTAACAGATAAACATGACATTTCAACCAAAAATATCGACAAAAATCAAAATTCAAAAAATTCTCAAATTTATGTCCGAACAATTATTCTTTGGTATTTTAGTAGAGCTGACACAAAACAAAATATTAAGCAATTGAGGAATGTTACTTTAAATTTATTTGAAGAATCTCAGAGGGGAAAAAGATTTAAATATGTTCAATTTCAAATATTTGGGGATGAAATTGCTAACAGGTTTTTTTTGAAAATTTTTTTTGAGAATTTTTTTTGAGAAAAAATTTTGAGAAAAATATTTTTTTAAAGGGAAATGATACGTGGAGCTATTCAGGTTGCTTTAAAAATATTTTTAAATTTTTTTTGGAATTTTTTAAAATTTTTTGCCATATTTTTTTCGGAACCCTTAAAAATTTTTTAAAATATTTTTTTTAATAATTTTGAAATTTTATTATTTTTTAAAAATTTTTCTAAAATAAAAAAAAAATTTTAGGCAACAATTTTAATGTCGATTGGCCTTTTACTTTTATTAATTTTTGTTTCTTTTGTTGTTTATCAAAAAATGAGTAATTTAGTCAAAATACCCGCAATTGGATTAATTGTTTTAATTTCTATATTGTGTCCATTACTTTCAACTGTTGCTGCTTTTGGATTTTCTACTTGGCTTGGAAATAGAATTTGTGAGGTTTTTTTGGAATTTTTAAAAAATTTCTGAGATTTTAAAAATTACTAGAAAAATTTTTGAAATAAAAACATTTTTTTTAATTTTTTAAATTTACTTGGCTTAAAAATATGAAAATTTTTTATATAAAAATCGCATCTCCAAAAAATGTTTTACAATTAAAAAAATTTTTTTTAAAGATACCTTAATGTGTGTAACACCATTTTTGATAGCTGGTGTTGGTGTGGATGACGCGTATTTTTTTAATTTAATTAATTAAATAATTTTTTTTTCGATGAAAAAAATTTTTCCAAACTTTCCTTAAAATCTTTAATATCAAAAAATTCAAGAAAAATTTTTTTTCAGCTTTATAATGTTACAATCGTGGCAGCAACACAGAGACATTAAATGTTTAAAACAAAGACTATCAAAAGTTTTAGGTTTTTTTTAAATAATTTTTAAAATTTTTTTGGGAAAATTTTCTAAAATTTTTTTCTGGTTTCTTATAAAAAATTTTTGAAAATATTTTTTCCAAAATTTTTCCCCAAAAAATATTTTTTTTCTAGTCCACATCGGCCCCTCAATAACAATAACTTCATTAACAAACACAACAGCTTTTGGTATTGGTTATTTTACTCCGGCCCCAACAATGAGTTTATTTTGTTTGTGTACTTCTGTAAGGATTATTTTTTTTAATTTTTTAAATTTTATTTTTTAATAGATTGGGGTTTTGGTTGATTATATTCTTACATTTACGGTTTGTGTATTTTATTAAATATATCAGAACTTTTTTGTGTTTATTTTTGCAATCAGAATTTTTTTGTGTTTTATTCTGATTTTATTAATAAATTAATTGGATAATTGTAAAACACAATTCTGAAAAAAATTCCGAAATTAAATTCTGATTCTGAAATAAAAATTCTGAAAATAATTCTGATTCTGAAAAAAAAATTCTGAAAAAATTCTGATTCTGGAATAATAATTCTGAAAAAAATTCTGATTCTGAAAATAATTCTGATTTAAGAAAACACATTCATTGGTTTTTAAAACACTTTCTGATTTAGAAAAAAAACACATAAAAATTCTGATTTGAATATACCCAATGAAAAACACAAATAATTCTGATTTTTAGTTGTTAGCCCCAGTTCTGGTTCTTCTCTCTACTCATTTTCCTACCACAAAACAACCAACAACTTTATTACCCCCTCAACAACCAGAAAATAATGAAAAACCTTTAATTGCATTAATTCCTCAACAACTTCCTTTAAATCCTCAAACTTGTTCAAAAGCTTTTAAATACGCTAAATTTATTCATTCAACTAGAGGACGTTTCTCCGCTTTTTTATTGGCTATAATTCTTTATATTGTTGGGACAAGTGGAGTTTTGAGGTTTTTTTTTGAGTAAAAAATTTATTTTTGAAATTTTTTTGAAAATTCGAAAATTTTTTTAAGAATTTTTTTTCGTGTTTTTAAATTTTTTAGAGAATACGAAAAAAATTTTTTTTTGAAAAAATAAATTTTTAAGAATCAATTTCCAGGTTTAAATCAACCTTTGAGCCTTCAAAAGCATTTCCTTCTGACTCACCTTTGGCCCATTCATTGGATTCTGTGGGGGATGTATTTGATGAATTTTTTCCGCTTTGTATTTTGGTCAATCGACCGCCTAATTTAACTGATCCGGAAGAGGTTTTTCTTTAAATTTTTTGTTAAAATTGATTTCGTCCCCTTCCTTTCTCGCCTTACCCAGCTCTACTTTTTAGAATCCGGGATGGCGCCTCTGCGTTCTCTGGGGATTATTCTAGTTTTTTTTCAATAAAGATTTTTTAGGAAAAAAGTAGAGGTGATCTCACTCACTAACATAGATCAAGGGCGTCTAATTTAACTGATCAAGTTAAATTTTTTAACAGCCAGGGGGTCGATTTCAGTGAGGAGGGTTAACAATAAGATGGGCTGTGTGTCAAAATTTTGGCGTTTACTTTGGCATTTCGAACGCAAAATTTTTTGTAAATATTTTTTTGGGAGTTGTAGGCAAAGGCCTAACAAGGAACTTTGAGGAAGGAAAAAAAGAAGAGAGAGGGGAAGGGTATGAAATTTAATTTTTAAAATTAATATCTATTTATTTCTAAAGTATTCTTCATTCAATAAAATGGTTGCCGAATTGGAAGGATTACCAGAAAGTTGGGGCTCAAACAGAACACTTCTCTTCCTTCGACCTTATGAGGAATTTGATAAGAAAAACACTCATTTTTGGCAGTCTTTAGGCCTTGGACCTAGCGGGAAATATAAATTTAGTTTGGACAATCTTCCTTTTTTTATGAATTCTATTGGAAATCCGCCGACTGTGAAATATGAGAAAAATGGGTATTTTTGATTTTTTAATTTAAAAATTTTTGAAAAAATTTTTTTTGAAATTTTGGAATTTTTTGAAAATTTTTTCAGAAATTTTTCAAAAAAATGAAAAAAATTTTTGAAAAAAATTTTTCAAAGATTTCAAAAAATTTTTCAAAAATTTTTTTTTTAATTCTGAAAATTTTCAGAAATTTTAGAAAAATTTCTAGGAAACTTTTCATAGAATTTTCTGAAATTTTCTGAAATTATTTTTGAAATTTTTCACAGAAATGGCAGCATCCAACTAAAATCTTTTCAATTTTCCATTGTAAACAAAGGAATGACTGAATGGTGGAATCGTGCTGTTATGGAAGAAAAAGTTAGAATAATACTTGAAAAATATGAAAAGAATTTTAATGCTTCTATGTATGATGCTGACTCGTAAGAAATTAATTTTCTTTGAATTTTGAAAATTTCTGGAATTTTTCTGAAAGAAAATTTTTTTGAGATGTTTCAGAAATTTTCTGAAATTTTTTTTTCAGAATTTTCAAAAAATATTTCTTTTCAGTCCAGTTTTAAACATGTTATTAACCGTTAAAATTGATTTGATTGGCTCTATCGCCGTAACTGTTGTTTGTATGGTTTTGATATGCTCTCTATTTATTGCCCACCCTGCTGGTGTTTGTGTTATCGGGATTTGTATAAGCTCGATTTGTTTTAGTTTGGATTTTTTTAAATTTTTTTCTAAATTTTTTTAAAATTAAAAAAATCAGAAAATTTTTTAAATTAAAATCTAAATTTACAGCGCTAGTTGGAACTCTAAGTTGGTGTGGTGCAGATTTGGACCCGGTTAAAATTTTATTTTTTAATTAAAAATTTTTTTCTTTATTTTTTAAGATTACAATGGTGGATGTACTTTTGGCTACTGGTTTTAGTGTGGACTATACGGTTTGTGGGAAATTTTATAAAAAAATTTCTGAAAATTTTTAAAAAATTTTTTAATTTTTTTGAAAAATTTTCAGAAAGAATTTTTCCGATTTTTTCACAAATTTTTAGAATTCCCAGCACATAAATTCCCAAAAAAAATTTATTTTTAAGGCCCACATTGCTCATCAATACTACACAAAACAGGGATCAAGTATAGAAAGGATAGCACAAAGTTTGGATGGTTAGTGGAATAAAATTAAATTTTTTTTAATTTTTTTCACATACAGAAATGTGTCCTCCAATGTTACAAGCAGGTTTTTTATTTTTTTGAAATTCAAAAAAATTTTTCCAAAAGGAATTTCCACTGCTCTTTGCATGGTTCCTCTTGTCTTTCTTCCAACTTATGCCATTGTAAATTTTTTTTCAGTGTCTTTCCATCCTGGGGGGTTTTTGCCAATTTCCATATTCCACGAGCGTGGCTAAGGGGGTCCCTGAACTGAGAGAAATTGCAAAAAAAATTTGGGAGGGAAACGATAAATAAAGTGAATCTTGAAATCGGCCCCCGGGCTCCGCTCTTGCCGTATTCTGCCAATAAGGCAAAAAACCCCCCAGGATTGCCCATGTTCTTGGTAATAAAACGTGAAGTTGTGCCCTTCTTGGTAAAATAAGAAATTGGCGAAATATATGGGAGCCAAATTTTTTTTTAATTTTTTTATTTTAAAAATATTTCCCTTTCCCCACATGTTAAGGTGGCCTTTGCTAAAACGGTAAAATAAAATTTTTATTTTTTAATTAAAAAATTTTTTAAATTATTTTTTCTTTTAAAGATTTTTGTTGTTGTTTCTATAGGTTTTTTTTAAATTTTTTTTTGAAATTTTTGAAATTAAAAAATTTTTAGGTTTGTTGCACGGACTATTTTTCCTCCCAGTTCTGCTTTGTGCTCTACCCGAATCAAAAACGGAAAAAACAATTAAATTGAGAAATTCAACTAAAATGTCTCCAAAATCAGCAAAAATGTTGTTTAATTCAAAAGAACCAAATACTAATAATGGAATTTTAATTATTGGTGAAAGAGAAGAAATATAGAGGGAAGAAGAAGAAAAAAATATTTTTGACGAGATTACCGGTGAAAAAGTTTTTTTAGAAAAGTTCAAAGTAAACTATTAATAGACTAAGGGATGTCACGAGTCGATAACCGAACTTTTTTTTTGTGACCCAGACTAGTGTGCGGCACGGGACGGGATCTCGTACTGGATCCCGTCCTGAAATCCCGTATTTTAAGCGACGAGCGGGATTATCGGGTATTTACGGGATTATCCCGCGGGATCCCGTCCCGTAAAAAGTTTGAAAAAATCTCGTTGATGGATCCCGTGAATGCGGTTTGCCGCACACTAACCCAGACCCGATCTGAAGAAAATTTCGAAAACCCTCTCCCCTACTACATTTTTAAACCTCTTGACATCCCTTTAAAGACGTAATAATTTTATTTTTAATTGTTTTTAATATCTTTTTAGCATTTTCAAAATTGTTTTTTTTAATTTTTAACATTGTAAAATTTACTTTTTACCAGTTTTATGAAAAGTTTTTGATGTTTAAATTATTTTTTTGGAAATTGTTAAGTTAGAAGCCTAGCCCGAGCAGGCATCGAGTCGGCGTTCTTACAGTTATTATTATTATCCCAGCAATTATTACTATATTACCTAATCACCACTAACAAGGATGGGACGGGTTGAACGAAAAGAAAATTTCTTCGCAGCGGATCGAAAAAAGCCTGGGCTTCTGGTAACCCCCGCCTTAAAAATTCAAAATAAATTCAAACCCGTCTTATCATTTTTAAAGTAAAAAATTGACCCACCGCCTAAAAACTGGAGGAGAATGTTTAAACCCCCAACAATACATCTCAAAAAATTTTCCTTTTTTAAATAATTTTTAAAAATCAAAACCTCAATCTTTTTGAACTACTCCTTTTTCATTTCGTTCTCGAATCCTTCTCCAACCATTTTCATCTCTCTTGTGGAGATCTAGAACGACTTCTACTTCTTTTAGAGCTTCTTTCCCTTTCCCTTTTCACTTTAAAATGTTGTTGCTCGTTTCTAGAAATTTTTAGAATTTGGCATTTCTAAAAATTAATTTTTAATAACAAAATTTAAAATAAAAGCAATTAAGAAATATATACAGAAATTATAACTTTTTTAAAAAAAGAAAATTTTTTAGAAAATTATGTTTATCTAAAAAGTCAAATTAAAGCAAATTTTTTAAAATAAACAATGAAAATAAATTAAACTACCGCAAATGCTGAAATAATGTCCTTCTCTCAAATAATTACCCCCTCTCTTTTAATCACCCCCCCCCCAAACGAGATAAAACAATAATTACACTGGGTAATTATTTTTAGCAAATACGGTACCTAACAATAAGTCTATAAATAAATTTATCAATTAATTCTCTTAATCACAACTCTAACTCCCGGCACAACTCTAACTAACTTTACGTTTTTTTCATACAATGACACATCAATACGCTTATATTTGTCTTCAATGCATACAGAAAATTTAATTTTTGGATTGTGGTCATTAAAGAGTTGAAATTTTGTTGTTTTAATATCTTCTTTAAATTTGGTTTTGATGTTTTCTGTATTTTTACTTGAAATAAGAGATCCATACATAATATCAAATTCAATATATTTCGCCATTTTAGAAAGATCTTGTGATGTTTCAATATGCTAAATGTGAATTAGTTTATTTAAATAAAATTTTTCTAAATTTTTTCTAAAAATCTTGCAGTATATTCAATATAATAAGGCGTCTAAAAAATTTTTTAGATGTAGTTTAGTCAAGTGCCAACTCTAAACAGGTCAAAACATATGACATTCGATTCGTCTCGTGGTGAGCTGAATCATTGGTAGCACTTTCTATAGGTGCGAAAATGCATGTGGAGCAGGCATCTCAACGCATATCTGGGGAAATTCCCAATTTTTCTGAAAATTTTCGGGAACGGGAATTCCCGAAAAAAATAAAATTTCCGATTTCGGGAATTTTTTCGGTGCGATCCCTGCTATGGAGTATAAATAAAAATCTTTCATTTCGGTGTACCAGCCCCATTTTTATAATAAACTTGTACACACCTTTATAATAGAATTGTAAATTCTTGAATCAAGAGTATCATAAGTAATAGCAAAAAATAGATTTCCTTCATTTTTCAAAATTTTAATCAAGGTGTCTATACAATTTTCCACTTCGAACATGCGTTCAAGAACAATTGTGTAGGGGTCGATGTAGAATCTACTATCAAGAACAACAACTCTAAATTGATTACAAATCAGATGATTCACAGCAAAATTTAAAGCATGATCAGTTTCAAGAAATACTTCTCCCATTTTAGAATGGATTTGTAAAGGTTTAATTGTTGTTGTGTCTTCATCAAATAATAAATCAATCATTTGTGGATTAATTATAACATCATCAATTCGAAAAATCTCAAAGGCACAGTTGAAAAATAGCTGTAATAAATAGCGAGCAATTTTCATTTCCACAATGTTTTTTGGAAACTTTGTCAATTGTAAATAGTATATTGCTAAATAAAATTTTTTAAATTAGAGAATAATTTTTTAGTAAGGTTTGACAAATGCCAAGTTTCTTTCGGCCAAACATAGAATTTTATTTTCTGAATTGTTGATGATTTTTATTAAGATTGTTCACGGTCGATCAGCCGACCCGAAACCAGGTGTTTTTGGCCATAAACCGAAAACCAGGGGTCAAAACCGGCGAAAACCGAGAACCGGCCTAAACCGACCGGTTTCGGGGTAATAGTGAAGGTAATTGGTCCCTAGAAGAAATTAGTAAAGTGCTCTTTTGGTATTTTTGAGGTTTATCAGTAGGTAATTGTGATGTAGGAATATTTCATTAAAGGATTTTAAATGGATAAAGTTTGAATTGGATATTCTTTATGAGAAGCCAAAAACTGGCTTCGGTTACCGAAAACCAGGAATAAGTCAAAAACCGAAAACCGGGGGTAACAGTTAATAACCGGTAATGAACAACCATCATTTTTATGATAAAAAAATGACTCATAATTTTATTTATTATATATTTTATTCCATAACCTCAAATAATAACCTTTATCCACTTTGTAATCATGTTGCAATTCGCAGAAAAAAGTATCGCCGACTATCGATGGGCAAGTATTGAAATTATCATATTCGTGCTCGGGATCACAATTTACTTCCGCTATTAAAAACATAGGAATTGAGTTTTCTATTCCGGCCTTCCACTAAAATGGATGTTTAAAATGGAAACGTTAATTAAAAAAACCTTTTCTTCAAGTTGTTCACTCAACTTGAAATCATAAAGTTGAGGTTCTAGTTTAATGAATTCATAAATACATTTATAAAATCCATGTTCATCCAATTTAAAGCAATAACTTTTAGGATATGGCTCATAATCTTTATACCTATCTACTTCGTAACGTAATCGATGAGTATCAATCTAAAAATGATTATTAGTAGAGGTCGGCACAGGACAGGATCCCGCACAGGATTTTTTAGGATCCTGCCCGAAATCCTGCCTTTTTTTCAGTTTTCAGGATTTTCAGGATTAATCCTGCAGGATCCTGTCCTGTTCGAAATTTTAAAACGCAATCCTGTTACAGGATCCTGCAAATGCGATTTTACCGACCTCTAATTATTAGAAAGCATGCAAAATTATTTTCCGAGTCCGGAAATGAATCACTAGCAGTTCTGATTTTTCTAAATTAATACGGTCCGAAAATATTCTGAGATTGGGAAAGAAACACCGTATTTGGGACAGAGCAAGTGCAGAGGCTCTGAAAAAATGGGAAGGCTCTGAACTGGGGCAGAGGCTCTGAAAAAATCCGGCCGGATTAGGCCCGGCGCCGTACATTATTAGGGAATCAATTTATATAAAAAACTAACTATTTCAAGTCTTTCGTATTTCTTCCTTGCCAATTGCTTTTCATATGTGTCAATAAAATTTTTGAAATAAAAATTTGTTTGTTGAACAGCCAATAATTGAACAAAGTTGAGAAATTTAAATATATCAAACAGAATTTCTGGTTGAAGGTTTATTTTGGATTTTTTAGTTTTAATGTCAGCAGGTAATTTGTCTTCTTCGATTGGAACCAAACGATACCATTGACCTTCCTAAAAGAGAAATTTAAATATATTTCTGGTTGAAGGTTTACTTTGGATTTTTTAGTAGCAGGCACTTTGTCTTCTTCGATTGGAACCAGACGATACCATTGACCTTTCTAAAAGATTTTTGTTTTTTTGGATATAGTTTAGTATAACGGAGTCTTAGTTTCGACACAAAACCCATGCCATTTGATTCGTCTCGGCGCCCTATATCTCGGTCCACAGGCATCTTCGGAAAAAAGAGCGGTACCGTTCGACTCAACTCGCCGAGACGAACGGTATGGGACTTGTATCGGAACTAAAACTCCGGTACACTAAACTACTTTCGATTTAAAATTAAATTAAAAAACCTTTTTATAATATTTAACGCCCTCGTGTTCAATAATTTTTTGATCCTCGCTCATTATTGTAAAATAATTTAATTAAAGTAAATTGAAATTTTGGTCTAAAAATTAAAAGAAATTGTAAAATAATTTGAAAAAAATTAAGTAGTTAAAAATCCTAAAATAAAATTTAAAAAATAAAAGGTTAAAAAACCAAATTAAAATATTAAAAAAAATAAAATTAAACAAAAAATCTATACAAACAGGAAAAAACAAAACAAGCAAAAAAAACAAATTTCAAAACAGGGATTGGAACTTTTTCGAGAAAAAAAAACTTTTTTAAGATCTTAAAAAAATTTTTTTTAAAGAACGATGTGATGCCAAACGAGAAAAGCAGGTGACTCACCGGGCAGGATTGCCACCGGGCGAACCTGTCACCTTCTAGTAGTTATTGCTAGGCGTTTTCGCTCACCACATACAGGAGCTCAACCACTAACATGGGCAACGACTCATGCTTTTCTTTTATCCATTTAGATCGTTTAACCTAACAATAAGCGTTTTAAATTCTCTAAGGTGAATCATCCTTACATTCCTTAAAAATAAAATTCCAATCCCTCTAAAATTCCAATCAAAAAATTTTTTATAAAGAAAAACCTTCTCCCTCTTTAAACCTTCTCCCTCTTTATCTTCCTTCTACCAATTCTTCTCTATTGGACTATCCATACAATATCCATTTGCATCTAATAAACTTTTTGCTGCTCCCATAACACTTGGATTAACATTTATAATTTTTTGTTCTAAAAATTAAATTTTTTTCTTTTAAACTATCGAAACATACGAGTCTCCATTACTTCAGCAATTACTCTTTTAGATTCTTCTGCTGCTCTGCTACAAAAATAGTTGGTCCAATCAAGCTGTTTAAAAAATGGGAGAAAATAATAATAAATCTAACAATTATAGCTAAAGGTTAAAGGTAAAAGGGGAGAATTGTGCCAATGAGACCTTAGTTGAGGAAGTGCTCCTTCTGGGATGGCAGATCCAGGATAGAAGGAACACTACAATTTTAAACTAAATAAACGAAAGAAATAAGCCCAAAGGCCGTCGAAATATCAGCCTATGGATAGCAAGGGCGTATCCAGGGGGGGGCTGGGGGGGGGGCTAGAGCCCCCCCCCCCCCGAAATGGGGGAAAGGGGGAAAAAATTAGGAGAAGGATGGTCGAAAAAGTGAAATTTTTTCGCCTACAACCCTCAAATTTTAAAAAATTTTCGCCTGCGGCGCAAAAAATGGAAGAAATCTGGCTTCTTGAGCTCCAAAATCCTCAAAATTTTCGCCTGCTGCGCTAAAAAGTGTAATTTTTTGGCCTACGGCCCTCCAAATTCAAAAAATTTTCGCCTGCGGCGCTGAAAAAGTGTAATTTTTTGGCCTACGGCCTTCGAATTTTAAAAAATTTTCGCCTGCGGCGCAAAAAACGGAATTTTTTTGGCCTACGGCCATCTAAAATTTAAAAAATTTTCGCCTGCGGCGCTGAAAATATAAAAAGTTATGTACAAAAAAATTTGCCGTAGGAAATCCAAGGTAAACGCCAAAAATTTTTGCGCCCACCCAGTGTTAGCCCCCCCCGAAACCGACCCGCTGGATGCGCCCTTGATGGATAGCATTGGCTCCCCTTCCTAATTAAAAAAAATTAAATAAAACCTCCAAACGAGAGTTTCTAACACCAACAGAATAAGCTCTACTTGCTCTAGCTATTGCAGAAATCATTGCCAAATTATTTTCCATTAATGTTGAAATACTAAAAAATTTAAATTAAAGAAATTAATCAAAAAAACATACTCTTGTAGGTTAAATAGGTTAATTAAAAGACAGCACTAAAAGATACAAAAAATAAACAAAGAAAGAGTTTAGCAACAGTTTAGCCAACGGGCAGGATTAAACCTGCAACCTCCTCGTATTTATTGCTAGGCGCTTTCGCTCACCACATACAGGAGCTACCCCTAAGCTACAGGGGCATCGACTAATCCTTCTCCTTTTTAGATAGTTTAACGCCCGCCTAAGCTTTTTAAATGCTCTAGGTGAATCATCCTTACAGAGATGAACGTCAAGTTTTTTGGATATTGACTAACAATAAGTGAGGTGAGTTGTCTAAGCGATACCCTTAGATAAGACAACCTAACTAAAAAGAAGACAATTTTCAACCAAAGCGGGGATAACTAAAGCGCTATCCAGAGATTAGTTCGACCCGAAAATCGATCCAAAGAAAATTTTGAAGACCCCAATCTGAAATTCGACCCAGCTTTTTTTTCTTATCTTGGCTTATAATTTTCGTAAAAAATTTTCAAAAAAAAACCTAAAGCTTCTTCACAAATCCAACCACAGCAGCACCATAAAGCGTTTTGCCTGAATAAGCCAATTCATCAACCATTGCTCCAGCATTTTCGCTTTCCCCAATCATCAACGGGGACATTATTGAAAACAACCTCATAAACTTTGAAAAACGAGAAAATTTTTAAAAATTCTAAAAAAAACCTACAATTGCATTTTTGCAGTCCACTAGTCATTAATTTATTTTTAATGGTTATTGAAGCATTTGGGTCTTTAATTGAATCTTTTTCAATTATATAACAAGTAGGAAAATTCTAAAAAAAAATTTTAAAATTAAAAAAATTTTCAAAATTTCAACCCCATCCCCAATCCTTTTATTAGCAAAAACTATAAATAAATTAGCATCCACAGCATTTACAACATTTACTTTATAAGCATTAAGTCGTTGTGGTTGACCAGGGGCTGAAGAAACTTGTGATGATGGATTGACTGAAGTACTGAAAATGGGACTTTTTTGCGGACAAAAGTTGCGGACAAATAGAGATTGAGCCTGGGTAATGGTCAAGGAAGACCCAGGAATCTTTTAAAATTTCTAGGACTTTTTCTAGGCCTGTGGACATTAGAGACGTTCCACGAAGCGATATCGACTTCAAATGTCCGACATTTGGCAATCGTTTGACATACAGATTGTAATTGCCAACATGACTCTGACATCGTTTTTGACAACGACTACTTTTAGCGACAGACCATGTTATGTCTCTGTCGCAATCGACATTGAGGTCATTGTCGCCTCAACAATGTTCTCAATGTCAATTGTGACAGTGACATGCCATAGTCAATGTCGAATGGTCAATGTCGTCAGTGTCAGAAATCAACGATTCAAACCAGCTACTACCAATTAAAAATCTCGACCTCTATTGCCCAATCAAACCAAAAAATTTCCTACGTTTCCTCTTGCCAACAAATTGCAGGTCTCCATTTTCCAGTCCAGGCAAATAATCATCTTTTTGCTTAATCGTTCCAAATTGTAAAATTATATTTGAGCAAGTCATCAAATTATTAAACATTGTAAAAATTGAAAGATCTCTAGAGCTAATACATTCCACTAATTGAAGAACATCTTTTTGTTGAAAACCAACACCTCCAAAATCTTTTGGAATAATTGCTCCACAAATTCCATTTTTCATGAGGACATCAACAATTTCTGAAGGCATGAGGCCAGGGGAGGTTTTGACGTAAGGAACTTTAAAAAATATTTTTAAAGAAGTTGGGGAAGTTCAGAGGGGCTTAAGGACGTCCAGAGGCTTAAATTTTTTTAAAATAAGTTGAGAAAGTTCAGAGAGCCTTAAGGACGTCAAAGAACCTTAAGGACGTCCAAAAGCTTCAAAAATTTTTTTTAAAGAAGTTGAGGACGTTAAGAAGGCCACAGGGACATCAAAGGGCTGAAGGACATCCAGAAGGTCTAAAAAATTTTTCAGAAGTTGAGGACGTTAAGAGAGCCTCAAAAAATAAACTAACGCCCATTCCTCTCAAAAATGACAGAATTTAAGGAAGAACTAAAGGTTCTTTTATTCTCCGAAAGAAATTATTAAAAAAAGAAGTCGAAGACGTCCAGTGAGCCTCAAAGAAAGAAATTTCCCGAATCACTCTTATCCCCCAAAAACTTTTTTTAGAAAATAAACAGTGAATTTTAAAAAGTTAAAAATACTTGTTTTGTCAAGATCATCACCAAGTTTGCCAACATACGATTTTATATTTACAATTTCTGCCAGCTCCAAATATTCAGGAAAAATCATAAAATCCTTCAAAAAATTTTTTAACGTTAAACAAAAAAATAAAAAAAAACCTTTTCAAATTTATTAAGCATTGCTCCACAAGATAACGACCTTTTTTCTATTGGAACCATTTCTGTAATTTGATCAATTTCATTTTTTTCAGATTTTTCATCTCTATTGACGCTGGTGAGAGAGTTTCTAATGAGAGAGAGTTTTCCTCGTTGACACTCAAACTCTGCGATGAAGGTGGCACTCAACTGGCTCGCGTTTGGTGAGAAAAAAATGAAGTTAGCACTGAAACGGCTTGCATTTTGTGAGAAAGAAAGCAGAAAAGTGAGAAATAGTGTTAACGCTATTTGGCGCATTTAAAAAAATAAAAATACACAACGCCACCAGATTTCCAGTTTAACCCGCCGTGTAAAAAAATTTCATGGGAAATGCTCTCGGCCAGTTGAGGTTAATTAGATTCGGGACTCAACTATGGGCCGAGATATAGATATCTATAGAAATGGTCAAAAATTAGGGACGAGGGCCAATTCAGCATTTTGGAAATTTGAAGAGCATTGGAAAAAAATAAATTTGAGAAAAAATAAAAAATATTGGAACACATCTTTAATTAAGAATGGAGTAAAAAATTTTTTCTCGGATTTTTCTTTTTTTTTCTCGAAAATTACTTTGTCATTTGTTTTATATTTTTATTTTAAAGATTTTTCAGATTTTAAAAATTTCTAGAAAAAATTTTTAATGGGAAGAGATTCTTCAAAAGATTCTTCAAAGGAAAAAGATTTGCAAAAATTAATTGATAATTGGCTGGAATGGGATAAGGTTTTATTTTTTATTTTAATTTATTAAAGTAATTTTTTGAAGAACTCAGACACTCGAAACCGAGTTGCTAAACTTCTTGATGGAGGAGATACAGAAGCACTTAAAGCTTTGATGATTGGTGAACTTGCTTTTGGAATAGGTTTTTTATATATTATTTTAGACGGAACCTTAATTGTCCCCTTCTTTTTCTTCCCCGTTTTCCATGTTTTACCATACTTTTTCAGAGGAAGGAGGGTAACCCAATTTCTGAACCAAATTTCCGATTTTTTTCATTTATTTAAGAATAACACAAAATTAAACACGTAAGCCTGTGGAACTATAAAATACACAAATGAGTCCGACGCCCTCAATTCCATGTGCTTAATATTTTGACTTGGTGACCAAAATTCCAAAAAATCAATTACCCGAATTCCAGTTACCAAAATTCCGGGACTACTTCTCAGGGACTCTTTCTCTATAGATTAACCTTACAGTTAAAAAATTTTCCATGTTGTCGGCCTGGCCTCATTGAATAAAATTTATTTCAAGGTGCGAATACAAAAATCGGACCAGGCTTCACTCAATTAAATGAACTAAATGTAATTCTTCTCTCCCATGGAATGGCTCAACATTTATTAAAAGAAATGCCTAATAAAACCAAAAAGCTAAAAATTGTGGTTGGATTTAATGGACGTCATAATAGTTTGAGGTTTTTTTAATTTTTGTTGACTCTTTTTTGCGGACTTTTTCCCATTTTTTGGGAAGATGTTGTTGTCACATTTTCGTTTAATTTTAAGTTTGGTCCTTCTCATCAGCTTTTTTAAAGATTTATTATTAGGGAAAGTAGAAAGATGATACGTCATAATAGTTTAATGTTTCATAATATCCAATTGAAATCGGGAGGAAAGAGAAGCGGAGGAAAACTGAAAAATGTCCGCAAAATTCTTGTTCTTTACAAGTGCCCAAAATTTCCAAAAAATAATATTTTTTATCCAGATTCGCTCAATTAGCCTCCAATGTATTTATCAAAAACGGAATTCGTGTAACTTTGTTTTCTGCATGTGTTCCAACACATGTTGTTTCTTCTGCCGTTGTTGGATTAAATTGTGATGCTGGATTAATGGTTTATTTTAATTATATTTTTTTAATTAAAAATATTCTTTTAAAGATAACAGTCTCCCAAAACCCAAATAAATACAATGGCTTTACAGTTTATTGGAATAATGGAGCCCAAATACTTCAACCTATAGAAAAAGAAATTCGTCTTCTTTCTAAGGAAAAACCCAAAGAAGAATATTGGAACACTACAACTCTTTCTACAAACAATTTATTTTCTGTTGTTGCTGATTCTATTCTGGATAAATATTTTGCTGCTGAGTCTTCTGCTTGTTGTTTTTATAGGTTCGTTTTATAATTTGAAAAAAAATTGGAATTTAATTACGAACCTGTATATGAAATTAGAATAAGATAAATGAACTTAATAAGAGAATAAATAAAAAATTTTCAGAGAATTAAATGCAAAAACTTCACTTAAAATTACTTATTCTTCCTTTAATGATGATGGTTTTAAATTTGCTCAACGAATGTTTAAAGAATTTGGATTTCCAGAAGATGCTTTTTCTTGTGTTAAGGTTTGCGATTTTTATTCTTTTTTTGCAAATTTTTTTGCTTTAAAAATATTTTAATAAATTAATTTTCGTCGAGAAAATTCGATTTTATATTGAAATTTCCCTTAAATTTTCTATTTTCAGGAACAAGCCGAACCCGATCCAGACGGCTCCTCTCCTGATGTTCTCAAACTTTGTTATCAAAAAGCGGAGGAAACTGATGCTACTTTAATTTTGGCTAATGATCAAAATGCCAATAGGCTTCAAATTGCTGAAAGACAACCCGAGTATTTTTTTTATTTTTTTTTCGAATTTTTTGGTTTGGGGGGGGGGGATTTTTGGGAATTTTTGGACATTTGGGAATTTTTGAGCTTTTGACAGCCAATTTAATTTCATCCTATCTTCCCTTTGTTCTCTATTGAGGACAAACTTTCAATAAATGTAGTACCAACTTTAATTACAAAATTACTATTTTTTGATTCATTTATCCCAAAGTTAGAGGATGAAATAGAGATTGGACCAACAAAGTCAAAATTCCCATTTTCTTTTTAATTGATTTTCCAAAATTATTTTAGCGGCAGTTGGTATTTATTTAATGGGAATGAAATGGGTACTTTATTAACATGGTGGATTTGGACGCAATGGAAACAAAGAAATTCGGATTTACCTGGAGAAGATTTTTATGTTATAAACGGGTCGTTTTCTTCTCATATAGTTGCTAAAATGGCTAAAATGGAAGGTTTTATTTAATTTTGATTTTTGTCTATTTTTTAAATTTCCCAGGCTTCAAAAACGATGTTTCTTTAGCTGGTTTCAAATATTTTGGTGATAAGGCACTTGAACTTCGAGCGAAAGGAAAATTGGTTATTCTTGCTTGGGAAGAATCTATAGGTTTTTCTATTTTTAATTTAATATTTTTTTATTTTTTTTTAATTTAAGGGTTTGCAACAGGAACAACTCTTGATAAGGTTTTTTATTTTCGAATAATAAATGGCATTTATAATTCCTCATTATTCTAACTTGAAATTTTTGTTTATGGCAATTAACCCTAATTTTGAGTTCTAAAATAAAAATTTTTGGAAAAACGGAATTTTTTCCTCCCCATGAATTAATAAAAAATTAAATCAAAAAAAATTTTAGAACGAAACAAGTGTAGCAGCAGTTTTTACAGAAATGGCCAATTATTTACCTTCTCAAAAATTAAATATGAAACAACAATTATTTAATATTTACAATAAATATGGCCTCTATTTGATTACAGGTAAATATTTTTTTAAATGTTTTTGTAATTTTTGTTGTGAAATTTTTTAATGTGTTTATATTTTGCATGTGTGATTGTTTTCGATTTTTGATTTTTTATTTCATTAACATTATTTTTAGAATATATTCATGATTATAATGTGAAATCTGGAAAAAGAATTAATGTTGGGGGTCACTTATACTCCTTTTATATGAAGAAATCAACAAAATTTACAAAATCAACAAAATTTACATGGTTTTGTGTACTACGCAACAACCCGAAGATTAAATGTAATGGCACAATCCACACATACATAAAAGACAAAACAAAAAATATCATAATTATGGGTACAGAACACAATGCTGGTAAATAATACTTAATTTTTTGAATGCCAATTTTTTTACGATTTTCTAAAAAAATCATTTTCGGAAATTTTTAGTTTTGATTTTTAAAATTCGATAAAAAATTTTTTTTATTTTTTCAGCTTGTATTTCCCAAAAAAATTCAACACAATTTGCTTTGAACAACACGTTGTCACCACAACAACATTTGTCTTCAAATATTTCTGAAAATGGTATAATTTCACATTTTGTTAAAATTTTTGTAAAATTCCTTCACAATGTGTCATTCGCTAGAGCTCAACGAGCTGAGGCGAACGACACAAAAATTAAGTTCCTAGCCTATGGGGCAGTACAGCTAGAAGTCTATTTTTCGGAATTTATTTTTCTGAATTTGTTCCTGAAACTTGTTTTCTGTTATTTTTTCCAAAAAAACTTGACTCAAAATTCCAATTTTTGAGTTTTCTTCCGATTTTGATCAGGATTTTTGGTGATATTTTCGAAAATTCTGCTTTTTGGACACTAGAAAAGATGAATTCAAAAAATTTGGGGTCCCAAAAATGGCTTGACCCAGCCCTATGGTTTTGACTAAGCCCTTTCAAGGCAAATCTCGTTAATTTTTCTCTTTTAACTTAATTTTAGATGTTTATGATCTAGAAAAAGAAGAAACACCACCTGAAGAAATTCTAAAATCTCCTCTTTCAACTAATAATTATGAAAATGTTGTAGTGTGGGGACGTGGTCTTTTGTCTGTTGGAACGGGTGCTAATGAGGAGCTTGGTGTATATGTGGATAATTGTGAGGATGAAGTTATTGTTAGTGTTAAAAAAGGTTTGGAAAAAAATTTTTTGAATGTTGTTTCATTTAAATTTGTTCGTTCAGATGATTCAGATGACCTGCTCATCCCTGTTTCTCGACAAGATTTTGAACAGAGACCGTCAGCAGCTTCACAACCGTTTACTGCTATAAATCCTCGACAATCTTTCGTTTTTACTCCGAGTACAAGCGGGAAGTATGAGGTTTCTGTCAAAAGCGCTGCTAGCAATGTACATTTGGGAAGCAGTCCTTACAAGGTTTTTTAATGATTTAAAAATTTGCATTTAAATTTTCCTTCGTAATTTTTAGATCGTGGTTGGCCCAAAGAACATTTCAAGTATTCGAGCTATCGGTCCTGGATTGGTTGGAGGTGTTGCTGATGAAATGGCTGTCTTTTATGTTGACATACATGGAAGAGCAAATTGTTTAGGTTTCTTTTTTATTTTTTTGGGATTTCTTGGATATAAGAATATTTTTTTAAAGAGGGAATTAATCTATTCAAAAATTAATCTAGAACACCGTTCAAAGATATTAAATAAAAAATAACACTTTTTATTTTTTTAGAATTTTCAATCGAAGGACCCAGCGAACCGGAGATTATTTGCTCTGACGATGATGAAGGAACGGCGTTGGTTGAATACACAGTTTGTTTTTCTTTTTTATTTTAATGAGGATTTTGAGGAATTCGAACAAATAAAAAATTTGTACTTAATTCATACCCCCTCCTATTTTTGGTGTACAGCGTATTCTTTCCTTTTTTAGGTTGTACATAATGGTTAAACTTCCTTCACCCGATTTTTTCATTTATATTTTGCTATAGGAAAATAAATGATTGGAGAAAAAATAAACGTAAATTTGTGGGCTCAGGGGGGGGGGGGGCGAGATATCAATAATGAATCTACCAAATTTTCTAATTTTATCTAATCTTTTTCTCATTTTAGCCTCATGTTCCGGGGTGTTACACAATCAACATCACCGAACATGCCACAAATTCACACATAAAAGATTCTCCTTTTGTTCTTTGGATTGAACCATCAAATTTGCTTCCTTTTAAAAACGTTGACCGCCCAATTCGAATACCATCATTTGAAAGCAACAAAGGACAAGTCAACAAACAATTTAATTTTAAAATTCCAAAGGAAATTGGTTTGGATTTTGTTTTTAAATGATTTTTAATTTTTAAAAATTTTTTAGAAGCTGACACATTCTACGTTGAAATTTACGACCCAAATTTACAAAAAGTCGATTTTGATTGTGAAAATAAACCTGAAGGAAATTGTTACAGTTTTGTGCCGCTAAAGGAAGGAAAGGTTTTTTTAATTTTTTATTGGATTAAAAAAATTTTTTTTTCTCTTATAGCACTTGATTAGTGTTGTCGCTGATAAGCTAGCAGTTGAAGGATGGCCTTTTGTTATTTTTGTTGATGGCCCTTTTGATCCAAATAAAATTTGGCTTAGCGGTCCAGCATTGAGTCCAACTATTCAAATACGTCAAAAAACAAATTTTTTAATTGATTTTGACGATATTCCAAAACCAAAGCGTGTCCAGGTTACTGTGGTTGGACCTAAAGGGGAAGAAGTTCCTGTAGAGGTTGACTTGAAAACTTCGTCTATCTACAATGCCCGCTATGAACCAATGAATCCTGGCGTCCATAAAATTTATTTGACTGTGAATGACCAGCAAATATTTGAAATTCCTGTGAATGCAGTTGAATATGATCCAGAAGAAATATTGGAAGAAAAGAATGTTGGAGCTAGAGTTGCAAGTGAAATACTTGAGGTTAAAAGACTTTATTTTTTAGGCTGTAGTGTAGTGTACCGGTGGTGAAAGTTCGGAACGTGACATGTCATTCGATTTGTCTCGACGAGCTGAGTACCACCTCCCTACTTTAGGAAATGATTTTGGACCTATTTATATGTCCCAACAAATTGAAAAACCATAGAGAAGAGTAAGCTCGATTTTGGGGTGAAAAATTCAAATATGCTAATAATAGCTCTTTCGAAAGAGCTCGTCGTGCTGCGTCGAAAGACACTAAAATCAACGAAATCTGACTTAATTTGAAAAAGTTATGCTCGGATGTTTTAGCTACTACCTATGGTTTCCGTGGAGGTTTTTGCTGCTACGGACGTCCCATGTACGTTCTGCAAGATAGATAGAATATCTCCCTTGCTGACTCAGTTTATGTTACTGACCCAGAAACCAGCGACCGTTGACTGCCGCGAGGGCACAAGCTATTTTTGCATATTTGAATTTTTCACCCCAAAATCGGGCTTACTCTTCTCTATGGTTTTTCAATTTGTTGGGACATATAAATAGGTCCAAAATCATTTCCTAAAGTAGGGAGGTGGTACTCAGCTCGTCGAGACGAATCGAGACGAACCCGAACTTTTACCATCAGTACACTACACTATCCTTTTTTGGATATAAAGCGAGTCACGGGTTGTGAAAAAAGTATGGCTTCGGGTCGGGTTTATATAAAAAAATTTTTGAATCGGCTTTTAGGTTAAAAAATTTCGGTTTCTGATTTGTTTCTGGGCCGGGTCAGTTAGGGGATTAAGCGGTCGAGTTTTGATAAATTTCTCAGATCGGGTTTCTGGTATCGTGTCGAAAGAAGTCAGGGTTTGGTCTAACCCTTGACTGTTATAAATAATTGTTTTTAAATATTTTTTCCAGCCAGTTATTGGTCTTTCAACAGCATTTGTTTTTACTACCCCAAATCAACACATCTCTGATTTATCTGTTCATGTACACGGGCCAAGCGGCGACTTGAAACATGATGTAAAGATGGAACAACTTGAAAAAGAAAAATTCCGAGCCAGCTTTGTCCCGCATCAAAGCGGTCTGCACACAATTGAATTGAGAGATAAAAATGGAGAAATTTGTGGTTTTTTATTTAATTTTTTAAATTTTAATTTTTATAAAATTGCCAGATTATAATTTCGAAGTCTTTTGTTCAAATGAGAATAAAGACTATGTTTCCGAATATTCGATGAGTGAAGATGAAGAAAATGAAGATGTTGCTATTCAACAACAAAGTTTACTTACCTTCACTCTTTCACCAGCTAAAGGTTTTTTTAATCTTGACTCTGGGGTGTTTTATGGATATATCACCCCCTTATTTTGAGTCTTAGTTTTTTAGTTTGTAATAATGGTCAGCCTTTCTTCCTTCCATAATTTATCATTTCCCTTTGGCATTTTTAAATCAGAGGCATTGGCTCTGGTACAGAGTCCAATAGTTTAATAGTAAATTTGTTTTTTTTCTATCAAAATATTTTCAGCTTCGAAGAAGACCACTAAATTAACATTAAAAGAAGAAAATTCAATAATTGAGAAGCTTAAAAAAAGAACAGGTTTATTAACAGAACAAATTTCTGACTTGCAAAAACATCAATATGAAATAGAAAATTCTAAAAATAAACGACAAAAGGAGGTAAATATTTTTTTTCTAACTGTAATTTCGTTTTTAAGATGAAAATGAATAAGAAACTTGTTCACGTAAATGGAATTCTTCAAAGTTTGGCAGCTGCCCTGTATTCCGTTGCTTTGCTTTCTAATTCTCAAACATCACAAAACCAAAATGAACAGGATCAGCAATTCCCTGACAATAATTCAACTTCTCCAATATCTTCAAAAAGAGAAAAATTAAATAATAATAATAATAATAATCGTGCTACAACAAATAAAGGGAAAACAACAAATGAAGGGAAAAAAGTAAAAAGGAAACCAAAAAAAACTGAAGGCAATAAAGAGAGGGAAGTTGATCCTTTCAATGATTTTCTTGATAAGTATTTTTAATTCATACATGGAATTCTTAAAATTAAAAAATTTTAGTATCTCTGTTATGGCTGCGGCTGTCTCTCCAACTCAGGCACGAGAAACGTCAATGGAACTTTTGAGGGACGAAGTGAGTAAATGCACTAATAAAAAAGAGGAATTGAACTTACTAAATCCAATGCCCCAAAAGGAATTGTTGGTGAATGTACAAACACAGGAGGAGGATAACTTACTAAATCCAATGCCCCAAAAGGAATCGTTGGTGAATGTACAAACACAGATGGAGGAAAATGAAATGGGATTGAGGAGATATACAAATGAAGATCAAATTAATGAAAATAATAATTCTGTTGAAGTTGTAAATGTAAATGCTACCTCCAAAGACCGTCCGCTGAAAAGGGTAGGAGATATTGTTTTATATTTTTCTTATTATGCCCAAAAATAACCATTACCAATAATAAAAAAAAATAATTAAATTTTAGTTAATTTGTTGCTGTAATTCCAATGAAGTGGAAGGCTTAAATGCTGATGAATTTCCAGAAGGATGCAAAAAACGCCCAAAATTGCTTTTGGAAAATGAAGAACAACAACGTGATAAAAACCAAAACAAATCATTAACGCCACCTTCACCAAAAATAAACAAAGAAGATAAAGAAAAGAAGAAAAAGAGGGAAATAATATTGTATCTGGAAGAAGATGAAGTGGTTCAAGTAATGAAAATGAACCAGTAAGTTTATATTTTTTGTTTATAATCTAGTTCTGCCTTTTTTTAATTTAAATTTTTCCTTTAATTAGGTTGTTGGCACTCATGACTTCAAAAAGAGATTGAACTTCTGCCTCTAAATTTCTTTGTGATCATTTTAATGAATTTTCTGTCCGTCCATTAATTCTTTGTTCTTCTGAAGAGGCTGTTGCGCGTGTTTCTAAGGTTGATTATGTTAAAGGTTTGAATTTTCTATCAATTAATTACTTCAAAATTTATTTTTTAAAGGAATCCACGACTCTGACTCACTCATTCAACGTATAACTGATTTAAGCAAAAAAGAACGACGTGCAATTTTTCCTGAATATTGGACTCAAGACAAACGTTTGGATGGATTGTCTAAAGAGAATTTGAAAAATGGAAAATTTCAGGTTTTTCGTTTTTGTCAATTTTTAATTACTTCAAAAATTCAGATTTCTCCCGAAAATTATTTGGAGGCTTTTGCTGAATTTGATATGGAGGATCAATGGTTTGTCCAGGTTTATTCAAATTTTTAGCTTTATAAAATTAAAAAATTTAGGGTTTTTAAATATGAATAGACCAGTTCACGGAGACGTTGTTGTAGCCAAACTTCTGCCAGAATCTGAATGGACCGCTCCAGAGAAAACTATTTGATTAAGAGACGCTGTGGAAAACCAAAACGAGGGAGATAATTTGCCTGCTGCTGATGGGTAAGAGGAAATTGATCAATACGAGGATTTGGAGGTTTTTTATTTATTGATTTTAACCAGTGCTTGTTTATGAGCATTTTGTGGCTCCGGCAAAAAAAAAACTTTTTTTCAAACTTTGGCTCCATGTTCTAGCTCCTGGTTTCGGCTCCGGGCATTTTAAAATTCTTAGCTCCGCTCCCGGGCCATGCCCAGCATTGTTTTCAACCCTATTTTCTTTCTATTCTTTTTTCAGGTTTTACCCTCAGCACGTATTGTTGGCATTCTACGACGAAATTGGCGTCATTATTGTCTGTTGGAACATGGAAGTGCCTTATGACGAATTTTCTCCAGCTATTCTTGCATGTCTTCCTGAAGTTTAATGATCTACACATCCTTTGTATCCTCCAAAACGTGAAGATTTGACGTCTTTGGATATTTGTTCTGTTGATCCAGAAGGTTTTTTTTGATTTTATTTTTGTCTATTTTTGTTTTATATTTAAGGCTGTACTGATATTGACGATGCTGTTCTTTGCCGTGAATTATAGCCTAATTGCTTTGAAGTTGGAGTGCACATTGCTGATGGTATTTTCCTTTAAGATTTTTTGGATTAGGATTTTCTCTAAATTTCAGTAACTGAAATTCTGGTCAGGCTTTTTTACATGGGCCTGGGCTTCTTTTTTTCATCTGTGCCGGGTTTTGCGGGTTAAAAACAAATCGGAAACCAAGTAAAACTGAATTTTATTAAACAACTACCGAGCCCGGTTTCACTGTTCTGATAGTTTTTTCCAAGGTTCTGAGAGGTTGCCGGGTTACAAGGCCTGGGAAACTTGGTTCAGTAACTTCAATAATTTTAAAATTTTTTAAGATGTTCTCTTCGTGCTGGTGAATTGCTTATGCATTTAGCTTTATTTGGGAATTAAATGGAGACGCAGAAATTCAAAATGTTAAATTCTGTAAATCTTTGATCCATTCAGTGCTGCATTAACTTATCAAAAAGCTCAAGAAATGATTGATAATGAAAAATATGAGGTTTTTTTTAATTTTGGAAAAATTTAGGATATTACCAAAAGTTTGAGGAATTTGTTAAAATTGTCAAAGAAATTGAAGGTTTAAAAATTTTTTTAAAATTAAAGTGAATTTTTCAAGTCTCGTCGACGTACTGTTGTGCATTAAATTTAGCTTCTTCAGAAATTCGTTTTGATATTGATCCGTAAGCTGGTGCTCTTGTTAAAGTCTTAGAGAAGCAACATTTGAAGACTATGTTTGCTTTTATTTTTCTTTATAAAAATCTTTAAAAAAATTTTTAAGGTCCATGATAGAAGAATTCATTTTGTTGGCAAATATTTCTGTTACTGAAAAAATTCACGAATATTTACTTCTCCAATTCGTCGTTATGCTGACGTTATGGTTCATCGACTACTTTCAACACTTACTGGAGTTGATCAAATACATCCAAATATGTTGGATAGAAGAAAGTTGATTCGTCAGACTGAGGTTTAGAGGTTTTTGATTTTTCTTGAATTTTTAATTTCAGTACATGAACAGACGCCATAGACGAGCTCAATATGCTAGTGTGCTTCTGTACTGCTAAACACGTTTATGATTGTCAAAGAAAATCCTGAACCTTGTCTTCCTGCTATTGCTATTGGAATATGTTCAAATGAAATTCAGGTAGTGGGGGAGGAGTTTTCTTATAGGGGATATTAATTCTAAATTAATTTGTGTTAGTATTTATACCTCTAATTTAAGGTAATGGACCCAAATTTGGCTTGGAATCAACAATTTATTTTAATGAAAATACTGAACTTGAACCTATTATGCTCGACTTTTTTATGACGCTTGTGGAGGGACACGCCCAAGTAGGGGCGCGGCCAGGTAGACGCAAAGCTATAACTACCTGGAAAATTTCTGGACTTTTGGTACCAATCTCTTTAGTTCTATGAGAGGAATCGTTTAATACTAAATTTGGTAGAATTCAGAAATCTTGAAGCAAGTTAGTTATAGCATTGCGCGCCTACTTGGCCGCTCGCCTACTTGGGCTGTACCCGCTCGTGGACTTTATTTTTTCTTGATTCTTTTTTAAATTGATTTTTAATGTTTGTTTTTTTTTAAATTATTTTTTATTTTATAAAATTTATTTCCTGCAGCCTTATTTTCATTACTTTTAACAGGTTAAAACCTGAATTAATATTTTTACCCAATTTTCATTTCCAAAATAATTAATATTTTGGCCAAAAAGGGCGCGCGGCCACAATTTTTTAAAGTTAATTAAGAACATCTCTCTATGTTGGAGTTATGGGCATCAGACGTTGGAACTCTATCTTTGGATTTATTTTTGGTTTATTTTTAAGTTGGCTAATTTTTGGAGGAAATAAAGAAGCTGAATTGAATAGAGAAGAAGAAAATTATGAAGGAAAGGAAGGAGGAATTCAATTAGCCGAAAATTGGGAAAGAATAATTTTGGAACAAAAACATGAAGAAAATGGACAAAATAATTTTGTTAATCAACATATTAAGGTTTTAATTATTTTTTTTTTTGAATTCTTTAAAGGGCTCGAAAAGAGTTAAGGCGAGGTTTCGACCAAAAGGTCTGTCACTGGTTAAGAAAAAATATTTTTTAGGGTCGGGTTTCGGGTCAAAAGCCCTGGCTTGGGCTGGACCAGTTCGAGATAAGTAGGAAAAAATTCGCGTCAATATGGATTAAAAAAGTCCTGGTTTTTCGTTCCATCAGAGAAATCAATTAAGTGGGATAAGATCCCAATCAGGGATGCACAAGTTAAGGAAAAGTCGGTTTCTGAGTATTTTGTATCGTGGTTCAGGTGTCTAAAAAAGTCCGGGTCAAGTGAGGGGGGATTATGAGGGAAGAAAGTCAGGTTAGGTCGTGCTTTCAAAAATTTCCCAGGCCGGGTTTCTTGCCTAAGAAAGTCCGTGTTTCTTATAACCCTCGACATCCCGGGTCAAAATAATTTTTTAAATTTTTTCCCTTTAGCTGAATCGCCCTCGATTTGCAGCAACAGAATTGGGTATTCGTCCAAACATTTTAATATTTTTATTGGCCCGTACATCTACTGCCGCTTCCTTATATCAATTATTGTCTCCAAAGGTGCCTGTCAAAATTTTGGTTTCTGCTGGTAAATTTGCTGCTTCTGATTTTCCTGTAAATTCTCTGCCAGTTATTGTTCGTTCTGATCCTGTTTCGCTGCTCAATGCTATCGCCAATATTGTAAGGTTTATTTTTTTTTATAAATGGGAGACGGACAGGTCCCGTGCTCAGGAATGTCATGGGTTGAGAAGAAAGTCTGGGGTTGAGTTTTTAAAATTGCCTTCGGACCGGGTTTCTTATCGAAAGAAGTTCGGCACAGGTTAGAAAGGGTGATTAAGAGGGTAAAAAGTGTTCAGACCTGGCTACGTGCCTGGGAGTGGAGGAGGGGCTTCTGTGCAGGAGTTGGGCTCGTTAAAGGAAACCCCTTCCTTTTTAGTCCAAAGAGATTCATTTCCATCTTTTCTAGTCTCTCAACAACCCAGCAAATTGGTATTTACTTTTACCAGATTCAACATTTATCAATATTTATGAATTAGAACGACTTATAAATTCACTTTTATGGAATTCCCCCGTCGCTTTTGGATGGAATATTAATGAAATAAAAAATAAAAACCAAAATGAAGAAGATGGAGGTCATTGTCTTGTTGAAGCTGGAATTTTATTTTCATCGCCAGCAATGAATGTATTAGCTCAAGGAAGGCATTTATGTAATGGATTGGCTTTAGGATCTTCGGGGAATGGAGAGGTTTTTCAAGATTTTTGTGAATTTTTAAAATTTTCTTTTAAAAAAGAATTTTGCTTTGGAAACGTGTATTCGTTTAGCAGCGAATTTAAGTTGTGTTTCAACATTTCAAGGATATGAGCATCGTTGGTGGCGGGTTTCTTCTGATGATCAACAGAGCCTTTCTCCATCCATACATGGTTTGTTTGTTGTTTCTACTACCAGTGATTGGAACTTTCGGATTTTCTTGTACCAACCCTATTCTTGGTCTCGTTTCAAATTTCAAGTGGAGGGGAGGTGGAGGAGAAAAAAAATCCACGCTTGGGGGAGAGGGAAAAATTTTTTCCTTTTACCCGTACTTCGCAACATTTCATTTTTTGGCTTGTACTCGTCCTTGTGCTACGAGCGTCCAATCACTAGTTATTTAAAATAATTTTTGAAAGCCTTTTGAATTTTCTTTAGATCAAATTGAACGTCTTGCCCTCCTTCCTCTTTTCAATAAATCATTAACTATTTCTCCATTACTTTCTGAATTGGATATATCTGCTTTAACCAAGCATTTTTTAAATGTTGAATTTATTCGAACTGAAGAAGAAATTAGATCGTTAGAGGAAGAAACAGAAAAGTATTACTCAAAAGAAGAGACTGAATGGCCTATTGGAATTATGGATGCTTCAAAACCATTAAATCGATTTCAAGGTTAAAAAAAAATTTTTTTTTGGTACTTCCCTAAACTAAAAAGGAAAAAGAGAAAACATTAGTCGATGCCCTGGTAGCTCACATCAGAGGTAGAGCTCCTGCATATAGTGAGCGAAAGCGCCTAGCAACCACTAGCAGGTGGTCGCAGGTTCAATCCTGCCCGGTGGCTAAACTTTTGCAAACTTTTTAGAGACATATAGGGGAATGGGAACGAAGATAATGCTAATTTTTATTCAACAAGAAAAAACTTGACTTTTTCAGCCCCAGTTTGGGAATTGGTTACTTCAGATTGGAAAAGATTTAGTAACAATCCAGAAGAAAGCAGTGCTGATTTGAGTGAAGATGAACGTGAAGAATGGACACAAGTATTTAACGAAGCATTAACTAAAAGCAGATGTTTAAATGGTGGAGCAAAATTTGTTGAAGGATACAAGTTTGTTTAATTTTAAAAATAAGGCTGATGGTCTAGCTTTTAATTTTCTAATGAAAATTTTTGAGCTCGACGAAGCTTTATAAAATTACTGAACTGTTATGAAGCCTAACAGAATCTTTATGAGTCCAATAATGAGTGAACAAAATTTTATAAGCAGGATGAAGAAAGTAGTGCTGGTTTAAGTGAAGATGGTGTCTTTATAAGTACCAGGGATTTCACGGGTTGAGAATCTTGAGTTTGGTTTTGGAAGATTTCTCGGATTGGGTTTAGGGTCTGAAAAAAGTCCGGGTTTCAGGTAACCCATGACATTCCTGATAAGTACCAGTACAATTTTATTGGACTCATATGAGGTTCATAGGACGCTTAAACTAGACCAGAGCCAAAAAAAACTATTTTTATCAAAAAAATTTTAATTTTTTTAGACATTTTAACCCAACTCGAGGAATTGATTATTTAATTGATTTGGATTGTGATAACGAGGAAATATTTGAACGTATACAAGTCAGCAGACCCATACATTCTACAAAATTATTGGAAAAAGTCCCTTATGTTAAAGAGGATAGAGAAATTGCTCTTTTAGGTTTTTTTATTTAAATTTTAAAAACTTTCGGCAAATTTTTTCTAGTCCCAGTAGAAACTCCAGCACAAATTTACAGTCTTCATCCCCTTTTGCGTCGAATTTTATCAATTTGTATGTCTGGAGCTGTCGAAGGACGTCAATTAAGAGTTTTGGTTGCTGCTAGAAATGTTGAAGCATTGCCCCTTCGTTTGTTGGGGGAAAACTTGGCAGAAATGAGACGAAGGTTTGGATGAGAATTTAAATTTATTTTTAAATAAAATTTTTAATTAAAATATATGATGCCAAGTACTAAACGCTGTAATGTGGACAGTATTTTCTGTAATAGAATTCCATGGGGCCTTATTTTTTAATCATCATTCTAAGGGGCTTTATTAAAGAGGGAGCTTTATTTTTCAACAACCTTCTATGATGATGGAGCAATCTTCGTTGAAACAACACCTTTGTTGAAACAACCTTCCTCGTGATTGAAACGTCCCTTTTATGTTTGTATTTTTCCAGTTTGGTATTTCGGTGGCGTTTGGGAGTTGGATTTCGGTGTTTAGTCCTACGGCGCGCTCCCCCTCACAATTTAAAAAATAAAAAACAAAATTTCAAATTTCTTTTAAAGATGTCGTTCAATGGAATCAGACCTTTTACTTCTCAAACCCGATCCAAATTATCGAACAACAATAGAATTAGCAGCACTGGATGAAGCGGTTTTTCTTTTTAATTTTTTTAAAAATATTAAAAAAAAATTTTTTTCTAAAAAGGTTGATCGTTTTGGACAACAAAATCTTTTCTTGCTTCTTTCACCATTTTCTGATTTTCAACCAGATTTTCTTGACCGTGTCCGGTTAAATACAATTCAACATTTTCAAGTCTTCTTTCCTATTGGATTTACAGAATTTAATCAAATTGTAACTGGATTAACACCTAAAGAAGCTGAAGCATTTGTAATTCATAAAGATAGGGGAAGATTTGATTCGGATGATGAATGGCCAGTAGCTGCATTATTTGGGTTTATTTTTTTATAATTATTTTTCAGAATGTTTTCCATAATTTTCTGTAATAGATTTCTGTAATAGATTTCAGCTATCCTTTAAGTAGGGGGAGTGCTATAGAAAGGAGAGAGTTCCATTTTTAAATTATCCTTTAAAGGAGGGGAGGCTTTATTAGGAAGGAGACTATTGTTCAATTCGTCCTCTTGAGGGGTGGCTATAATACAAATAAGCACCATAATAGGTTATCGACCCTGCTCTACACAACGGTGTATGTTTCATTGCAAAATTTTTGGTGGTAGTTAGGAATGTTCCCTTGTAAGCCAAACGCCAAAAAAGGCTTTATTTCAAAGGGTGACTCCATTTTTCAAACCTTCCTCTAAAAAATGGTGGGGATTTATTTAGGAGAAGGCTCTAATACTAATTGTAAGGTTTCTTTGATATTTTACTCTTTCTTTCTTTTTTCTAGTGTCGATTTTGCTTCAGCTCGTATTCTTCATCCAAATGCTCGTTCAGTCGTTACACTTTTTCTCAATCAATCAAATGTCCACATTTTTCGTTCAGTAGAGCCTTCACTAAGAATTAGACCACATTTACGTGTTTGTACTTTTGAACATTATTACCCTTCTATTGAACAAAGACAACGTTGTGAAAGACGTAGAAGATTGGCACTTGGAACGAGAGCACAATTAGCAAAACTTTTTCTTCTTGCAATAACTCCTTCAAATGGATTCGCGTAATTTTAAATTTTTATTCTCTTTATTTTTGCCGTTATTTATCTTTATAATTGCAATCCCAGTTTTTAATAAGTAATTTTTGTATAATTAAAAATTTTTATTTTTAGTTATGATATCAATAAAATATAGATAGATAGCTCTAACCAACAAACAAACCGTTCCAGCCCCTAACCTCCATGTGGGCAATCTCCATAATTTTTGGTGGGTATACCAATAATAATGTTTAGGGTCAATATTAGTCCTTTTAAAAGCTTCTCCCCACTAAAACATCCCATTGAAAAATAGAAGTCCCCTCTCTAATAGAAGCTCATCCAGAAACCACTCAAAGTGACCTTTCGAAAAATAGAAGCCCTCTCTCTAATATAGGCTCATTCTCATAAACCCCGCTAAAATGTTAAAATAGAAGCCCATAGGGGGTTTAATTAGAGCATCTGCGGAATAATTTACAAATAAAAGTTTTTAAAATACTTAAAAATTCTCTCATTTCTTTGCATCAATTAAAAGATTAAAATTAGCCAAAAAATCGTGTACAACAGCAAAGGCAACATTTAATTGTTGAATTAATTCTACAATTTTGGGCATTTGACATTCTGCTTGAAAAACCTTTAAAAAATGAGAAAATTTAAAAGAAAAAAAATTTTAAAATAACCGTGACAGTTTGCGTCCCTTCTTTTTGTGCAACCTGATAAGCAGCACAGATTAATTTAGCAGAAGACAAGTAAAATGAAAGAAGAATATCGTGAGGCAAAGGAGGCACGAATGATTTTATTGGATGGAAATTACAAAGCTCCGTTAAGGATTTCTTTTTTGGGCTGAAAAAAGAAAATTTTTTGGGTTAAAAAATTTTTTGAAATTTTCAAAAAAATTTTCGGAAGATAAAAAAAAATTTTACGTTGTCAAAGAAGACCGGGAAAGTTTAATATCATTTTTAACAGACTGGAAAATTTGAAGTAAAAGTTGGCTGGTATCTGCTCCTTTCTGTATTGCTTCTGCATATAAACGTTGTCCCTTGAAATTAAAAAAAATATTATTAAAAAATAATAATAAATACTCGATATAATGAGCCCAAAGCCCTCACAATTGTATTGGCAGCATCTTGAAGTTGTTGCTAGAAAATATTTTTTGAAAAATGAATTAATTCTGGATCCCCACCTCACTTCCTCCCCCCTCTTTAAAGTGTTAAAAAATGATCAGACTTTGCTTCCCTCCTGAACTTCACTCCATTTTCCTCTATCAAAAATAAGGAAATAGAGTGAAGTTGACCATTTTTAATACTTTGAGGAAAGAAAAAAGGGAGAGGGGGAAGGGGAGGCTAAAAAATCCGTGAAAATTCGAGGTCTGGACCTTAATACAAGAGGTCTGAATCCAGATCCAGGCCGATCACTATTTTACAAATTTAAAATCACTTACAATTTTCCAATGGACATCTGGCTGGGCGGTTGCTCGATAAAATCCAGAAGCACTTTTTGCATACTTTAGAGAGACCTGGGGAATTTTTAAAAGTTTTTTAGGCCAAAAATTTAAAAACCTCAGCTTGTACAACACTATCTCCAGCTAGAATAACCAAAGCAGTTAAATTGCTTTCTTGTGGAGGAACAACTTTTGAAGACAATTGAAAACGTTCAGTTGAAGGTTTTGCTCGAGGTTCTGAAGCTAATGTTGGGTCTGAACATTTGTGTTGGGCATTTAAACGACGACAACAATCAGCTAGCAAATAACGGAGCTTTAAATTTTTTTTAGAAATTTCCAAAAAATTAAAAGAGTGCGACCTCACGGGCCGTCCACGAGCCGGGGAGAAAAAACCCTACGGAGAACAGGAGTTGCGAGGAATTCGAGTTCTGTGGCTTCCCACGGCTTCCCTAGGGGAATCACTTCGGACGGGGCTTCCCACCGGATAATCCCTTCCCGCGGACGGGGGTTGAACCCCAATTAAAATTTAAAAAAAACCTGTTCAATAGTAGACGAAGCCCTGGCTTTCTGAAACCATTCAGATTCTAATTGTAACCGATTTTCTAAGGAAACAATTTGTGATGATTCGTCTGATGATGAATAAGAACATTCTTCCTCCTCGTCGTTAATCATTGTTGAAAGAATTTCTCTCGAGATTAATCAAATCGAAGATCAGACACAACAGAAAATCAATACTTTTCTCTCCCTCCACATAAATGACATTATGCCAAATTAAATTATTTTTCTTTAATAGGACATTTGAGTCTTGGTGTATTTTGTCCTTTTTTTAATAATTTCGTTTTTTCGATTTTTTTCGTTTAAATAATTTTTTTTCTTTTAGAAAAATAGATTCTACAAATCTATCAATCATCTAAATTCTCGTCAAAATTTGCTTAGGCTGATTGATCATCATGAGAATAAAGAAAAAGGTTTTTTTAACGTTCATTTTATTAGAAAAACAATTTTTTCCAGTACACAACAGGAACAGCAGCAACCTACATTTCAAGAAAAAAAGCTCTCAGAAAGCTTCAATTAAGCCTCAAAGATTTTGGAAGGCTTTGCATTCTTAAAGGAATTTACCCGAGAGAGCCGAATCATTTAAAGAAGGCAAATAAAGGAGGAAGTACTGAACCTAAAATTTATTACCACATTAGAGATATTAAATTTCTTGCTCAGGAACCGTTAATTAACAAATTTAGAGAATATAAGGTTTTTTAGAAATTTTTTTATTGTTTATTAATTCTTATTTTTCAAAGATTTTTCTCAAAAAAGTCAATCATGCAAAAGCAAAAAAGGAAGAATTGAAAGTTAAAAGTTTGTTTCGTCGAAAACCGAAGTTTACTTATGATCATATTATTAAAGAACGGTAAATATTTTTTTTAATTTTTTGGGGAGGTGGTTGTGGTTCCGCTAGAGACCGGACTGGTATGGGAGGGTCATGAGGGAATCGAGATTGTTTTTGGAAACTCAATAGGTTTTTGTCGGTCGATTTTCTTTGGGATCTCGTCTCCGTCCATTCGTTAATTTTTGTCCCTCCCTGGGACCCAGGTCCTTGGACAAGATTTTTCGGGTGGGGGCAAGGGGAAAAACTTTGATTTTTAGCGCCGTAGGCAAAAATTTTGAAAACTTTGAAAGTCCCCTGGATACGGGCCTCCCTGGTACCTATCTACCAAATGTCACTTACATTACCTGCTATTGTCACTGACATCAAGTCACTCACAGCCTCAAGACTAACACCTCCTTCATTAATTATTTAAATTTTTTCTAGTTACCCAACATTTATTTCTGCCTTACGCGATTTGGACGATGCTCTTTGTTTATGTTTTGCATTTGCTGCTTTAACACAATCCAGAGTTGCCAATTCAAAATTAATTAATCGATGTCGTCGTTTGACAATTGAATTTATGCATTATATTATTGAATCTAAATCACTTAAAAAGGTTTTTTTAATTTATTAAAAAGTTGGAAGAAATATAAGGGTGCCTTTCAACTTTTTTTTCGATGAGGGGAAGATAACCAACTTCTTAGTTAGTTTTGGGCTTGCGCCGGTTTAGCCGTGCACCGTTTTGGTCGTGTTCAAATAAAAAATATAACAATATTTTATTGTATTGTCCCTTGGTTCGGTCGGTTATGGTCATGTTCACTCCCGTAAGCGTTGTGGGTTCGATACCCACCAGAGCTCAACAATTATTTTTTTGATTATAATTTTCTAATTTTGATATTCTTATTTTTTTTAAATTCAAAAATTTTTCAAAAAAATTTTTTAAAGGTTTTCATCTCAATAAAAGGAATTTATTATCAAGCAGAAGTTATGGGTGAAAGAATTACTTGGATTGTAGGTCATGAACGTTCTGTTGGCCGTGCAAACGAATTGGATTTGACGGTTTATTTTTTTATAAAAATTTTTGTATTTAATTTTTATATTTTAGACAGTTGCTTATTTTGTTGAATTTTATTCTGTTTTGCTTAGTTTTGTTAATTTTCGACTTTACAAATCTATTGGACTTTTTTATCCACCACAACTTCAATTGAAACAAAATAAATTGGAGAATGAAGGTTTGGGTGTTTTTTATATTTATTTTTAATATAAAAAGTGGATAGGATTTTTGGAACAGGCTGGGGAAAAAGGACTTGTCGAGTATGTTGACAATATTCAATTGTTTACCTCTATGGTCTTTCAGGGAAAGTGTCGTGTGTTAGGCATTTTGTTACCCCGGTCCTACCTTTTTCACACTTCGGGCTTCTGCTTCGAGCATCAAAAAGTTTTGTTGTTATCCCCCGAGCTAGCCGCAGTTAGCTCCCGAAACTATACCCAGAACTGGTTGAGAATTTATTTTATTCACTCATTAAAATACACGTGATTGTGTTCCCCTACTGTTGAAAATTTTTTGAATCTTCTGTATAACATATTTAAACCTTCGTTTAATCACTTTTTAAATAAATTTATTTTTACAATATTTCAATATTTTTTTTCAGTTAATTCTACACCTTCATTTACTCCTTTGGATGATCGTGTATTTTCTTTAGCATTTCCATTAGCTAAAATTGAAAAAACTGAAGAATTGGATATTTGTCAAATTGATACTTTTGAAAAAGAAGAAGACGAAGGAAATGATGAAGGAAAGGAAGACGTGAAAGAAATTAAAGAGGAAGATTTGGGTGAATTATTAAGACAAAATGAAGCATTAAAAACGTTGTTCTCAAAAATGAAATTTTTTATTAATAGAGAAGTTCCTAAAGAACCTTTAGCTTTTGTTATACGGGCTGGGTAAATTTATTTTTTAATTTTTTAGAATTAGGTAAAAGGGGTTGGGAGATTTTCTAGGACCTTTTTGGACTTTCAAAAAACTTTCAAAGACTGAACCGATTTTTGATCTTTTTGGTTGTCTGAAGCCCCTAGTTGCACCCTGGTAATAACCCTAACATAAGACACTCTTCTAGAAGGTCACAATTCTTAAAAACTTTTGGATGCTTCTTGTGCTTTGACTGAAGCTCCTAGTTGCTCCCTATTGATAAGCTTAACATAAACATTTTTCTTTGATAGGTCATAATTCTTCAAGAGCTTCTTTATTTTTTTCTTGGGCTTTAAAAATTTCTCAAAAGAATTTTTTCGAAAAAAAATTTTTTTAGGGGTGGTGATGTTTGCTGGGAAGATTGTTATCCTGTTGGATCAATTACAAATGTATCTAGTGAATTAATTACACATCAAATTGTTGACAGAGAAATGAAAGAAATGATAATAAATAGGTTTTTTAAATAATTAAAAAAAATTTTTCTCAAAAAACTGGGAAATCTTTTGAAAAATTTTCAGCTTCCCATGGGAAGAGGGCAAAAGGGGGAGGAATTTTTTCCCAAAAATTTTTTCAAAAAAATTTTCCTAGAATTTATATTCAACCACAATGGATATTTGATTGTTTCAATTCTCGTCGTTTACTACCTACAATATTGTATGCACCATCAACAACATTACCTCCACATTTATCACCATTTATTGGGGATAATGAAAGATTAAATAATTCTTTGTTAATAAGTAATGAACAACAAAAGAATAAGGATGAGGCAAAAGTAGAAGAAGGAAATGTGGAGGGAAAATCAGAAGAAAAAGGTTTGTTTTTTTATGAGAGAGTTGGACATAAAATGTCTTCGGTTATCGCCGGTTTTTTGATCTCCGGTTTTCAATTCCGGTTCGGTTAACCGGTTCGGATACGTCTGGATCTGGATTTTTCCTGGATCCAGACATTTTTTGATCGTCCAGGATTTTTTCTGGATCCATATCAAGAATCCTGTCCAGATTACTAACCTAAATCCAGATCCAGTATTTTTTCTATACCGATAACTAATGTCCAACCCTACTCGAACTTTATTTAAAAAAATTTTTTAAAGGTAATCAAAAAGAAAAGAAAGGAGAAGGTTTACTTAAAAAGAAGAATAAAAAGAACAAGCAACAACAACAAGATGAAAATAATAAAGGTATGAGTGTTCAAAAATCAAGAATTTACAAGGAAAGTGAACAGAAGAAAATTAATGAAGAGGTTTTTGATTTTTTAAATTTACATATTTAAAATTTAGGAGTGTTTCAGGGATGTCACGGGTATCCGAAACCTAGACCTTTCTACCCGAAGTCTGGTCTAAAGAAAATTTTGAAACCCCGCCCGACACATTTTTCCTCGACCGGCCCTTCATGGTGTATTTACTATATTTAAAACCTAAAAATTCTCTTAAAATTTCTTTTCATTTTCTAGGGTCATAATTTAAAATTGAGAGAAATGATGATACCCAAAAAGCATAAAAGAATATACGAAAAGCTTAAACGTGGAACTAAAAGGCGTGCAAGAGCTGAAGTTGTTTTGGAGGAGAAAAGGGCTAAATTGGCAAAAACATGAAAAAAGTATTTTGTTTTTTTGTTTTTATTTGTTATTTTGAGACTATATTTATAAAAAGACTTGAAATTCTTTTAAAAATTCCAAACAATTAAATTTCTTATTTAAAAGTTAGGTATAATATGGACTGACACCCCTTCATTTTTATATCTTCCTTTTGTCTGACCCGTCTTTTTTACTTTCTTCCTTCCATCTTTTTCCCTTTATTCTTCTTGAAGTAATCCTAATCCTATGAGCCTTTTAATCGGATAGGATGAAGGTTTAGGTTCCTCATCTTCTTGAAAGGAATGGTAATTTTAAGAGAATGCCGGCATTTTGGACCCTAAACCCCTAAAGGGTACATAAAAGGAAGAAAAAAGGGAAGGATGTCAACCAACGCAATATCAAAAAAGTTACATTTTAAAAAATAATTTTTTAAACCTCTCTTTAACTTATTTTCTCCTTCTATTTTTCATAAGGCTTAAATTCACTTCCTTTTGGCGGCTTCATTTCAACTTGAGCTTTTTTAACTTCACTCCAATTTGTTGACAAAACAGTTCCTTTAGATTCGGTAAATGATTTAATCATTGCCTTTTTTGTATCGTCACTAGCATCTTGATATATTTTCTAAAAAAATTTTTTTTAATTGGGTTTAGTCCTCTACGGAACCAGGGGGGATGTCGGGAGTTTCAGAAAACCCCAAACTTCGACCCGAAACCCAATCCTGAAACATTTTTGGAAATACGACCCGAACCCAGACCTTATTCTCAATCCGTGACACCACTAAAGGAAACTCACTCAAAATGCTTTTATTTATTTCAAAAAAAACCTGAAATAATTTATCAACACTATCTTCCGCCTCATCATTTTCATCAACTTCTTTTGCTAATTTATCCCATTTAGCATATTTTGCTGACAAATCTGTTGGTCTCGATGAAGTTGGTAGCGAAGGCTTGTCTTGTTCCTCTTTATTATTATTCATGTTAAAATTTTATGCTTTTCTAAAAAATACAAAAGAAAATTAAAAAGATATAATTTTAACTAAAAAATGGAAGACAATTTTAAATTTCTTCAAAAAGGTTCGAACCTTCAACCCCCTTTGCGTTGAAAACTAAAAATTTTCCAACTAAACCAAGGAAACAAATAGGGGGTTTAATGATAAAAAATAATTTTGGTGATCAATCTGGTTAATCTTTGCCTGTGTTGGCTTAAATGTCCTTAAAATTCCCAATTTGATCCGGTAACAAACTATCCTAAATTAACCGATCACCAACAATCCTAGTTGAAAAATTTAAAAAATACAAGAAAATTTATAGTGTATTAAATAACACTTTGGAAACGAACAAAAAATTTTTAAAAATATTCCCAAAATGTTTATACTCATTTAACAAATACACAATTTAATTCTCAAAAAATACATATATAACTTATAATTTCTAAAGATTCTTAATGTGTTCGTTCAACTCTTCTTTGGTCAAGCGTTTAAATCCCTCAGTCTTTGAGCATATAACCAATTCGACATTCTCTTCAGTCATACCAATACTGAAAGAAAAAAATTTTTTTGAGAAAATTTTTTTGGAATTTTCGGAAATTTTTTTAAAGGTTCAGAAACTTCAGAAGAATTTTCAAAAAAAAAATTAAAAAATTTACTCATAAGATTCACGCAAAGTCAAAAGAGCAGTATGAATGGCATCCATTTTCTCATTATTAGAGTCATAACGTTTCTCCAGAAAAGTTTTTGCGTTGTTATCATTTTTACCAATTGCAGTAGCTTGCCAAGCAAAATATGAACCCTTTGAAAAGAAAATTTTTTTAACCGAAAAAATTCAAAAAAATAAAAACCGATGGATCAATCTGGAACAACATTGGTCCTTTTGATTCATCCCATCCTCCAATAAGCAAAGACACTCCAAATGGCCGAACACCGCTTTGAAAAGAAAAATTTTTTTGAAAAATAAATTTAAAAAAATACCCAGATTGAGTATATTCTTGCATTATTGCGGCTATTTTTGCTGCAAGTTGCGTTATTGGCATAGGTTCACCATGTTGCAATTTGTATTCAGCAGCGATTTTGCGTGCTTTGCGAACAAGAATTCTTTAAAAATAAAAAAGTAAATTAGGGTAAAAAACAGAAGACATTGTGTATCGGTGCAGGTCAGAGATAGGCCCGCCGCGTGTTAAAAGCGGAAGACTGAAAAGACTAGCCGAAACCGGAAGGTTAAAAAAGTTGAAGGTGCGGAAGGCCACCCCCGGAGTTGTTGGATAGGTTTACAATTAGTTTCAAAAATAATATAAAGGGTTGAAGGTTCGAATCTTGTTGATGGTAAATAATTTTTAAGGCTATCCAGGGGTTTTAAAAACTTCTAGACTGTTCTTAAAGACTTGAGGAATGAAAAAATTTTATAAAAATAAAAATAACCGAGAATCAGGCCCCATTCCACTATAAGCACATCCAACATGAGAAGTAATTTTTTCAATTTTACTTTCAGGATTCAGAAGAAGAGAATTCTTATTTTCAGTAGCCAAAACAACGCAATCCTTTGCTGAAAAAGAATTTGTGAATTTAAAATAGAGTTCGATCACCATTTCTCGGGGAAGGGAATTCACGGAGACGGAGGGAAGTCTACCTCAAAGCCCTTGTTCCCCGCATCAGCGTTCACCGCATCTCCGTAAGAACAGGAACATGGGATGGGGACATGAAGAAAAATTTACGGAGACGAAGGGAGGTCTACCCCAGAGCGGAGGGGAACATTGACTCCCTCTCCCCGTCCCGAGAGGTAATAACGTTCCTCGGGGAGGGGAATTCACGGAGACGGAGAGAGGTGTACCCCAGAGCCCCCGTTCCCGACTCCGCAATTCAGATTCCTCGTCCTCGATGTTCCTCAAACCCCTGTCCCTCGTAAGAAGAACATGGGATGGGGACAGGAATGTTTGGGGAATATGGACGACCCCTCCTCTTCCCGAGAGGTCGAATCCTAGTTCACAATAGAATTAATTCAAAAAAACCTTTAAGTCCAACAGATGGAGAACCACTTTTTACGGCATTCATAGCATATTCAATTTGCATAAGCTTCCCAGAAGGGCTATAGAAAACGAAAATTAAAAAAAGTTAAACACTTAAAATAACCTGAACGTAGTAAGAGAGAAACTGTACTTTTCCGAACCTTTTTCACCCATTTTAAAATAAATAATCACTAAAAATGAAAAAATATAGAAAGGCACGGTTAAATCGGTTTGAAAAAAGTTTATACGGGTACAGCCCAAAACAACGCTCGGCCATAACAACGCAAAGCCATAACTAGCCGGCAAATTTCTAGCCTTTATCAATTTTGGTACCATTCTCTTTAGCTCGAGAGAGGAATCGTTTAATACTAGATTTGTTAAGATTTGAAATTTTGAAGCAAATTATGGCTTTGCGTTGTTATGGCCGTGCGTTGTTTTAGGCGTGTCCCAGTTTATACAATTCTCATCAAACTAACGACTGGCTAAAGCCTCAGCCTTTTATACTAAACATATACCCAAAAGTCTCCACTATATTCTGTCAAACCCACATTTTGCCAATAGGGGTAAATTCGACGTTTTGCCACACAATCTTATTGACAAAACTGCAATTTTTACCCTTATTGGCAAAATGTGGAATTGGCAAATTATGTTTACTAAATTAAATTAAGAGACACTACAGCGTTAGAGAAATAAAGAAAGATATCTTTCTAAAAAGTGTTAAATAGTGGAGGAAATGTCAAAATCTCAAAATTTAAGAATGTCCAATAGTGTAAAAAATTGCAAAAAGCATTTCTAATGTCTTTTGCTTATTTTTAACTGATTTTTAGGGCCTTTTTTTCAGTTTTCCCTTCAACTTTTCAATGGCACTTAGACGTTCATCAGCAAGAATTATTAAAAAATATGGCTACAACAAAAATTCTAATTGTTCTACAAACGAAATTGAAGATTTAAACAAATCAAAAGACGACAGAATTTCTCAAAACATTTTACTTATCAAATCAATGCGTCAAAAAGCAGACGCCCCCGTTGATTTAATGGGATGCCATACTTGTGCTGATAAAAATGCTGACCCAAAAACTTTTCGTTTTCAAACACTTGTGGCTTTAATGTTATCGAGCCAAACAAAAGATCAAGTTACTAGTGCTGCTATGGAAGTAGGTAAATAAATATTTGATAAGGGGATTGTCTGTGGGCTTTGGTCAAAGTCTGGGGTTTATTCTGTACTATGAAGGGTTAGTGTCACGGATGGGCCGTGTAGAGAAAAGAGGAGCAATAATATTTTGGATCGGGTATTCGGAAGTTTCTTGGAGTGAGTTTCGGTCTAAAATTTGTCCTTTTCGGATTCCGGGTATTGGACTCCTGTCTGGGGTCGTATTTCGTGTATCGGACTTCGAGTAACAACTATTCTACTAAATATTTTTAGAGACTTAAAACTGCTGGCTGTTCAATTTCTTCACTTCTTGAATTACCCAAAGAACAATTGGAAGAATTGTTGAAACCTGTTGGATTTTACAAGGTTTATTTCAATTTTCTCAGATCTTAAAAAATTTCTTTTTCAGAGGAAAACAGAATATTTAAAGCGTGTTTGTACTATTCTTCGTGAAAAATATGATGATGACATTCCAAATACTTTTGAAGGTTTATGTCAACTTCCAGGTCTGGTTTTTAAGAAATTTTTGGAAGTTTTAAAAATTTCAATTTTTAGGTGTAGGCCCAAAAATGGCAAATTTAACAATTCAAATAGCTTTTGGACGTATTGGAGAAGGAATTGGTGTGGATACTCATGTACATAGAATTTCTAATCGTTTAAATTGGGTTAAAACAAAAACACCAGAACAAACGGAATTTGAATTGAGAGAAGTTTTGCCAAAGTATTTTTTATTTTTTTTAAATATAAATAAGATTTAATTTCCTCTAAAACAATGCTGGAGATGGCCTCTGGGAACTAGCTCTTGAGCCGGCCTCAGCGGAATTGAAACTAAGATTTTGGGCCGGAACCGAAACCAAAAAACATACAATACCCAGCACTGCCCTTAAAAATAAAAGCTATTTTCCCACAAGGAGGGGAGGTGGGTGTTGAACCTTCGACAATTTTTACGTTTGAAAATTCTGAAAATTTTTCAAAAAAAATTTTTTAATTAAAAGAAATGAATGGAGTACAATAAATCAATTACTTGTTGGTTTTGGACAGACTATTTGCCTTCCTGTTGGTCCAAAATGTTTGGAATGTTTACTTTATAAATATGGACAGTGTAAATGGAAGAATTCAAAGAAAAAATAATTGCAATTTATTAACAAGTTTTTTTAAAATTTTTTTGGATCTCTTATAAATCGGACCTCTAAAAATCAGACATACCCCCCCCCCCCCCCCCCACCAAAAAATAAAAATGAGTTGAATGACTCCATAATTATCCGATGCAACAACCCTGTGGGAATATAGGGCTCGAGATGGTCAAAAAACCATAGGGGAACATTTTTCAAATTCGGTTGGCGTTGGGTGTGGAATGGTGACTCTTTTAGCCCCAAGGGTGTATTTATAATGAGGTCACTTTTTAGATTTTTTAAAATTAAAAAATATTTATATTGACATTTCTTTTGTTACAAAAACAATTAGAGAAAATAAAATAATATTTATTAATAATTGGAATCCAAACGTTGTTGGTATTTCATCCAGAAGAATTTCCGTAATACAAGTTATTTCTGTTTTTAAAAAAAGAGTGAGGTTTATTTTTTGATTTTATTTTTTTGGAATATTTTTACGGTTTTTGATTTTATGGATTGAAAATTCCAAAGTTTTCAAGGTTCTTTTAATTTTCTCAAAAAATATTTTAAAACGGAGCGGGGTCCAGATGACTCGATCGAGTCGGGATTCAACCTCCGTTAACCGATCTTACCCTTACCCCCTTACCGTTAACCGATCTTAAACCCTTTGTTTTTTCTCTTTAATTTCATCAAAAACTCATGATTTTAAACAAAAAAAATATACCAGAAGGGCAATGGAATCTTCCTCGTTTCAATTCAAATCTACTCCTTGTTTCAATTTCACCACATTCCTCATTATTTTCATTACAAGAATTAATTCTAATTATTTTTGGAATTTTATTTTCATCTAAACAGGCTACAGAAAAAGTTCTCTTACTATCTTCTATTAATTTTTGTGTTGCTTCACAAGTAAAATTATTTAAAAATCCTTCATTTTTGGTTAAAAAATTATTTTGAAATTTTAGAAGATTTTTTCTAGACACTAATATCCCCTCTGAAATTTCTAAAAATTCTTCAAAATTTTTATTAAAATTATTTTTGTTGCCTTCCTCAACAATTTCTCTTTCAATTTGATCATTTAACCAATTTAAATATTCCTCTTCTTTATTTTTTAATTGATATTTTATAATTGGTAGAAAATTCACTTTTTGAATTTTTAAAACATCAATAAAGGGCAAATAAAATTCTTGGGGTAATAATTCGAATTGTAACGATTTAATTGATGGAAGAAAATTTATTATTAAATTGAAAATAAAGGTTGATTTGGAAAAGAATTTTGGCATTTTTAAAGAAATTTTCTGGATAAAAATATATTTTATTTATGAACGGTTGCCATAGCAACCCAAAGTTCTATATCCCCTCTTTATCCCAGAGCAAAAAAGAGCGACCTCCAAAAGTCACAAAGTGACCAAACACGGAGGACTTCACCTGGCGCGCTGTATTTCGTTTCACTCATCCGAAACACCATTTTTTGGTGGGAGAGATTTAACTTTGGTTTTTTGCCTAATTGTTTAAGCTCTTTTTGAACCGTGCAGCACCAGTCATAGACCAGCGGCGCGGGAGCCTTTTACTCGGACCGAGGGGGCCCATTCTGAGATTGGTTGTCTCTCGGAAAGAGAGCGCGCCAGCAAAAAAACAAAAATGTGAGAATATATAGAGGGTGAAATTATTCTTTAAATTTAGTGTCGAGAAGTAGAGTAGAAAAATTAACATGAATTTTGTAAAGCTATTTCTTTCTCCATACTTCTCTGGCTTTAAAATTTCCTTTGTTATTCTCTCAAAAATCTGTTGTATTTTTAACCTCTCCTTCTCTTTGTTCAAGATTCTTTACCTTAAAAATGAAAATTGGAAGTTTACATAACATCTAAAAGAAAAATGTCATTAGGGGGGAATATTAACAAAATGCCAAAACGACAAATTGTCACTATGGGGAAATAATTAAATTTTGTCGTCTTTTTCAAATGGGAAAATTAGGAATATTTTACATAACACCTATAGACAAAATATCACAAAAGGGAAATATTGACAAAATGCCAGTATGACATATTGCCACTATGGGAAAAAATTAATTTTTTGCCGCATCTTTAAATTTTCTAAAAATAATTTTTATTTTTTAAGATTCCAATGTCTGAAATTGAAGACGATATTTTTGGTTTAAAAAAATTGGATTCACTTCCTTTGCCAAACTCTCATTTTAATAAACAACAAAATATCAACAGGAATACTACAAAAATTAAAGAAAATGGAAATTTATTTGATGAACATTTCTTCCCAGAATTGATTAAAAATTCATCAAAAGAAAATAAACAAATTGGACAGGAAGGAGAAGAAGATTTCTTTACTGAACATTTTGAAAGGTTTTACTTGTTTTTTTATTTTGAAAATTGCTTAGGTGTTGGGGGGTGTAGAGTAGAGGGACTCTGGGTTTGATTTGTTGGCCCTGTAGTCCAGGAATCTTGGGCCCTTAGTCCAGTAAAAACTCTGGCCCAGGAAAAAACCAGGAAGGTAAAAAATGCCTGGCCTTGTACTCTAGGTACAGGAGAAACCCAGGCCTTGGTGCAGACCTAGCTCGATCTTTAGTGTAGATATGGGTGGTTTTTGATTGAAATCTTGTAGATTTTTGAATACTTTCCTTGTTCTCGGCCCATTTTCGATTGAACCTGAGATTTCAGCTTTTTAGTCTATTTTGTTTTCGTTATCTCCAGTGTATGATGCCGTAATGCCAAGGCGCCGGAAACCCCGAACCAGCAAAAGCGTCATTTCCACAGTTTGCATTTTGACGGCTTTTGAGGCTTTGGCTTTTTGTTATTTATTTTAGAATTACGCGCCCTATGATTCCCTGTGTATTTATTGTTACTTTTCGTGGTTCATTTTTCTGAAAACCCTTATTAATTTTTAATTCCAGACAAACATCTGGCTATGAAGAACTTTCTACTAAAGATGTTTTTGAATTAATTAATCAACAAAATACTGGAATTAGAGAATTATGGAGTTATGTGGATCCTGTTTGGAAATTTAGTGATGAAGAATTGGTTGAATTTATGGCACAAAGAATAGTTTATGAAACAGGTTTTTTTGTAAAATTTTAAAGTATGATGTGTATTTTTTTAAAGATGAAGTGATTGCTTTTGATAAACCCTTTCAAGTTGCTTATTCTGGTGCTCCAAAAGATCAGGCTCAATTGGACAGAATTTTACAGGTTTTTTAAATTTTTTTACGAATGTTTATGTCAGACATGTCGTTGGCTCCGACAAGTCTGTCGTTGGGCTTTGTGGGTTGGACGAACCCTATCGAGGAGCTCGAACCACCGAACACAAGAAAAAGACCCTCTTCTGAAAGTTTATTTAATAAATGGCCAAAAAATTGCTGGGAAGAGAACCAAACCGAAATTTGATTGGGAGATGATTGAACTGCTCGGCTTGGGTTCTCTTGCCTTTTATGGCTATAACAACCAATACAGGGCAAATACTTCAAGATATGACAATTTATACGACATTTATTTTTTTCTAGAAGCTTCGGAAGAGAGTAGCCCCAAATGCTAACAGACTTCATTTGGTTAATTCATTGGACAAGCCTTGCAGTGGAATTATTATTTTTGCAAAGTTTATTTAAAGTTAATTTTAATATAATTTTTATTTTAAAGAAATTCTAAAAAGCAACAAGAACTTAGGACTCTACTTGATCAACAACATTTTTATTTTCGTTTTCGTTGTTTGTGCAAAAATTTTCCTGCTCAAGTGCCTGATAAAACACGTGTCAGTATTCCCTTGATTAAGGTTTTTTTGAACTATTTTAAATTTAGAAGTAAATTTTGGACTAGTGACATTTCATCCCAAAATCTTTTGGGGTCGGTGTTAAAATTTATAACAAGGTTTGAGGATAGGGTTGACGGATTCCCGGAAATAGCCAGATGTCCGGGTTCGATATCCTAACCGACAATTTATATTAGGTCTATTTTCGGGTCCGAATATCCGGATACAGAAGAGCGGTTTCGAAATTTTAATTCGCGACTTTCGAGAATTTTTTATTTTGAACAATTTTGATTCGGATCCACTAGCCTTATTTGAGTGTAATCAGGATAAGTATGTTTTTATTTTACATTTTGTTCTATTTTAATTATTTTTTCAAGTTTTTTAGGTTATTAAAAATGGCAACGTAAAATTCTGTCCATTGTTGGGAAGAGCTTCCAGTGATGACCATATTTTTCATTTAAATACGGATTGTAAATTGATTGATTTTAATAAAAGTGCTCAAGTTTCGTTAATTGATGCGTTTACTAGAACAGGTTTTTTAATTTTTTTTTGTAAATTTTTAAAAATTTTTTCAAGGTTTAATCAATGTGGTCAGAAGTCATTTATATTATGGCCTGGATTGTCCTTTAATCGGTGACCAAAAATATACCCGTCCAAATAATCCAAAAAATCAGGCATTAAATCCAATAAAAACAGCATTAAATAAACAAGCAATGGAAGCATTGAATTTAAGAAAAAATGATTTGAGGAAATTACCAATGTTTATGCATTTGGGAGAAGTTCATTTGCCCGAAATAATTGGAGGAATGGAAGGGAAAAATGAAGAAAATTGTTTTGAAGAAGGAGGAGGAAATATTGGTTTGAATAAAAATATTAATTTTAATGTTATTAGAGCAGAAATGCCAAAATTTTTTGTTTATGCATTAAAAAAGCTTTCTCTTTTTAAATAAAAGGGAGGAAAGTTTTTTTCTTGGAGGACATATCGGGGGGATATTTTAAAGTGCCAACAGCTGCATTATATTGGTTTTGGGAATTAATGCCACTCACTGAGTTTTGGATTGGTTTTGGATGTTACTGGGTCTTTTTCAAATTTTCTATTGAGAAAAAAAAATTTTGAATTTATATTTTTCAGTGTAAACTCGATATGTGTTTTCCATCCCGGTGTGTCTTCCTACCTGTTTTTTTTTTGTTTTTAAAATTTTAATAAATAATTATTTTAAAAATTTTTAATTTTTCTTTTGTTGGATATTTCCATAAATACTTCTAAAAAATTTTAAAAATTTTTTAGAAATATTTTCTAATACAAAAAAATTAAATGGATGAATGTTCTAGTACAACAACAACATCTTTTTCTTTACAAAACAAACCAAAAACTTCAATTTATCGTTTTGATTTAAATTTAAATGGAAGAAGACTTGATGCTTCTACAAATTTGATAATTTTCCGAGCTGTCCAAATGCGTGCTCTTCTCTTTTTTAAAAATTATTTGGAACAAATGGAATACAAATCAAGGAAAAGATGGATTGGAAAAATTTATGAAAAAGTTGTTGGTGAAAGTCAAGAGGTTTTTTTAAAGTTATTTTTTTAAATTAAAATTTTCTTTTTAATTTTCGGGTGTAATACTAGTAATGTCGAGACGGACAAGAAAATGTCGGAAAGATATTGGTGATTATCATATTGATAAATATTGGTATTTTTTAAATAATTTTTGGATGTCATCTGATGCAGAGTTTGTGTTTGAAACAGATTATCTACTCGGCTCAACGAGACGATTTGAACGATATCTGTTTCGAACAGAAATTCTTCGTCCGTTTTTTAACAATTTTGTATTTTTAAAGGGACAATTTGATTTTACAATTTCTTCATAAAGTTCTTGAATTGGAAAGCGAAATGTGGAGGCTAAGTAAGTTAAAAGAGTAGTTGCTGGGTGTGTTGGGGAGTTTTTGGATCCGGTTCGGACCTTTTTCAAAATTCTTGGCTGCTTCCGAGGCTTTTTCTTTTGGCTCTGAAGCTATCTCCCGGAGCTGTTTCGAACTTTAGAGGGTTCTTCTTATTTTTGTTTTCCGATTTCTGTTCCGGATCCATCCCCAACACTTGATAATGAGGGGGAAATGATTTGTGTAGATAATTTTTTCTTCTTTAGGTACTCTGGGTGGAGCTGTTTCTGCAATGGGATTTTTCAGCGAAAAATTTGTATTTTTTCCATTTAAAAATTTTTTTAATTTTTATTCTATTTGTAAGGTCAAAGCAGCTTTGCGTGTCTCTTTACGTCAATTAAAAATTGCTCAAATTTTGGGTGATCCAATTTCTATTGCTCGTTGTTATCTTTATATTTCACTTGGATTGGCACAAGATGGACATTTTAAAAAGGCTATAACAACTGTGAGGTTGGTTTGAAAATTTCAAAAAAATTTTTCAATAAAAATTAACTTAGGGGTATTTGGAAGGAGAATATTATTTCTCTTCATTCTGAATTTCTCAAAAATTGTACTTTGGGAGTTTGGATGACTATAAAATGGATAAAAACGAGAGAAAAAACATTTTTAAGTTAAGTTAAACTTTTTTTGTAATTTTTACAAATACTTGAAATAAAGGAATTTTTTATATTGATAGTTTTCTAGGGTTCGGGACACATTTTTGGTAGGGGAAGTGATAATTGGAGAGGGGTGGAGGTATATTATTTGGGATCATTTTGTGGATTCAGGGATATGTAATTGGAGGTGGAGGTATTATTTAGGGTCGATTTTTTGGTAGAGGTGAGGGATAGATATATTATTATCGGGTGGTAGGAAGGGAAGGTTGGAGGAGGGGGGAGTAGTTGAGACTTTTTTCAACATTTCCCAAAATTTCTCTTAAACTTTGGGGCTAATTTTGTTGGGAGGAGGGTTGGGGTTATTAATTTACGTATTGAACAAATAATTTATAGTTTATATACAAGTAGGTAGCTAAGAAAATTAGGATTAAATTGTGTGATTTTTTATAAATGTGGGTGGTGTGATTAGATAATAGTATGTAGCACATCTTCATCAATGAAACGATAAACTAAGCGTTGACCTTCAACTTTTTCCAAAATTCCTCTTAAAATGTAAATATTTTGATTTTTTTGTGTTTTTTATTCTGATCTGATTTTGTTCTGTTTTTGTTGCTATTTTTAATTCCGTTTTTCGTAAATTCTGATTTTTGTTCTGATTTTTTACATACCGTTGGTAGTAATATCTAAGTGCTCTCCCCATTGTTTCATAATTCATTCCTGGCTTGTTTTTGTGTGCTCCCCATAATTTTGAAACCTTTTAAGTAATTATTTTGAATTTAAAAAATGCTAGAAAAGTTACAGTTTTGGAATCAACAAGTTTAAAAACACCTAAAAATTATTTTAAAAAAGTTGGGAATTTTTTAAGAAAAATTTTACGTTTTTGTTGGTCTAACCATTTGATATATTTTGGTGTGTATTGTTTATCAGACAGAAGATGTAGTAAACTAGAAGAGATTTTAAGAAAGTTTTTTTAAGTTGAGAGGGATACAGGAGTGAGAGGGATGTAAAGAAAAGTTGGGATATTATAGAGATTTTTTGGATAGGGGGAGGATTTTAGGATTATTATAAGATTTTTGAACGTATGAGAAGAAAGGTGGTTGAGAGAGGGGAGGGAGAGACATGTATTTTTTAATCTCTATTTTATACCATTTTATATGTATAACTTAACTTACAACTCCCAAAGATATGTGACTTGTCCTGAAAATGATATATTTATTGTTGTTGATATTCCAAAGATTGGGGAATAGAAATTTGGTTTTCTAAATGGATTTTGAATTTAAAAAAAAATATTCTCAAAATTTCAAAGAATCACACAAAATTTTCTCGAGAGATTACTTCCAAATTTAATTAATATCCAAATCTTTAATTCCTTCAATCTACTTAATTTTCTCTCTTTATCTAACCTTCTCTGCTTCTTCTTCTAATTTTTGATTGTTGGTATATATTCTCATTAATATCTAAATTTAATTTTTGTTGTTCTTCTTGTCCATTATTAATTAATATTGTTGGTTCACTTAATCGTCTTAAATGTTGTTTTTGAGGATATTGTTGTTGGTATTGTTGGTATTGAATTTGTGATGATGAAAGATTGTTAAAATTTAAATAGGAAGGAGAGGAGGAAGTAGTTGTTAAATCTTGTTGTTTTTGAGTTATTGGAGACGTTGTGTGTTTTTGTTGTTGTTTTTCTTCAATGTTGCCATCACATTTTGAAACATTTTCATTCAAAAGTTTAGAAACTAGAGGATATTTATTTTGTTGAGGAGAATTATCAAAATTTGTATTTTTGGCATCTTTAAAAAAATTTTTTTTAGAGAAATTTTTTTAATTTTATAAATAAAATGGGCGTTTAAAAACATGTTTTTTCTTCCTATTTTTAAAAACCAGTTTGAAAAAATACAAAAATCATTTCTCCGTTTTTCCAATAAAATAAACAAATAAATAATATATCCTACCAATTATTATATATTATTTTCACTTTTTTTTTATTTTGTTTGCCATCAAATATTTTTTTAACACGTTTATAATATTTTATTATAATTTTTAACAGATGAGTGATTTTTTAAAAGTATAGGAATGAAAAAAAATATTTAATTATAGAAAAAAGTTTTTTTAAGAAGGAGGATTTTTAGGGAATTTTTTAGTTAATTTTATAAGGATGATTTTTTTAAATCAAAAAAATTTGGAAGGAAGGGGGATTTCTGGAGGGTTTTTAGTTAATTTTGATTTAAAAAAATTTTTTTAACCATTTTCTTCTTTAGTTTTTATTTTTTGTAAGTGGTCAGTTGAAGATGAAGCATTAATAAGTAACTGTTTTTGATGATTTTGTTGATTTAACAAAATTAAATTGTTTAATAAACGTTGAAATACAACAAAATTTGTTCCAAAATTATTAGGTGAAAAGGGAGATATTGGATTGTTGTTGTATATTATTGGTTGTTGTTGTTGGTGATTCTGTAAAATTCAAAGAATTTTGTTTTAGTTCGCGAGGTTTTTTTAGTCCTCCGTTCTCAGTTCGAGTTATAATTAATTTTGGAGGTATTCTTCAAAAAATTCACTCATTTTCAAAATTTTTTGGGTTTTTAACATTGAGAAATATCAGAATTTTTATTTTAAACCCAATCATGTCCTACCCTATTTTGAACAGTTTGTTGTTGTTGTTCTTGCAAAAATTGTAAGTTTTGTGGGAAAAGCGTTGCTGGGGCAGACATTCTTCTAGTAGAAGTTAATAATAATTTTGAATTTAATTGTTCTTCCTCTTCATTTTTCTTCTTTTCATTATCAAAATATTTATTAAAAATTCCTTCAATTTTAATAGGTATAGGTTTGTAAATTAATTGGTGTTGTTGTTCCATTTAAATTTTTAACAAAAAATTTTTTTTATTTTCTAATGCTGCTTGTCAAGAATTTGTGTGTTTTTTTTGTTGTAATTTTACCAAAAAATTTTTTCTTTGTATAAAATCGTGACCACTATACCTTTTTGTGCAACAACACCCAAAATTCAAAAGAAATTCACTTTTCTGTTTGTGTACTTCTCCACGTTTTGTAAAACAAATCCCCGCTAGAGCGATTTGTTTAAAAAACTCCGCCTACTTAGAATGACCAGTGTCCTTTTCTTTTCCTCAACAAATAAAATTTTTTTAGTCCGTGTTCTTCCTCTTTTATTTTTAATCATATCCCCCCTCATCTTCGTTCTTTTCCTCATCCTCTTTTTCCTCCCGTCACAAAATCCTTTTCCCATTTTCTCTTTGAAAATTTTAAAGTTTAACCTCAAGATCATGACCAGTCCGTAAAAGTCTTGGGACGGGAAAGAAATAAAAGAAAGTGGGGGAAATAGACTCAAAAATATCCCCGTCTGTAAATAAGTGATGACCTAATAATAGTTAAGTAATTGAACAAAATAAATATTTTTGAACGGGAAAAGCAAATAATAAAAATGTGTATACTAATTTTGTATTTAGGTAAGCATTTAATAATAAACTTGAAAATAAAGGAGGAAATTTTGAAATTTTTTCTATTGGTTTGTGTGTCAAAAAAAATTTTTTTTGGCAAGTGTTTTTTGACAAAGGAGAATCTCGTAAAGAAATAAGGTTAGGTTGAATGGGTAGAGATTATAAAGGGAGTTTTAAAATGGAAGGGAGAGAAGGGAGTTCTATACAAAATTTAAAAATTATTTTGTTTGAATTGAAGTGAGATCGAAAAAAATTAAAAAAAAATCTAGAAAAAAATCTATCGAGATTTTACGATATCTATCTCGAGATTCCAGTAAGGCACTCATAATCCGGTTTCTAGTTGAGATTAAATTTAATAAAAGAATTTCTTTTAAATTTAATTTGTTTATCACTCGGTTTGATTATTATTAAAAACAAAACAATGTAATAAATTTTTACGTGTACCAATTACAATATTAAAAGCTTCTTCCTCATTATTCTTTAAGGGTAAAATTAATGGGTGTCCAAATGTTTCAGCTTTGAGATCAATTATTAAATGAGCTGCTAAAGGTTGTTGTTGATTGTCGTTGTTAGAAATTAATGTTTCTGATTTGAGGAGAAAAAGAGAACCTGGAAATTGAAAAGAAATTCTGATTTGTTTTTCTGGTTATTCTGATTTTTAAAAAAATTCTGATTTTGTCTTTCTGATTTTTTAAATTCTGGTTTCTGATTTAAAAGATCCTGGCTTTCTGTTTGTCTGATTATTCTGATTTTGAAAAATTCTGATTTTTTGGTTATTCTGATTTTTCTGATTTTTAATTCTGGTTTCTTATATTTCTGATTTTATTAAAAAATATTAACCCGTAGAATTAAGCACAAACACGTCTTCATTCAAAATTTGAGGTCTTTTAACAATACATGTTGTGTTTGGTAAAATAATTTGTTTAATTAATTCAAAATTGTTGTTAAGCTCGTTATATTTAATTAAAAGTAAGTGTGATTTACCAGCAGAAATTAAAAAATAATTGTTGGCGGGAGAATTTAAAGGTGTTGGAGAATCAAAAAATGTTGGGGTATTTGTTATAGTTGTAGAAGTGTTGTTGTCTAGATTAAGTTGACAAGCCTGAAAAAAGGATTTTTTAGAAGATTTTCTACGACTTTTAAAAATACCTCAAATGTTCTAATAAAAGCCCTGGGCTTTCATTTTTCAATGGCTACCATTGGAAAGAAGATGGGAGCCTATCTATTGAAGATGGGCTTCTATTAGAACATTTACGATAATTTTTAATTTCCTTACCACGTCTCCATCAGATATTTTAACACAATATAATCCACCTTTAACCGTCAAAACTATACAAAAAGAACGATTATCATCCACTGAAAAGCTTATAGGTTGAGCAAAGATGGGTGAATCAAGTTTGGTTTGCCAGTAGAGTTGTCCACTAATCTGTTTGAAAATTTGTTTTAATTTTAGTAGAGTGATAAGAAGAGGGGAAAAGATGTAGAGGTGTCGAGTTTGTCACGGGTTGAGAAAAAAGCTGTCGGGTTGGGGTTTGTGTCTGGCTTTCAAAATTTTCTTCAGATCGGGGTTTGAGTCGGAAAAACGTTTAGGTTTCGGGTCCAAAAAAGTCAGGGTCTCTGGGGTTTCGGATATCGAGTAGGAAAATACCCGGGTTTCGGGTACCAGTGAAATCCCCTTGTATCTATTACCTTGTCAATAGCAAAAAGAAATCCATTTAAAGTTGCAAAAATTATCAAATTGTTGTCAAGTAAAGGACTTGTTCTAAGCGATCCAAAAGAATGTTTGGTACAATTAAAAATTTGTTTCAACTCTCCATTTTGAATATTTAAATTGTAAATAATTCCAGAATAATCACCCCAAATTAAATTAAATTTTTCATCAAAAATTGGCGTCATTCGAATTTCACTAGAACACGAAATTGTTAACAAGGGTTGTTGATTTGTAATTAAATTCTTTTCAAAAATTAATAAATTGCCAGAAAATCCACCTAAATAAATGAAAAAATCAGAAAATTTTAACCAAATACCAATAGCCATATAATGTTGATTTACAACACATCCAGCTTCAAAACGATCATTTTCAGCTATATAATTAAATATTGTAGAGCCAGAAGTAAGGGAAATTCCTTTAAGTGCTCCTGAATGAGAGGCGGCATAGATGATTCTTTAAAAATAAAAAAATTTTAGGGATGGAAGGATAAATAATCATAAGTTGTGTGTGTGAAGATTGAGGGAGGGATACGTGGAAGAGATTGAGAGAAGGATATCTAGAAGAGGTTGAGGGGCGATAACTGGAAAAGACAGGGGATAACTGGAAAGGTTTCGGGAGGGATAAATGGAAGAGATTGAGGGAGGGGATATCAGGAAAAATTTAAGTAATATCTAGAAAGGACTAAGTGGATATCTAGAATTCCATCGCATTTTCTTAGAAAAACTTCAAAAAATTTACCCATCAGAACAAACAGGGGTTCCATCAATACATTTTCCTAAATCAACATTCCAATATTCTTTTGACTTTAAAGTTGAATTAATTAGTTCAAATTCCTTGTATTTTCCTTCTTTTCCAATATCCCCAGCAATATTTATTTGATTTCCATTTGTTTCAGAATTTTCAAAAATTTTTAAAAAATTTCCAAGTGTAGTGTTTTCATCCAAAATAAATTGCATTTTATCCCCAAAAGTTTCAAAAATATTTTTTGATGTTGAAAAATTTTCGAGATAAAAACAAATTTCAACAGCTTCTAAAGATCCAATACCATAATAGCGAAGTGAAGATGATAAATTGGATAAAGTTGGGTTTAGTGGAATGTTGTAATTTTTGTTTAAAAAATTTAAAAAGGAAGTGAATTTGTTGTAATAATTTAATTTGATGTAGTCAATTAATTTTGTTTCGTCAATTTTACCTGAAAAAAATTAGGAAAAAATTAGAGGTATTAGTTAGAGGTCGGTCGGAATTCCCATTTCCGACGTTTTTCCCTTACGATTTCCGAAATTTTGCCTGCGGCGCTCAAAGAGGGGTTTAAAGGGGAATCAATGGATTTGGAAGGACACAAAGGTATATCTGGTAATTTGCAAGGGATTAAGTAGACTTGAAGATATATTGGGAATAACAGGGGATTTGTAGAGGACACCGATGAATCCTTTAAAATTCCCCTTTAAATAACTACCAACCATTTAAAGTTAAAAAGTCAGAACGTATATTCATTTCGCCCATACAAAATATTCTTGTTGGCCACAAACGTTTAGGTATTTTAGTGAGAATATTTTTAGTATTAATTCCTGGAACTTCTCCATCCGCTTTTAAGAATAAAAATTTACAAGCTCCGACAAATACAAGTTTAGCAAAATTTATTTGAGGAAAAGCATTTAAAATAAAAGATTCTAATTCAAGTGAAGGTAGTTGACTTTGAGGTTTGTACTGAAATTTTTTAAAAGGAAAAATTTTTTTAAGGATTTTAAAATTAAAAAAAACTATATTGTAAGCAACCCAACCCTCGAAACACCGACAATTTTTTGGTAAAAATCCAGACCCTCGGCAAAAATCCGAAATCCCGACCCTATTTTTTAATAGAGAGGTTTTTTATCAAAAAATTACTCACTCTGCTTTTGACACAAATTAATTTTTCTTCATTAATTATTTTAACAAAAGCAATATCTCCAGTATTTGTAGGTTCTTCTTCTTTATTTCTAAAAAAATTGACAAAACATTTACGTTCATAAATTTGTAAAATTCTTTCTTCATTTATATCAAATTTTGTTTTGAGTAATGGAGTTCCAATAGGGATTGACTCATTAGAAAAATGTCTGTAGAAAATAATTAAAGAAAAATTTTGATGTTTTTCGAGTTGAAATTTTTTTTGAAATTTTTTAGAAATTTTTTGAAAATTTTGAAAATTCAAAAAATTACCCAATATTGTGACAATTAAATTCAAAACAGGAAGCCCAACAACTAACTTCAGTAATTCCATAAACATTGAAAATTCTTGTTCCTGTAGAATAATTAATATAACGACGAATTAAATTTAAGGGAAAATTTTCTCCACCAATTAGTAAAAATTCTATTGAAGAATTTGGTCCAAAAATAAAATTTAAACAATTTGTTGATAAACATTGTAAAAGTGCTGGGGTAGTCTAAATTTAAAAAGAAAATTAAAAATTTTTAAGTGTGAGGGAAGAGAGGAATGTTGGTGATAAGACCCTTCGATCAAAAATTGATCAAAACCCTTTCATAAAAAATTTTTTTTATAAAAAAAAATAATGTGTGGACTTAAATATTAAATGAAAATGTTAACTAGTGTCTCTTGGTGTGAGAAAAAAAACTTTTTTAAGAAAAGCTAATGTACGATTGTGGACTTGTTTTGGGTTGCTAATGGTTTTCCATAAAAATAGAAAAAAATTTTTCCCAAATAAAATGGGAGAGTAGAAAAATGAGTGAGTGATTGGCGCCCTCCAATTAAAAAAATAATTTTAAACAGAAACCTGAACAAAATTAATTTTTTCAAATTTTTTCAAAATTGAATGAGAAATTCCACCAATAATTTCCTTTGGAGGTATAATTAATTGAGCACCCAATTTAATTGATAAAAATAATTCAACCATTGAAGGATCAAATCCAAGACAAGTTGAAAATAAAATTGAAGAATTTGAAGTTAAAGAAAAGCGTTGGCTTTAAAGAAAAAAAATTTTTTAAAAGGAAAATTAATTTAAAAAATACATAAAATCATCAATATTAGGCATTATACAGCTGTAAGGTACATGGACAACTTTTGGTTCTCCTAAAATTTTGAAAAATAAAATTTTGAGGGATTTTTGGAAGGATTTTATTGTCTGAGAGGGTTTTTAGTTTTTGAGATTTTTTTATTTGGAGGGGGAATGTTTTAAGAAATTCCGAATAAAGATTTTTGAATACTCTGTGGTATTTTTTGGATTTTTATTCAATTTTTAGATTTTTTAAATCAAAAGAAAATTAGAAAAAAATCTCGTACGAATGGGATTTATATGTATATTCAGTGGTATTTCTTTAAAATCTCAAGTTTTTTTGGGGAATTTTCTTTTATTTTTTAATTTAAAAGAGTTAGGGCTAAGAATTTTTAAAAATAGTTTTTAGTTTATTTTTGAATTCTGAAAGATTTTTTATTTGAAGGGTGAAAAGAATTTTTTCTTGATAAAAAATTTTTTATTGTATTAAAAGAAACCTGTTGAACCAGAAGTTTGTATAGCATAAGCAATTGGTTCCTCTCCAAAATTACTATTTTCCTCTTCTTGTCCCGGATCATAAAAAAATAGTAAATTTTCTTCAATTTGAATTGAATTTGGAGATGATTTTATTGAAATTTCTTCAAGTAAATTTGTAGAATGATAAATAATTTTTGTAATTTTGAAACGTTTAATTTGTGATAATGTAAATTCTGTTGATGATGGTTCGAGTATAATGAATGAATTTTTTGATTTAATTATTCTAAAGAAAAATGGGAGAAAATTAAATTTTAAAGGGTTTGAAAGTAAGTGAAATGTGTAGGAGACGAAAAAAAAATTTTTTGATGGTCAGAAATTAGGAATGGAAGAGAGGGAAGGCAATATTAGGGATGTGTTTTTGTGTGAAAAAGAAATAATGGGAGGGGATGAGCTCCCGGACGAAAAAAATTTTTTAAGGGGTAGACAATTGGAGGGCCGCGGCTCAGGGATAGGAAGGGTTACCCGAAAATATGGGCTTTTTCGACCTGAACCACGAAACCTGATCGGGAGGAAATTTTTATAAATGCGATCCCTTCTCCCAAGCCTGTCACATCCCTGCTTTCTCCACTTTCTTTCAAAAATATTTTTTAAATTAAAAAAAAACCTGACCCAATTAAAACACCAACAAGCAAAGCACTTTTTTCCATTACAACCCCAATAACCTGATTCTTGTCTTCTTTAAATAAATTTAAAATTTTTTGAGCAATTTTCATTAAATTTGTAAAAGTAAAGGTGTTGGAAATTAATTTATTTTTTGATGTTGAAGCATTTAAGGCAAGTTCTGTGCATTGAAAAGTTGAGGGAATCTCATCGAGATTATAATATTTATTCTTTTTATTTACATTAGAAGTCATTTTGTCCTCTGAAAATTTTTCCTTAAAAATTTTTGGGAGCTCAACCTTTGGAAGTTTGAGAATATCAAAGATATTTAAGAAATTTTTAACTTATAAAAAATTTAAAAAAATAAACAAGAGTTTTTAAATTACTCAAAACAAAAATATTTTAAAAATTTCAAAAAATTTTTTCTTTTATTTGAAAAACTTCAAAATGATGATTTAATGATTTAGATTCTTGTAATCTCCATTTTGTAATTAAAGCACCATTCTTTTTATTTTCTTCTCCAAAAAATATTCTTTTAACACGGCAGTGTACGAGGGCCATTGCACACATTGTACAGGGTTCTTGAAATAATATGGCATCGAAACCTTGAAAGAAAATTTTTTTGGAAATTTTTGAAAATTTTGGGATCCCATTATAGATGAGGGAAAGGGTTTCTGGTGTAAAATCAGAACTATTTTCCCTCAATCCACTTTCTCTTCCTCAAGAATCGAAATATTCCGTAGATACTAGAGTTGGACTCCACTCTCTCGGTGTCGAAAAAATCCGAGGACCGGGTCGGGTTTCTAGCCAGAAAAGCGGGTTGGACCCTACTAGGGTTGGACCGATCCCTCGGAGTGTTGAAAAGTCCGGGGACATGGTTTTCCGAGTTGATTGTGAGACTTTTTGGGTCAGGTTTCTAGACAGAAAAGCGGAGCTAAGGGACCATCCCAAGTCTACGTCCAAGAAATTTCTCATTCCCCCTCTCCTTTAAAAGGCCCAAAATTTTTTCGAAAACCTGTAGCTAAATATTGTCCATCTTTCGACGTTTCTTCTTGTTCCTGTATTTTTGCAAGAATATCAATACATTGGATAACTGCATGTTTTAATGGGTGTGTTGGATTAGTTGTAGAGGCACAAACAATTTTATTGTTTTTTGGGTCGTAAAATAAAACACCTGTGAAAATTTTTAGATTAAAAAAAATTTTTTTTGAGAATTTTAGAGAAAATTAAACCTTTAGTTAATTCAACTTTAAAAAATAAATTGCTATAAATCTCAATTTCTTTTGTTGAAAAATATTGTTCATTTAATTTTGCTTCCAAAATTGAATTTTTATGAAAAGAAATTGGCCAATATTTTTTTGCAAGTTCACATTGAGTTTGGGTTAGTGGAGCATTTCTAAAAAAAGGAAAATTAATGTATTTAGGATCGTAAAATATGAAATTTTAAGAATTTCGGATCCTTGGAGGATAAGGGCAAATCGCCGGGTATTCTCACGAAATTTTTTGAAAGTAGTTAATTAAGATTGACCGTTGACTGAGAGAGTCTCATGAATAATTTTTGGGGAGGAAACTGAAAAGATGTTGATTCGAACCCCTAACCGCGTAAATGATATTTTGCATTAAGTTCGGCTTTATTACTATTATATTTCAGAAGGGAACCTTTCGGACTGTTCGACCAAAAATTATAAAAATAAACCTTGGAACAAATTGTTGAGATATTTTAATTTCTTCTTCTTCTAATAATTGTTTAATAGTAATCAAAAGCGATTTTTCTTCATCTTCTCCTTCATCTTCATTAATAGAAATTAAAATTTGATTATTCCAAACTCTCTTCAAATGTTGAAATTTTTTGTCTAATTTAGGTAAAATTGCAACAATTTTTGTTATTAATTTTTTATTTTTTATTGAAAGAATTTTTGCTGGAATTAATTGAGGAGTTGAAGTTAAAGAAGAATTTAATATTGGATTTATTAAAAATCTTTTTTTTTTAAAAAAGAGAGAATATTCTTTTTAATGTTATGAAAGTTTACCTTCGTTGCTTGGCTATTTTACTACAGGATGTTGAAAAATTATCATCAAAAGCTTCCGATTGTTGCTCATTATTATTCTCGCAACACATTTAATTACCTTTTAAATTCATTAAAAATCCTATTTTAATCGTATCCCCTCAAAATCTCTATTCCTTAAAATCTCTACGCAGCTAAAATGCCTTATAATCTCTACGCGGGTAAAATGCATTAAAATCTCTACTCGGCTAAAAATGATGAAAATATCTATTCCTTAAAATCTCTATTCCTCATAATCTCTACACGGGTAAAATGCCTTAAAATCTCTACACGGCCAAAAATATGATAAAATGTCTATTTTTTCATTCGGAAGCCTTTACAGTGCCAACTTTCAGTGCGGAAACGTTGCTCTGATTTCTGGTTTATCTTTTGGTATTATTTTGCTTGAATAGTGTCCAGCAGAACGATCAGGGTATGTCCAGCAGAACGACAGCAGCCGCTTCAATACGATCACTGCAAGCAAAATGAACACGACGCAGCGAAGCAGTCGCGTATTATATTTACGATATTTACGGCGGATACAGGCGGATATCCGCAGCCATTTTCAAATTAATTGTATCCATATCAGTATCCATCACCAAGTCTGGGTTTTCAAATGAAAAGTTTATATTTTACACTTTTGTTAAGACTCTATCGTCCATTTGCGCGGGGTAGAGATTTTAATTATTTTTACCCCAGTAGAGATTTTAAGGAATAGTTATTTTAAGGAATAGAGATTTTAAGCATTTTTAGCCTAGTAGATATTTTAAGGAATAGCGATTTTAAGGAATAGAGATTTTGTATGGGAGCCATTTTAATTACAGCCGTATAAATGAGAGAGTATGTAGAAAGAGGAGAGTATTGTTAGAGAAAAAGAAAAAAATATTCGAAAAGTATGTGAAAAGAAGAGAACGTAAAGAAAAGAAGTAAAATTGGTCATTTGTAAAAATAAATGTTCGCCCCATATTTTGCCAATTAGGCTAGAAACCCTCATTTTGTCAACACACTTATTGGCAAAACGATCGTTTTCGCCTTATTGGCAAAATATGGTATTGGCAAAATATTTAAAAACAAATAGTTAAAAAAATTTCGGTTAAGGACGATTCAGTATTAGAGACCGGCAAAATCGTGTTTGCGGGAACCCGCATGCGGGATTTTTAAAAAAAATCTTTGCGGGACGGGATCCCGCGGGAAAAACCCCGCAAAATCCCGCATCCCGCAAAATCCCGCAATTTAAATTTGCGGGATCCCGCGCGGGATTGCGGGAGCGGGACCCCGCAAAATCCCGCGCGGGATCCCGTCCCGCGCCGGTCTCTATTCAGTATCGCCGATTCAGTATAGCCGATTCAGTATCCGCCGATTCAGTATATGGCTTTAACTTTCCTGATATCCGACCGATCTGAATAATTTTCATATCATTCGAAAGGTCTCGAGATTCGACATCTTTTTCATAATTGGCCCGATCTGATCTGGTGATCTTAAAAAAAGTTACAACGTGAAAACCGACTTTTTATGCCTGTGACGTCGTTTATCAGTGATAACTTTTTGGTAGACTGATCAGATCAGGTCAGTCCAATTATAAAAAAGATGCAGCACCCCGAGACCTATCAAATCATATATAACAATTCCTACAATATTGATCGAGCAAAAAGTTATGGCCAAAAAGCCCAGATACTGAATCGGCCAATACTGAATCGGCGATACTGAATTGGCGATACTGAATCGTCCCCAAAATTTATTTTATAAATGTCATTGTGTAAAATGTCATTTTGTCAAAATAGTTTTTGTCTGATAACAGGTATATTCTCCCCTACGTTTGATTAATTAGCTAATGTTAATTATTACTCTTTCCTTTCCCGTTTTTTTATTTACACAAAAATCAATTTTAATTGTATATTAGTTTCGTGTTCCCCCTCAAACTTTCCTTTTTAATTTATCATTTTTTAATCTATTATTTTTTAATTGTTTTAATTTTAATAATTTTACCCAAAATTTTACCTTAATAATTTTTTATGAAGGGGGGAAGGCCCCAAAAAATATAAAATAATTTTTGGGAGGAATTTTGGGATCTACATATTAGGGAACACTTTAAAGAATATAAATCTAAAGTTTGATGCTTTTTGAAATTAAAAGAAAATTTTTATAATTATTTTTGTAAAGCGAAAGTTTATATTTATGAACAGAACCTAGAAATTATTTTTTTGTACCGGAAGGAGGCCCCAACAAAAACATCTTTTTGGGAATGGGAGGAAGGACACTCCTCACAATCAGAACTCCCCCAAATTTATTTTTTTATGTGAAGGGGAGGAAGGGCACTCCACAGAAATCCCCAAATTAATTTTTTGTGTGGAGAGGAAGGTCCTCCCAAAAATCTCCCAAAATTATTTTTTATACGAGGAAAGAGGGCCACTACCCCAAAAATATGTAATAATATTTTTTGTTTACTACATTTTATTTTTATTGATTTTCTCTGTAAATATTTTTTGGAAAGAGGGGTTACTTTTTTTAATCTCGACGACCTTTCCCTCCTATTTTTTAAATAATAATCGAATAATGTTTTTTTTCTCGTTGTTCTCCCAGGCAACCACTGCCACACCATCAAATTTCCGAATATAGTTTTTTTTCTAATTTTATTTCCTTCCCCCGCCCATTTTTCTTGAGAGATTTAATATATGCCTATTTTAAAAATTGTATTTTTATTCGCGTAATTTACACAATTTATTTTATATTTTATTTATTTTATAAATAGGTTTCCGTTCTCGTTTTTCATTTTTCTTTCTTTCTCTTTTATGTCCAACTCAAAAAATTTTTTTTATCAATTTGGCTAGAAAAGATAAGAGAACAAGCCAACGGACCACCATTTTTTATTATTTTTTACGGCCCACCCAAGGACCGATGCACCAAAATATCGATTTCCAAGGACCACCAGTCCATCAGGGATTGTTCGGGTTTTGATTCGGTTCTTTGATTCAGATCGGGATATCCGAAGATTTTCCAGGAACTGACAACCCTATTCAGGTTTACCAGAACCTGAACCGTTTTTTTGAATCGAATCCCGATTAGAAGAAATTTTTGAAACTCGAGACCCGACCCAGTTTTTTTCCAATCCATGGCATTCCTGACATTTCTGCTGTCCAAAGGTATTTGGCTTGGAAAAATTTTTTTGGCTTGCTTGAATTGGATCAAATTGAAAAAAATATTTTTTCTCCCCTTTTTTCTTCATCAATCACCAACACAAATTCCTTCCATTTTATCAAAGGGCGTGATTCATATTTTTCTTTTTTTTTTAAATGTGTGTATGTTTCACGCTCCTTTTTATTTTAAATTTTTTTTCTAAATTGCAGCCATTTCTCTATATAAATTATATCCGGAAACGTTCGCTTTTATTTTATTTATTTTTTTATTTTTTAAACGATTTTGCCTTTTTAAATTATTCATTTTTTTATTTTTTTCCAAAAAGTTTTTTTGTTATTGCCTAATCATTTAATAGCGAAATAAAAAAATTTTTTTTTTGAAGTTTATCGACTATGACTTTTAAAATATTTGATAAAAAAAATTCTCAAATTTTTTAAGGAGGTAGTCAAGGATTAGGGTTGGGGCCCAATCCGGCCCGGCCCGAAAGATCGAGTCGGGCATTGAATTCTGGCCCGAAAAAATGACTCGAACGTCGGCCCGACTCGAAAACCTTAACCCTAATGCTAAAGAAATTTAAGAAAAATTTGAGATGAATTTCGGGTTCGTTTAAGTCCAACCCCCTTTTTTAAACGATTTTTTTGCGTTTTTAGATTATTCATTTTTTAAATATTTTTTGCCTAATCATTTAAATAATACCCAAATAGAATTTTTAGGGTAATAAAAGGCTCATCTCACTACTACAAATTTATATTCATATCACTATATTAAAAAATATTTTTTATAAAAAGCCCACTATTGCGTGTTAAATAAACACAAAATATTTATTATTATTTTTATTTTTGTGTGCTACAAAAAAACAACAACAAGAAAAAAATTTTTTGAAGGTTTTTCAAAATTTCTGAAAATTTCAAAAAAATTTTTTTGAAGAAAATTTCAATTTTTTAAAATTTCTTTCATCATTTGGACATTCATATCTCTCCAATATATATTTTTTGCCTATAATTTAACACCATTTTTACAAATATTAATACTGCCAACAACAACAAAACAACTAGACATTTAAACTAAATCAGCTCAAAAATCAACAAAAATTAAAAAAAATGCCATTATCTTCAGAATTAAAATATTTTCTACATTTAATAGCCTTTATTTGTTGGATAAGTCTTGTGGAAATATTTTATGGTGTGTTGTCTTTTGATTTTTTCAGAAAATCAGGCAACGATTTTGAAGATTTTGTTGAAGACTTTAATCCTATTGAAAGGTTTTTTAAATTTTTTTTAAATTCTAAAAATAGAAAGAATAAAAATTAATTCTGTTAAAATTGGAAAGAAAAAATTATTTTTTGCGGTTACCATGGTTTCTTAAATTAATTTTTACATTTTTGGAAACGTTTTTTTTATTACCTAATCAAATTTCAAGAAAAGGAACGTTTAACATTTTGTATTTAAATTTTGATGGTGCTGTCGTCCGTGGTGTAATTGGAAAGCTATGAGTTTTCCATGTACTGGTGATAAGGGTTCGAGTCCTTTTGCTGAATTTTTATTTTATTTCTTTCTTAAAATAGAAAGAATAACGATTAATTTAGTTAAAATTCGAAAGAAAAAATTATTTTGCGGTTACCATGGTTTTTAGATTTTTTAGAATACATTTTTGGAAACGTTCCTTCCTTTGTTTCTAATTTAAAAATTTAGTAGTTTCAAGGAAATAGGGAGAGTTTAAAGATTAGTTTTAAAGACATTTTTAAATTTTCCCATTGTGATGTCTTTGGTGTAGTCGGAAAGCTTTGAGTTTTTAAATATGGGGGCGGGGGTTCGAGCTCTCCCAATGAAATCCATTTTTATTTTTTCTTTAATTTTATGAGACGTTGTCTATTTTCTTCATCAAAAATTTTTTAAGTAATTTATTTTAATTTTACAGATATGGCACTATTGTGACTATTTTGCTTTATTTAATTCGATTAGTGTCTTTACTGGTTCTTTTAATTTTAAATTTAAAAAAAATTTTTTTCTTTTTAAAGGTTCTTCCTCAATGTATTTGCAATTCACTTGGACTTGTTCTCTTCAATGGTTTTAAAGACAAAATAAAGCTCAAATCAACGCCTTTATTTGCTCCTTTTATTTGTTTTAGAGTTGTTACTAAAGGAAATTTTCCTGAATTAGTTAAGGTTTGTGTAAAAGTTTTTATTGATTTTTGAACTCCTCTTTAGTGTGGGTTGTAGGGGTAGGCTCGTAAGCATTTAAAACGCTTATTTGTGGGAGGTTTAAGATCCCTTGTAAAGAAAAGTGAAGCACATCCCTAAGTCAGATCCCCAATCCCAACACCAGACTTACAGTTAGTAAAGTTTGGTGAGCGAGCTCCTACCAATAACTGCCAGAGGTCAAGGGATCGATGCCTGAAATGCGCTAAACTTTTACCTCACCGGGTATTGCTTTTACTGACCAGCGCTGGATGGGCTCCTGCGCCGTATCTTGGGGATCCAGCTCCCGCAATCGCATTTTTTTATGAGTAACGGGATCCCTTCCCTCACATATTCTTAGAAAATTATTTTGTTGGTCACTAATTTGCTTAAAAAAAGAAAAAAAATTTTTTATTTCAGATGAATCTCGAAAAAAATCTTTTAACGTGTCATGAAGCTGGACTTGAAAGTTTTATTTTTGAAGTAGTAACAGACAAATCAGTCAATTTGCCTCATTGTAATCGAGTTCGTGAAGTTGTTGTTCCCTTGGATTATAGGTTTTTTTAATTAAAAAATTTTGAAAAAATTTTTTTGAAGGACAAAAACCGGAGCAAAATTCAAATCTCGAGCATTACAATATTGCTTGGAAGACAAAGTTAATATTTTTGGTGACGATGATTGGATTGTTCATTTGGATGAAGAAACACTCCTTTCTGTTAATTCGGTAAGTAAAAATTAAAAAAAAATTTCTAAAAAATTTTTCTGAAATTTTCTCAGAAATTTCTAAAAAAATTTCCGAAATTTTTTTGAAAATTTTTCCTTAGAAAAAAATTTTCATTTTTCAGGTGAACGGAATTTTAAATTTTTGTGAAGATGGAAAACACCATTTTGGCCAAGGTGTAATAACTTATGCTCAAGGCGAAATTGTAAATTGGCTGACTACTTTATCTGACTCTTTCAGGTTTTTTTTTCATTTAAAATTTTTTTAAATTAAAAAAAATTTAGGGTAGCTGACGATATGGGTAAATTGCGTTTTCAATTTAAAGTGTTTCACAAACCTTTATTTGGTTGGAAAGGATCTTTTGTTGTTACAAATGTATATTTTTTAACTTTCAAAAAATTTTCAAAGAATTTTTTTACAGGCTGGAGCCGAAAAGAAAGTTTCTTTTGACCATGGACCTGAAGGTTCTATAGCGGAAGATTGTTTTTTCTCGATGGTTGCATTTAGAGATGGTTATTCTTTTGACTTTATTGAAGGGGAAATGCATGAAAAGAGGTTTTTATTTTTTTAATTTTTCAAAAAAATTCTCTTCAGTCCATTCACTTTTTGGGATTTTCTTCAACAAAGACGACGATGGCTGCAAGGAATATTTTTAACTGTTCATTCAAAATATATTCCTTTTCGATGTAAATTTTTGTTGGCAAGTTCACTTTATGCTTGGGTTACTTTACCTTTAACAACTTTACAGGTTTTTTAGAGAAAATTTTTTTTAGAAATTTTTTAAATTTCAGATTTTTTTAAATCCTCTTTTGCCTCTTCCAAAAGCTTTTGTACTTGATTTTCTTGTTGCTTTTGTTGGCGCTGTAAATTTGTACATGTACATTTTTGGTGTTATCAAATCATTTTCACATAAATATAGGTTTCTTTAAAAGAATTTTTCGGGGTTTTTTTTTTGGCTATTTCTGGACCACCACATCCCTTTGGGGCCACTAACCTCTTCCTCTTTGCATTCCTCTGGATTTTTGTTGGTGCCGTAAGTAATCCCCTAGGTTATCAACACCCCGCCTACCTCTCTGTGCCACTAGCCACCCTCTCTGAATTTTCTGCTGGACCACTAAACACCTCCTCCTGGCTTCTGATAATTTTTGGACCGCTAGCCACTTTCTACATTTTATTTTTTAATTTAGAAACAATTCTTGGAGATTGCTCATCTATACACTAGCTGCACTTGTAGCTATTCCATTTAATATTTGGATAGAAAATATGGCTGTTTTAATGGGTATATGTTCTAACAAATTTGAATTTTACGTTGTAAACAAAGACACAAGATTAATTAATAGCCAAATTGTTTGATGATTGATGACACAACCAACAGCTTATCAGCTTATATTTTTTCAATTTTTCAAAGCATTTCTGTCTACGCAAGTATTTTTTAAATTTTTTATATATCGTAAATGTTCTAATAAAAGCCCTGGTGGTTTATTTTTCAATGAGTCTGATTGAGGGTTTTCTAGTTGGGCATGGGCTTTTATTGGAGATGCGCTTCTCTTAGAAGAGGCGGGCTTTCTATCGAAGATGGGGCTTCTACTAAAACATTTACGGTGCTTTTTTGACCTCTTTTAATTTTTTAGACTTTTTTATTTAATTAATACGTGTGTTTTCTCTCTCTGTCTCAATTTTTACTTAAAATATTTCAACACTGCTAAAAATAATTTAATCGAATCAATTCCCTAAGTGCCTAAATAAAAGGAAAATTCACAAAAACAATTTTAATCTAAAAAATTGATCTCTTCTTTCATTGTAAAAAAATAAAAAAATCATGGGGTGCAAAAAATTTTTGTCAAAAATTTTTGAAAATTTTTCTTTTGGAAATTTTTTCTTTCTTAACTAATAAGCTCATGATTTTTTTATAAAAACCTTAATCTGTCTCTCTTAAAAAAATTTTTTTCATATCTTTTAAATTTTAAGACTTTCTCTCTCATATCTCCTTCCAAATTTACTTATCTATTTATCCACAAGAGAATGAGAAATTTTAAGTGCGCTTAAAAATTTCGATCTCTGCCTTTGACAAAATCAGATATCCCCTTTTCTTTCACGGCAATTTTCTTCTTAAAATATGGACAAAAAAGATTTTTTGTTATTTTTGGAGTCTTGGAAAAAAATTTTCCGTCACCGGGTTCGAACCATGGTGGTAGCTTTAATGAACATTTAACATTTTCCCACTACACCACACAGTTTATTTTTAAAAATAATGCTTGTTTTAAGGGGGGATTGCCGGGTTGTATTTTTTTTTATTTTTGTAAAAAATTTTTTTAAAAAGCTTGTCTTTTTAACCTTTCGATTCTGATTTTTTTTTAATTTCATATAAAAATTTATTTTATTATTCCACTTTTTTTTCATTTTTTTAAACATTCAGGAAATTCGTTAAAATTACAAAATAATTTTATATTAATTATTAAAATTTTTGTTTGATTAATTTTTGTTTGATATTTAGATATTAAAGTATAATTTAAATTTGACAAGCCTGACAGACGATCACGACCTCTTCTTCTCTGAATTTTTTAAAGGTAAAAATGAAATTTTTTAATTCAAAAAAAAATTTTTTTTGGAAATTTTACCCACGGAAAATTTTTTGAAACCCCTAGCCTCGTAATTTTTCTGGGACCCTTAGCCTTGAAAATTTTCAAAAAAAAATTTTTTAAGAATTTGACGAATTAAATTTTTTAATAGGTCAAATTTCTCCCAAAAACTTTTTTGGGAAGAATTATTTTAGAACCCTTGCCCACGGAAATTTTTTTTTGAAAAAACCTAAACTATTTTTTCTCTTAAAAATTTTTTAAAAATTCAAAAAACCTTTTTCTTGTAATCTGTCTGAACATAATCCCTTTTATCGCTCTTGTTGTGTATATGTAAAAAAGTATTTGAACGTGAAGTATTTAATCCATCAGGTCTTGTTATATTCTTTGATAATCCTGCTTCTCTTTAAAAAATTTTTATAAGGATTTTTAAAAATTTTCTAACCTCAATCTTTGAAAGAATTCATCATCTTCTAATCCCCAACCCCAAAAATTATTTGACATTCCATTTATTTTGATAAAATCATTTAATGTAATCAAGAGAACACCTCCAATATAACTTTTATAATCATACCTAGAAAATAAAGGAAAAAATTTTTAGGCCTAGAAAATTTAGAAAAATTTTTGAAAAAATTTCTAGGCCTAGAAAATTTCTTTGGAATTTTTAAAATGTTTTCGAGAGCCTTGTAAAAAATAAAATAACCTTTTTATTGGATGATATTTCCCAGCTGTTATATGAAATAATTGTCCTTCTCCTGGATAATTATAATTTAATGCTGGATTTAGAGGAACTGTAAAAAATAAATTTAAAAGAAAAAAAATTTTTTTTGAAAATTTTTTAGGCCTAGGAAAATTTAAAACTAAAAAATAACCAATATCTATATCATGTAAAGCAATATAATCACAATTTTCTTCTTTGGCTTGTAAAGCTCCAATATTTAAAAGAGAAGCACGATTAAAACGTAAATTGTCTGTTTGATTAATAATTATAAATTTTGAAAGATTTATTAATTGAGATTTTAGAAAGACATCTATTTTTGGTAGAGTAAATTGTGCTAAATCCCAACGATTTTTAAAGGGGAAAATAAGGCAAAGTTGGTGGATATTGTCGTTGTTTTTGGTTTTGTTGTTGAGGTTTCTGAAAAAAATATTTTTTATAACTGGTAAAAAGGTTGACTTTGGGACCCTAGGAATTTTTGAAAAATTTTTAAAAAAATTTCTAAATTAAAAAAAAATTTTTTTAACCGGTAAGGGTCTTAGAAAAACTTCCAATTTGGAGGTTGCGAGAATTTAAAAAATACTTGTTCGATGGCATTTCAAGCATAATCATAAATAAAAAATTGGCTAAGAGAAAAAAGATAATGGCAAGCAGAAGTATAGGAAATAATTTAAAATATTGTTTTCTATGTCGTGACATATGTACATTATTGTGTTGAATCCTAAAAAATCTAAAATTGTAAAAAAATTTTGAAAAACAAGAAATTTTTAAGAATTGCCTAAGGTTGTTGGCAAAATAAGGGTTTTTACCCTTGCTGGCAAAATGTCGAGTTGATATAATTTGGGGAAACGAAATTTTACATTTTATTTTTTTATAGCGAAAGTAGAGAACGAGACCTTCACAAATAGTGTTAAATAATAATTTCTCTAACCGCAATTTATCGGCGGAACGCGATCATTGAGTACGGCCGTTTGTGTACCGCCGTTTGTGTACGGCCAGGGGCCTATTTCAATTGTCCACAGATTCTGCATTCTGTGCACAGAACACAAATTCTGTGGAAATTCTGTTTCAATTAAATTCTGTGTGCACAGAATCTGTGGTGCCCGCAGATTCTGCGGAAACATCCAATGATTCTGTGGAAACATTCCGCAGATTCTGTGGATGAAAATTTCTGTGGAAAATATAAAAATCTGTGGATTTTTTCCACTGATCCACAGAATTTGTATTTCAATTATTTTTCTGTGGTTCTGTGTATTTTTTCTTCTAAATTCAAATTTTTTATTTCCGCGTTTTTGAAAATAACAGTTTTATTGAAACGAAAAATGGTTTGGACAGTTCGGTACTAACGCAGTATTAATGGTACCTGATTTTTTGAAGTAAAACTTTAAAAATTCTTAAATTAAACTGAAAAATATTGTAAAGATTTAAAAATTTTCCCTCCAAATCACATAACATCCCTTTAAATCTCTTTGATATCACTTTAAAACCGCTGATATACCGCTTAATTTTCTTGTTCATCCAATATCCTTAAATCTCCAATTAAATTAATGTCCTAAAGCAGGGTTCGGATCGGAAAAATCAGGAGATGTCGATCCGACATGTGGCTTTTTCAAACTACGATAGAAGTTGTTGCAAGGGAGGGAAATGTTACAAAACTGGGGATTGTTTAGTCAGAAATTGAGGTTCCTGGAAATCGAAAATGCCTGGAATCCAAAATTATAGTCAAATCGGAACTTTAAAATCGTAGAGGAGTGATTAAGTGGGATATCCATTGATTTTGAGGTTTAATATATTGGAGTGATTAAGGAGGAAATCTATCATTAAATAGGAGGAGAGATTATGACGGATATCAATGAGAGATCATGGGAGATATCCCAGTATACGCTATACAGATATCTTCTATAGATCCCGGGTAAACATCCCCTCATTAGAGATATCCATGATGATTAGAACATCATAGCTCTAAATTTCAGAATCTCTCACGTTTTTTATTTTTTTATTGCTTGAATATAACAAAAACTGCGTAAAAAAGATGTACCTTTTTCAAAATTAATTTTAAGCAATAATTTTAGGTAATAAAATTATAATTTTTATATCAAAAAATAGAGAATGATTCAAACTTTAATAATCTTTAAAAATTTTGAAATTTGGTTAAGCCTAGGCCTAGAAAAAAATTGTTAAAGTTTTTCCACAGAAAGTTCGCAGAAAAAATTTTAGGGTGGATTTTTTAAAGAATTCTGTGTATTTTCCGCAGACCACAGAAATAATTGAAACAGAAATGCACAGAATCGACTAAAAAAGCCACAAGTCTGTGGATTTTTTTCTGTGCACAGAAAAATAATTGAAATAGAATTCTGTGGTTTTTGCATGTTTTTGGATGTTTTGCAGAATCTGTGGATGTTTCCACAGATTCTGTGCATGTTTCCACAGAATCTGCGGACTTCTTTTTCCGCAGAATCTGTGGAATAATTGAAACAGAATTTCTGTGGTTCTGTGGTCTGTGCACAGAACGCAGACCGCAGAATCTGTGGACAATTGAAATAGGGCCCAGTTGTGTACCGCCGGTTGTGTACCTTGCCGTTTGTGTACCTGGCCGGTTGTGTACGGCCGGTTGTGTACCTACCCAAATGGGGACGTTTGTGTACCCACATTTTTAAGAATTTTTGTCTTTATATATCCCAGAACGAAAGTATTGCTGGTAAGATAGTAAGGGAATATAGACTATATCACCCAATTCAGAATCTTATTAGACCCAAGGTTACTTTATCAGGGGATTTTAGGCCGTATCTTCACTTAAAGAACTTTTTGTGTTGCTACGAAGAATAGGTCGGCATTTCAACTCAAAAAATCCATAAAAGGAATAGGTTTATGTTACTGGTACGGAACCCAGCGACCGTTGACTCCCGCGAGACGCGTGCCGCAAAAGCCAGCGCGAAGCGCGGGCTTTTGCACAAGCGTCTCGCCGACGCCCATAGGTTTACTGGTTTATTTTTGAATCGTAACTTTGTCCAAATTTGTTAAATCATGGCAATTTTGGTCGAATTTGCATTTCGAATTTTCTAATAAGATTCTAAGTTGGGGAATATAATCTATATTCCCTTATTATATTCCTATATAATGCGGTACACAACTGGCCAGGTACACAAACGGCCAAGTACACAACTGGCGGTACACAACCGGCCGTACACAAACGGCGGTACACAAACGGCGGTACACAATGGTCCCCTACCGATTTATCGGTGGGGTATCTTTCCGTGCCCACGATTCCGTGCCCACGTTTCCGTGCCAGCTCAGTTCCGTGCCGGCACGTTTCCGTGCCAGCATGTTTCCGAGCACACGGTTCCGTGCCCACGTTTCCGTGCCCGTTATAATAGGCACGTTTCCGTGCCAGCTTCTTTTTAATTTAATAAATAATAAAAAAAAGATTTGGATGGATACAGTGAATATCAAAGGACTTGTGCGTGACATCAAGATATCAACAAGTAGATAGCGTTGGATTATGAGGGATATAAGGGGATATCAAGAAATTTAGATCACGATTTTAATGGCATTTTGTTTACATATTGGGGGGAAAATTAATCAAGGAAATCAAGGAAAAATTTTGCCTTGACCTTGCCTTGATTCTTGATTTTGGTTGGGTATCTTGACCAGATTCTTGACCTTGAGTCAAGGAAAAATCAAGGTCAGAAAAAATCAAGGAACGCTGAAAAATGCCTTGATCTAGTCTCTGGATCCAGGAAAAATCAATGTCTGGATAGCCCGATCTCTAAATATCATATATTTAAATATTGGGCACGGAAACGTGCCCTTTATAACTGGCACGGAACCGTGGGCACGGAATCGTGTCTAACCGCAATTTATCTCTAATACATGTACTCTCTTTCAATTTGTTGTGTATTTATTGTGTATATTTTTATGCATCTTTAACTCAAAGTTTTGTTCTTTTACATTTATTGGTTTTTGATTTTTTGTTCATTTTCCTTGGAATTTTTGTTGCTTTTTTAATATTTTTGCTCTAAAATTATTCTAAACGTTCTTTTTTTCAGAAAATTTTGTTGCGAAAATATGTCTCAAGTAGTATCCCCAGCTTTAGAAGAAGCCGAACAGGCAATGTATGCTCCTTTCTTTGGATCACTTGGAGTGACTGCTGCAATGATTTTTACAGCTGCCGGTTCTGCTTATGGAACAGCTAAATCAGGTTTTTTTCAAACTTTTTGTTCAAAACTTTTCTTTTAAATGTAGGGACTGGCATTGCTTGTATGTCTGTCGCGAGGCCTGATCTTGTAATGAAAGCAATTATTCCAGGCATTTAAATTACGTTTTACTCTAGTAATTTTGTTGGTCTCTCGGGTTATGGAACTAGGGTAGTGCTCCGTCCTCCAAAACCCCGGCGTTTTTTGACAAAACCCTTGATCCAATGCCGAAGTGTTGGGGTACTATGTAGAACTATCGATGTTCTTTTTACTAGTCCTTTCCCAATTGAACCGGTTCCAGGAACCAGGTTAAGATTAGGGCCGTTAGGAGAATGAAACAACCGACGATTTTTTGGAACCGGAAAAGCAATGGTGGTGGTTCTTGGAGTTTTAAAAATGAAAAGGACACAACTTTTACACACTTTTAAACATTTTTTTCAGTTGTAATGGCAGGAATCGTTGCCATTTATGGATTAGTTGTTGCCGTTATAATCTCTGGAAAATTGGGAGTTGGAGGAAAGGAATACACTGTAAACGCCGGTTTTTCACAATTTGCAGCTGGTCTAGTTTGTGGACTTTGTGGGTTAGGTGCCGGTTATGCTATTGGAATTGTTGGTGATTCTGGTGTTAGAGGATTGGCACAACAACCAAGACTTTTTGTTGGGATGATTTTAATGTTGATTTTTTCTGAGGTTTTTATTCTTTAATATGGGAATTTTGAACTCTGTATGGTCCATTTTTTCTCTCCAAATCTTCGGCGGTTTGTACACAGTTTTGGGTGTACGAACCTATGGTCTAGTATTATTTACTCTGGGTGAGGAGAACCCATATCAATAGGAGATGATCAATGGCATAGCAGTTTGGATGAATGACTGCTGGAATGTTCCTCTTCTGCCTGGCCAAGACGTGGAGTAGTTGTCAACAACGTTGGAACTGTGTCCTACAAAATTCCAAACTTTTTAGAACCAACTTTGACAGAAGCTGGTGGTTGTCAGATGAACAATGCCGGACCATAGATTCTAACATCCAAAGCTTGGTACTTATTGCCATAGAATGTGTGGAGAAAGTAAAAATGGGTCATACAAAATCCAAAATCCCTTTTTGTTTTTTTACATTTTATATTTCCGATTTTTTAAGGTTCTCGGCCTGTATGGAATGATTGTCAGTCTATTATTGAGTGCTTCATAATGAGCTTTAAAATCTGTGTATTAAATGACAAACGAAACAAGAAGCAAAAAAGACAAGTTTTTTTCTAGTATTTTTTTATTTTAATTTTGTCCAAGAGAATTTTTAAAAAATAATATTTTCATAAAAATTTTTGGAAATTTTTTTCGATTTTTTTTTATAATTTTTTAAACTTTTTTTAAAATAATATTTGCAAGTTTATTATTTTTCTAACTTGCATTATTTTAGTAAAAACATGTCCAGAATTTTTCACATTGTGAGGAGAGATATATAAAAAGGCTTTCTCTCACACTGTGAAAACTTGGCAAGCAATTAAAATAATGTTGTTTTTTTAAACTTGTGTATTTTAAGTATTTCTCTCTGATTTTTAATTTCGGTTTTTGTTGGGTTTTTCAGGTTTCTGGTTTTTCTGATTTTGTGTTTTTGTCAAAAATTCTGATTGTTTTTATGTATCCATATATTATGACAATATTAAGAGAAAGTGCCTCCAATAAAAGTAAAAAAAGGCATTTAATTTGGGGGAATGCCGCTGCTACCAACAACAATAAAAGGGGGTGGGTAATCGGCCGTAAAATTGTCCATTTTTTAAATTCTTTGCCATTCTCTGGAAGTAAAAAACGAAAAAAAGGCATTTAGATAAAATGTGCCCTCTATATTACTAGTCTGACTTGTTAAAAAATTTTTTCTCTAATTAGAATTTTCTTTCAATTTCTTTTGTGAAAATGTCTGCTCTCGCTTCAACCAAAAATCATTCTTCTGCTATCAGTAGTGCTAATCGCCCTCGGCACCCTCCCCCTAAACCTTTACCACAATCGTCTTCTTTTGTTTTTGGTTCATCAACACCTCGAGAGATTTCTTATATTAATAAAACAAAAGTTTCTCCACAAGATCGTCTTCTTATTGATACAGAGCCTAGACGTAAAAAACCTTTGCCTCCTGTTGGAGATAAAGATATTATTTATTACATGCGACAAGCAAGATCAATCGGGCCGAGAGGTGGGGTTTTTAAAATGTCAGTAATCGAAATTTCGTACCGTGTTTCATACCGTAATACTGAAGAATACCGATGAACCACTTCCTATTTTTATGTCCGCAAAAAAGTTGCGGACGTCCGCAAAAATTTTGCGGACGTTACGATAACTTACGGATAAAAAACGTAGTGCGGTTCGGTCCGATCACTATACAACCTTTTTGTTAATCTGTTAAATTTTTCACAGATCGCAAAAAGGCAGCTTCACAAAATTATGCTTTTGGTTCTTCAACGCCACGTTCATTATCTCATTTAAGTAAATTAGCAAAAGAACAACGCGTTTATGATGCAAAATTTGAGCGTATTATAAACAAGGAAAGTCATGGAATGCGTTCAGCAACAAATCCAAATTTGGTTGGAAATAATAAACCGATAAGTGAGTTTTTTTGAGAGGGAAACATCTTCCTCCTGTTGGAGCTCAGGTTCGATGCCTAATGGCATTTGTTGACGCCTGCTTTAGTGTAGTCCCCTACGGGGCACGTTCCAAGTGGGGGGAGGCAATTGCGGGTCTAGCTTTGTCGGGTCTATCCCGGGGCAACAGGGCAGTGATATCAAATGAGTTATCCGAAGTCCGATACCCTAAATTCGAAATTCTGGACGGTATTCCGATACCAAACGTAGAAATTTTTGAAAACCTTGACACCCCCCCCTCCTCCACATGAAAATCTTTTAAAGTTGACTTAAACTAAACTTTTCCCCTTAAGAAGCACAAAAACAACAGCAACAACACCAAGACGAGGATGATGCAGCTTCTGAACCTGACATTGTACAGGATAGACGAGCAGACTTTTTGATGACTCGAAGTGCTTTTGATATGAAAAACAAAAAGGATGAGGAGAAAAATGATGAAGAAAAAAAGAAACAAGAAAATGAAAAAGTTTTGGAAAATACTTTGCGCAATAATTTAAAATTAGCTGAAGAACGTACAACTCCTAGCCCGGAGAGTGAATAAATTTTTTTCGAACGACAAACAATTTATCGAAATCGGGTGGGCCAATAAAGACACCCCACAAGTCACAATACTTAAGGGAAGCAACTGAACGGAGATTTAAACATTTAAAGGGGATTTTTTTAAATTAGTAGTGGTTTAAAAGGGGCAAAACTTGAAATAATAAACGAAAAATGAATTTTCAAACCTAGTTTTCTGAATTCTAACAAAAGTTTGGAGTTCTTCAGTCACTTTTTCTGCTGATTCTTGTTCTTCTAAAGCATACACATCAAATACACGGTCCTCCCGCAACAATTCACCGGCCTAAAAAATAATCTAGAAACCATAACAAATAGTTAAAAATAACCTCTTAAAAATTTTCAAGGCTTCTGGATACTCTGTCAAAGCTGAAAATTAAGTAATTAAAAAAATTTTAAACATAAAAACAACCTATAAAAAGATCAACCATTCAAAACAAGCAAATCAATGCATCTAACCAACATTTGCTGTACGTCTTCTCGTTTGACAAGAACTTGGCCACTGTTTAATTGGCTTTAACCTTGGGAAAGGATAAACCTATTTAGGGAAGAAACCTTGCGGACAAAACTTGCGAATTTAATAAAAAAAGCTAACCATGTAGACGAGAGCATTGGAGTTTAATTGTTGCACTGTTGGAGTGAAGCCATTGCCCAAATATCTCCGAAGAGACTCTGGGGCTTTTGCCCAAATATCTCCGAAGAGACTCTGGGGCTTTTGCCCAAATATCTCCGAAGAGACTCTGGGGCTTTTGCCCAAATATCTCCGAAGAGACTCTGGGGCTTTTGCCCAAATATCTCCGAAGAGACTCTGGGGCTTTTGCCCAAATATCTCCGAAGAGACTCTGGGGCTTTTGCCCAAATATCTCCGAAGAGACTCTGGGGCTTTTGCCCAAATATCTCCGAAGAGACTCTGGGGCTTTTGCCCAAATATCGCCGAAGCGACTCTGGGGCTTTTGCCCAAATATCGCCGAAGCGACTCTGGGGCTTTTGTGGGTACCCTTTTGTGCCCATATATGGGACTTTTGTTGTTGCTGCTGTTGAAGAACTGAAAAAAAAATTGTTTACATTTTTTTAAAATTGAAAAAAAAAGCAAGTCTTGTCCGCAAGTCATTACTACCCTCCACCCCTCAAAAAGTTAATCCCCAAAAAAAGGAAAAGCCCTGCATCCAGTTGTAGAACATCTTTGCTAAAATAGCAACAGAGGATACTTGATGAGTCATCAAAAATCGATTATTGATTTTTGGGATAAAGTGTCATTTACTCTTAATGTTTTGCATTATGCCAAATATCGCAGATTTTTGAATTCTGAAACAAATATTCTTATATGGAGATATAGCGGTTTTAAAACCGATTTATGGACTTCTAGTTTTTAATTGGAAGTGTGTTCTATTAAATTTAAAATAAAAAAAGAATAATTCTTAAAAAAATTAAAAAAAACATATTTTGCCTTTACCTATTTTGCCAATGAGGCTAAAATTACACATTTTGCCAATAACATTATTGGCAAAATGTGTGATTTTAGCCTTATTGGCAAAATGTGTTTACGGTCTTTTGATATTTTATTTTGCCTCCTATCATTTTTACTTTCACTCGTCATTGATTTGTTTAATCTTTTAATATTTTTTAACTGATTTTTAGTATTGATTATATTTTTTTACAATGGAATTTGATGAAGAAAAACCAAAAGATATCAAAGTTGATAGAAAAAGCAGAAACGATTCTTCAAAAACTTCAAAAAACAATGAAGACAAAAAAGATGTTTTGAAGAATTTAACAGAAAAAGAACCGGCACCGCCTGTAAAAAGAGAGCCTCTGTCTTTGGAAGAACTTTTGGAAAAGAAGAAACAAATGGAGGAAGTTAATAGCAAGGTTTTGTATTTTTTTTATTTTGGGAAAATTGGCAGGTTAGGCGCCCCTTTTTCCTCATGTTAGGCTAAAAACAGAACACGGTCTAGCCTAGAGGTCGGCGAAATCATGTTTGCGGAGTCCCACATGCGGGATTTTTTTAATCTTTGGGGGACGGGATCCCTCGGGAATCCTTTAAAATTTTTTAAAATCCCTCGGAATCCTTTAAAAAAATTCCTCGATCCCTCGGATCCCTCCATCCGCAAATCGAAAAATTGCGTGATGGGATCCCGTCCCGCGCCGACCTCTAATTACAACAAGGGAATAGTTCAAACTTCATGGAAATACAGGAACTACGTCCTTTGTTTTTTGTAAAACAGACGCCGTAGTTGAAATAATGAGGGAAAATTTGGGAAGGAAAAGGAGCCCCTAAGCGACATTTTCACCGATATCTTTTCATTTTTTCAGCCAAAATTTTTGACAAAAGCTGAACGTGAAGCAGAAGCATTACAACGTCGAAAAGAAGAAGTTGAACGAAAACAAAAGGAATTGAAAGACTTGGAAAAACAACGAAATAAATTTCTTAGCGAGGCTCGAAAATCTGATCGCGATAGTAGAAGGGATCGTGATTATAGAAGAGACAGAGATAGAAGAAGTCGATCACGTTCAAGAACTCGAAGCAAAGAAAGAGAAGAGAGGCGTAATGAAAGAATAGCTGAAAAGGATAGGGAAAGAATGCAAGAGGCTATTAAAACGCGTTATTTGGGTATGTTTATAATTTTATTTTTTTTAAAAGGATGGGAAAATTTTGGTCAGGATTTTTATTTCTGGTTAGGGGGAGGCACGTGTTACGGGCAAGCACGTAGCTACTAGGGATGGGTTGAGAAAAGGTTAGATTAGGTTATAAAATTTTCTTCGAATCGGGTCTCGGATTGAAAGAAGGTTCGAGCTTCAGTAACCCCCTTCCCTGGTAGCTACGCGTTTGGTTTCAGAAATAGTTTGTTCTGCTGTCTAAAGAGAGTTAATGTCAGTCTTGTTTTTCACCATTAAATTTTAATATGAGGGGAATAGAGCATTCGAAATTCGGAACTAATTCGGAAAACCGTTCGGTTGGAGACTTGAGACATTAACTTGTTTTATGTAGTTTCTTTGATCTTTTTTTTCTAAGTCAATTTTTTAATTTTTAAAGGTGCCCCAAAAGAAAAACGTAAATGGGGACGTCGTTTACATGAACGTAAATTTATTTTTGATTGGGAACCTACAGATGATACCTCAAATGATTACAATGATTTATATAAAGAAAGGCATGAAGTTCAATTTTTGGGAAGAGGTTCAATTGCTGGAATGGATGTAAATCAACAAAAGAAACAAAAATCTGAATTTTATCAAAAATTGTTGGAACAACGGCGAAGTGAAGCAGAAAAAGAACAAGAAAAGCATAGGTTTGTTATATTTTTTTATATATTTTGAATGTTTAAGAGGTTTGAGCTTAGGATTGATTTTGAGACTATATACCGGAACGCTCTTAGTGATGCGGATCTCCTGGCAGTTTAATAGCCATCTCCACGATCATTAGTTATACAGGGGCGCTGACTTTGCTTTTTTCGTTTGGAAACCAAATACCACGTCCTCTGGATGGACCATGTCCTCTGCCCACTTATAGGGACGTCTGATCGTTTCAGCTTGAAATTAAATAATTTTTCAAATAATTTTTTTTTCTAAAGATTAAAACAACTTCAAAAGAAACAGAAAAAAGAAGATTGGGATAATCGGCATTGGACAAAAAAAGCTTTAAATGAAATGACTGATAGAGATTGGAGAATATTTCGTGAAGATTTTAATATTACAATAAAAGGTGGACGTGTCCCGCGACCTATGAGACATTGGTCAGAAATGAATTTACCTAAAGATGTCCATGATGTTATTTTGGAAGTTGGATATAAGGTTTGTTTGCGTTTTTTCAGTTTTTAGGAAATTTGGAAGGGGATGGGGAGTTGTGATATTATAGTTTCGAAATGTCAAAAACCCCTCCCAATAATCGGTGAAATGTTAAATATTATGGGGGTTTTGGAAGGTTTGACATTTTAACGTTTATGATGCTCTCCGTGATTTAACTGATTTAACACGCACCTCCGAGATAGGGATGCGTGTCAGGTGTTTTGGGATGGTTTTTCAAATGTCTCACTTAATCATTTCATTCTTAACTATTTTTTTTTCTATTTTTTCTCGATATTCCCATAAAAAATAATTTTTTCCCTTTTATTTATTTTTAAACCAGTTTTGATTTTTGTTGCCTTTTAGTACATTCATATGTCCTCTTCTATTTTTTAAAATTTTTTCTTCCATCTTATTAACTGTCAAATTAATAACACACGTTATTTTTATTATTTCCTTGACAACAAAAATTATTTTTGTAAATAATTTAATAGTATTTCAAAATAAGAGGAATAGGGGGTAATTGTACTGATTGGAAAAGAAAATATTTTTTTGGGAGATATTTTTTTGGGAATTTTTAGTTTTTTTCAAATTTCATTCTGTCAAATTTTTTCATTTTTTTTTTAAAATCCGCAAGTTTTGTCTGCAAATTTTTTTTTGAATTTTTAAAAAAATTTTTTTATCCTTACTCTGTCAAATTTGGAAATCCCTCGAATTTTAAGGCTCAAATATTTTTTTTATTTTTAAATATTTCTTGACAAATAATTTTTGACATAATTTTTCAACAACTTTTACTTGATAAAAAAATATTTTTTTCTTCCTAACATTTACTACATTATTAAAACAAATAAAAGCACCAACCGGTAATTGTCAATTCTTATATATTATTTTCTCTTTTTTCTCTTTTTTGTTTCTTCTACTATTTTTAATAAATTAATGTTGGTTATGTTTATTCGTCTCTCAATTTTTCACAAGTATTTTCTTTTATTTTTCTCTAAATTAATTTTTATTTTATTTTTTTAACAAAAAATTCTGCCTGTAAGTGTTCGTCCTTCTCTTAAAAAAATTTTTTTTCAGTTTTAACATTCCTTGTTCTCTCTCTCTTGTTTTATTTATTTTTATTTATTAGTTGGTTTAGTATGGTTGTTTGTCACACAAATATTTTTTCTTTCCAAATTTTCCTTTTTTTCTTTCCTTTTTTTAAATTTATTTGGTAACTGGTACTGACCGGAACGTCTCAAAAACAAGGAATTATATTACGCATGCTTTTTTTTTAAATATTTTTGATTTTTTGAACTTTACGTCATTTACATTTAGGCCATGGATGTGCCGAAAAAGATTTTATAAAGAAAAGATAAAGGCGAAAATGATGAAAAGCATCCCTGATATAGACTCTATTTTGCCTATTTTTAGAGAAGGAAAAAAATTTTCCCCATTTTTAAATGAGAAAAAATAAAAATTTTCCCAGCTTCTCCTCATAAAAATACGTGGATTCCCCTATTAAAAAATTTTTACCTCTATTTTTAGCTATAAATCAATTTGACATTTTATTATTAATTTTTTTTTAAAGGAGCCAACACCAATTCAACGACAAGCAATACCTATTGGTTTACAAAATCGTGATATTATAGGTAAATTCTAAATTTTTATATTTAAATAAATCCCTAAAGTGATCCCGCTTACCATTATCTTTTTATTTCGGATGCGGCAATGGTATTCCGAAAATGATTGAGTTTTAAAAGATCGGTCGGGGGATCTTGTGTGATTATTCCCGTAAGTCCCGTAATCCCTTTCCGCGCACACGGGATTGCGGATCGGATCCCGAGACATCCCTATTGGATCGGTCTCGTGCCCCACACTACTCACGTTCAGGCACTGTTCAAATAACTCTGGTTTTTATCGGTCAGGGCCTATTTTTAATATATTTTTTCAATGCCCTATTTTTCAATATAAAATTCCCGCTCTCTAATTTTATAGGTGTTGCAGAAACTGGTTCAGGAAAAACTGCAGCATTTTTAATTCCTTTATTGTGTTGGATAACAACAGTACCAAAAAAACAAGCAGCGCCAATTATTTCACTAGATGAAGGAACAGAATATGAACAGGGGCCATATGCAATTATTCTTGCTCCAACAAGAGAATTGGCACAACAAATTGAAATTGAAACACATAAATTTGGTGATCGTTTGGGTATTAGAACAGTCTCAGTTATTGGTGGAGCATCTCGAGAAGATCAAGGAATTCGAATGAGAATGGGTGTTGATGTAAGAAAAATAATTTTCTTTAATTTTTAGAAAAAATGTTTGTTGGTGTTTTCGTGGGGTTTTTAAGAATTTTTTTCTACTTTAAGAATTTGAGCTTTAAGTGTGACAAAAATCTCTCACTATAAATTCTTTTTCCTTTAAAGACTCTCAAAAAATTTTTCTTTTTAAAATTTTTTTTCAAAGATTATTGAGAAGATTTCCCCCATCTCCTCCCCAACCTCCCCACATAAATTTATTTTATTTTGAATCGATAAAATAATCCAATGATGACTACATATATTTAAATTGATTAATTTTTTTTTTTGCTTAGAAAATTAATAAAATCAAAAATTCCTTTCCGGCATCAAGAAGATTTTTGAAAAAAATTTGAGACAAGATTTCTGTCCTTTTTTTCATAAAAATTTTTTCTTCTTCCAACAGATTGTTATTGCAACACCTGGTCGACTTGTTGACGTTCTCGAAAACAGGTATATGTCATTAAATTTATGCTCTTATGTAATTATGGACGAGGCAGATAAAATGCTTGATATGGGATTTGAACCTGATGTTACCCGAATTTTGGAATTTATTCCTGTAACAAATTTGAAACCTGACACCGAAGAAGCTGAAGATGAAAATAAATTACTGGAAAATTATACTTCAAAAAAGAAATATAGACAGGTTTTTTTAAACTTTTTTTTTGGATGGGAGGGTGATTTTAAGTAACTTTAATCCCTGACCACGAACAACCCAGGAATGTAACGGGTAGGATATGTAAAAGTAGCGTAAGATTTCGGATAAGGGTTTTGAATTTTTTGTATCGTAAAATTGTCTGGGTTTCGGATTTCTTTTAATTCGCTTTAGAGCATGAACGTGTTGAGTGAGGTATTTTCAAAGGGTTTGATTCGTATTATTTCTAAAGTATTTTTTATTTTATTTTTATTGATATTTTTGTTTTCTGGAATTTACTCTATTTATTAGTCTAATGATGCTATTACATTAGCCATAGTAAATAGGTAAATAAAATAATTTAATCCTTATGCTCTCTTAGGGATATTTTTCTAGTACATATTTTAAACATTTTCTTTCGTCTCCCTTTTAATCCTTTATATATGTCAACAAATTTTTTTTCTAATTTTAAAGACAGTTATGTTTACCGCAACAATGTCATCAGCAGTTGAACGTGTTGCACGTCAATATTTACGTCGTCCCGCAATCGTATACATCGGCTCAGCTGGCCGTCCAACAGAACGTGTTGAACAAATTGTAATAATGATGTCTGAAGAAATGAAACGTAAAAAAATTGTTGAACTACTTTTTGAACCAAATTTGTATATTCCACCAATTATTATCTTTGTTAATCAAAAAAGAGGAGCTGACCTGCTAGGAAAAGGTTTACAAAAAATTGGTTTTAATCCGTGCATTCTTCACGGTGGAAAGGGACAAGAAGCTAGAGAATATGCTTTAGATGCTTTAAAAACTGGAGCAAAAGATATTTTGGTAGCTACAGATGTTGCTGGAAGAGGAATTGATGTTAAAGATGTTTCGTTGGTTATAAATTATGATATGACTAAATCTATTGAAGATTATACACATAGAATTGGAAGAACAGGTTTTTTGAAATTTTATTACTAAAATGAATATAGGGAGTAATTTAAAACAATTTTTTTGGAATTGTTGAATTTCAAAATTTAGGTGATTTTTTTTATAAGCGTGGTTAATGAGTTGTGGTCTTCTCCTTCCATTTCTCATCATTTATCAGGGCTTATGTCCCTTAGATGATAACCTTTTGAGTAACCTCATCAAGTGGGTAATTCTCATATCTAGGCCTGTAATACAAGAACTTGGTTAAATAACTGCCGTCACGTGACCATGGTTATGTAACCAAAAGGTCTTATAATGCCCGTTAATCCGTCAATGATAGCGACAAGGTTCTTATACTACAGGCCCTTTCATTAGCCTAGCTTGAAGCTTTTAAGATTTCTTAAAATTTATTTTATTTACCGCTAGTGATTTTCTCATTACTGCAAAAATTTTACAAATTAATTTTAAATTTTTTAAAGGACGTGCTGGAAAAAAAGGCAAAGCAATAACCTTTTTAACACCTGAAGACAAAGATTTATTTTATGATTTGAAGCAATGTTTATTAGAAAGTCCAATATCAAGTTGTCCTATTGAATTAGCAAATCATCCAGATGCACAAAATAAACCTGGAACTATCGTGCAAAAAAGAAGACAAGATGAGACTTTGTATAGATAAAAATTTAAATGATGTTTCCGGTCATTTTACTATTTTAAATATTTTATTTTTTCATGGACTTGTAGGTATCCAAAAAAAATTTATTTTTTGGTTCATATTTAGCACATAAGTTCCATGATCGTCCATCTAAAATGAACCTTTTTTTCATTTTTATTTTTTTTTGTTTTATAAAATTTTTGAAATTTTTTTTAAATTTCATTCTTTATTTTTGTTGAATTCTCATTTTAATTATCTTTTATTTTTTATTCATTTTTACGTTTAATTTAAACTTTATTTTTTTAAATAGATTAGCAACTAAAATTTTTTTAAATAATATTAGTAGAAGAGAATGGCAGCTACTACACCTTCCAATGAAACAAATGATGCTCCAACTGCAGATGGTGATGAGACTAGTAGAAGTAAAAAAATTTTATATTTTAATGGGGGGGGGGGTTGGACTGGGATTGGATCCAATTAGGGTTAAGCTCCGAAACCCTTCGCGACAAAAAGTTTGGGTCGGAATTTGATGGCCAGGGTCGCGAATGCCTGGGTCTGGGATTCAACCTTATTTAATTTTATTTGATTCTTAAAAAATTTTTTTTTCAGGTGATTGGCCTTCACAATTGTTTAGGGATCATGTTATTATTAGACTGTGAGTATACCTGCCCTAATAAATCAATTAAAAAAATTTTTTAGTGAGCCAGAGCTGGCAAGAAACCGTCAAAACGCTCCTAATCTTCCGGTTTATTTTTAAAACAAATTAAAATGATTTTTTTTACTTTAGGTCCCAGGCGATGCTCGTCAAGTAGAAGAATATGTTTTTCAAAAATGTTCAAGTAAAGATGAATATATGAGAACTATTGCTAAGGTTTTGTTTTTTAATTTTGGATTTTTTCTTCTTTGCGTTGCAAACTTTGAGGCCGACTAGTTTTAGTTTCATATGCCTAGCCTAGAATGTTGGAAATTTTCTAGTGTAAATCGGTTATTTTCTATCCCTCGTCAAAGAGAAAAAATACAAAAAAATTTTCCCAGTTCGGATGTTAAATTTTTTATCATTTTTTAGGTTATAAACGCCATAAATTGCAATTCAAAAAGCACAGCTATGCCGCCAGGTTTTCAAGCACAGCAGCAACAAGGAGGAATTGTTAAATCACCAAATTCTTTATTAACTCAACTTGGAAATGGTGGAGGAGGATTGGGAGGCAGTGTAACACCAACAACAAAGGCACAGGTTTTTTCAGTCGAAAAAATTTTTGGAAAATTTTTTCAAGATTCCGCCTGATCCACAACCTACGCATCAACAACAACCTCATGGCCGATTTCCTTTGCAACAACAACCTTCTAATACATCAATAGACCAACAGACTTCATTCCAAATGGGACAACCTCCACCAATAATGATGCAACAACAATTTCCTCCTTCTGATCAAATTGATGGTGTTGCTCCAGATCCGTTAATGCAAAATTCAAATTCTTCAATGGGAGTAATGGATTATGGAAGAATTCAGCAACACCAACCAGGGACAACATTTACTCCACAACAATATCAGCAACAAGGTAAATATTTTTTTTAAAATAGGGTGTTGATCCCCGACATAATCCATGCTCCAAAAAGTTCTCCCTGACATCCAAGCTTCACGGACATCACCGTTCCTCGGAAAAGTTCTCCCCGATGGCCCGGGACCCAACCTTAGGTTAACATTTTTAAAATTTTTTTTGTAAAATTCTAGAATAGAATGGTCCCCGATGCCCGACAGTTCCTTTTTTTCCCGACATTTTCGTTCCCGGACATCCCCATTCCCCGTAACTGTTCTCCTTGACAAGGACCAACACTAAAAAAATTTTTTTATTTTTATAAAATTGTAGCAATGATGGGTCAACCAATGCCTCATCAACAACCTTTGAGTGGTTCTTCTTCAGCTGTTCCTTTAGCAATGCAACAACAAGTTTCTTCTGGACGTTCAATAAATAATAATAAAATGATGTCTGATTCCCAAATGCAACAACAACATTCTCAATTATTATTACAACAACAAAGATATTGGACAGCACAGCAACAACACCCAAAACAACCACAAAATTATAATACTATTCCATTACAACAGCAGCAACAATTTGGAATTTCTCAACAAAATTTTATGGGTGGTCAACAGCAAATGATGCCTGGAGGAGGAGGAATGATTCCTCAAAATAATATGATGTTATCACAACAACAACCATATGGAGGTATAAAATATATTCGATTCCTCTTTAACAGGAGTTACGTAGTTGGTGTTTAACTCCCCAAGGGTTGTAAAACACCCTCCTCCTCCACTCCTGGGGTTTCTTCCCTAGGTTTTGGCTTCCTGGCATTCCTCTTCTGAATTTCGCCAGGAACTCCTGGGTTTCGTTTAAATAGGAGGGAGAGAAAACCGCAACCAAATTTTTGTTCTGTGTGTTAAAAACTGTAGAGATTGCTGCCCTTTTTGCCCGGATCTTTCTCTCTCTCATTTTTTATGAGACATTTGGACGTTAAAATCATTTCTTAATTATTTTAGGACAACAACCAGTACAAATGATGCCACCAGAATATCCACCAAACTTCCCACAAGAAATTATTCAAAAATTAAAACTTATGGGTCCAAATGAACGTCCATATTTTGAAAAAGTTTGTCAACTTCAACAATTTGTTGGATTTTTACAAAATAATTTAATTAAATATCAAAGTGATGCTGCCATGGTTAGTAGAATAAATACAATGCTTTCAGTTTTGCGGTTTGAACGGTTTGTAGAAATTTTTTTTATTATTTTTTTATTTTTTTGCAGTTTTATGGGAATGAATGAATTAAATGATATTGAAATTGTTATACGTAAAATGATGTTTACTTCACATCCAAGTTATGCTGCAACAGCACAACAATTACAACAACAGCAACACTCATCCACAATAGATCCTTATGGACAAATGGTTGGTAGTAATCAAATGCATCCTACAGCAGCTGCTGCCAATTGGAGTGAATGGAGTACTTTACAAAATACACCCCAACATGCAGCAATGGTTGGTTCTTCAGGAATGATGCGTGGGGGTGGTGTTGGTGTTGCAGGTGGTTATTCTTCTGGAGCTACTACAATGCAAAAAATGGTACAGCCAACACAAGCTTCGTCTTATATGCCTGGAGGTTTGGGATTTAAATAATAAATGGGTGGGATTAGTGCTTGCCACTTGACCGGATCTGGCTGATTTTTCCGGAGGCCGGGTCCCAAATACTGTATTTTCGCAATCTCCGGATTTTTCCGGACCGGAGTAATCCAGAAAAATTCTGTCGGATCGGGTCAGGCATGAATGCAAAATCCAAACTCCCGTTTCCGGTCCTAAATGACCTTTTGGGACGAAGTGTCTAGTTTTGAATTTTTTAGGTGTAAATACGTCCTCATCCTTCTTTGGCAGTGCTCCTCCCTCTTCTCAACATGGAGGAGGAGTAGCTCCGATTAGTTCCTCTCATTCACAACCTCCATATTCCTCTTCTGGAATGATGATTGACCAAAAATATCAACCTCCACAATATTCGACATATACTTCACAACAACAACAACAACAATATCCCCAACAACAACGTCAGACATATGGAAGTAATGTTATAGATAATACAAATACAATGTCTGTATCAAATCAACCTATAATGACTCAACAAATGCAACAACAGCAACAATGGCCGACTTCTACAGGTTTTTTTATTTTTAATCAAACGATCCATGCCGTAGACGCCCTGGGTATAATGGAAAGGAATGATGTTTAATGAAAAAGGCGATGTTTAGTTTACCCCGCATACATGTATGTCACGGGTTGAGAAAAGGTAGGGTTAGGTTTTCAATTTTTTCGGATATGGTTTCGAGTCGAATAAAGTGCGAACTTCGTATAACGCGTGAGATTCCTGCCGTATAGTGAGAAAAAGGAAAATGAGAAGGGGACAAGTAGAGAATAGGGGAACAATCTTCCATGGAGATTTCTATTAAAAAATTTTTCTCACAGGTGATACTGCTATTGATGATTTATACTCTTCTATGGATGATCTTTTACCTGTGCCTACAGAACAACAAACGCCTTCAAGTTCTAATTCTGGTCGTCCTTTGGATAATATGTTGGGGAGTGGAAATGTTGGAGGTTTTTTTTTATTTTTTTAGAAATCTTTTTTCAAGTATAAAATTCTTTTTAGGCCGTCCAAGTGGAATTACCGTCAATATTTCTCAACTCCCAGATGCAATACGTTCTGAAATTGCAGAGTTGGAACAACGCTTTCAATTTGATTCAATTGTTGAAATTGCTTCAGATATGCACTCTTTTGTGATAAAATGTATTTTAAGTAAGTATTTTAAGTAGTTGAAGGGATTGAGTGGGATATAGGTGGAATTTGGGGGTTATTAGGGTTTCAGGGGATTTAGTGGATATGGGAGGATTTGTAGTGGTTAAGAGAGCGTTGGATTAATAGAATTGATTAATAGGATATGAGATTAAGGTTTTAGGAGGATGAAGAGGAATTTACCATCCGTCTTAATTTTTTAATTTTTTTAAGGAAGCCAGCAAGTTCCACCACTTCGTATTATTATTCCTCGTGGTTATCCTGTTGGAGCAGTTTCAGTAAAAAGAGAAATACTTGATTTGGGTATATTTTTTTATAATTTATTTTAAATAGCGCGCCGTAATGCCAAAGTTCTCTAAAAGTTGACGAAATGCCAAACTGTGGACAAGGCGTGCCAAATAACGTGTCAAATTTTTTGGCGACAATTAGGGAAACTTTGTCCATTATTAGAACAACATTGGCAGTTTTCTGGGCTTCCTTCGCCATTGTTGGGCATTTCGGCGGTCTTTTGGGGGTTCGGCTTAAGTCATTTTGGCATTACTGGATCATATTTTAAATTTTATTAAAAATATTTTTTTTCTTTTAAAGATTCTTTCTATTTTGATGACCTTCAAAATTATATTCATGAACAATTTGGAAAATTAAATTCGCGAACAATAACAGATATATTAAATACATGGGTATTTTTTTTAAATTTTTTAAATTAAAATTAAATTTTAATTTTTTAAGGAGAGTGCAGTTCAACAATTTTACGAAAATGAGCAAATGGGTCAAAATAATAATTTTGAAGATTTTTCGGGTTTTACTAATTAAATATATTTTTAAATAGGTAATTTTGGGGGGAGTGGTAAGAGACTAAAGTATTAAGAAAATATTATTTTTAAGGAAAATATATTAGGCAACATTTTCCATTTTTTAATTTTTAAATTCTAAAAAAATATATCAAAGATTTACTAAAAAAATTATATTATTTTGTAAAATTATTTTAAGTATATGGGTGAGAGAAAGACGTTGGGGGGCTAGTAGAGCAAACTTGAGGGATCTGACCGAATTTTATTTTTCTGATTTCTGTGTTAGTTTGGGGTCAGCTTTTGGAAGATCAACACTCGGTACTTATGAAGATGGAGGTGCCCTTTCTGCGGACTTTTTTTGCGGACTTTTCTTCCTTTTTAAATGTTTTGGTTGTTTTGCTTTCAGCAAGTTTTGCTCGTAGCAATTAACTGTCAAAAGATTATTAAAAATTTTACTTTAACTAAATTTTCAATTACCCGCTGATGAATTTCGAAAATGGATCACTGATCTCGGAATGCTTCATAGAAAAAGAATATGTTAATGTAGAACAGAAATGCGGTAATTTCAAACATTGCCCCCCCCCCCCCCCGTTATTTTTATTACCTAAGATTGTACAAAATGGTCAGATTTCCTTCCTCTCTTTCCTCTATTTGAGCTTGGCATATTCAAACAAGAGATATTGTTGATAAAGAGAAGATTAAATTTAATAGAGTTGTTCAATACTGAGTTCAATTTATTTTTTCAGTTGTTCAATATTTTTAAATAGAAGTAAGAATGTAATGTTTTTACACACACATTCATAATGTTATACACCAAATCAATTTTATTTAATTCTTTTTTTTGTTTAAATTGTTTTCGAAGGCAAAAAAAATAATCTTCTCTTTATCAATGTCTCTTGTTTGAATATGCCAAAGGGCAAATAGAGGAAGGGGAGGAAGAAGAAAATCTGACCTTTATGTACAATCTTAGGTAAGAAAAATAATAAGGGGGAGGGCCTTTGACAGTTAGTTGCTACAAGTAAAATATGTAAAGGAAAGAAAGAAAAGTCCGCAAAAAAAAGTCCGCAGAAAGGGCACCTCCATCTTCATAAGTACCCAACACTCTAGTAGCAAACAGATCCTAAGGGTCCAAATACTCGGAGTTGCCTTCTCCAGGGATTTTTGACCTTTTAGGTTTTTTCTTGTTTAAAAAATTTTTCGATTTTTCTACATAAAATTCGGTCTATCCCTTTTCTACATACAAAAAAACTTTCCAGTATTCTAATTGTAATTTAGATATATTATATATATTTTAAGATTGTGTAATTTGTTTTTTTTAGTTATTTAGTCATTATATATATTTGTTTCAAAGAAAGAAATTTTTTCTTCATTTTTATTTTTGTGATAAAAATTAGAGTATTTTTCTCAATATTTATGCAAAAAGAGACTTTTTTTAAGTTGATTTTTATATTTTACATTGTTGTTTTGTGTAGATTCTTTTATTTTCTGATTTTTAATTGTAGAAACTATTAGAGTTCGAACCCGGGCCGGGCCCGGACCGGTTTTTTCCGGGCCCGGTGGCCCGGAACCGGGTATTTTTGAGAAAATCCGGTTTTTCCGGGCTAACCGGTTTTTCCGGTTTTAACCGGAAAAACCGGTCCGGGTGCGATTCTGAGTAAAAAAAACCGGGTCCCGGGCCCGGCATTTTGAAAAGTTCGAACTCTAGAAACTATGGGGTGGGGTGTGCCGAAAGTTAAAAAGCGAAAGACCAAAGAAAAGTCGAAGATTTAGTGAAAGATGAAAAGGCACACCCCTGAGACACTTGTACGGGGTGAGCAAAGCAACTAGCATCCAAAGTTCGATCCTTACCTATATCTAGCATTAACTGCCAGGGGGAAAGTTCCAGGAACGACCTCCGTCTAAAGAGTTCCAAGCTCGATCCCGGCCCATTAATAAAATGCCAAGTGGAAGTTGAAGTATAATCTTTGCCCTTCTTTGATGAGTGGTGGGGGGCTGCTTTTCGCTCCCTGACTTTCGCTTAATTCTTACTCTATGTAGAAATAAACTATAAAAATTCCAACAAACTTTTTTTATTTTTTTCAATTTAACAAAAAAACTTTAACATTTAAATAACCATATTTAATCTCTCAATCAACTAATCATCTGCAACTGTAACCTTCTCGCTCACATAAATTCCATCCAAAAATTTACGAATGTCTTTGTTCTTGACAGTTGTCGATTGTTGAATACGCGCGGCTAAAAAGTAATTTTTTAAAAAATTTAAGAGAATAACAAGTCGTACCAGCTTGAGAAACCTTCTGAACATCATTTCCATCAATAATTAGCTCGTCTTTCAGTTTTGTCGAAATTGCAGCAGAAACACCTTCTGGAAGTTTGACACGTCGAACAAACTTTTCGCCAAGGAAGTTTCGAATCTATACGAGAAAATGTTAATTGTTGATATGTAGAAAATCGATCAGTAGACATCAACAATTTGTAAAAAAGGGTTGGGGCCATCCAACGAGGGATGAGTTGGGGCAATCCTCCGGGCTCAAAGATCTACGACCTGTACCAAGTGCCACGCATACGGGGTCCAGACAGTCATCTGTGAGGGAAGTGCGAGGGTTAACTACGAACTTATCTCTTGGAATGTTGTCAAATCTGATTGGCATCTGTGAATTTTACAAGGACAGGCTTCCCAAACTTTAAATAAAAAAGAAAACCCAAACCTCGATAACTTCTCCCTTCTCCTGCAGCGTAATGTTGATAGGAAAGTGAGCATAGACTGAACGCATTTTGTAACGGAAGCCTTTAGTCACTCCCTTAAAATAACAACAATTTGACCGTTCACTGATTAAAAAGACAAACCTTAATCATATTCACAATATGCGAACAAACTGTTCGGATAGCAGCCAATTCCTTTCGAATTCCAAACCATTTACGAACACGAAGTATATTAGCTCCTTCTTGTGTAATTTCAATATTGAGGTGACGAAAATCGCGTGTAAGCGTTCCACGAGGTCCAGTCACTTTGACAAGTCTGTTCTTCACAGAGAACTTTACGCCTTCTGGAAACTTGACAGTGTCGCTTGATTCAATCAACTTCATTTTTTAATAAAATAGTAGCAATAAGCGTCTAAATTCTAAAAAAATTTGAGAAAAATTGAAAATTTGTTAGGTCTGGCGCGTGCAAATAAAAATTTGACATTTTGAAAAGTTGATATTATGAAAAATACATAATAATATTCCTCTTCTACAAAATGGCAAATTTTTCCGGAACGTCCCACTTCAGTCCCTGGCCATTTCAGTCCCAAGCTTGTAACTCGGGAATTTTCTAATAATTTATTGAACTTTTAGTATCATTAGATAGAGGATTAAATTCTCTACAAAATGATACCAAAGATAAAATAAACTTATCAACTGATAATGAAGTTATAATCAAAAAACCGCCACTTTTTAAAAAAGTCATTATTTTGCATGTTTTTTAATCATAACTTTTGTACCTGTCGATCAAATCTTTTGATCAATAGCTTATTTTGTAGCTTAATTAATCCTCTATCCAACGATACCAAGAGCCCCAAAAACTACTCGAACCTTCTCGAGTTATAGAGCTCGGGACTGAAACGTCCCGGGACTGAAATGTCCCCTACCGAATTTTTCACTTATGGACGTTTTGTGTTTAGGTGAATAAAAACTGACTAGTATAAAAGGGTAAATAAAAAATGTCCAGTCCATTTTTTCTTACTGTTTCATTTTCCAGTTCTTGTTAGAATTGAACCTCGTTCCCCATCCTATATCAGCTTTTTAGAACCAACGCCAACGTTGTGTGTGTACCACTATTCCCAATAGGTTCTAGTAATCAGAGAGTGTTTATAGCCATATAGTTATGATTGTGCTAAATTTTAAGTCTGACTTTCTTAATATTTCGCGAAAATAAGAGGGGAACGAAATTCAATTTTATCATATTTTTTTTTCTTTGCAGATATTCATTTAATAATTTAAAATATAAAAATTTAAAAATGTCTGACGGTGAACAACATGATGCATCCGACTTTGAGGTTAATGGTGAAGGATCCGTTGAAAAACAATCTGCTTCGTTTACTGACGAACAGATGCAAATGGAGGTTTTTCTGTTTGTGATAAAAATATAAATTATTTTTCTTTTATTAGATTAAATGCAAGACAAGCGATGGAGGGGTGATCAATGTTCGTGTGTCTCATCTTCTTCAGAGCAGCGTCTTCAAGAACATGTGGAAGGTAATAGATCCATTTTACCTTATGCTTAAGTTTCACGAGATAATTTCTGTTATAAGTTTCTTAATCCCAACAAATCCGTTATTCGCCCAAATATTTAGAATTGAACCCTAGGGTCTATTGATCACTAGGGGTTGATTTCTGGGGAGTAACCTTTAGGGTTGATTCCATTTTAACTTTCAATATTTCACAGGATTTGGACATGTCGCCTAAGGATATGGAAGAATTCGAATTCAAGGTCAACGTCGAGACCAATATCTTCTCTAAAGTTGTGGAATGGATGGGAGAGCATATTGGTTAATTTATACATTTTTTTCAAAAACGTTTATTTTTTTAGGTAAGGAGGATCCTAAAATTGAAGATGATCCGGCTACTCGACAGCGTAAACCTCTTACTTTTTCTGAGTATGAAACGGATTTTTTCAAGGTTTTTTTTAAAATAAGAAATAATTTAGTTAACTTTTTCACAATTTTTTAGGTCGGCGTTGAGGAGATCGCTAACTTGATTAAGGCCGCCAATTATCTGGACATCAAATCTTTGGTAATGCTTAAATTATACAAATAAAATAAATAAAAAATTTTTAGTACTATTCTGGTTGCCAGGCTATGGCTAATGTTATTGGCAATAAGACACCGGAAGAGCTTAGAGAACTCTTTGGACTTGAGGTTTTTTGCCCATACTTTTAAACAATTTTTACTTATTTTTAGGACGACTTGACTGAAGATGAGAAGGCCGATATCCGCCGTAGGAACATGTGGTGTAACTATTAAAGAAGAGTGAAAGAAGGAATATTTTGTAGAAACAATTGAATGATCTTGGCGCCTTCTATGACTTTTTTGTCGTCTTAGTTAATATTTATTTAATCTCAGGGTGTCTTTAACTGTTAAAATTAAATATTGCCTCATGTTTTGACTTTCTCGTTAATGTTAAAAATGCCTTTAATTATTTTAAAATTGATTTTGTGTTGTGTTCAAAATTGGACACCCTTTTCTCTCGAGATATTCTTTTAAAAAAGTATCTCGCTCAATCTCTCAATAAAAGATTGTTTTATTTGTTTCTTAATAATTTAAAAGTCTTTTCCATGACAATTCAGCTATTTTTTGTTTTTTTGACTGAATTGTCAAAACTGGAACTAAAATTTTAATTTTTTAGTTAATTAATCTCATTTCTACATTCCTTTACATAATATTATAACAAAAATGGTTGAAATCAGAGAAGAATCTTCACAACCAAACAATTCAGGCCAACAACCAAATAATTCTAATGTTCAACGAAAAACGCCAATGGTTTTTTTAATTTAATTTACGGGCTAGAAAAAAGTCGGGTTCGGGTCGGGGATTAAAAATTTTCCTAGGATCGGATTGCGGGATAAAGAAAGGTCTTGGTCTCATGTTGGGTCAGTTAGGGGGATTAGGAGGGAAAAGTTGCAGTGGCTTTCGGATAAGGGTTTGGAAAATTTATCGAATCGAGTTTTGATAAACCTTGACACCCCTGACACAATTCTTATTTTATTTTTCATTTTTAAGGAATTTGTCAAAGAATACCCAAATGATGTTTTAGCTTTTGGCTTACGTTTGGCAACATTATATTTTGTGATTTGTTATATACTTCCAATTACTGATTCAAAATTTCAAGCTTTAGCGTATACCAAAGCTTTTGCAGCAGGTTTAATTTTTTGTTTTTATTTGTTACTTATTTTCTCTTTAAAATTTAAGTTGCGGCAACAAATGCTTTTCGTCTTCATCAACGCTTAAGAGCTGTAAATTGGCCATTTTTTAGTCAAATGTTTCTTTATGAGCTTATGCTTGAGTTGGTTTTTAAATTATTTTTTTTTAAATTTAATAAGAGGGAATATTATCTTTAAATGATCAACATCTTTTCCGCGGTCGGTTGGAGGATATAATTTTAATTTTGAAAGACTTCTGAATTTTAATTAAGCCGGTGATGTTCCTCCCAGCGGGGTTGATAAAGCAAAAATTGGATTATAAATCAGTTGTTCGTTGGTTGAATGGTTGGCATCCTTGCCTCTGAGGGCTTGTAAGATCAACTCCAATCCTATCCTTTGCGTTTTTCTTTGATGTGTTCAGCCGTTTTACTCTATTTTTTATTTTTAGGGATTCTGCTCATTATCTACTTTATTGTATGATTTTTGTCATATCATCTCCTATTACATGTAATGTTTTAAAATTTTTCTAAAAATTTTTTCTTTTATTTTTCAGTGGCTCTTCTCCCAGTTTCAATTTATGCCATTTTCAATTTAATTGCAACTCTAAACAAATTTTCTACCGAAACTGGAGTTGCTCATAATTCTTTTATAATCTCCCGGCTGGTTCAATTTAAACAACAAGCATCTCCAAATATGTTAAGTACTGCTGCTTGTGCTGAAATTTTCCTTTTGCCAATTATTATTTTGATGATTTTTATGTTCGGTTTTTTTAAATTAAAAAAAATTTTTTTTGGGGTTTTTGAGGAGATTTTAACTCAAAACTACGTTTTTGATTCTCTTTTCTTTTGGAAAAATTGTTTTTATTAAGTTTAAAAATTATTTTCCCTGGACGGGTTCGAACCTTAGACCTCTAGCCCCAAGTATTAGTCTAACAACATTAAAAGAATTTTTAGATTTATTTTTTGAGAATTTTTAACTTAAGAATATATTTTTGACTCTCTTTTGTTCTGAGAAATTATTTTTATACAGTTTAAAAATTATTTTCCTTGAGAGGGTTCGAACCTTATACCCCCTCCTCCCCCTCTAGTAATCCAAACAACTCCACTACACTACAAGAAATTTTTCGACAATTCATTCTATTTAGGGGCAAATCAAGTTTAATTGGGCCATTTGTTTATTATCGCTTTTTGACCATGCGATATATGTCTCGACGAAATCCGTATACGAGGTTTTTTTATTATTCTTCCATTTTAAAGAAAATTTTTTATTTTTTCCACAGAGAAATGTTTTCTCAGTTAAAATTTATTTTTAATTCTTGGGCCAACAATCCTTCGTGCCCTACATTTGTTTCTTCATCAATACTCAAATTTATTGCGTTGATTGAACGTTTAGCTCCACAACAAGTTGCTATGTAAAATTGTTTTTTTGGAGATTAAGATGATCTATAATCGATATTTTTGTGATTGAGAGACTGATCTTAACAAAAAGTATATTTTTTTAATTTTTGTTTTGACCAATTAATGCTACCAAATCGTTAGTAGTTTTTAATTGATTTTTACGACATTGGGTGTTAGTTTCTTGCAAAATTTTTTGAAACTTATTCCTTTTTCAATTTAACTATTTGGTGGCATTCCTATAAGGGATGTCACGGGTTTCTAGAAATCCACAACCTAATCTCCAGAATTGATCCGTTAAATTTTCCAAAACCTGACCCGAAACTTGGACTCTTTTTCGACCAGAAAACCGAACTAACTATTTTTCTCAACCCATGTGACATTTCCTTTTTTTTTCTTTTTTTAAACGCGGTCAATGTTTGTTTGAGGCTAGCATACTCCAAAATATTTTTTTGAATATTTTAAATCTTTTCTGGTTTTACTTTTATTTTTGTTTAATAAATTTAATAATTCAGAAAATTTTCGATTAATTCTTTTAAGTATTTATACAATGCTTTGGTTAGTGCATTGTTTCCCCAAAAACAACAAACAAATTTTTTCGTAAAACAAAAATTTTAAGCTTTAGAATAACCCCTTTTCTCCCCTGCCTGCCCTTAAAATCTCTCAAAATTGAGTCATCATTTTAATTTATTTGGCCCGATAAGCGCAAAAATGTCGGACCTTTTTCTTTCTCTTTTCGCGGTCAATGTTTGTATTTCCTTCCCCCCCCCCCCCCCTCTATTTTGCTCTATGGATTGCTTTTGTATATTTGCTTTTCTATCACAAGGAAAAATAAAGGTAAAAATGTGGAAACGATTTCTTTTTAATACATTTTTGTTTTAAGAGTCAAGATTCGAGAGTGAGCACAACCAGCGCTTTGGAAAATTTTTTTTTTGTCTTTAAGGACAGCCAATGTATAAATTTTATTATAATATTGATACAAAAATTTTTTTTAATTTTTTAGAAAAACAAATATGGCAACAACATCAGCACCTATACAATTTGTGGCTGGAAGTGCTTTAAAAATTGTTATAATTTTGTTGACAATTGTGGTGCTGGTGCTGCTTGATCCTTCTTATGTTACTGCTTATATTTCTGTAAATTTTTTTATTTAAAATTTTTTTATTTTCCTTTTTCAGATAAATTATGAAATTGTTCTAATTTATATTATTTCTGCCCTGACTCTTCTTTACTGTGTTGTTTCGGTAAATTAAATTTTTAATTTTTAAAATTGATAGTTAAGAAAAATATTTTTCTTTTCTTATTAAAGATCATAATGTATGCAATAATGCAACGAAGTGTGCGGGAAGGCGAAGAACTCCATTTAACTAATTGTTCTTTATCGGTTGGTTTTTTAACAAAATTTTTTTTAACTAAAATTTTTATTTTTAGGAAATTGTGTTTGCTGGTGCTGGAATGATTTGCTGGTTTTTTTTTTTAATTAAAAAATTTTTTTCATTTATTTCTTTAAGGATGTTGGTTTGCGGCATTGGAGGCACTGTCGCCCAACGGACAATAATTGATGTAAATAAAAATAAGGGATGTCAAGGGTTACCCGAGACTCGAAACTGACCTTTCGACCTGACTTAATCCGAGAAATTTTTTGAAACCCGAATCCTGGCCCGACTTTTTCCCTCACAAATCCGCTAACTGACCCTACTCCTGTTGGACACTAAAACTCAATCCTAAGAAAATTTTAAAACCCTCAACCTTTCCTAATGACATCCCTGTTATTTAAATTAAAAAATTTTTCTAAAAAAATTTTTTTTTAATTTTAGACTGGAGAATACTTTGGTTGGCTTGGGGTGGGTTTATTTTTTAAAAATATTTTTTATTTAAACAATTATATTAGGCATGTGCCGGTATAATTGTTTGCCTTTTTGCTGGAGTAGTAAGCCAAAAAATTAAAAGAAATATTTTTTTAACTTCAAAAAAATTTTTTCTAGTTAGCCCTATTTGCTTTGGATATTTTGACAAACAAAATTTTGAGCCCCCAACGAAGGAAGTATCGTTATACTCCTCCACAGATTTGAACAAAAAATATTTCTTTTAGTTTAAAAATTAATTTAATAAACATACACTCCTTTCATTTATTTTCTTGAGAGATCTTTTTTCTTCTTTACATTTATTAATTACTATAAGAAGCAGTACAGCAATTTTAAAATGTTTCCGGAAATTATAATTATTTTCCATAAGGAATATCTAGCTTTAATAAGCATTTTCGAATATAATTTGTTTGGTGTAGTGGAAAGGTGCTTGGTTCTATAGTGTAAATAGTTGGTGGTTCGAATCCCGCTAACTGAAATTTTTTGTTTTACCCTAAAATTAATTTAATACCCCCAAATTTATTTTTTAAAGTTGCTGTGAATTTAATTTCATATTTTTAAATAGATAAAGGGGGAAATGAGCGAAGCGAGAGCATTTATTTTTTAAATTCGAAAATATTTTAATAATATTTAAATCTTTTTTTAAATCTTCTTTATCTTCTCTTTTTCTCTTTTTTATTTCCTTCCAAATCTGACAAATTCGTGCTTTCTCTTTCCAAAGCGCAAATACTGAAAAAAAATTTTTAATTTTTTTTTGAGAAAGTTTTTTAAAATTTCTTTTACCTCATGCTTTCTCTTTTCCCGTCCGGCATCTTTTTCTGCGAGTCCTTTAAACAAAAAAATTTTTTAGACTTTAAATAACTTTTTATTAACCATGTGTAGCAGCTAATCTTTCAATTCCTTCAGTTACAAAATTTCCTAATTGAGACAATAGAGTAGAAGATTCATAAAGTTGGCAAAGTAGTAAACGTTCTTCATCTCCCCCAGCCAACTTTTTAAAATTTTTAAATATTTTCTCTTAAAAAAATTTTTTTACTTGTGCACAATTATCTCCTCCATTTTCGGCTAATCCCGGTTGTAATAAACAAACCAAAACACAAAATAAAGATAAAATAACCATTAAGAAGGAATTGTTAGATGGCTGCATTTTTTGAGAAAAATAATCTTTTTCTTTAATAGTTCTGACTAAAAAATAAATATAACCGTAAATGCTCTAATTAAAGCCTCGGGCTTTTATTTTTCAATAGGTCTTTTGAGTGGGTTTCTATTAGTTACAGGAAACTTTAATAATATTTCCGGATTTTTAATTACTTTCCGGAAGGAATATCTAACTTTAATAATCATTTTTTTAATATGTCAGTTGGTGTAGTTGGAAAGTGCTTGGTTCTCTATTGTTAGGAGTCGGTGGTTCGAACCCTACCAGTTCTAACTTTTTTTGTTTTACCCTAAAATTAATTTAATAGCTCCAAAATTTATTTTTTAAAGTTGTTGTCTATTAGAGAATGGATATAAGGACTCCTTTTATATTAGAGCATTTCCGTTTTTATATTTTTTTCTTTTTTAACAATTAATTTTTTTGGGGACAAAAAATTTGGCAAATTAAAGGAACCAAAAAATTAAAGGAACCAAAAATGAAAATAAAAAAGAGAAAATATATTTTTTTCTTTTGTCCTGTCCTTTAAATTAAAGTAATAATCAAAAAGCTAGCTAAAAAGGGCAAACCCTCCGAACGGCAAAAAAAGTAGTAGAAATATGTTTTTATATTTAATGAATATAGCATGCTTTTATTTAATCCCTCCCCTGTTATTTTTGGGGTTTTTAATTAATTAAAAAATTATTTTTAAAGTTCTTATGGTCCGTTAAAGTTAGGAATTTTCTAGGAATTAAAAAAAATATTTTTGTGCTTCCTATTTTTTATTTTTTAAATTAATTAAAAGAATTTTTAAGGGGTCTTTAGGGTTTTTAGGGGGTCCTTCAGGTTTTAAATATTTTTTTAAAAATAATTTTAAGAATTTTAAAAATTATTTTGGCCTTCCTACAAATCTTTGTAAATTTTTTTAAAAAGAATTTGCATATATTTATATAAATGAGAACACCATGTAAAGCTTTAAAAAAGAGGGGAATTTAAAAAAAATTAATTTAAATTAATTTTTTCCTGGTGGTCCTTAAATTAAGAAAAAAAATTTTTTTAAAAAACGTCCTCATAAAATTCCTGCAAAAATCATAGGAGAGAATTTTAAAAAATTAATTTTTACGTAAAATAATTTTATGTTAAATTTTCTGTTTTTGACATGAAAAAAATTTTTTTCTGCCTGAGGCTATAAAGATTTGAATGAATTTTTTTCGGGATTTATTGGAAGTGTCCAAAGAAGTTTTTTTATTTTTTATGCCAACGGCATTCAGTAATTAACACAAAATGTGTAAAATAAATTGACAAATAAATTTATTTTATTTGTGTGTTTTTATTGGATAAAAAAAGGATTCGCACCAATGGAGTTTGGGAGATTTTTAAGTAAATCTTTTTAAAAAAATTTTTGGTAAAATTTAAAATTCAATTTAGCCAGGGATGGGGCTGATGACGTTAGAGTAGAAGAAAAAAAGAAGGAAATTTAAAAGGCCAAAAACCTGTAATCTTTTTAAGGCAAAAAGACTTTTGTTTATATCTCCGTTTAAATAATAGTTTTGACTTTTCAACAAACAAGTTAAATATTATTCAAAATAAGGGGGAAGGAAAAGCCTTGTTATCCTCCATATATTTGTCCTTTAAAAAAGTTTTCCCCAAGTTTCTTGTCACAAGAAAAAGATAATTAATAATTAGCCAAATTTGGCTTTAGTTTTTTTAATAAAAAATATTATTTTTCGGCTGTTAGAGACTGAATATTCTGGGAAAAAATTATTCTAATAGACGCCCTGGGCATTTATTTTTCTAAGGGTATGGAGAGTGGACTTCTAATAGGCCCGGGCTCCTTATTAGAGTTTGGCTTCCCCCGGAGCTTGTCTTTCTATTAGAACATTTACTTTGTCCTTTCTACCATTTTCAGACTCTAATGTCCTCCCTATTTTTCAAAGTTTTTGGAAATGCCCAAAGGATTTCAAAAAATTTGTTAATTAAAAGACAACGTGTTTTAAGTATATTTATGTAAAAATTTAAAAATATATCCAAGGAGTGCGGGGGATTTGCTTCGATAAATTTATAAAATTAAAATAAATTTTTTTAGTTTTAAACAAAATCTTTTTTAAAAATCAATAAAAATTCACTTGAGATTCTCATCTTTATAGAACGCCTACTTACACTATATGAGTTAAATTGAATTTTTAATCCTGTCTTCTGATTTGATGGATATACTTAAATCGAGAATTATGAAAATCTACTTGTTCATCTTCAAATTTGAAAATATTTACAAAATTTGACATAATGTAAATTTAAAAATAAATGACATTTTATCCCAATGCAGAGAGAATAGCGTGGTTAGAGAAACTGAGAAAAACAATTCAAAAAACGCCAATTTTGGCGAAATGTAAAAATTAAAATAAATGACTTTTTGTCCTCCAAGCTAGAGAGATTATAAAAAAGAAATAGTGTAGTTAGAGAAACGAGTAAATAAGAAATTGTGTTAGTTGAGTACAGGCTGATGGGAAGGAATATGTAAGGTTTATAAAAATTGTTAATTTTCAAAAAATCGATACTAATTTTTAAATTTTTAAATTAATAAATAATTAATTTTAATCGATACTAATCGATAAAATCAATACTAATCGATAATTATTTTTAAAAAATTTTTAATTTTCAAAAAAATCGATACTAATCGATAAAATCAATACTAATCGATAATTAATTTTTAAAAATTTTTAATCTTCAAAAAATCGATACTAATCGATAAAATCAATACTAATCGTTAATTAATTTTTAAAAAATTTTTAATTTTCAAAAAATCGATACTAATCGATAAAATCAATACTAATCGATAATTAATTTTTAAAAAATTTTTAATTTTCAAAAAATCGATACTAATCGATAAAATCAATACTAATCGATAATTAATTTTTAAAAAATTTTTAATTTTCAAAAAATCGATACTAATCGATAAAATCGATAATTAATTTTTAAAAAATTTTTAATTTTCAAAAAATCGATACTAATCGATAAAATCAATACTAATCGATAATTAATTTTTAAAAAATTTTTAATTTTCAAAAAATCGATACTAATCGATAAAATCAATACTAATCGATAATTAATTTTTAAAAATTTTTAATCTTCAAAAAATCGATACTAATCGATAAAATCAATACTAATCGATAATTAATTTTTAAAAAATTTTTAATTTTCAAAAAATCGATACTAATCGATAAAATCGATAATTAATTTTTAAAAAATTTTTAATTTTCAAAAAATCGATACTAATCGATAAAATCAATACTAATCGATAATTAATTTTTAAAAAATTTTTAATTTTCAAAAAATCGATACTAATCGATAAAATCAATACTAATCGATAATTAATTTTTAAAAATTTTTAATCTTCAAAAAATCGATACTAATCGATAAAATCAATACTAATCGTTAATTAATTTTTAAAAAATTTTTAATTTTCAAAAAATCGATACTAATCGATAAAATCAATACTAATCGATAATTAATTTTTAAAAAATTTTTAATTTTCAAAAAATCGATACTAATCGATAAAATCAATACTAATCGATAATTATTTTTAAAAAATTTTTAATTTTCAAAAAAATCGATACTAATCGATAAAATCAATACTAATCGATAATTATTTTTAAAAAATTTTTAATTTTCAAAAAAATCGATACTAATCGATAAAATCAATACTAATCGATAATTAATTTTTAAAAATTTTTAATCTTCAAAAAATCGATACTAATCGATAAAATCAATACTAATCGTTAATTAATTTTTAAAAAATTTTTAATTTTCAAAAAATCGATACTAATCGATAAAATCAATACTAATCGATAATTAATTTTTAAAAAATTTTTAATTTTCAAAAAATCGATACTAATCGATAAAATCAATACTAATCGATAATTAATTTTTAAAAAATTTTTAATTTTCAAAAAATCGATACTAATCGATAAAATCGATAATTAATTTTTAAAAAATTTTTAATTTTCAAAAAATCGATACTAATCGATAAAATCAATACTAATCGATAATTAATTTTTAAAAAATTTTTAATTTTCAAAAAATCGATACTAATCGATAAAATCAATACTAATCGATAATTAATTTTTAAAAAATTTTTAATTTTCAAAAAATCGATACTAATCGATAAAATCAATACTAATCGATAATTAATTTTTAAAAAATTTTTAATTTTCAAAAAATCGATACTAATCGATAAAATCGATAATTAATTTTTAAAAAATTTTTAATTTTCAAAAAATCGATACTAATCGATAAAATCAATACTAATCGATAATTAATTTTTAAAAAATTTTTAATTTTCAAAAAATCGATACTAATCGATAAAATCAATACTAATCGATAATTAATTTTTAAAAATTTTTAATCTTCAAAAAATCGATACTAATCGATAAAATCAATACTAATCGATAATTAATTTTTAAAAAATTTTTAATTTTCAAAAAATCGATACTAATCGATAAAATCGATAATTAATTTTTAAAAAATTTTTAATTTTCAAAAAATCGATACTAATCGATAAAATCAATACTAATCGATAATTAATTTTTAAAAAATTTTTAATTTTCAAAAAATCGATACTAATCGATAAAATCAATACTAATCGATAATTAATTTTTAAAAATTTTTAATCTTCAAAAAATCGATACTAATCGATAAAATCAATACTAATCGTTAATTAATTTTTAAAAAATTTTTAATTTTCAAAAAATCGATATCAACTCATAAAATCAATCATTTTTAACATATAAAAAATTTTACTCCCATAAAACAAATATCACTCAAAAAATCATGCTAATCGTCATTCTACTAAATTTTCACTTGTAAGACTCAAACAAAATTGCAAGAAATAAATACAAGTTTATCTTTTAAAAAATTAAACAACAGACAAATAAATAATAAACTTTTTTTTCTTTTTCGACCTCATTCGAACTGCAAATTGCATTTGTATCCAATCTATTGAAAATAAAAATTCATTAAAAACATTTAAATTGAAAAAAAGGTTATTTTCTAACTTCTATTTAAATCAGAAAAATTAATTCCCTTGGTGGGATTCGAACCTACACCCATATGTAGCATATCCAAAACTCCTACCAGTTACACCACAGAGACATATAATGAGAACAGAAATTTTATCGACTATAATCTAAAAAACATAAGGAAAACATCAAAAGGAGTAACCTACACTCTCCAAGGTAAGCCTTTCAAAAAATAAAAAGGAAAAAACGAACCAATTCACATTTGCTTTTACATATTCAATTGATCCATTAATCCATTAATTGGTAGTCGTGCTCTTATCTAAATTTAAAAGATTACTAATTAAAAAGACCATATTAACTGGAGATTAGGTTAAAATGATATTCGGAGTTGTTATAGAAATCTTATTCAAATATCAAAGACTATCGATAGTCTACGAAGCTTATAAACAATAGAAGGGATAATTTGAGAAGGGATAATTTTATAGCCCATACGTTCTTTAAACTTAAAAAATAAAACTTTAACGAGCAGAAACGTCTGGAATTTGCGTTGTTTGCAAAACCTAAGCTTGGAAACTTTCAGAGAAAATGTATGAAACCTTGAACCGAAAAAACCTCAAAAAAGATATTGCTAATTTATTTACCTTTTGACTAAATTTGGGACTCAAAAGAGGGATTTATATTTCCCCATTTTTACTAGCGAAATAAACGAGAAAAAGGCTTAACGCTTACTCGAGTTCAAACACAAGAAATATAAAAACCTTTCTCATCGTCCCAACCAAGATATTGACCAGTCAAGCAATGGTGGTCCATCACTTCTCTAATAGCAGTAGCTGATACGGCAGGCATTATGAAAATGAAAATATAAATAAATGAAAATTTAAAAAAACCTGTTGGAATAACGAAAGAATTGATGAAGTTGAAGCAACTGACGAAGGCGGCGGTGGAACTAACTGGACCAACGGAATTTAAAGGACATGGATAACTAATGAGCGCGAGGGAATACTGGATTAAAACCAATACTAGGATGAAACACAGGCATAAAATTGGGAACTTATCTTGACTCAATTAGAACAGTACAAAGGAAACCCCTAACAAAATAAATAAAATAAAAACAAACCTGTTAAAATGACGCGCGCGTCCTTTGTGAAGCACATTTTTCTACATATTGCAAGGCCGTCCAAAAAAAGCGCTGTCCAGAAAAGAATAATATGCTGCTCAAGTAAAAAATAAATGTTCATTTAAAGGACGAACCCGAAGACAAATAGAATCCACTTATCCAATCAAAGGGACCCCTCTTGATCTATCACTTGGACCCGAATGATCTACCGAAGTGACCAAAAGCGAATTCCTCATGATGACCAAAAGGGCGGTCTTTGATAATTCCTGACTAATCAAAGGGACTCCTAATGATCTATCACTTGGACCCGAATGATCTACCGAAGTGACCAAAAGCGAATTCCTCATGATGACCAAAAAGGTGGTCGATCTTTGATTAGTCAGCCTAACCTCTAACAACTAATTGTAAGACATCGAAACATGGCCCAAAACCCCTGTCCAATCAAAGGGACCCCTCTTGATCTATCACTTGGACCCGAATGATCTACCGAAGTGACCAAAAGCGAATTCCTCATGATGACCAAAAGGGCGATCTTTGATAATTCCTGACTAATCAAAGGGACTCCTAATGATCTATCACTTGGACCCGAATGATCTACCGAAGTGACCAAAAGCGAATTCCTCATGATGACCAAAAAGGTGGTCGATCTTTGATTAGTACTAATCGATAAAATCAATACTAATCGATAATTAATTTTTGATTAGTACTAAATTAATTTTTGATTAGTACTAATCGATCTTTGATTAGTACTAATCGATAAAATCAATACTAATCGATAATTAATTTTTAAAAAATTTTTAATTTTCAAAAAATCGATACTAATCGATAAAATCGATAATTAATTTTTAAAAAATTTTTAATTTTCAAAAAATCGATACTAATCGATAAAATCAATACTAATCGATAATTAATTTTTAAAAAATTTTTAATTTTCAAAAAATCGATACTAATCGATAAAATCAATACTAATCGATAATTAATTTTTAAAAATTTTTAATCTTCAAAAAATCGATACTAATCGATAAAATCAATACTAATCGTTAATTAATTTTTAAAAAATTTTTAATTTTCAAAAAATCGATATCAACTCATAAAATCAATCATTTTTAACATATAAAAAATTTTACTCCCATAAAACAAATATCACTCAAAAAATCATGCTAATCGTCATTCTACTAAATTTTCACTTGTAAGACTCAAACAAAATTGCAAGAAATAAATACAAGTTTATCTTTTAAAAAATTAAACAACAGACAAATAAATAATAAACTTTTTTTTCTTTTTCGACCTCATTCGAACTGCAAATTGCATTTGTATCCAATCTATTGAAAATAAAAATTCATTAAAAACATTTAAATTGAAAAAAAGGTTATTTTCTAACTTCTATTTAAATCAGAAAAATTAATTCCCTTGGTGGGATTCGAACCTACACCCATATGTAGCATATCCAAAACTCCTACCAGTTACACCACAGAGACATATAATGAGAACAGAAATTTTATCGACTATAATCTAAAAAACATAAGGAAAACATCAAAAGGAGTAACCTACACTCTCCAAGGTAAGCCTTTCAAAAAATAAAAAGGAAAAAACGAACCAATTCACATTTGCTTTTACATATTCAATTGATCCATTAATCCATTAATTGGTAGTCGTGCTCTTATCTAAATTTAAAAGATTACTAATTAAAAAGACCATATTAACTGGAGATTAGGTTAAAATGATATTCGGAGTTGTTATAGAAATCTTATTCAAATATCAAAGACTATCGATAGTCTACGAAGCTTATAAACAATAGAAGGGATAATTTGAGAAGGGATAATTTTATAGCCCATACGTTCTTTAAACTTAAAAAATAAAACTTTAACGAGCAGAAACGTCTGGAATTTGCGTTGTTTGCAAAACCTAAGCTTGGAAACTTTCAGAGAAAATGTATGAAACCTTGAACCGAAAAAACCTCAAAAAAGATATTGCTAATTTATTTACCTTTTGACTAAATTTGGGACTCAAAAGAGGGATTTATATTTCCCCATTTTTACTAGCGAAATAAACGAGAAAAAGGCTTAACGCTTACTCGAGTTCAAACACAAGAAATATAAAAACCTTTCTCATCGTCCCAACCAAGATATTGACCAGTCAAGCAATGGTGGTCCATCACTTCTCTAATAGCAGTAGCTGATACGGCAGGCATTATGAAAATGAAAATATAAATAAATGAAAATTTAAAAAAACCTGTTGGAATAACGAAAGAATTGATGAAGTTGAAGCAACTGACGAAGGCGGCGGTGGAACTAACTGGACCAACGGAATTTAAAGGACATGGATAACTAATGAGCGCGAGGGAATACTGGATTAAAACCAATACTAGGATGAAACACAGGCATAAAATTGGGAACTTATCTTGACTCAATTAGAACAGTACAAAGGAAACCCCTAACAAAATAAATAAAATAAAAACAAACCTGTTAAAATGACGCGCGCGTCCTTTGTGAAGCACATTTTTCTACATATTGCAAGGCCGTCCAAAAAAAGCGCTGTCCAGAAAAGAATAATATGCTGCTCAAGTAAAAAATAAATGTTCATTTAAAGGACGAACCCGAAGACAAATAGAATCCACTTATCCAATCAAAGGGACCCCTCTTGATCTATCACTTGGACCCGAATGATCTACCGAAGTGACCAAAAGCGAATTCCTCATGATGACCAAAAGGGCGGTCTTTGATAATTCCTGACTAATCAAAGGGACTCCTAATGATCTATCACTTGGACCCGAATGATCTACCGAAGTGACCAAAAGCGAATTCCTCATGATGACCAAAAAGGTGGTCGATCTTTGATTAGTCAGCCTAACCTCTAACAACTAATTGTAAGACATCGAAACATGGCCCAAAACCCCTGTCCAATCAAAGGGACCCCTCTTGATCTATCACTTGGACCCGAATGATCTACCGAAGTGACCAAAAGCGAATTCCTCATGATGACCAAAAGGGCGATCTTTGATAATTCCTGACTAATCAAAGGGACTCCTAATGATCTATCACTTGGACCCGAATGATCTACCGAAGTGACCAAAAGCGAATTCCTCATGATGACCAAAAAGGTGGTCGATCTTTGATTAGTCAGCATAACCCCTGACAACTAAGACACCCGAAACATGACCCAAGACCCATGACCAATTTTCAATTAAACCATGTTTTTGAATCGCGAGCAGCATACCAGTAAAAGTTGATTCGAAAAAATTTTTCAAAAACTAAAGACCTTAATTTTGTTTTGACCAAAGAGCCGCAACCTGGAATAAAAAAATTAAGATAAAATTTAAAAAATTAGTCATTTGTTAGGGGTTTCCTTTTACTGTTCGAATCCCCAAAATTAAATCATTCCCCAATTAAAAGGAAAATAAATTGCAGCTTGATGTTGTCCAAATAGAAGCTGCTGAACAATGTTGAAGTAAATGTGAAGTAATTTACACGAAAGCGTTGGCCAACAACAAACAAAAGTAAAAATGGCCGCTTGCAAATCTTTGCTAAAAATAAGAGATTCAATTTTATAAAAATAGTGCGAGTCAGTGAAATAAAGAAATTAATGGCGGACTCATTAGACACAAACATGTACTGGGTAGAGAAAAAGAATTCTTACTTTTCCTCACTCTATTGAAGAAGAAACTAATTTCGCTTCTCTAACCAGTACATGTTTCTGTTTGTCTAAGCAACGGTCATAGAAAAAAATCAATAATCGAGGAAAGAAAGTTCGAAAACGCTAGACTGAAAGCGTAATTCTTAACGGTAAAGCCGTTTTATAGCGGGCCGATTCAGAGTAGCCAGTTAGAGTGCGAAAAAGAGGGAACGGGCAGGGTACGATTGCCGCCATTACGCAAAAATGGAGGGAGAACAAATTATAAAAATATTGAAACCAGTTATAAACTGGATTAAAAAAAATGAAAAAATGTTAAAATAAAAAAAACTTTATACGAAAAAAAACAAAATTGTTAAAATTTTTTGGGGAAAATAAAATATTGGCACATTTTTTTGCAAGGATAAATAATTAAATAATTATAAAATTTGTAGGCAATGTAAGATATAAATAAAAAAGAAAGGCAAGAATAAAAAGGAGTAAGAAATGCAAAAGAAAGGCATCGAAATTCTTTGAAATTCCAAAAATCGGATCAAAACTTTCAAAGAAAATACAAAATTATTGATGAAAATCTATTAAAGATTTCGATGCAATTGAAAAAAATTAATTAAGAAAATAAAATGGCAGCGTTGTTATAATAGGAACGCGCCGAAATACCGAAAAAAACACCCCTTCTTCCCCAAAAGCTGTCCAAAAATATCGCCAAACTGTGGAAAATATAGAGGGGTGTTGTCCAATCATATGGACATTCACTTTCAACAAAAGGTGAAAGGTTATTTATTCTATCAATTTAAATTTTGAGGTATTCCGGCGTGCCTTTTTTGAGGGAATTGGTATTTCGGCGTATAAAATACTTTAAAAATGTGAGCATTAAAAATTAATTTATAAACCTTTATTTATTTTTTTGTTAATATTTACCACCTCCACTCCTTGTTGTACTAGTTATTGTTGATGTTTGTTGAACATGTTTGTCACTAGTAATTCCTGTTCTTGGATCAAAATGACGATGATGGCGAACCTAAATATAAATTTAAAAAATAATTTTTAAAAAAAGGAAAAGGTCAAGAAAACTCCTTCTAATGTCCACTGTATTCGAGAGGCCCGTATTTTTCCCAAGAAAATATAAGAATATCCGTATTCCTAAGAAAGAACACTCATATAATTCCTTAATTCTTCCCAAGAAGTGGTCCCTATATTCCAAATTTTTCACCCAAAAAATTAAAAAAACCTTAGTATTTTTATCAATAACATCAACATCTTCTCCTCCTTCACCCTCATCATCTTCTAATATTAATGAAGGATTTTTAAATGCAAATCCTTTTTTTAAACTATCATTTGTTGTTGCATAATGACGCCAAGATGAAGAGGAAGGATAATTTGTTGTTGAAGTTTTTAGAGAAGAAATATCTCTTCCACCTTCTCTTCTTGAATTTGAAAATTCAGCAATACTTTCACCTCTATCCAATTCAGAATCGACAAATTTGTGTGGCTGTTGCTGTTGTTGATGATATTGTTGTTGTTGATTATTACGAATATTTGTCTATTAAAAGAGAAAAAATAAAAATTTCTCAAAAAAAACTAACCGTTGCTCTCCCCATATTATTAGTAGATGTATAAACATTCGAAGCTTCAGCAGCAATATTTTCAGAAGAATTTGTCGCCTCATTATGTACGTCTACACCTGTCACAATTTCTTCTGTTCTAATAATATCCTTTAAAAATATTTTGTAAATATTCTAAAAATTCCAAAAAAACCGTTGTAACTCTCCTCTCAATTTCTTCCCGAATAGTAAATTCACTGGATGCAGCACTTGCTAAGGATGACCCATCATGGTGTAAATGGGCACGAGGTATTCTCAAACCATCTTCTAAATATCCGGCTAAATGAGCTGCTCTGCTATCTGCTGCCTTAAAAATTAAAAAAAATTTCAAAAAATTTCTTCAAAAAAATAAAAAAACAAACCGAGTCAGTATGTGAAGATTGTTTTAATTTTGCACGAGGAATTCCATAAAGAGAAAAATCGGCACCACTATCGCTACTTGCTGATGCATCTAATGTTGCGAATTCTGGCCGTCTATAGAAACAACGGCAACGAGTGCATAAATAGAGAAGGAAACTAAAAAAGAATTTTTGGAAATATAAAAAATATTTCAAAAAAACCAAAGTGAAAGTAGAAGGAAAACCAAAGCTAACAGAACAAGTAAAACAAGGGAAGCCGATGCTGGTGCCAATTCACAAAATTGTCCACTATACCCATCAAAACATTGACATATTACGTTCGTATTGTTTGTAGGATCGGGAATACAAGCCTTGAAAAAATAAATTTAGACAATTTTAAAAATTAAATTAACCCCATTTTCATGGCATTGAGCACACAATTTGCTTGCACAAAAACGACCCTTTAAAAAATTAAATTATAATTAAAGACTAAAAAATAAACCGGCAATTCCAAATTTCCATCTTCCCATCCTGGTGGACATTGACATGAATAACCTTCTGGAAGATTTGTACAAATTGCGTAACTTGAACAATTGTGTAAACCCAAAGCACATTCATCAACATCATGAGGAGAAAGGCAATATTGATCAGAAGAAAATCCAAGGCTCTATTTTAAAAATAAATTAATAGTAAGAGTCGACCCCAAGACCTACACCCTTCAGGAATTATCCCATTAAAAATTAAAAAAACCAACCATTCTAGATTCAGAATGTCTAATATCTACAAATCCTTTATGACATTGACATTCTGCTTGTTGTTCAGTATTTACACAACTTGTATTTGATGGACAATAATTAACATCACTACAATAGTCGAGTACACAAACACTTCCAGGAATTGAACCTTTTGGTGATGCATCTGTATATCCTTTTTTGCATTCACATTTATAGAGGAATTCCTGAAAAATTAACAAAGTTTGGTTTATATCAGGGATGTCAAAGGTCACCCGAAACATTGACCTAGTTCGGACTCCCGATCCGAGAAAATTTTTCACCGACCCTAACCCCAACCTAAATTTCTTTCCCTCTTAATCCTGCCTCGACCCGAGACCCGGCCATTTTTAACCGAAAACCACATCCGAAAATTTTTTTAAAAACCCAACTCGAACCCCGACCCGTTTTTTTATCAACGTGAATCCTCAATTTTGAACCACAAAAAGGTTATGGCCCAAAATACTACACTTATATAAACCTCAAATACAATTAAAAAAAACTTACAAGATCAATACATCTCGCTTCTGAAGAACATTCATTTTCTTCTTCTTTCTCACATTCATTGTAACTTTGAGTTGGCACACATTTCTTTAAACAAAAAATTTTCTTTAATGAAATTAAAAAATGATACCCTTCCAGGATCTGAAGGATTCAAGTCTCTTTGTCCATTAGTACATTCACATCGATAAGCATTTGGTCCCAATTCTATACAAATACCTTTTGGATGACAATTATTCTAGAAAAGGTTTAAAAAATTTTAAAATTTTTCCAAAAAATTTCAAACCTTGAAACAAGAACTGAATGGACTTTTTTGATTTGTACTTAAATAAAGTCCAGAATTTCCCAATTGTTGTCCATTTTTTTCAATAATATATTTAACTAATTGTGTATAAACATCCAATGGATTTTTAACTGCTCCTTTTCTAAAATGCATTGTTGCATTAAATAAGAGTCCATTATCCCAGCTAGCATTTATTAACATTGGATCAAGAATTTCATTAACCTCAACAGAAACAAAGGCATTCCTTCAGAAAAAATTTTTTTTTGAAATTTTAAAATTTTTTTTCAAAAAAACAAACTTTAGCAATGTTTGTGGATAACATTGAGCAATTCCTTTTTCAAATAGACGAACATATTCTTTATTTAAAGGATTTAATGGATTTGCAAATGTTTCATTATACAAAAGTTGGTTATTATTTTTTCTTATAATCCATAAAGGTATTTGCCAAGATTCAACTGGACGACATTTTTCTTCTATTGAAGGCCTTTTTTGTCCATTAGGGCATCCACAAAGTGTTTCAGCAATACAAATCTGGAAAATAATAACATTTTTAAAGTCTCATTATGAAAATGGGTCTACTCGAAGACCCCAAGAAGATAAAATCCTAGAGGTCGATACCCAGGTGGTCAACTGACCCTAAAGAACCCCTTAAAATCAATCTATGGGATCCAGACAAAAAGGGCAATCCACAGGAATTAACAAACTAGAGGTTGATCCTAGGGGGCCAACTGACTCTGGAGGTCAACTCGATATATTTGTTGCTAACCACATAGATCTCAAAAAAAAATCATAAATTTAGTATACCTCCCCCAATTCTTTTTTGCAGACAGCAGAAGAAGAGTCATCTTCATTACCACCACAATAATCTTCAACAGGTTGTTGTTTAATACAAGGATTGAGTAATTCAAAATCTGGAGCGACAATTAATTGCCCATTATTGCTAATTGCACTTTAAAAAAAATTTTCAAAATTAAAATTTTAAATAAAAAAATAAACCCATTAGAATGTTGAATTGAAGTAGAAAGTTGTTCCCATAATTCACAACTAGAGAAATTTTTTTTTATTTTTCTAAATAAATAAACCGATTTAAAGGTTGTTGCTGTTGGTTTTTATTTGAAGAAATTGTAAAATTTACAAGTATACCATCACTCCAAGAACTATTAATTGCTTTTGGATGTGTTAAATATGAAACATCAGTTGTAACATAATGAGATGCAAATTTTGTGCTTAAAATGTGATAACCAATTAAAATCATTTTTTAAAAGAATTAAAAAAACCTTCCAATAGCTTTAGCCATTTCTCGTTGAAATTCTTGTACAAATTCAACATAAGTACTACTTGAACTATCACCATAATCACTGCTATAAATGAGAGGTTGTTGTCCACGATTAATTACTCTATAAAAATTTTAAAGAGTAAAAAATTTTTAACAAAATTAACCTGAAAGCAAAAGAAGTTTTTTCAACAGGAACACATTTGTTTTCATTAGAAGCACGACCATCACCAGGACGGCAAAGGCAGCGAGTACCACCAACACAAACCTATAATATTACAAAACAATGAGGAATAAAGATTAGTTGTTGCCGCCCGGTTAAAATTTTTTCCTGTGGTAGGCTCAAATAAAGAGGTGGCAATTGAGCCGTCACAGAAAAAACATAACGGGCCGTCAAGAACCCGAATATAAAGATAATGAACAAAATCTCAGAAACCTCATTACGTTCAGACAAACACCAATGATTACGTCCACATGCAATTCCTTTTAATACCGTCGATTGTTGTTGTTGTTTAGAGGGACGTTGAATGACATGTTCGGGTTGTTCATTTTCAGAAAATGCTAAAAAAATAGATTAAAAAAGAAATTTTTATTACAAAATATTACCAATACAAACTCGACCAGCTTCTAAACCTTTAGTTCCAGAATCATCATAAAAACCATCATTACCTGTAAATAACAGGAGATAAAAGTTCTTTAAAAAAATATGTAAAAGACCTAAAATTGACAAAGACCAAGGCCGAAAAAACCAGGAAAAGCCCCTACGCCTTTATAAAAAACCTTACATCTACAAGTAAAACCATCTTCAGTATCTTCACAAATAGCATTCTTATCACACTTATTTCTTGTAGGATCCTGACATTCATTGTAAAGGCAAATTCGTCCAGGATGTTCTGCTGGACCATGGTCTTTAAATGGTTGTTTACATTTGCAATTATAGCCACTAGGAGTGTCAAAACAATCAGCATTTGGTGAACAGTCATTAAGTGCAAAATTTAGACATTCATTTTGCACTATAAATTAAAGAATGAATTTAGAATTATTTCAAAAAAATTACTGAATTTGCAAGAAGTTCCAGGTTGTGCAGTATTCAAATCATGATAATCTGGACGACATTTACATTCATAACCTTCAGGTTTGTCAAAACAGTCAGCGAAACGACTACAGTTATTTAAAGATGGATTTGAACATTCATTAATTTGAGAGATGCATTTTCGTCCAGGACGACGTTCTTTATCTGGCGAACGATCCATTGCATTAAGAGGACAGCGGCAAGTATATCTATCAAAAAATGTTTGAATAAAATGTTTTTCTAGGATCGGGTTTCGAGTCGAGAAAATTCCAAATTTCGCCTTTCGATTAACCCGTCCAATCCTTGATATGCGGTATATTCAAAAACTAAAAAAATAAAATACCCTTCAGGTTGATCTTCACAGATAGCCAAAGGATCGCAATCATTTAACGAGCGGTCCAAACATTCATTCACAAATTCAATACAAATCCGTCCTGGTTTACGAACTTTATCAGGACTTTGGTCCACATAACCATCTCTACAACGACAAGCAAAACCTTCAGGTAACAGTTTATCTTCTGTACAAACTGCGGCAGAATGGCTTTAAAAATTTAAAATAGTTCTAGAAAAAAGTTGAAATTAAATACCAATCATTACGTGTTGCATCGATACAAATTGGTTCAGTAAGTACACAAACACGTCCAGGTTTTGTTTTAATATCTGGCGAACGATCTTCATAACCTGGAAGACATTCACATGTAAATGAAGCAGCACCAGTAGCACGACAAGCACCCTTTTGATGGCAATCATGAGTGCTATCCTGACAAGGATGACCTTTAAAAAATTCCAAATTGATGAAAAAATTAAATTTTATAAACGTTGTGGTGGAGGAGGTGGTGGCGGCAATTCACAAACACGGCCTTTTGGCTGTCCAAAAGGAGATTTATCTAAATAACCACGTGCACATTCACAGCGATATCCTTGTCCCTCTTCATAACAGACTGCCTTCCTTGAACAATTGTTTAATTTTGGGTCCCGGCAAAATGAGTTGCGGACACAAATACGGCCTTGAACACCATCCGGAGACTAAAACAAATTTAATCTCTATTTTATAAAATATTCACCTGATCAATATATCCATGAATACAAGTACATGTGTAATTGTTACCCCCCTGGGGTTCACATACAGCAGCAGCACTGCATTCATGATTGGCTGGACATGTTTCAGGGACTAAAAGAAAGATAATAATAAAAGAATGAATTTTTTAAAAAGTAACCTCCACAAACTCGGCCTGGTTGAATTGCTAGATTTGGTGATCTGTCCACATAACCATCACGACATTCACATGTGTAACCCTGAATGATGAATAAAATTTTATAAAACAAAAAATAGACCTCTTCTAAATCGCGACAGTCAGCATTAGGAGAACATGTATGTCTACCCTCTTTACATTCATCTATCAGTTTCACACATACACGGCCTGGACGATGTTGTCTATTTGGTGAGCGATCAGTAAACCCTTTCGGGCATTCACAAGTGAATGCCTTTGAAATAAAATTAAAGGTTAAAATCATACTTTTAATTTACCTGTTCATTATCTTGACAAACAGCCTGTGGGTCACAATCATGTTTTCCTGTCAAACATTCATTTTCAAAGACATGGCATACTCGTCCAGGGAAAGCTGCAGATGGAGAAATATCTTTTGTGTTTGAAGGACATTCACACTGATATCCATCTAAATATTAAAATAATTTAAATTCAAATATTTTTACAAAAACCTGGCTGATCAATGCATTTTGCTCGCGGATCACAATCGTTCAATTTTTGATCTATGCATTCATTGACAATTGGGCGACAAGCTCTTCCTGGTAAACTAGGCGATGGAGAAACATCAGCGAATCCAGCTTTACATTCACAATTATATCCGTCCTCTTCATCCAAACATTTTGCATTTCTATCACATGAATTAAGTTCGGGACGTTCACATTCATCAATCATTTGTTTGCATATTCGCCCTGGCCTTTCAGGTCGTAAATCATTAAATCCTTTTTTACAACGGCATTGAAAACTGTCCTAAAAATTTAATTTTTTCTGAAAACCTTTCATTAAATTTTTTCTAACCTCCAAATCGATACATTCTGCATGTAGGTGGCAATCGTTTAGATGAGGAAATTGGCATTCGTTAACCACTGATTTTATAAAAATTTAAAGAAATTAAAGATACTTTACAACTCACAAGCTTGACACAATCTTCCTGGTCGTTCATTAGCTTTAGGAGAAATATCTTTAAAACCAGATCGACATTTACATGTAAAACTATCAATCAAATCTTGGCATTCCGCACTATAACACGGGAAATAATAGAAAAAATAGAAAAATCCCCCACCTCGGATGGCAATCATTCAACTGTGGGAATTGACATTCATTAATGACTGTACAAGCTGCAGTACCACTAGTATTATTTTTAGTAGTAGCTCTTTCATAATTTAATGGGCAAGCACATTTTGGTTGGCCAGCAACAATTCGACAAACTTCATTCAATTCAACTTTACATCCTTTATTTCCAGCAGTTAACTGACATTCATCCGGTGGTGGAGTTGGACGGGGAACACAATAACGGCCTGGATGTGTTACACGATTTGGAGATTGATCAAGATAGTTTGATCGGCATTGACATGTAAATCTAATAAATTAAATTAAAGTTTGTATCTAAACATTTTTTCTTAATACTTAAGTTTGTACTTGAATATATTTCGACCTTGTAATTTTAAGTTTGAACTTGAAAATATTCCTTAAAGTTTATTTTAGTAATATTCGAGTCTGAACTTAAATATACTCCGGTAAGTTTAATAAATAATATTTAGGTTTGAACTTATATATTCCGGAAAGTTTGTTTTTTAATATTTAAGCTTGCACTTGAATATATTCCGGAAAGTATATTTTAATAATATTCAAGTTTAAACTTAATTCCGTAAAGTTTGTTTTAGTAATATTCTAGTTTGAACTTAATATATTCCGGAAAGTTTGTTTTTTAATATCAAAGCTTGCACTTAAATATATTCCGGAAAGTATAATAAATAATATTTAAGTTTGAACTTAAATATATATTCCGGAAAGTTTGTTTTATAATATTCGTTTAAACTTGTACATATTCCGGAAAGTTTGTTTTTTAATATTTAAGTTTGAGCTCCATATATATCCCGGAAAGTTTGTTTTACCAATTCCCTCAACGTTAAGTTTGCAATGAAATTACTTACCCCTGTGCTAAATCCAAACAATCAGCATCACTATGACAGTCATCTTTCTTTAAAACACATTCATTAACTAATGCAGGTCTACAAATACGTCCTGGCCTTTAAAAATAAATATTGTTTTAAGTTTGTACATAAATAAACTTTCTAATACCTTTGAGCAGGTTCAGGGCTTTCATCTACAAAATTTTGAGTACATTTGCATGTATAACCAGAATCAGTATCATTGCAAATTGCATTTGGAGAGCAATCATGTAATCCTTGTGTACATTCATCAATCTAATAATTTTATAATTAATTTAAAAAATAAATTATTTCCAAGCACCTTTGCCAAACATCGACGTCCGGGTTTTTGTAAAGGATCAGGTGAAACATCCAAATAATTTTTTGGGCATTGACATTGATAACTGTCTTCAGTATCTGTACATATTGCTGTTGGGAAACAATCATGTTGACCAGCAGCACATTCATTAACCAAGCGTTTACAATTACGACCAGGCCTAGTTTTTCTATCCAAAGAAACGTCCAAATAATTAGGAGAACATTGACAAGTGTAAGAATCTTTAAAGAAAAAATAAGAGTTCCAGAGAATTTTGTAATATTCAAGTGGCACTTAAGTAAAAATATTCAAAAAAATCAGGCATACCAGGAGTATCTTGGCATATTCCTCCTTCCTTAGCACAATCATGAGTTCCTTTAACACATTCATTTTCGAGTTGTTTGCAAAGACGGCCTGGTTTATGTGTAACATTTGGAGAAATATCGAGAAATCCTTGACGGCAACGACAAGTATAACCTTCATCTGTATCTGTGCAAATGGCATGATCCTGTGGAAAAATCTCCAGATAAAAGATTTCCTTTAAATAGAAAACAAACCGGTAAATCGCAATCATTCAAAGCTGGGTTGTCACACTCAGGTATGAACGGAATACAGACACGGCCTGGAGCGTTGACAAGGTCGACGCTTTTATCACGAAAGTTTGGTGGGCAAACACATTCATATTTGTCTGTTGCGGCGTCGTAGATACATCCTAAGGAAAAGATTAATTTTAGTCATTATTAAGGGTCTTCAAAAATCGTACTCATGGGATCACTCCGGGTACTTCGCTTAAAACCATAAGTTCCCATGTCAATAAAATAATTAAAAAAACTAACTAGCATTTTTGTCGCAATCATTTCTTCCTTCCTGGCATTTACTGTTACTTTCTTGCACCTTTACACATTGTCGACCTGGATTGCGGAATTCATCTAGATCACTAAATCCGGCTTTACAAATACATTTGTAGGAGTCATGACTTAAAAAAAATTTTTTTCAAAAAAATTTGCTCAAAAATTTTATCTTACGTATCCACACAAAACGCATCTGGATGGCAAGTATTCAATTCTTCACGAGAACATTCATCAACTAATTTACGACAAATAATTCCTGATTCATGCCGCGCATTTGGAGATAAATCAACAAAACCAGGTTTACAACGACAAATGTATCCTTCAGCGGTGTCCACACACAAAGCATCAGGTGAACAACGAGTATGTGTTTGACCTAGAGCACATTCATTAACTTCTCCAACACATAAACGTCCAGGTTTATTTACGGGATCTGGAGATTGGTCTAGAAAAAAATAAAAGTATAATATAACAAAAATATAGGGAGTGTGCCAGTTTCGCCTCCCGCCTTTTTGGTGTTTCGCTTTCGCGTTTTAAATTGAATTTCGGTTTTCGTTTCGTCTTTCGTGTTTCGTTTTTTAAATCATTTTCAGTAAACCCTCTTGTCTGGTATAAAATAAAATAATAAACCTAAATATCCAAGAGGGCAAACACACAAATAACTTTCATCAGTATCAATACATTTTGCAGCAGGATCGCAATCATTATCTCTTTTGTTTAGACATTCATTTCTCACTTAAAAAAATTAATTTTCTAAAATAATTTTTAAAAAATCATACAGCAAATTTCAGTCGCTGGATGTCGTTTCTCTCCTGGTAAACACTGACAAGTATGAAATTGTCCAGAAGTATGTAAAAGGCAATGTTCACGTTTACGTATATCACATTCATCTTCACTTTTTCTAAGTGGGTCACAAGATCCAGGAGGACCACAATTTCCTGATCGAGGATTTAAAGCCATTCCTGGAGGGCAAGTTTTCACATTAAGTGATGGAGAAAATGTTGTTGAAGAAGTAAAGTTTGAAGGTAAATGTTGTTTATTAGAAGGTATATGAGAAATTGAAGAAGATATACATATTCCTGAATGCATTTCTCGTGCATATGAAGCAGGACAAGCGCAACGATGATTTCCTATAAAATTGGGAATACCATAAATGCTCTATTACAAGCCAAAACTCTAATATAAGCCCAAATGTAATAAAAGCCCATCTCCAATATAAACCCACTCAGCGAAATTTGAAGAAAAGAACCCCAAGCTTATATAATCTAAAAACGGATAACTTTAAGAATTACCAAAAGGTGTTCGTTGACACAATTCAGGATGTGGACAAGAAGTTGGCAACTGAAATATTTAATAAAAATTAAAAAAAACATAATTAAAATTATACTTCAGGATTGCACAAATCTCCACCACAAACATGGGTTAATGGATGTCTATCAAATCCACCATTAGGGCAATGGCATGTTGGTTTTTTATTAATTAAAGTACAAATTTCATTTCGTGTTCTATCACACCCTGTTTGCGCATCAACACTGCAACCAGTTGATAATTGAGTTGGACGTGTTGGAGAAGGGCATGCTAGTTTTTGAACCTTAAATTTGATACCTTAAGTTATTATAAACTAAACAAATTTATACAATTGATCGAAGTCGCATATCCAAATCCTTGAAGCGATCAACATAAAACCAGCGTTGTTGAGAACCTATTAAAGTAAATAATAATTATGAATAAATCACACATTTATATCAGGGATGTCACAGGTTAACCAGAAACCCAATTCAAGAAATTTTACAAAAAACCCCCAACATGAAACCCAACACGAGGAGCACGGACATTTTTCGAACCAAAGAAAATTAACCCAAACCGAATTTTCTCTCAACACGTGACATCCCTTATATATTTTTATATTAAACCAGCTATCGATTCCAATTCCGAAGCAAGTACATGATCAGTAACTCCAATAGCAAAAGTATTTATATGTTGTTCTCTAGCTTTTTGTGCTGGTTCTGTTACATTATCCTGACTTCTTCCATCTGTTATAACTATAGCAACACGGCTTACATCAGTACTACTACTTGATGATGATGATGACGGAGGGGAAGGAGGACGTGCTCCTCGACGTTGGGCAAAACCTTCTTGAACCATATGTTGTATTGCTGCCCCAGTTCTTGTTAAACCAGTCAAATATTGAGTTTGGGCTATTGCTTGAAGTAAAGAATGTTTGTCAGAATATTGATTCAAATCAAATTCATGTCTTATTTGATCACTATATTGAATTAATCCGACTCGAGTATTTTCTTGTCCAATATCAAAAAGTTCAACAAAATCGCTTATAAAACGAAGAACCTGAAAAAAAAATGATTGAAAAATTTTTGTAGTAGGCCTTCAGGGTTGATCCCATTTTATCTACCTCATTTCTAAAAACAGCAGAACCAATACTTCCAGAACCATCCACCAAAAACATCAAATCTGTCTTTTGCTTTGGACAACTTGTTTGAACTGTACAAACACGACCAGGAGGTAAATTTGCACTAGTAGAAACATCTACATAACCAGGAATACAACGACAACTATATCCTTGTTGTGTGTCAATACAATCAGCACTTTCGTCGCAAGTATTTAAAGAACGATCGGCACATTCATTACTTGCTTTAAAATTTTTTTTATTCTACTTACGCATTTTCAGTAATAGAGCCCCATGAGGATTTATTTTTCAACCATCCCACATGTGTGGGAAAGGGTATATTAAAGAGGGATTTAGGGAGGGTATATTTTCCACCCGTCATAAAAAAGCGCATTAAAAATGGGGCAAGGAGGGTTTTATTAAAGGAAGCTCTAATCTGACGGGGACTTTAATAAAGAAAACGCAATTAATTTTTCTTAAACAAACCATTAGAGCATCTTCTTCCAGGTAGCAATTCATGTTGTGAAGATATATCAACAAAACCTTCTTTACATATACAAGCAAAACCATCAGTTGCGTCTACACATTCAGCAAAAGGTGAACAATCATGTGCTTGATTTGCGCATTCATTTATTACTAAAAAATTGAGAATTTAAAATTTTTCTCGATTAATTCTACTCACATTCTTTACATATTCTCCCAGGTTTAGTTTCAGGATCAGGCGATTTATCAAAAAATCCTGGTCTGCATTGACATTGAAACGAGTCAAAAAGATTTACACAAATAGCATCTATAAATATTTTTAATATTTAAAAATCCCAAAATATCGTTAACGCTCTCTAATTAACGCCCCTATCAAATAAAAGCACACCTAGGATGATTTACAGCAAATAAAAATTTACTTTTGTCACACTCCATTGAATGTTTACAAGCACTAGTTAAACGACAAGTTCCATCAGAATATAAAAACGATCCTTCTGGACAAGCACAAATAAAATTTCCATCGGTATCCTCAATACATTCCAATCCTTTTCTACAAGCATAAATTCCTTTAGTTTGATCACAAGTATCCAAAGAAAGTTGAAATGGATTTGAAGTTAAATTTGATTCTTTTTCTTGTATAGGTTTAATACAAAGACGACCAGGATATTTACGAGCATCTGGTGATGTATCCAAAAATCCAGTTTTGCATTTACATGTATAACTTAAAAAAAGACAATTAAATTAATATGCAAAAGCAGGGAAGGGGGACCGGTCGAGAAAAAAGGCGTTCGGGCCTCAAATCGGGTATTCAAAATCTTATTCGGATAGGGGTTCGAGTAGAAAAAAGACTGGGTTTCGGAAAACCAGTCCCATCCTTGATACAATGTATAGAATTACATATATTCCTAAGACCATAATTCCTCCACTAAAGAATGTGGGAGGACGAGAGGAAGTGCCTACGGCATCCATAAGGATGAAATGATCATCTTCAGAGAGAGAGAGACGTATAGTCTTTCATACCTTTCCTTTGAATCCTCACAAATTGCATGCTCAGAACAATCATTAAGTTTAGAGTCCAAACATTCATTCACCGCTTCAATACATCTTCTTCCCGGTAATCTATTAAATTGTTCGGATATATCCACAAATCCTGGTCTACATCGACAAATAAAACTGTCATCTGTGTCGATACAATTCTATAAAAGATGTTTGGAAAAAACCTCTAATAAAAATTTCCTACAGCATTAGAATCACAATCAACAGCATATTGTTTAGGAGCAGAGCATTCATTAACTCTTCGACGACATAAAATTCCTGGACGAGATCCTGGTGGGGAAACATCAACAAAATCGCTTTTGCATTTACAACTGAAGCCAATCGTCTTCAAAATTTTTGAAAATTTTTTCAAAAAAATTAATTTTTTCACCTCATCAATACAATCAGCATCTGGAGAACAATCATTAAGTCTAGAATCTAAACATTCATTAATAGCCAAACAACGTCCATCAGGCAAGCGACTATAACCATTTGCACAAGCACATCTATATGTTCCACTCATAAATTGACAAGCTTCATGTCTTGTTGAATCACAACTCATTGGATCATTAACATCACATTCTGGTGTTGAAGGTAAATTTTCTTTAAGAGAAAATAAAAAAATTTTATAAAAATGTTTTAAAAAACTTCTTGAACAAATTCGGCCAGGTTTTTTATCCTTTTGTGGACTTTCATCATTGTAACCACTAGAAAATTAAATTTTTGTAAAAAAAAAATTTTTTAATAAGAGAAAAACTCACTCTTTACATTGACAAGTAAAAGATTCATCTGTATCAATACAATTTGCATCACGAGAACAATCACTAGAAAAAAATTAGAAAGAAGCTAAAAAAAGCTTTGTATTTATTATTTGTTTTCCTCTGCCACTATTTAAAATAGTTATGCATTTTTACAATTGTAAAAAGTTGAGAGAATTAAATTAATTTTGATTTTACAATTTAAAAAATTCTGATTTTATATACATATATTTAATCTGTTTTTTTGTTTTACAATTGTAATTACTTCTGATTTCAGAATTAAACTTAATTCTGATTTTTATATTAAACTTATTTTGTTTTTACAATTGTAAAAAGTTTTGCAAATAAACCTAATTTAATTCTGATTTGTAAATAATTCTGATTTTTGTTTTACAATTATATATTTCTTTTAAAAAACAAAACAAACTTTTCCCCATGTTGAAGACACTCATTTCGCACCAACAAACAAACTCTTCCAGGCAACTTTCCTTGTTTAGAAGAAACATCGACATAGCCACGTTGACATTTACAAATAGGTGGTTGTCCTGCTAATACATTTTCAACACATTCAGCTTCTGGAGCACAATCAATATTACGGCATTGGCTACCTATGAAACAAAAAAAATTATTTTGATTTTTCTTCTGATTTTTTCAGAATATTTCTGATCTTTTTCTGATTGTCCTTACTTTGTTTGCAACTCCTCCCTGGGGAATGCTCCTAAAAAAATTAAATAAATTTACTTCTTTTCCAAATTAAATTAAATTTTTTTTTACCTTATCATTACTCGTATCTAACCATCCTTGCTTACAGCGACAAGTATATCCATCTAAAATTTTTTTCGAATATTTAATTAAAAATAAATTTTAAAAAATTCACTTGAAGTAACAATACATTCAGCATTTGTATCACATTTATGTTTTCCTGTTGTGCATTCATTTTCTACTGTAAATTAAAAATAAATTTTTTAAATAAAATTAACAGATTTCTCTGTCGTTTTTAAGTATGTGCCCTTCAAATATTTTTTTCTAACCTTTTTTTTAAAAAAAAATATTTTTTTTATTCTTATTAAGAGGACAATTATTCTCTTACATATTTCAGCTAAAATATTTTTAAGGTAAAAAGAAACAAAAAAAATTTTTTTAAAAACAAAGAAGAATTACTCAACATTATCCATCAATTTTACAAAAAAAAAATAATTTTTTGAATTGTCATTCATGTGAAAACAATAAATAAATTAAAAATTAAAGAATGGATTAATTGGAAGGATAAAAAAAAAGAAAAAAGAGTTGAAAGAGCAACGACCTGAAGATGAATGGAATTGAGAATGGACTTGAGAGAGAGTGACGCCGTCAAGGACGACAAGGAACAATGAAACTTTTTTTGAAGATTTAATTTTTAGAAACAAGCAATTGTTTTTGTGTATATTATAGGGATCAGAAAATTAATTTTTCAAATAAGTAGATAGATGTTGAATAATTTTTCTTTTTTTTTTGGAATATTCGAAAAAAATTTTTAATATTTTTTTAAAATGTTCAAAAAAATCCCACCTTTTTTACACATTCTCCCAGGCATTTTAATTTTATCTGGACTAACATCCAAATAACCAGAAGGACATTTACATTGAAAATACCCAGGTTGATCACTATCACATTCTGCTACTGGATCACAATCATTTAAAGAGTAGTCTTGGCATGGATTTGCACCTATAGAGAGAAAAAATTTTTGAGAAATTTTCCAGGGTTCAGAAAAATTTTTCTAGGGTTCAAAAATTTTCTAGAAAATTTTAATTTTCTTGCTAACCAAGTAATGGATTAATTAAAATTTGTAATAAAATTAATAAATTAAATAAAATGAAAGAAAGTTGTTGTTGTTTCCGTAAAAATAAAAATAATAGAGAGAATAATACCATTTAGAAAACGGCTTTAAACCAACTTTCCGTTGATTTTTAATTTTTATTTTTTGTGAATCTATAAAAAAAGTAAGATTTTGATAGGTTCAAATAGATATTTTAAAAATTGTCAAGCAGTAATGGGTACTGGGCATTCTGTGGTCATACCGAGGAGTTTAAAGAGAGATAAAAATTGCAATAATTGTGGGTATAGGATAAAGCCATAAATTGATTAAAAAAACTAAAATAAAGAATAAATTGATATGCCAATTAAAATCAAAATCCGTTAATTAAAAAAATTTAATTGGATATATAAAAATATTTTTGCATATGAGAGAAAAGACAAACATATAAATTGCTAACTACTTTTTGAAAGGATATTGAGTGAGAGAAAAGAGATGAGTGGTTGCTGATAAGAAGTGTAGTTATATTAGCAAAAATCGCGCGCAAACACTAAATAACTGAAAGAAAAATGTTGGAGGAAAAAAGAAGAAAAAAAGAGATTTTCGAGGACATTGGGCGGGGCACCCAAAATATTCTTTCTTGGTGGTGACAGCCGTCGCCTTAAGGCACAAATATTTCGAACAATACTGGCCGTGATTAAAAATGTTTAAAAGATTATTTTTAGAGGTGAAATGAACAAATTTAAAAATAAAATTAAAAAATTATAAGAGAAAAATAAGAAGCGGATTTATATCGAAATGAGGCACAGAAACTCATGCGGTCATCAACTCCAGCCAGCTTGTCTGAACAGTGTCAGTGACCTTTGAATTACCTATATAATAGAAAAAAGACAAAAATGACCAGTGATAAGTGTGATAATAAAGGAAAAGCAGTAGGTCAATTCATGGACAAGGGTTTCTTCAGTTGCTTATCCAAATAAAAATACGCCATCTAGAGCTAGGGATTCTGTGGTTATTGCGCGGCTTAAACACTTTTTTGTTTGTTTAACTGATTAAAAATAAAAAATAAAATATTCATAAATCTCTGAAAGTCAAAAGTCATCGTCCTTTCGTTTTTATTAAACTCTGAAAAAAATTTTTTTAGAGTTTAATGACACGCAATTTTGTTTTTGGGAGTCGCGCAGCAGGAGAAGAAAAAAATATATTATAGCTATAGGGGCGGACAGAGTTTTTTAAAAGAAGAAAAAAATGCAAAAAAAGGCGGTTGTGTTGCTTTGATCGAATAAATTATAAGAAATGAAGAGAGATAAATGGGATGACCAATCAAGTAAAGAATTTTTTTAAATTTATCAATTTAAATATTTAAGGATAAAAGATTAATGATTGGGAAGGATAAGATTAAAAAACTATAGAGAAAAATAAATGTGCCAGAGTTTCTCAGGGATGTGCCAGTTTTGCCTTTCGTCCTTCGTCTTTTAAAATTAGTTACGGCACACCCCTGGCAGGTAATATGAATTTTTAAAAATTCAAAAAATTTAAAGATTAGATTAAAAAAATAAAAAGTGAAAAAAGAGTAAACTATTTGAACGAGAACAAAAAATAAAAAACATTCTAACCATACTTACTTCCCAAAATTTTTTACCAAAATTATTTAAAAGTTAACAATTTAAAAACTATTTTTTGATTTAAAAATAAAAATAAGTAACCTTAACAAAGGCCAATTTCACTACAAAAAATTTTTTAGTCCAAAAAATACTAGTCTTATTTTTAGAGAATGAACTAAACACACCAACAACCACCCCCACCAACTTTCAATCCTCTTTTTCCAACTTGATTTTATTTTTTTATATTCATGTTGCCTCAAAATTCCCAGTAATTATATACTATTAAAAAAGACTACACACACATTGCGCACAATTTTTTTAATAACAGAAGATTTTCTTTTTAAAAAAAGGAAAAATCTTTGCATTTTTTGCATGAATTGCCACACAGCTTTCACTTTTTCCTTTAAGAATTATTAATATTATTAGCAACAATTTGGAATAATAAAAAAAAATTAATAATAATAATAATTCTCTAAAAATGATGCGCAATTAAATTTTGGATTGGGAAAAAAATCAGAAAAAAACACAAATCCGGTGCAACAAAAAATACAAGCACAATCCACATAAGATAAACAACAAAACATAATCAAACGCCACAACAAACATCAAAACGAAAATCAAAACCAAACAACAACAAAACAAACAACAATCTTAATAAAGAAACACAAAAACATCAATAAACAAAAAATACAAAAACATAATTAAAAACATAAAACACACAAATACAATTAAAAATAAAAACACAAAAACATCAATAAACATAAAAACACAAAAACATCAATAATCAACATAAAAACACAAAAACAACAAAAACATCTTATAAAAAAAATACAAAAACATAACTAAAAAACATAAAACACAAAAATACAATTGAAAAAAAACACAAGAACATCAATAAACATAAAAATACAAAAACATCAGTAAAATAAAAACACAAAAACATCATTAATAAAAAAAAGCATAAAAGTCAGAAAAAATCAAAAACAAACAAACAAAAATATAAATCAATGTTTGCATATTCGTAAATCATTCTCAGACATTTAATCGAAAAAAACATGGAAACAAAACACAAAAAAATATTACAGCTATTGACGCCTTGCTTTTAACAACTTTTTTTTGCAAATATTTTTTTAATACCCTCTGGATAATTGAAAAATATATGTATATATTTAGTAAAAAGACTGGTTTTGTTTTTAACGAATAAATATACATATAGTTTTTGTTCTCGTTCAAATATATTCTTTCCCCATAAATTTGTTGTAATAATACAACAAAAGAAAATATTGGGGGTGGAACTAAAAAATAGATTTATTTTTTAGTGACCAACGACAAGATAATCAGATTAGCATGAATTATATCAGAAAACATAAAAAAATTAAACCCCACCTTTATAACTTCCATTTGATTTGACACAAGAAAATTTCCAATTTGTTGTTAAATTGTTTTGATGTTGTTCAAATTTGAATTGAACAAGTCCAGGTAAACAACGGCAAACATTATTAACACATTCACTTGTAGCAGAATCACAATAAAAACACGATGAGTTTGTTCCTTGTTGATGTTGTTGAAAAGTTTCCTCGTCTAAAAAAATTTTTTTATTCAAAATTTTATAATTTAAAATTTTTTTTCTTAAAATTTATCAATTCCTTTTATCTCCTTTTATTGATTTTAATTTTGGTAAAAATCTCCATTTTTTAAATTCAAAAAATAATAACGACCTTGCTTATTTAATTAATTACTCTAAGAAAAAATATTTAATTTGTAAATATTTACATAAAACTTGTTTTTTTAATATATTCTTGACCCATCTTTCACCCCCAAATCATTAACTTTTTTCTCAATCAAACCATCACTTTTTCGAACTATCTACTACAGGTTTTTTACTTTTCTATTAGTAGCCGTAAAAATAAAGCAACAACAAAACATCCATTTGAAAGAATCGACCCATAAGACCAACAAAAAACCAAAATCAAAAACATCGTTAAATAAACATAAAACACAAAAACCTCCAGCAAAATACAAAAACATCAATAAACATAAAAATACAAAAACATCATTAAAAATAAAAAACAAAAACATCCTTAAAAACAAAAACACAAAAACATCAATAAAAATACAAAAACATCATTAAAAATAAAACACAAAAACATCATTAAAAATAAAAACACAAAAACGTCAATAAAAATACAAAAACATCATTAAAAATGAAACACAAAAACATCCTTAAAAACAAAAACACAAAAACATCAATAAACATAAAAATACAAAAACATCATTAAAAATAAAACACGAAAATATCATTAAAAATAAAAACACAAAAACATCATTAAAAATAAAACACAAAAACATCATTAAAAATAAAAACACAAAAACATCATTAAAAATAAAACACAAAAACATCATTAAAAATAAAAACACAAAAACATCATTAAAAATAAAACACAAAAACATCAATAAAAATAAAAACACAAAAACATCAATAAACATAAAAATACAAAAACATCATTAAAAATAAAAACACGAAAACATCATTAAAAATAAAAACACAAAAACATCATTAATAAACAAAAAACACACAAACAACATAAAACGTAAAAACAAAATGATCACAAACATTCGAAGACAGATTGAGTAACATAAACACACAAACAAAACATCATTAATAAACACACGAACAAAACATCGTTAATAAAACACAAACAAAAACATCAATAAATATTGAGAACAAAATACATAATTATGTAATTCTGATTTATTCTGATTCAAATATGTTGATTTTCTGGATATAGTAGCTATTTTATTTTGGGGAATTACTCAAATTTTTGTTTCTATTTTTAACACTCTCTCCTTAATAATTATTCCTTTTTCTCATAATTTTTCCACTTAGAGATAATAATAATCATCCATGTATTATCATTCCTATTATTCTCATCATTTTATTATTTCAGGATGATTGACCCAAAACTTTTTTTGTGAGATGATCTCTTTCTTCAATTTACCCGTAAAACGAATGATCAATCAATGTGGGCGATCAACGCGCTTGAATTGTTCCAATCTAATATTTTTCGTTTTAATGAAGATTTGTGGGGAAGAAAGGGAAGAAAAGACACCGACCCATAATTATTTGACGTTAAACTTGCGGATATTTTATTTACATTAATTGACGAGAAGAAAATTTTAGGATGGAAGCAAATTTAACAACTACACAAATTTGACAGAGGACAAAAAATATAAATTTCTGATTTAGAAAACACACAATAACACGCAAAAACAACACACACAATTCTGATTTACAAAAAAAACATACACAAAAAGGATTTATTTAAAATCCCAATTAGGATACCTATTCTTACTTAAAGACTCTTTATCTACCCCCCAAATTTTAATTTATTTAATTTATAAAAAAATTATTTTTCCACTTTACCTTCTGATGAGCTGATAGGTAAACAAATCGCTGCACCGCGTGGATGTTGTTTTTTCTTTCCTTTTGAAAATTCCTCTGATAGTGATTCATCAACGTATTCAACAATGAAGCCTGGTGGACAATGGCAGAGATAGGTAGCGTCTTCTGGCGCCCTTTCGTCACAAACGGCCTCTGGCGATGATTCGCAGTTTTTTCCAATGCAGAGTTTGTTGTTGTTGTTTTTAGTGTCAGCTAAAATGAGATGAGATTGGAATTTAATTTTTTTATTATTGAAAATTTTTTAAATCTTAAATTGCTCTAAATATATTTCTTTAAAGATTATAATTGTTAAATGATGGAGAAAACAATGAGACAAAAAAATCTTCGAAACTAAATTCTTTCCCTAATTTTTAATTTTTCAGTAAAATTTTTTTAATACAAAATCTAAACCGTACCTCTTTTTACACATTTTCGTCCTCTTCTTTTGCCATCACCAATATCTACATATCCTGGACGACAATGGCAACTAAAACCTACAAGTTCATCCAAACAATCAGCGTTTGTATTACAATCATTTTGCAAAGGATTTAAACATTCATTGACTACTAAAAAATTTAAAAAATTTTACAAAAAATTTTTTTTCAAAAAAAGCTTTCTCACATTTTTTACAATTACGTCCAGGTTCTTGTTGAGGATTTAAGGATGTATCCAAATATCCTTCGGGGCAAAGACATTCATAACCAAAATCATTGTCGATACAACGTGCCTTCAAAAAACCAAAAATTAATTTTCAAATAAAAAAAATTAGAAAAAATTTACATCCTTGTGGCAGTCATTCAAAGTTGATTCAGAACACTCATTGACTGGAACTTAAAATTTGAAAAAAATTATTTTTGTTCATTTGAAGAAACTAACCAACACAAATACCCTTAACAGTCAAATTCCTTCCTTTTATTTCACTCTTGTTTTGTCCAGAAACAACACAAATTTTTCCATTTGAACATCCTCCTTTCCCCCCAATTTTATTTTCATCAATATCATCCAGCAATGTACACTCTTCTTTATCAGAAATATCATCATCGGATACAGGAGGTTCATCCCTAGCTGGTAATTTATTGTTGCTACTTCGTCTAGTATTAGGACTAAAATAGAATTTTTTTAATTTTTGTGCAGACCCTACAGACCTTATTTTCTCTTCCTTTTCCTCTCCTCCACCAGCTTCTCCTTCCCTTCGAAAAAGAAAAATGCCTGGATACATCATTGATAAATCTGACACAAGTCTTGAACAATTTAACCGACCACTAGCATATTCATCTGTCAAATCTACAACTTTTGAGACATTTAAATGTGGAAAGCTTTCTATAGGAAGACAAGCAGAATGTCCAGGTGCCCGGAAAAAGCCTAAACGGCAAACACATCTTTGATGGTTTCTTGGCCACTCCTCAAAATTATAATTCATTTTAAATTCTTATAACTAAAAATTAAAAACCACGCATATTTGTCCCAATTCTTCTGGGCAATTCCTCAATTTCTCTTTTGAACAAAACCTTGGCATTTCCTCAGGATTTCTTCTAAAATTACTTTTGCTTCTTCTTGGAATTTTAGCATCACCACAAGGAATATTTGGAGATTCCCTAATTTCATCACTAGCATCAGAACAGTCAGCAACTCCATCTTCAACAGAACTTGAATCAATACAACGAGGATTGCCACAATTACATTCAAATTGACCAAAGGATGAACAAAATTCTTAAAAAAAAATTTTTTAATTTATTAAAATCACCCCCTCCCTTTCGATTTATTTTTCCAAAAATATTAATTTTCCCTCATTTTTAATAAATCACACATTTTTCAATCCTTAACCACAAAAATAACCATTATAAATTAGAGAACATCCCACTTGAAGGTGGTCAAAAATTGGAAAGACTTTTTAAAGTGCATATGCAAAAAAAAGATACAAGTTGAAAAGAAGAGTCAAGGTCGAAAATATATGGGAGGTATTAAAAAGCTTTTAGTAGAAATAAAATTATAATAACGCTTAAAGGCGCAAAATTGTGTGAGACAATCGTCGGCAAACATCTCAATCGTTCCATTAAAGTTCTCCTTACCTTACGTTAAAAACAGATATTAAAAATAGTTTTTTAAGATTCACCTCAAGATCTACTATTTTTTAAATTAAGCATTAAATAAAAAAAGAATTTTTTATTTTCGGCTTTGACAAGTAATATAGATAATGGTTAGAGGTTAACAAAACAATTCTTAAATGAATTTTAAAGAACAATTTAAAATTGAAGAAAGTTTTAATTAAAAAATAAAATGATTGAGAGAATAAAGAATCATAAAAAAAATAAAAAATAAAAACCTTACCAGATTTAGTTGTTAACAAAATTTTAGTTAAAGATAATAGAGTTGTTACAAACAATAGTAGTATTTTCATTGTTTGATGTTAAAAATAAATTAAACAAATAAATTAAAACATAAAATATTCATTTGAAACTGTAAAGTTGATTAAGTGAAAGTTGGAGAGAAAATAGAGGAAAATTTAAAAATAAAAACTTGAAATTAAGCATGCGAAAGAATAATACATAATAAATTGTTGTACTTAGAAAAAAGAGCAGGTAAAAGCAAGTTAGATTCATTCAGGATTTTTTTCAGTAAAAATTTGCGAATAACGGCGGATTTAAATAGTATATTTAAGCACGCAAAAATTATGATTACGGGTTCTTAAGTTTGTAATTTTTAAAACTTGTTTTACAATTTGTAATTTTTTAAAAGTTTATTTTACAATTTTAAGTTTATTTAAAATTCTGGTTTTTAAGGTTTATTAATTTCTGATTTGTAAAATCGCAAAACAGGTTTTAAAAAATTACAAACATAAAATCAGAATTGTAATTTCTTCAAGTTTGTTTTACAAATTCTGATTTTTCCAGTTTATTAAAATGATTTCAAGTTTGATTTCTGATCTTTAAAATTGTAAAACAAGTTTTACAATCTTAAAAAATCAGAATTTTTGTAAAAAGAAAATGCTTGCATGTGTTTTGGTTACATTTAATAGAGAAAATAGGCGCAAGGTGTGTAGTAGTTATAGTTGCAGGCCCAAAAACAACAAAAATGTCGATCGCAGCAAATCCCTCCCTAAGTGGAATTTATATTTATTCCTTCCCACAATTTTTCGTTCATCCCTTTTCCAACTTCCGCCGATCTAATGTGAAAGTCGTCAATACTCACCAGCATTAATATAGAATTTTTGTATTTTTGTTTTGGGGGTAAACGTGGGGATAAACCACAACAATAAACAACCACAATTAAAAATAAATAAATAATCAGAAAAAAAATAAAGAGGAAAAACAGAAAGAGAACATAACAAAAAAATTAAAATTAAATTCGTTAAATGAATATTTTCCGGTCATATTATTAAAATAGGATTAGCACGCTATTAGTTTTTGAAGCAAAAAATATTTTTAATAAATAAATTCTGATTTAAAGTATCGGAATTGTAATTTTTTAAAAGTTTATTTTACAATTTGCAAAATTTGTTTTAAATTCTGTTTTCAAGTGTTTAATTTCTGATTTGTAATATTGTAAAACAAGTTTGTAAACTTAAAGTTTTGCTTCAACATTTAAATAAATCTTGAGAATTAACATAAAAAAAGAAAAGAAAAATAGTAACCTCAAATACAAAAACAAATTTTTAAAGGAATATAAGAAAGGTGTTTGTGTATGTGGAAAAGAGAAGTAATTCCTCTCTCACCTCCCCTATTTGCTTTTTTAACCAACATTTCCTCAATTTTTCCCTCAAATTTTTTTTTCAGATCTTTCTATTCAAGGACATATATAAACACAACAACGGGGAAAACTCTAAAAATTGTGGAAGGTTTCCAGGAAGGTTTTTAGTAGTTGAAGAAATAAGGGGTTTTTATGAAGGTTTTTGTATTTAAGGACGAAAAATAAGAAAAAGAAAGGATATATGAACAAACAACAAAAAAGAAGGTAATGAATAATTATTAGAATAAAAGAGATATACATAGCTCGTAAAGGATATAGGTACTTATTTTAAGAGGTTTGGAGGTAAAATAGAAATAATAGAAAAACTTAAAAATCAATTTACAAAAAAATTAATTTAAAAGAGTACTGGTTGATTTCAAAAAAATTATTCTTAAACCCGTGGAAAAAATATTAAAAAATAATAACCCTTCGAAAAATTTTTTAGAATCCCAAACCCATAAGAAATTTATAAAAAATACCCACTTCATTTATTGCAACATAGAATTCGACATCAAACAATTTCTGCATCCAATAACCAACACAAAAAAATCAGCACCACCAATTTTTTACATTATAAATTCACATAAATATTCCATAAAATTCACGTTGTTTAGGTAAAAATAAAAAATTTAAATCTTAAAAATTAAAAGGAATTAAAAAAGCATTATGAGCTTTTAAAAATAAAAAAACAAACTTTTGAATAATTTATAAGAGATTTACTCAATAAAACAGACAAAATTATTTTTCAAGAAAAATATTCACTTTCAATTCCTTTACAAAAATTAATTAAATTTGGATATTTTCTCAACGTATTAATTAAGTCATCTTTTGGCATTTGCATTGTCTTTAAAATTTGAAAATAATTTTATAAAAAAATTTTAAAAAAACCAAAATAGTGTAAAGATGACCAAATGCAAGTGCATCCAATTCTGTGGGTTGTCCACCAATAAAATATTTTTGTTGTGATCCTAATTTCATTGACAGAGCATGGAAACTAAAAATAAATTTTAAAAAATTAAAAAAAGTACTCTGTGATTAAAAATAAAATAAAACTTAATCCTAGACTCAAACAGAGGGGATGGAATACGAACAAAGTTACAATAAAAAAAATAAACCATCTATCACAAAGCTCGATAACAGTTTTTGTTGAATAATCAGCCCAACCATTTTGACTCAAATCATTATAAACTTCACGTTGTTTAAGTAAAGGTAAAAATAAATTTAATGGCCAATTGTAAACACTCGAATATCTTTAAAAAATTTAATTGGAATTTTCGTTTGATTCGGTCAAAAAAAAATAAAGCAAAATTATTTTTTAACCTTCCACTAGTAACTTTATCATAGCACTCCTCATCCAACCAAGAAATATATTTCTATAAAAAATCTAAAAAAATTAAATAATAAAATAAACCTCAGCATTCCGTAAAGTTTCTTCTATCAATGCACAATATGCTTGAATGTCAGATTGTTCAGAAGCTGTCAAGGAATCGGATAGTTTAATACCCTAAAGGAAATTAATTTAAAAAACTAATTTGAAAAAAACCTTTTTGCCAACAAAATCAACAATTGGAGAAAATTCAGCAGTTAAAGAATTTTTTACTCTTAAAAATGGGACTTCGCCTTGAATAAGGGAAATAAAAAAATTTAAAATAATTCTAAATTAACCTGTTGGTGACATAAAATAAGCATTTTGCCTTTGTTCCAATTTGTATGGAAGATTCGCCATTTTTAGAAAGACACGGACTGCAAGCGTATCAGCAAATTGATCCATCATTGCCTGCTCAGCTACAAAAAATTTTTAATTTACCAATAGGGTATAAACCAGATCCTTCAGGGTCGACTCATGGCATGTCGGTTTTAAGGTCGGACGTTTTCGTAAAACAAGGTGATCCTATCCAGAAATATAAAAATTGAAAACCTTGTAAAGGAGAAAATAAAACAGCATCAGACCATTCTTCATTCATAACAGGTAATGTATCAATTATATGATTTAACAATGCCATTTGTTTAAGATTATAAAAGAATATTAAGAATATGAGACAAAAAATATAAAATGTTTAAGACAAACTAATGCCTAAAAAATAGAATAATGAAATAAAAATATTTATTTCTAAAAATTTAACAACAAAAAACCCAAGTGCGCCGTAATACCAAACGCTGAAATACAAAAAACCCCTAAGGCGCACCAAAAAATTCATGTGTTTTTAGAGGTTTGGTATTCCAGCGTTTAACATTTACGGCACCCTAACAAGAAAAAAAACAATTAAAAAACCCCCTATTGATTCTTTACCAATATTCTTCTTTTCCTTATCCTTTTAATAGTTTTTGGTAAACATTCACTTTCCAATTGTGCTAAAGCTTTTTTGTATTGTTTAATTGCTTCTTCGTCTTCAACTTTAAAATTATTTAATTCTTCGACATTTTTCCACAAATTATGGCACGATAGTTGCTTCCTGAGTCTCATTTTCTGTTAAATAGAATTTAGTAAAAATTAGGCATCGGTAGGGAGCGATTCCGTACGGGACTTTAAGGGATCCATCGCAAAGTCAGCGAGTAAACGGGATTACTTAAAGGAATTCATCCCATTAGTAGATCCCAATAACTTTTTCGTCCTGAAAACTGAAACCCAATCCGAAGAAAATTTTGGAAAATCCTAAGCCCGAACTTTTTTCGATTAAAAAAATTTCCCAATAAAATTAAAAAAAACCTCATCTTTAGTAAACAAAGAAAGTAACAATCCTCCCTTCATAGCTCGAGCAGTTCTTCCCGCACGATGAATAAAAATTCGTTCATTTATTGGTACATCATAATTTATAACACAATCAACATCTTGGACATCAACACCACGAGAAAATTGATCACAAGCAATTAATATACGAATCTAGAAAAAAGGGAAAGAATCAAACAATAAAATTAAAAAAAAAACCTTTCCATTCCTAAAGCTTTTAATCAATTTTAAAAGACGATATCTGTGTAAATTTGAACTTAATTCAGCTAATTTGAACAAATTTGACGAGTTTAGTTTTTGTAGTAAATAGGAAAGTCGATAGCTAGTTTGTCTAGAAAAATTTTTTTAATAAGTTTATTAATACACATAAAAATCGCAAGCGTATTGCGAAAATCGCTAAGCGAGCAAGTTCACATAAAACAAGCGTTTCAGTTAGCGAAATAAAAATTGCAAAATGACAAAATGCTTGTTTTATGCGGACACACACTAGCATCAGTCGCTAGCAACTTGACGCAGAGCGACTGTCGCAAGACATCTCGATTTTATGAAAACGTAGAAACAAACTTTTTATTAACAAAAACAATTATTTTATTCCATTCATTTATGTGTAATTTAATTTGTTGAAAGAGAATGAGAGGTTTCAATTTTTGATCACAAATTAACTAAAAAAATGTTATAATTAAGAATTAAAAAAGCAAAAAAATCTGACCCGAAACACGATCCCAATTTTTTTTAAAACACGACTCAAAATCTTTCCCGACCTTTACATCAACACGTAAAATTCCTAATCTAAACCCACAATTAATTTACAATCAAACTCACAATTTTATGATTTAAACACTCCGGCAATAAAATACTCATTTGACCACTTTCTCCATTTTGTTGTTCTTGCACGTTCGCCTCTTCCACTTCCTTATCTGTAGCCAAAAAAAGTTGAGGGCATCGAAGATTCCAAATATATAATTTATTGACATCTAATAAAAGTGTTGCAGAAACCAAAATTTTTTGAAGATGACAATTTTGTTTAAAATTATTGGTTAATGAAGAAATTGATAAATTGTTTGTTGAAGCTATTGAGGCTTAAAGTAAAAATTTCAAAAAATTAAAAAAAAATTTTCAAACCACAAGAAAGCCTTTCAATAACATCAAGCCATTCAATTCTAGCTGTATCTTGCATTTTATCAGCTTCATCAATAACCAAAAATCGAAGCATAGACAAATTGATAAAATTTCCATCGTTATCCATTAAATGATCCAATAACCTTAAAATAAACAAAGTTTAAAAAATCCAAAAAATTTTTTAAAACCTTCCAGGAGTTGCGATAATTAAATGTGCTTGGCTTATACAAGAATTATTAGGAAATAGCACAGATCTGAAAAAAAAATAAAGTTAAAAATTATTTAAAAGCTTATCCAAACCTTTCATGAAAATAAGTTGTATTTCCATACAAAGCAACTATTTTTGCATTAAATACGTTAAACTTTTCAAATTCCTAAAAGAAAAACTTAAAAATTTAAAAACACTTAAAAAAATAATAAAAAAAACCTTAAATATTTGTTCAGCCAAAGAAGCTGACGGAGCTATAATTAAAGCATAAACTGCTGAAGCATCTTCAACAAAACGAATATTATTTAATATTGGTAGAACATAACAAAGTGTTTTACCACTACCTAAAGATTAAAAATTTTCCGAAATTTAACTCTTGTGTAGTTTCCCTCCCATAAGCCACGCCCATTTCTTCATACCTCTCTCTCTCCCTGAAGTGACATTTGGAATGGGATTCTAGGAAAAGGGGTAGGGCTTATGGGATATAAGAATACCTCAACTACACAACACAAAATTTTAAAAATAACCTAACCAGTTGGAGAACAAATAACAACATCTCTAGCCGGCAAAAATCCATTTTTATTGTTCAATAAAATTGGAAGAACTGCTGACTGCACAGGAAAACATACATTTGTATAAGTATTTAATTTATTGACAAATTCTTGTTTTAAACCAAATTTAAGAAGATCTTCCAAAGGTAATAAATTGACAGAATTATCAAGCATTTTTGCACAAAATTTGTGAGCATTTGCTATCCAAGGTTCAGTAAACTTGCTTTAAAAAAAAGAAAATTAAAAACGGTCAAACGGACGTATAGGGAAAAGCAAGATTTTCCCCTGGTATGTGGGGTTTTCACGGTATAGGTACCGGGGGACAGGAGGGAACGTAAGAAGGAACCAAAAAATCAAAAATTAATACTTCGCTTTCCTCTCAAAAACAGGTTGTTCATCAACTTGTCCAATAACTTTGTACAAACCATTTTCAGGCAAATCTTCTCCATCTTTCCCATCTAATTCTTTCAAATTAATATTTATATCCCTCTTTAATTTATTTTTAATTTGTTTTGTTTTGAATGAAGATTCTGAAGAAGTTGATTCGCATGAAGACAATTCTCTTAAATTTAAAAGAAAATTTAGAAAAAAAATTTAAAAAAATACTGATCCAAATCGACAAAGTCCTCGCCACTTGAAGACATTAGCAAATTAAAAAAATAAATTTAAACTTAAAAAACTGATAAAAAGATTAGGATAAGTCGGAAAATTTTGAAAAAATCAAAAAAATCTTGACATTTTAAGAGTTGACATTATGACATTCCATTTTTCGTTGTTTCCATTAAGACATTTAACAAATCAACAAATATTTCATTTTGTCAACTTTCATAATGGAAAACCAAAAAATTTTCTCTGACCTTTTCCTCCTTCTCTGCATTGCGATCTCTCTTGTTATTCTTTTTATCGATTAGACAAAAACTATCTATCGCCGCTTAAAATAAGCGGGCAGACATAACGAAATATAATGTAAACATAGGATGCGTCAGAGATATTTTTAAGATTACCATATTCTGCCAAACCATATTTTGCCAATAAGGCTAAAATCCGCTCTTTTGCCAACACAGTCCAGTTGACAAAACGCGGGATTTTAGCCTTATTGGCAAAATATGGATTTGGTATGATATGAGTGATCCTATTTTTAAGAGTCAGATCATTTTTTAGCTAAACGGTTGAACGTTAAACATATTTTCTTTGTTTTTTAGATAAAAATGAATAGTTTAAAAAATAATTCATCGATCCACCACCATGAATCTGCTTCTCGGAGAAAATTCACACCAATACAACAGAAAAAAGGAGGACACGAACATGGAGTTAGACAATTAAATGGTTTATTTCTCTTTTTTAATTATAAAAATATTTCAATTTTACAGGTCATATTAATGGTGCTAGAACTGACATGAAGACAAATAAAAAGAATAATAAAATATCTGACGGAAAAGGTTTTTAAAGATATTTTTTTGAAAAATTGGGCGCAGATTTTTCGGAATTCGTGATCTAAGTGAAGAAACGGAATATAGGCTTTTAGGCGCAGGATTTATGGGCGTCAGAGTGAATTTGGGGATTTAGGACCAATTGCATTGTGATCCTCTGAAAACCAAAATTCCAAGAAAAGTTGGAGACCAACTTTCAAGATCCTAAATTTCCGGAAGCTTAAATTTTTTTTGTTTTTTAGACACAACATCAATTCTTACAAAAAAGAGAAGATTTGGAAGAGAAAATTGTGATGATATACATTTTGTGGAAAATAAAAACAACAAATTACCAAAGCAAGAGATTAAAGAAGAAATTAAAAATGTTGTTGAGACACCTCCTACAGCAAATTCAAAAAAAGACCAAAATAATTTCCCAAAAGTTTTTTCATCACTTCCAACATCTTCAAAACATTTGGACAAAAATTCTTCTTCTTCAACTTCAAGATATTTTACTGCTCTTCGAAAAAATTCAAAACAACAGAATAAATCTGTTTATTTTGCTGATCAAAATAAAATGGAACCTTGGGTTAAACGGAAATTTTATATTGTTGAAAATGGTTGGTATTTTTGCTTCTCTCCAACTTATCTTTCTTTAAAAAATTTTTTTCAGCTGGTATTCCAACAGAAATCTATTGCACCGATTTTATTCGCAAAATAAAACATCAAGGAGAAAATAGTCACCACCATAAATTAGACGATTTACATCACAATAATAATTCAAATACTTTACTTAGAATTACAGACAAATGGAGAGAAGAATGGAGTACTAATGGAGTTCAAATGCCTTTGGGTTACAGACAAGAAAAATATCAATTTGAAAATACTAATATTCTTTTGGATGATGTTGAGGATGAAGTGGGGAATGATAAAAAGAGTGGTGACAAGAAGCCTTTTACTCTGTAAATTTTTTTCTTAAAATTTTTTTGGTACTTTTTGGATATCCCATCCTTCTCCTAGCGGGATGTCCAAAAATACTTATTTAAAAAAATTCAAAAACTATTTTCTAGTCCAAAGAGAATGATAGCAACATATCCGTCAAAATATGTAAAAGAATTTTCAAAAGATTACCAACTCATTCCAAGACTTAATAATGAACAAGTTCAACTTGATTACAAACCTTTAAGACTCATGCGACTGGATTATGAAAAGGTTTTTTTAATTTTCTAAAGGGAGATCTACTTAAAATACTTTCCTTTTTTAGTCTCGCAACCTTTGCTACATGATAACCAGAAGAGAAAAGTTGAAGAAAACTGCTTTAGAATTATTCCATGAACAATTTAATATGGCTGCTTCAAACATTTTTTGCAAAAATTCTGTTGTCCCAATTAGTAAAAGACAAATGGATAAATTACTTGATGAAATGAAGAATTCGGTGGAGTTTGCACCTTCAACATCAACCTCTCAAGAATAGTATAGCCAACTTTTTTAATTTATTTTGAGATTTGTTAAGCCCCTCTTGAATCTCCCTTCCCCTTCGGTTCCCCATCTAGTAGGCTTCTCTAAAAATTTGTTTTTCAGCAAAAATTTTGTTCAAAATTTTTTTCTTAGAGCAGCCTCGTTTACTCTCCCACTCTTGTTTATCACGTTTTTTCTGTTCCAAAAAATATCTTTGTCAAAAAATTTTAACTTATATATATGTGAACTCAGGAATTTTACTTTTGTTATAAAAATTTAAAAAAATTTCCGAAAAAATTTTTTTTATTCCAATTTAAAAATACATATTTGAATTTTGAACTTGGTATAATTACATTTCTTTATTGTAGATAACTAAGAGGAGGAGTAGATTATAATGTACATTTTTAGAAGTGACCAGGTATGAAAATTGAGGTAAAAACCAAACCAGATGTGTGGGCTCTACTGGTCATGGGACGCTGGTCCTAAACTAGAGCCACCAAATATCCACAAAATCCAAGTTATATCCCATTACAATTTTCTAATTTTCTTCCAGTCACTTTTCAGGGACAGAGTCATTTACAGTTTAAAAAGAGAGAATTTAAGTCTAAAATAACTTGTAAAACTAAAAAAATAGCTAAATAATAAAAAAAGAATTGGTCTCTTCAAATATATAATGAAGAGTTTTTTGTTTGTTGTATTTTTTTAAATAGTAGAACATCCTCTTAACACAGGATGAGATGAAAAGCAGGGATGAAGCTGACACACTTTTCGAGCATTTTGTTGCAGCATAATATTTTCATTGTTTTTTTAGTTCACTCAATGTTATATAAGCGATTAAACGGGTAAAATATAGTAAAAATAAAAATGGAGAGAAATGAAAATAAAATATGATGAGATCGGATACAAAAATGTTTTTAAAAAAAGAAAATATGAAAACAAAAAATTGGCTGAATGCTGAAAAAATATTTTTTAAGATATTTAACATAAAACGAGAAAAGATGATTTTAAGTTGGGGTCTAACTATAAATAAAGAAAAAATGTAGTCTAAAAACCGGTACAATCAAAGCTATCTTTTAAAAGACAATTTGAATTTATTTTTGAGTGAAGTGAGAAGAGTGAAGGCGTGGGTTCGAGGGTTTCCTTGGAATTAAGACTTACTCCCAAGCCAGACTGGAGAGAAGAGGATTGAAACCTTCCAAAAATTCTTGGGGGTGAGCGGAACCAAAAAAATCTTCCTTCCTCGCACAGAAAGGAAAAAACACGTTCAAATTGTCTCCGAATACATTATACAATTCTAATATAAGTGACGAGTCATTCTTTATAAAGGCTTAAAACTCTCGAAAAATTTCTTTTAAATATTTTTTAAACAATTTTTGTCTGAAAGTTATTGATCTAAGAGTTTTAAGCAACATTCTTTCAAGTTAAAAAAGGACACAAAAATATCTAGGTAGGTCAATAAGTCGAAAAAATATTTTTTAAAAAGAAGAGGTACCTGATTCGTAAAGAAAAGATCCTGTTAGATAAAAAAAAGTTAAAAAACATAAAATAATTAAGGGGAAGTCTTGACTAAATATGTTTAAAAAAAGTGGAAAGAAAAAATTTACAATGAAAAACTTTAAAAAAATAATAAAATAAATGAGCACACTAACAATTTTAAACAAGGCGCGGATACATTATTTACTCTAAAACATGCGCAATAGATTGTGGTTTAAATTGGTTGAAATATAAGGTATGTAGAGGGAAATATTTTCAGAAGGTTGTCTGTAAATTCTGATTTTTATTTTCCGAAAATTCTGATTTCTTTCCCAAAAAATTCTGATTTTTCTTTCTCTTCTAAATTCTGATTTTAAAAAGATATTAATCCCTATATTTCAACCAAATTATATTATGGGAAACAAAAAGATGTCAAAATTAATACGAGGCACTCATGTAGGTAGAAAGAATAAAAGAATAAAAACAACAAAAAGTTAGACAAAGTGCCAAGAAATTTTTTGCTATTTTTAATGCGCAATGGGGGAAAGTAAAATAATATTTATGGGTTTTAAATCAACGAGAATTATTTTTTTAAAAAGATGGCGTCCCGTAAACAAAAAATAAAAGAATATTAAAAAAAGTTTTTAAAGTAATTTATGTGTACGTAAAATGTACATAAATATATTAAATTAGGGCAAATATAATTAGAGACCAGTTAAATTTTTTTTAGTTTTGAAAATTAAATTCTGATTTTTAAAGGTGCAAATTGTAGAAAATTCTGATTTTTTACTTGAAAAGACAAATTCTGATTTGTAAAATTGTAAAAAAATTCTGATTTTTAAATTCAGATTTGTAAACTTTATGAAAATTCTGATTTTTAAAGTTTGCAAAATTTCTAATTCTTAAATTCTGATTTGTAAAAGTTGGTATGCTTAAGTTTTCAAGTTTTTACCAGTCTCTCTAATTATATTTCAAGTTTGCAAAACTTGTTTCAAAACAAAATTGTAAATTAAACAAAATCAAAAGTTTTTCTTGCTACAACTACTATTTAAAAAAAAATAAGTAGCATGATCATAAAACAATCAAAAGAACTGTGGCGAGGATTGAAACAATAAAATGTATATATAATTGCAAAAAAAAATAAAATTAATAATAAAATAATAATTAAAACACAACATGTAAAATTAAAAAATAAATTGATTGTAAAAGCAAAAATAAAATTAAAAAAAATTTTTTAAATGAATATTTTGTCAAAAAAAGTGGGAACCCGGTAAAGCGAAAAAAAAATAATAAAATAAGCGAGAACAATATATAATTGTTTTGTTGTTTGTTGTGTCGAATTTCAACAAAAGAAAATGAAAATATATTTTATAAAATAAAATAATATATATGTAGAGGAGTTTAGATGTTAATTTAAAAAAAAAAAGAGAGAAGATTTTGGAGAATCTCTTTGGTGTGTGTTAAAAGAAAAAAAGGGAAGGAGAAGGAAGTTTTTTTTTCAAATTTTTTTAATATGTGGCCAAAGGAAAAAGAATTTAAATAATAATAATAATAAACACAACACACACTCCTTCATGAAGAAAAAATTGAAAAAAACTTTTAGAAAAAACTGCAACAATTAAAATAAAAAATTTTTTTGATCGAGCAAAAATACTCTCCGAAAAACAACTCTCAAAATCAACCTCTAAATAACTTTTTCCGAAATTAATTTTTAATTAAAAAAATTTTTTTATTTCTTTAACCAAGGTGTGTGTGTTTGTTTTTAATGTTTGTTTAAAAGAAAACAGGCAGGGTTTTTTGAGAATAAATGGTTGCGAAATTTAAAAAAAAAATAGAGGAAAAATTATATACATTAATTATTGTAGCTAATTAAGAATTCCTCAAAAAATTTCTTTAAAAAAATTCGCTTAAAAATTAAATTTAATTTGAAACATAATCAAAGCTACAATAAATAAATAATATACAAAATTTCACTCTACTACAATATAATTCTAAAATGGCAAAGTGAAAATTTTTTTTCCAAAATATAGCGCAACCCGAGGCGCTTTTAAAAGGTGATGGTCGATGTGTGTAGTTTTTTTTGAAAATAAATGTAGTTTTTTTTAAATTAGGCGCTTGGAATGTAAAGTGTATTAAACACTAAATAAAAAATAATTTAAAATTTTTTTAAACTATAAGCTAATCCCCAAAAATAATTTTGAAAAAAGAAAATTTCCCACCAATAACGGCACTATTTTGTCGAGACATTGTAACGATATGTCCTTCAGAATTGATTTTAAGGCCAGTACAACGAGAAACCTTTAAAAAAAATATTTTTTTAGGAAACCAAATTAAAAAAAGTGCTCGGCACGGCCAGTTAATCCCGCGGTACTATCGATACCGAAATCATCCCGTAAGATGCTCAAATTTCGGTAATCCCGGACCCAAAATAATCCATTTGCCTAACACTTCTCAAAAAATTATTTTAAAAATAACCTTCTGTTGGTAGCATCTATAATGATGAAGAGGTTGTCCTTGAAGATTAAAAACAACAATATGGAAATGATTACCTTTAAAAAATTTTTTTTAAATAATCTTCGCAAAATTAAAAAAATTTCCAAACCATGTGAATCACCTACAAGAACATCTCCAGACTTTGAAAAGTCAATTCCAACAGGATATGGTGTTGTATCAAGTCCACCAAATTTACGATGAAGTTTACCTAGAACCATCGTAAGCCTAAAAATTATATTACAATAAAAAACCTTCGAGTGTATAAACTACAACTCCATGCATTTTATAGTCAGTGATGTAATACTAAAAAAATAAAAATATAATTTCTATTCATAATTTAAATTATTTTTGTAACAAAACTCGATCATTATAACAGAGATGTCATGGGTTACCTAAATCCCTCCCACTTTTTTGAACAAAAATTCATAACAACTCACATATCCTTTATAAACACCAAGATCTGAAGGTTCATGAACATTACCAGAAATACTGAATTGTCGTACCAAAGTCAATTGATTAAATGTTTCAAATTCAAATGCATGAACAAGATTTTTGTTGTCAACAATAATTAATTGTTCATTTTCTTTGTTTACAGTCATAACAGAAACTTGGTCAATTTGACATGGTAAAGAAAGACGACAAACATATTCACCGCTGTTTTTGAATAATTGCAGACGATTAAATTGTTGATTAGTGCCGCGATCGAGAACAATGTAACGACAATCACGATTACGAATTAAAGAGACGACCTGACAAAAAATTAATAAAAAATATAGTCTTGAAATTAGAGTTCGACACACGGCCCAGACCGGATTTACCGAGCCGGTAGCCCGAAATAATTTTTAAAATCCGATCCAAATTTACAAAACAAGAGACATCCATGCTCAATTTACTACAGAAACCAAGTGTGTTTTGATAAAATTTGGTTTTTCTGTTTCCGAGGGGTTTAAAGACAAAAAAACCCTGAACTTAATCAGCTCAAATTAACATAAACAAAAATACCTTTTTCGGATAATAAACATGTCCTTCTTCAGTTCCTGAACTCCCAATAAAACGCAAAAAATTTCCTTTTAAAATATAACTTTTAGAGAAATTAGTTAAAAAACCTTTAACGTCAACAATAACACAACGATGATTATTAGTGTCAGAAATGGCAACTTCATTATCCAAACCTAATGCAAGTCCTTGAGGCGTATTGAAAGTATCTTGAGTGCTCAATGTATTAGAGCAAAAAGTGTACAGAATTTGCATCTACAAAAAATTTTTAAAAATTAAATCAAAATCTCACACATAGGAACCTCTAACGAATTCTCATAGGTATTCAGATCATTCGAATTAACGGAGGAAGTCCGAGGTTCTCTATCGAATGGTACCAAAAAATATGTCAAATTCGCATTCATAGTAAACAATGATCCCTCCTTATCGTTAGAAAAATTAACCTCAATCTGCTGTTGACTATTGCTCCCATAATGACGACCAGCAGCAACCATTGGTTGATAATTCTTAAAAAAATTTTCAAATTCTACCTCAATTTCAAAAATAAAAAAAAAACCTGATGAATCGACATAGATGGCACAAAAGTATCAATTGAAGGAGTAGTACAAAGAGAAGAACGTGAACGAAATCCAGACGGATCAGAGCCCAATGGAGGAAAATCGTTTAAACCAAAACGAGAATCCATCAATTCACGTGGACGGTTTGCATCAAAATTTCCAAACATATTTTGAGTTGTAGAATAATTCTTAAAAAATTAAATAAAATGAAAAAAATATTAAAAATAATTACAGCGCTCCAAATTTTTGATTGAGTATTTCCAAAATAATTATCAGAAAAAATTAAATTTCCAGGATCAAGTTGTTGGCCTGAATCCAAAGATGTTGCAGGAGCACGAAATGCCGATCCAAACGATTCAGGAATTCCAAAACGTCCCTTGAAAAAATATTTTTGAATTGAAAGTAAAGTCTAGGTCCCGCAAGACAAAGATTTCATGGTCTTTCTTCCTAAATCCCCGTAAATAACATGACTTCCCTTTGAACAAAGACAAAGTTTCCGATTTTTCGACCCGAAACCTGACGCACCATTTCCCCAACACGTATCATCCCTGATCTCTATATAAAAAATGTTACCATATTAAAAGTTTCAGGAGTACCACCCAATTGATGTTGTTGAATTGGCGATGAAATAGTCATATCAGATGCAGAAGAATAAATACCAGAATCTCCACTTAAATAGCTAT